TCTTCAATCTTCAATCTTCAATCTTCAATCTTCAATCTTCAATCTTCAATTTTCAATCTTCAATTTTCGATCTTCAATTTCCAATCTTCAATCTTCAATCCTCCAGTCAAGATGCGCCAAAACCTCCCTAGTTAGTCATCCAACGACGGAGCGACCCAACAACCACGTCCACCTGCGAAGTTAGTTGCTCGACCCGATCCAGCTCCTCCCCAGTCCCCTGCATCTCATGTCTGGACCGTAGAAACTTACAGCGCGCAGCGCGCAGACGGGGGTTTTCGAACAAGCTTTCATGCAAGACCCATGTCGTACGTGAGGGCCGGGCACCCACCGAGACCTCGGGAATCGAAACACGTGGTACGCAGCCGAACCGAACCCCTGCAGGTACTGTATATGGGGAATGTGCGCCCCCCTTCCTGACAACAGCATGTTCGCGTGCACTTCGTGCTTGCAAGCAGCGATCATACATCGCTACAGGATGGGAAGGGCATCGCAAGCACTCGCCGAGATCTCTTGGTCACTACAGTATCGTCAGCAAACGGCGAGATACCGTCGTCCGTGAAGCAGTTGAGATCCACGTCCGTCTACCGTGACCACGTTCTCCTCCCTGCACATGTTCGCTCACTTGACAGGAGCCGACACTTGACGATCACTCAAGCGGTGGTGTCCCCTGCACATGTTCGGCATGTGTTCAGCAAGCAGCTCAATGACAGTGACAGGAGTCGACGCTTGACGATCATCTAAGCGGTGGGGACTATGATGTGAACTCTACTCGTGTTTGCTGGTTCTAGCACCGTCGAAAACTTGACCCGCCGGGATAGATGGAGACTGCGGCCTGGCGATCCTCGAGATTTGGCTGGCAGGCTGGAGAGAGAACGTGAACTGGAGTCTGAGCTTCGGTTGCTAAAGGAGGCATGAACTCAATGTCACTATGGCGACATGCGTATGTTCGTGTTGACACCTATCACACTGCTTGGCTGTGGTAGGGCCTTCCAGAACAGGACCAGCGTCAGTCACCACACGTCCAATCGAACACTGCATGGTCTTGGTACTCCGTACTCGTACTGTCCCTATCACCCACCTATGCAACTCCGTACTCGGCGCCCACTCGAAGTTCTCGAACTTCGCATCGTGTCCGTCAAAACTCAGTCTTCGGGCTACTTTGTAGCGTGGGAGAAAGAAGAACGCGAACTCGTGCGTTCAACCTGACGAAAGTTGACAGCGGCTTGGTTGGCTGGCCACGTTCGTAATTTGTGGTGATGGTGACATGAGCTCCTTTCGTCAGGGCCGACCGAATGAGTTCTGGGACCGAGTCCTGACTTCCGAAGGAGGCTGCAGTGGTACATTCATACGTACCGTGCAGGTAGTGGTTTTATGGTGCTGGGTTCTTCGAGAAATCTGGGGGATGATATGGAGTACACTACTGCGGACGGTGCGGTGAGATCATTGGAGTGTCAGGGGGTGCAGCTTCGACGCCATCTACTGTGTACACAGTACGCATGTTTCGGTCTCTGACTCCGTCTGTCTTGCTTGTGGCCTCTGGGTGGCCGCGGACGGTTGTCGTGGAAACTACGGAGTACTACATACTGTAGTGACTCGCAGACACGCTTACAAGAACTGGACGAACACGGCTGATGCTGCGAACAGCCCTAGGATCGCTTGCTCCATGATACGAAAAAGTCCTCCTATGGAGCTACCGTAGAATTGCTCCGTACTCCGTACTCCGTATTCCTACGTCTGACCTCTTGGTTAATTGGGCGATGCTCCAGGTGTTTGCTTGCTTCAGGGGCAGTCAGCTGATGGAAGATGTCCAGCCCTACGCCAACACCCGCAAGGTTCGACGAGCCATCGGATGACACCCGTCATAATTGCTTGCTGCTATGTAACAGTCTGAACCAGAGAGGTCTCACAAGGCTTTCCCCCGTTCGTGTACGTACCTTGTGAGCATGATTAGGGGGTGCCTTGCGATCAAAGGACATCATAAGCAGATTAGTGATCGCTCGCAGTACCTCGTACAATGCCAGCTGAACGACTGATTGCCTAGGTACTGTGTAGATCAGAATAACATTGATCGAACAGTAAGCAGCAATATGGAATTATTGTACCTAGTGAAGAGGCACCTAATTAGTGAGGCAGCGCGGATGGAGCCGTAGGATCTGCAAACTGGACTCTCCAGCGCCCGGAGCGTCGAGTTAGGCACCGCATCAGGCGCCCCAGGGGCCATGCTTAGTGTAGCGTGCAGCCGGAAACTAAGGCCATCGAGCGCTGCCCGGACGGCCCCAGCTTTCCACGCGGCTGCTAAACTTCCCTGCAAGGTACGCGAACGTCGTTCAGTGCAGTCAGCTTATCAAAGTTTGATGACGGCAATCTGAAGCCTGGATTGGTGAATGCTTTTCGATTCAAAGTTCGAACCACTGTTTTGTCACTCTGACACGTCTCCCCGTGTCCGTTCGTTCTAGACTCCAGGTTGCACAAGCCTGCGATTGACTGTCTAAACGAAACCAGCCCGGCCCATGCCAGAAATTGAACACTATTTGGAGCCACCACCAGGTGTCTGGCCGCTCAGCGCCGCTCGAAGTGTCCCCACCGGCGCGCCTGCCATGCCGGAGAGTGAGTTGTTTGTCATTGTTCGTGTTCGGCCCGCCGCCTGGTCTTCTACACGGTCATGGCAAACAAGAGTCACATCGATGCGGTACGGACAAGGTCTACCAAGAAGCAAGGTGTAACCACGATGCTGCACCAAACACAGACATATCGGATGGACCGATCATACCTCATACGTACACTGCAAGATCTCGCTGAGGACGAAGAGGGCCTTCTCCATCATCAATCAGCCACGCCAGCGCCAATCACTCTGCGCCAAACCTCCACAGATCGAACTGCGCCTATCACGCTACTATCGTTATTGTCCCGAGGTCCTCTCTCCCCGGGTCTCATGATCCAGCCAATTGCCAATCACGGGCAACAGAAGATATAGTCATGATGAACAGCTGAAGCATCGTTGCTATGGAACGGCGATTCCCGGATCGCGGCTCTCGACGTACAATTGTACACGGGCGCCAATTGCCAATGCGGCCGTCCTTCTCCCCTGCTTCGTTTGATTGCCAGCGTCCAAAAGCCAATATTACGGATACAAGACGAACCCGGCCGAGGCTGCACAGCTGTCAATACCTCGTGGGGTGCTTGGCCGGCTGGCGAGAGAATGACAAACTCTTGGGTATCCTTCTGACGTGAACCTTCGCTACGCTGTCGCCTTAGTTCGCGTAGGCCTCCTCTTTCGGTGTGTCGACCCTTGCGACGTACCTGAAGCTAAACCGCAAGCGGAGGAGCAGGGGGTTCCATCACAAATGTCAAGTGACCACTCTCCCACTCTGAGTGCCACTCTAGCAAACTCTCCAGCCATGCCCCTAGATGCTTGTCCTTCTGCAACCATCCGTTACGGTGCACACGAAGTTTGCTTGACGTTTTCAAACACGCCTGAAGTGGTACCACCCACCCACCACCTGATCAGACTCAGCCTGACATGGCGTTCCTTAGCCTCTTCTGCGCATTCTTTGGCGTCTGTCAGAGCTACCCTGCTCGCTACACTCTGGCTCTTACCGCAATCTAGCCGTCCTAAGGTTTCCAAATTGAGCAGTCCCAAAGATCCACGTTCCCGGTTCCTGCATGGACATGGGTGTAGTATCCATTTGTGGTCATGACATGAGCGATGAGAGGCTCCAGGATACATAAACAGAGAGGAGCCTCTTCCATGAGGTAGGGCTTCCATCAGAACAGCGGACCTACCTTCCCTACCACGTTTCTCAACAGCCTTTGGCAACGGCAGACTTTGTCGAGTACTTGCTTACCCTAGCACGGACCAACATTCCAAGGATCCTTCTGATACGAACACGACAAAAATGCAGGCAATTCCCGTCATCAGAGAGCCCGCCCCAGCTAAAAGTACATCGCCCACTCTATCTCGGCCCAAGTCACCCAGCCAGACGAGGTACTCACATCTTCTGTATCTGTCCGAGGCTGAACGACAGCTCTACGCCTCTCGAATGGAAAAGGCTTCAGAAACTTCACTCCGCTCGTCGAACTCCGTCCGCTCAAACCGGTCTGCTTCTTCCTCTGCCAGCTCGGTCTCGACGGGACACACATCCAAGCTTAGCATGCGATCACCCCGCTATGTCGATGACCACTATCCTCTCATTACCACCATCCACCCAGAGTCGGTGCCGGCGTCAGTACCGAAAAACCACCCGGCGCTCTGGTGTGCTCGTCAAATGGCCCAGATCCACAACACCATCATCCGTGCCTTGAACGCCTCCTGGAATCATGCCGTATCGGTACAACCCGACACTCAAGAAGCGAGCGATTTCCTTCTTTTCAACCAACAACTCTTCAAGACTCTGGACCACCATCACCATGTCGAGGATGACTACATGTTCCCAGCGTTGGAGAAGCTGCTAGGGCGACCTGGTGCCATGGAAGCCAACACCAAGGGCCACGAATCGTTCGCCGACGGGCTGGCCGTCTTCGAAAAGTACGTGTTCGTCACCAAGCCCGCAGAGTTCAACGGCGTCACATTTCGGCACATTATTGAGTCGTTCGCCCCTGATCTCATCCAACATCTTCATGACGAAATCCCCACGCTGGTCAGCCTCCATGTTCTCGACCCCAGGGAAGTCACGAAGGTGTGGAAGCACGCCGAGCACCTCGCGACCAAGGACAACAGCCTGTACACCGACGCGCCGTGGACGCTCGGCTGCCAGGACAAGTCGTTCCTGATCGACGGGCAAAAATGCGACTTCCCGGCTGTCCCGTGGGTTGCCGAGGCGATGATCAGAAATTGGCACGGCAAGAAGCATGCGGGAACTTGGAGCTTTTGTCCCAGTGACCTTTCCGGCAAGCGCCGCTTGTTGCCCAGTGCGTAGATGGGGATGTTGCACTGGAATGACTTGATGAAGATTATAGATTATGCTTTGTGAGGAGTTGGCCTTTCTCTTTTGTACATGTCCAGCGTTCAAGCAGCAGTAGTTAGCGAGTCTCTTTGGGAAAGGGAAAAGGAAAAAATGCCTGGGATCGGAATTGGGATTGCGCCAACCGAAGTCGAGTCGGCAGCTCGCCACTATATCTTATTCATGCATCATGTATCATGTATCATGTATTATATCATATCATATTCACACACAAGCCTCTATCCTCCTTTTTCCTCGAAGCCAGCTCAGAGTTATGCATCCGTCCTCAACAACTCCGGAAACAGATCCAACAGCTCCGCCAGATCGCTAATCTGGTACTTACTCGCCTTTTCCTCCGGCTCAGGCACGCCCCTCTCGACCAAATGCACCGTGTTAGTCCACCCCCGCATATAAGCCGCCCGACAATTCAAGTACGAGTCATCGACAAAGTAAACGGGCGTGTGGCCCCCGGGCCGCACCCCGGCCTCGCGCTCCGCCTTGTCAAACATCTCCGGCAAGGGCTTCGGCACCAACGGCACCTGCCCGTAATCGCAGTACGTGATCCCCTCGAACAGATCATCGATCCCCAGCAGCCGCACGACGCGCCGGCCGTGCGTGACGTGCGCGTTGGTAAACAGCCACAGTTTGACCTTGTGGGGGTCGAACCGCTGCAGCAGCGCGCGCGTCTCGGCGTGCGGCTCCAGCAACTCGTCCAAGGGGAGCGCGTCGTCGACCTCGCGGTTGAAGTCCAAGGGTGCGATCTTGTGGTGTCGCGCCAGGCCTTCGATCGCCAGGCCGTAGTCCTTGTAGTATTTCTGGTGGAGGTGCGTGGCTTCGTCGGCCGACATGTCGAGGTGCGTGATGAAGTATTTGTTGATCAGGGCCGCCATGTGGTCGTGCACGCGGCGCGATTTGGCGTAGAGGCAGTTGTCGATGTCGAAGAAGAAGACCGCGCGGGTGTCCTTGTTCTTGGCCGTGTCGGCGGTGCCGGATTCAAGCCCGCCTTCGGGGAGGTTGTTGACGGATACAGAACCCATGTTTCAAAAAATTTCGTGTGGAAACCTCTATAACAAGGAAGAAGGGACGGTGGTGATCGGGAGAATGACGGTGAAAGTCGAGGTCTATGGTGGTTGCGTAGGAAATCTATATTCGAGAATAATGACGACGACGGTGGCGAGAGTGACGGTGGTGATAGGGAGAATCACGGTGAAGTCGAGGTCTATGGTGGTTGCGTAGGAAATCTATATTCGAGAATAATGACGACGACGATGGCGAGAATGACGGTGAAGTTGAGGTCTACGGTGGTAGGAACTGTATACTCGAGGAAGAAAGTGAGCGTGTTGTCTCATGTCATGGTGTCGCAGAGCAGGTCAGAAATAAAGTAAAATAAAACCCCGATAGTATGACTCTTTTCATCCTTTTAGAAGACGACATTGGTGGCGAAGCCGAGCGATGGACTGCGACTCTACTCCGTACTGTGCGGTAATTAGGTGGACTGTCGCGTCATGCATTCTGGTCAACTGCAGCAATACTCCGTAGTGCCATGCCACGTGTAATTGTTGACAATAGGTACATACATACCTAGGCACGGAAGTCCAATTACCTACTTTGAGTGCGATGCTCTATACGTGGTAAAGGCAGTTTGAAAGGCTTGAGCGGGGGGGCAACTTCACCTGGCTGTAAACATTGGTCTTTTGTACTGTATTCCGCCTTCTAAGCAGCCTATCTACTTCCTTTCCCATGATCCTTCAACCTACCGTTCAGTCACCTCACGAATGCGCCAAAACGACCTACCTAGGTACCTAGGTAGGCAAATATCGCACTATCGCTGTGCCGTCGGAGATCTAATCTTCAATGTAGGGCAGGACGACTCATGCGGGACGAACAGATGGGGATAGACATCAAGGACACGTCTAGGGTTGAACATGGTAAAGTGTCATTCGATGATGGTTACTCCGTACTCCGTACTCCGTACCTCTTACTTAATCAAGCGGCCCTACTCTACATTTCACCTTCAAACAGCCCGCCGTAGTCGAAGGTGTCTGTCCTGGCAGTCTCGTCGATCTCCCACGTGACCGCGAACAAAATTGCCAAGATTGGCTGGGAGCCGCTGCTGCTGAAAGTCGCGAACCTGGAACCTGCATCAAACTCTCCTTTCCTTCACCCATCAGCTCAAGGTCACCCAGCAAAGGTGGCAGCCTCCCTTCCAGCGAGGGACGATTTCTCTACTGTTGCTCCTTGCTAGCATACCCATTCCATCTTTTTCCTGGTCCTACTATGTCTCTGTCTAGGTAAACCCAGTTCTCCACGGCTTTCGCGCAGCTCAGACGCGCATCCCTAGACATGTCAGCTTCAGCTGTCGCTCTACCCAACGGCATCTTGCCACCACCCGCGCAGTCCATCGATGAGGCTCTCGAATACGAGAAGATCTTGAGGATTCGCGACGAGGTATTTTCCGGGACTCATCCTAGATTGACGGTGCCGGCGCATGCCATCCGCGTGCCTAGTTCTCAGAACTCATCGGCCCTCTCGCAGACTCAGTTGCATGTACCTTCTCCCTCCCCTGCCACTCCATCGCCAAATCGTCTTGAGGCTGGTGCACAGTCAAACAAGCGTGAAGATGAGCTCACACACACCCACAACAAGCCAAACGGGGTCTCCACCCCTTCTATTTCTGAGTTTGATCCTGTGCTCTTGACAAAGTCAGATGATCTGATTCGAGCCGAGACGTTGCTCAAGAGACAGCGCCTCGAAAAGGCCTTGAGAGATCAATTTGAGCAAAAGAGGGCAGATGCTCGCAAGAAACCTGCACCCGCAGAGGCAAAACCCGACTTCGACCTGCCGGCCATCTTCGCCCGAGTGACCGGCACAGCCAAATCCCCTTCGTCCAAGGACGATGAAGAAGCCACCGACTCGGTCAATGAGGACGAGTTTTACTCTAGTAGAGCGCCTGACTCAACTCCTGAAGGGCCACCTAGCGAATCTCCAGATGAAGCTGATGAGGAGCAGGCGGACGAGTCTTCCGGGCCACGTGCCGTGAGCGCCGTCATGGGTGCACCCCTTTACCCTGGTGCCGATGACCCAATCTCCGCCAACGTCACGTCGCCTGCGCCGCTTGCTGCGGCACCCACGAAGCCCCCACCGCCCCCTGATCCGACTGCGATGGACATGGACGACGAGGAAGAGGAGGGGGAGTATTCACCCCCAGAGGCTGCCATACAGGTCCCTTCGCCCAAGGTCCCTCACGCTGAAGACATACGAGACAGTAGAGATCCACGCAGCCGACCTTTGCGCAGATATTCGGAAGTGGAAGATATTGGGCCTCGGCCACCCTCACCATCTGAGGCCCGTATGCGGATTGTAAGAAACCACATCACCTCCCCCATTGCTCCCCGCCCGTCTCGTGTCTCGCCTCTGGCTGTAGCTAAGGACTCCCCGCTCTCACAGAATGCACGTACCGGCCGCAAACAGTGGAATGGAAGACCAGGATCTCCACCTAGTCCTGATGACAACCAAACACTTCCCGCCAGGAAGAAAAGAAAGCTTGAAGGGCGCAACCAGAAGAGACAGGCCCGAAGAAACGGCAGGGCGTCTCCAGACGTCAAAGAAGAAGATATCTCACCGCCACCGTTCCACGACGTCCAGCCACTTGGTACTGGCAGGCTTCATTCCGGTGGTGCAGATCGGCCGATCATCCTCGATGATGAATCTGCGCAAGAAGTGCGTTATGCTGTTCCCCCTCATGAGCGGTACGTGGAATCTCCCGCTCGGCCACTTCCACGCCAAGTTGAACGCTTGATGCCCTCCAGTGAGCCACGTCCATTGTCCAGGTCCAGCATGAGACCCGGTAGGGACGATCAAGATTTGCGCCGCGTGGCGAGTATGCACAGTATGCGAGTTGAGCAGCCTCAAGATTACGTCGATCCCTACTACGATAGCCCAACTCGAACTCGTGCTGTATCATACGCCCGAACGGGAAGTCCTGCAATCACCGAATCAGGCCGGCCACTGCGCGAGCTACCAGTCGAGTACGACCAACCACGCCCACCGGTCTATCGTGATGTCTACGATGAGCGAGATGGCACTTATCACCGCTACATTGCCGAGCCTCCTCCAGCTCCGGTCGAGCGAATAATCGTCGACCAGTATGGCAGAAGATTCCGCGAAATAGTCCAGGAGCGGCATCCGATGGCACCTCGAGAAGTGCCAATCCGCAGAGAAGTGGAGCCCGTCTACGAACAATATCCCCGGCAAGCTCGAGCCGGGTCTGTCTTTGTCGAACCTCAACCTCTCCAGGAAAGAGCCTACGGTGCAGACATGCCTCCACCGCCTGTCTCGTATCGTCGTGTCGCAGATCCACCACGAGGTTCTGCAATTGCGTCGCCAATCACAAGAGAATATCTTGAGCCGGCACCGCCGATGCGAAGCGCTAGCGTGCAACTGATGGATCGCCCAATTCGACAGACCATGTACCCAGATGAGCGGCCTGAATTTCGCGAGCCTGTTCGTGCAGGCAGTGTCCGGCCGCCGCCTGCAACGCGATACGAAGATGGCCCGCCGATGGAAATGATATCGCGGGGTCTCAGTGTTCGTCCAGTGGGTCGCGAAGGGAGTGTCTTCATGGATGACAGGCGACCCATCGCACCAGAGTATGCCCCTGTGCCAGACCCAAGATACCGGCCGATGGAACCCGAGAGACGCTACGTTGATGTTGATGGAAGGGAGATTACTCAGGCGGACGGGGCCATGGAAAGCAGACTGAGAGTCATGGACAGGTACCGAGCGTAGGGTTAATTTTCTAGCATTTGCTCTGTAAGTGGGACTTGCAGTGGATGTCAGACGTTGCTGGTCGAGAGGAAGCCACGTGTGTGTATGTGTACAAAATAGCAGATTGAGGCTCGACGAGGTGGTGCCGTCGATAATAATCAGTTCCCACAATTAGGATGGACAATATAAACATAGGTCTTGAGCAAATCACTTTTGAAACAACGTCTCATCAGCCTCGAGACCATCTACGGACCCTGTGCGGTTGTTTCATCGAGCACAGAGCTGTCGGACAAGAACCAGCTGTTCTGCGGCCATCCGCCCTGTGCACTATGGCGTCTTCTCTGCACTAATTACTCCGAAGCCTCGTGCATAGAAGCAGGCGAGACAGGATGATTGGTGGAGGCGCAGGCAGCTAGCCGCCCGTCTCATCTTCCTTCACACAACTTCTCCCACGAATGACAAGGCGCGTACTCTCCCATCAACACACAATCCACTATCCCATGGCGTAGGCGCTCGCTGTCTTCTGAAGCCTCTCGGATGATTGCTGACCTGGCATGGCCTTCTCTGCTGGCATGCTCTCATCCAACCATCGCCGTCGCCATGCAAACAGCTCATGGTCATCTCGGCCCAGGGCTCCTTCGGCGTGTCCTGCTGCCATTGAACAAGCGCCCTTGATGGAGTGTGATTGATCGAATCTACCAGGGCTCCGCTGCAACGTTTGTATCGACGCCACGAGGAGAGAATGAGCCTGCCCAAGGAGGAGCTCTGCGAGAACTGCAGTTCTCGTGGATCTGCGCTCCACAGCGAGGCACCTTGAAAGGTACCTACCATTCACACACCCCCTCCCTCCCACCGGGACTCAACTTCCTTGCTCAAGGAAGCGTGATATCGCGGTCGGTTGCAGCTGCGGGTTTGCGAGCACCACGCCTTCCTGTCCTTGCATATTCCCATTGTACTTGTAATCGCCATCTACCCTACCTAATGTTTGTGTTGATGCTGGCGTCACCAATCCCGCTCTACCACTGTTGCATCTTCGTGGTGCAAGCGACCTGTCCAGACGCAGTGTGTCGAGGGGTCGATCCTCCGTCCGCGAAATGAAGTCGAAAGTCACGCCAGAGGACTCATTGGAGCCCGTATGCCATCTCGAATTCTTTCAGTGCTTCTCTCCAGGAAGGGACAAACAGCAACTGCAAGATGAAGGACTTCCACCAGGTTCGTAACTCCCACGGTCAGGCTTGACAGATCTGATTCGCCTCCAGGTGTTGAGCGGGAAATGCGCATTATGTACCAACAACCTCATTTGGTACCACCGATGAAGCTCACTGTCTTCGACGAGTTGCCTCCGACACCCACTCCGCCTCCTCCGTCTCAGCTTTCGCAATGGGTCTCGCAGGGCAAGGCCTCGCTCAGATCCAGTCTGTCGACTCGGAGACATGCCTCGAGGCCATCTATTTCAGCGCCGCAACCACCTCTCCCCCCTTCGCAACAGCTACCCTTGCGGCGAGCCGCGCAGAGCTATCGTCCGCTCGAGCTCAGCATCTACATGCCCAGCAATCGACTATCCGACCTACCCGCGTTCGATAGACTGAGTTTCACAGAGGTTGGGGAGATCAAACTGCCACCTCGAGCACTTGTGCGCACAAAGTCGGAAGAATTCGTCCCGCACAAGATCTCAATGTTGCCGGCAACGGTCAAACCTGCTTCTATGATTGAGCAGCGACGTGCGTCCCATGTGCGCGCCGACACATCGTCTACAGTCATCGCGATTTCAAGACCACCTTCAGAGTACGATGCGCTGCACTCTCATCCGGTTTCTTGGGCTTCGCTTCCCGGGCTGCCTCCTCCAATCCACCTTCCCGGCGGTCGCCCAGAAGCTTCCGTGACCGTACTTAGCCCCATGCAAGAAGAGTTCAGCCCTGGGCCGACCTCTGTCGCGATTGGTGACACCGTGTTGAACTTTCCCAGTCCGGTCGACATGGCAGCAGACGACCAAGTCCCTCCAGAGGCCCCGGCGCCTCCACCATTTGTACCTCCTGCGCCTTCCAGGAATTTCTCCAAGCCAGCGGACATGAACTCGCCCTCGGGCTACTTCCACCCCAACTACCAGACACAGAAAAGAATCTCGCAATGGCTTGCCCATCGCACTTCTTCCTCGATCAGCACCACGAAGTCCTCGTCGACCTCTTCGTCCTTCGCCGAGCACCGCCGCAAACGTTCCCAATTCTACCAACTGTCTGCTACTGCGGTAGCACCACCGAAGCCGCTGTCGCTGTGGTCACGTCAACATCAGAGGACAATGACCGAATCCACCATCGCTAGTACCGTGGATACGGACATCCTCTCACACGGCGACCAGAGCCGGACGGATGCGACCAGCGTGACAACGTACTCGGAGAATCTGCAGAGCCGATCCGGGACTGTGCGAAGTGTGGCCAAGAGTGGACTGAGACCGATCGTGAGCGGTGTGCCTGACATGCCACCATGCTACGCGGATATTGTCAACGGAAATCACGACATTCTGATCAAGGAGATTGGTGGGCCGCTGCGCAGCCCTGGCGTTGGTGTTGCTTTTTGAGGCGCGCAGCTATCGCATGTGAATTCCCTTTGTTATATTGATACCCTCACAAAATTTATGCGGCAGCTCTGCGTGCTGTGGAAAGGACTGCGTCTTCAATTCGACCCAGACGACATTTTACCAGGCTATGGAATAGCCCCTGCATTTTGGCACCAAAAGTTGGAGGCATACACTCATTTGGTTTTTCTTCTTCGGCTCAGGCTTTGGACCTTTGAGCCTCGACTTTCTTCTTCGAGATACCCTGACCTGTTTTGCTTCACTTTCAGCCGTTCAGTTCTTCTTGGGTCCGGATTTGGGGTAGGCATCAGATAGACTTGGTGAGACTGGCAGCGTGGGAGGGCAGAGAGGTGTCTGGCCTGCCACCCACGACGGTTGACCCTGTTGGACATACACTCGTTACTGTAGATTGAATACCACCTCTATAATATTTAGTCTGCCTCCATCTCGCACGGAGGCGTCTCGAGAGTCTGGCTGAACGAAGTTGCATTTCCGTAATTCCGACGACAAAAGTGTATCTTTTCTGATTTCTACACAGTCATTGTCACCAACTCAGCTGATTGACTCCACTTTCTGTACAGTACTTGGTTACGCGCGAGACCCACCACGGGGAGTAATTCGAATGGCCAGTGTACGAGTATTGCGTTCAACAAACCAGAACAGAATAGTTATGAGCTGCTCACTGCGCGTGTGAACCGCTTGCGGGCTGGCGCGATTGCGTACCGTGTACTGTGTACTGTGTAACTAATAATTGAAGTTTTCAGTGGTCAAAGGTCTTCAAAAGCACATGAGTCGGACACAGCCCCTGGTTTCCGACCCGATCTGCCCAGCTACAGTACAGTACAGTACCTCACAGAGGCAGTCGCAGTCGCAGAGGCAGATGAGGGACAGGCAGGGCTCGGAGACCCGGGGGGAGGGGGGAGGGGGGGCCGGGGGGCTGTCTCTGACCTACTGTACTCCGTACTCGGTACTGTATCTAATTATTCATACAGTACAGTACCTACTGTAGGTACAGTATAGGCAGCCCCTTTCGGCACCAAACAGCGTCTTCCACTCATTATGTTGTGCACGTGTTGGTTTTTGTTCGACAGGATAAGGATATCGATGTAGGTATCCCTTGGATGTACTCTGTGGACGTAGATGAAGATTAAATGTACTTCGTAGCTGGAGCTATCAAAACACGAGCTCCTGTGCATACGTAGGAGGGAGGAGCTCCTTTCCCGGACAGCCCTACCTTTTCCTATCCTTTCCTTTCCTTTCCGTTAGCAACAATGCAACCCACTGACCCTGTGACTCCTCAAAAATGTCCAACCATGTGACAAGTAGTAACATCGATAATCATGCCGCCGCACGTCCATGTCCCGTTCAATTTTTGCTTATGATTCATCGGCTCGTTATCTTGTCCAAACAGCACTTTTTCTCGAATCCCTATATCCTACAGATCTACATATTCGCCAACTCCCCGTCAATGGCCCTGTCCAAGAATGTCCGTCTCTCACCGGCAGGCACCTCGCACTGCAGTCTCTGTTCCACCAAGGCTCTAACCTGCTTCTTGGTGACCTTGTCGAGATCGACTTCCATCAAGACGGCGCGAATCGCAATGATGATATCTTGATCGCTCGGTCCAGCGGAGGGTACGGTGCGGAAGTCCATGACTGTCGAGGCCGGACGGCTTGCGATGTTCAACAGGGAGGGCCGAGAAGCCGAATGTGGGAGACCGCCTTGGTAAGGGCTGCGGCTGCGATTGGGGTGGTCCTGATACGCCAAAGGTTGAGGCGATGGAGATTTTGTCAGGCGAGCTTGACTTCCCAAAGACAACATGGACATGTTCCGTCCGTGCAGACTGATTGGTTGGTCTTTGAAGGTGGTCAGGCCGGTCATGGTGCTGCCGCGATTGTTCATGCCCACACCCATACCCATTCCCATGGGCGTTGCTGATCGTGGCGGGGCCATATACGGTCCTTGCTGTTGAGGAAAGCCGGCCAAAATGGTGCTCGCTGGTTTCACAGACGAGTATGTCGAGTGCATGTCGTCCATCTCCATCACGGCTGGATCGTCAGTGTACCCATACTCGAATCCTTTCTCGGGGTAGACACCCGGATTGCCACGACGACCAGGAAGGTTGTTTGCAGCGGCGTAGTCATCCCACCGTTGCAGGGGAATCGAACGAGGATCGAATCCTTCGTCTTGGATAGCCACAACCTTCTTGTCTCCTTTCTCTCCGATGACGATTCTCGTGTTACCCCATGAGAAGTTGTCTTGATTCCAGAACGAATAGATGGGCAAGACAAAGCTATAAATCGGATATGCAAGGATGTAGATGATCATCCAGCCAACGTGCTGCCATTGTCGCTTGATGATAAATATAATGGCCTGGAGACCGTACACGGCGGCGATGATGACAAGGGAGATGAGAGGGAATTGCCCCGTGTGGGAAGCGACTCTATAGATGAGGTAGCCGAGATAGCCGCAGGTTGCAGGCAGGATCAACGTGCCGAACAGATCGATGAAGACGACGAATCTCATCGAGAAACAACAGAAACCGCACAGATCTTTCAAAAAGACCAACTCGGCAAGATTGTGGATGGTCGAGTTAATCCATCGTCTTCTTTGTGAGAGCAGGACCGACCACGATTCCGGGGCGGCAGTGAGGGCGTAAGCGTCGGGAATGAATTTGAAAGACATCTGCGGGAAATGCTTCGTCATCAATGTCGTCAGGTATCGATCTTCGCCGAGCGAGAGCAGGTTCTTTTTGTGCAGCGTGTCGACCTCGCAATCGGCATACTCGGTAATGACCTTGTCTGAGATGATCAAGGGTCGTCCCTTGTCGGCCGTTCTAAGCCGATACATACAGAAACTGTGCGATGGTCAGCAGCATTCAAAACACGACAGGAGAGGCGACCTACCATCCGGGTAAACAGGTAACACTGCCAAACAAGGACTCGAACGCTTTCGCGAGATGATGCGAGATGTAGTATTCGTAGACCTGAATCATGGTCCACAAACTGCGCTCTTCATTCTCCAAGCTCGTCTCACCACAGATACCTGCGATTTTGGCGTCATTGGCACAGGCGGCCACCAGGCGATTGAGAGAATCCTCTTTGACCATAGTGTCGGCATCCACCATCAGAAGGTACTCATACAACTCGGGATCCACGCCAATGATGTTGTTGATCTGGTGGAAGATCTCAAGCTCAAGGGGCGACATCGGGGACCGGTGATGGACACGGTTCAAAAACTGCATGAGCAAGATCTGCGAGTCTCGCTTGCCCCGATTGCCAGGCTTCGATTTGGTCTGTTCGGACTCTTTCCCGACCTTGATGATTACGATGTAAGGGACCACATTGCCCTCGTACTCGTACAGTCCTGAGTAGACCTTGCCGTAGTTCAGTTGCTCACTGCCATTACCAACAGACCGGAAGGGCAGAGCGGGAGGGTCTATTTTCGGATCAACGCCCAGGATGTCGAGCACGATCTTCGGGGTAGGCCGATCGTTCCCGCCTCCAACGATCATGCCGTCGCAGATGACGCAGATGAGCTTCCTCTTGTTGTCATACTGAAGAGCAGTAAGAGAATCGAGGGATTTCCTGAGGTGGTCTTCACCTTCGGTGTACGCTGGGACCTGGCAGATGACGAACTTGTCCTGTGCAGCCGGTCGACGTTTGGAGCCCAGCTGGAGAGCCGCCAAAAATTTGATCAGGATGACAGCACATAGAATCAGGGTGAAGGCCAGAAGAAGATAGTTGTTGACCTGACACTTGGGGGTATCTCGGAAGTCAACCTTGCCCACGTAGAATGCATTGTTCATGCAGTTCAGACTGTTCTGGAACGCGGCGTTCGTACCCCATTGAGTGGTAATGTCGGAACCGACGTTGTTTTGGATCAGCTCTGTAACCTCATCGGGCAGGAATCTGTAGGTGACAAAATTGTTCATGATGTCCAGGGTGTAGAAATAGTCAGTCAGATCGTATATCTTTTTGTGGATGACCACCCATTGCCTTTGGTCGACCTCAGCTTGTTTTTTTATGCTCGCCTTTGTCACGACGAGATCTCCCTTGTAGTAGTCCTTGATCTTCGGGAGGAAGTCGTCGCTATACCAGTCCCAGGAATAAAGTTTGGATTGCTGATTAGGTTGATACCGAGGCCCAGAGGTGTGGAGCGCGGTGGGAAATAGAATAGCACTGGTGTCATTGTGTTGTAGAAGCACACTTTCATCGACGTTCAGGCCCGGGCAAGCGCGGCTCAAGGGCGGTGGAAAGTAGGCGTCAAGATTCATCCCAGCAAGCGGCAGCATGTTCTCGGCGTTGGTTTTGATGGCGGTGTCGCTGTGTTGGGTTTTGTAAAATTTCGTAAAGTCGTACACGCCGCCTCGAATACTGGCGTAGTAGTCGTCCGTGCCAGTATGGAAGCCAACTTCTTTGGCGTTCCAAGCCTTGTCGAAGTTCGGACACAGCAGCCTCCCAAACTCAATGATGTAGAAGACAATGACGCCGTTCAGCAAGAAAATCAGAAACACCAAAACCAACTTCTCTCGCCACGCCATGCGGACGTCGGGTCGCTTCATCTGGCCAATATAGCGCAAGAAGATAGACGGAATCCAGAATGTCAGTGCCCATACAAGGGATACCCAAGCTTGTCGACCTGCGGACGTCTTTGCGGACTGGACATTTCGAGGATCAGCCAGCTCAGGGTCCATTCCTCCAACATAATGGCCGAGGTCTGCATCCCAATATGAATCGGTCTTCTGCGTGTCACCTTTGGGACCAAGACCATAATCACCGCCGATGGTATGAGTAGTCCGAGCCATGGTTGGCGCGACCGACTTCGCACGTTCTGTAGCTGCGGCACCCAAGAGGTTCTCCCGGCTGTCTTGGACACTCATATTGTCGCCCATTGGTGGGAAGAAGCCGCTGCCGTTATGAGGCGTGTTGGCCGAGTAGCCCGATGCGAAAGGGTTGAGCGGTTCGGCAAAAGGGTTGCTCTCGGGGTAGCCATGCTTGACGGTTTTCATGTCCAGCATTGATTCAGCTTCCCACCAAGCGGATTCACGCATCCATATGCGCTCCTTCCCAATAATCACTTCGCCGTTCGTCCACCCTCGTTCTAGGAGGAACGTTTCAATCCCATCCTTGCCGTCCTTGCACCCAAGGCTGGAGTATCTTGTCACAAACTCTTCCACGTCGAAATCGGCTGTAAAATCGAGTCGTCGGTTGCGATGATTCGCCCATTCTGGGAGTCTCCATGCTCGCAGTTGTCTTGACACCGGCCCAGCGGACCATGCAGAGGTTGCTGACGGCAAGGTAGCCAGAGTACTTGGAGAATCGTCGGTGGGATGGATGGAGAGCTGAAACCATGCCCTGCTGCTAGCCAGAGTAGTGCTGAGGTCGAATCGACCTTTCCGACCAAAGTTGAGGCCTTCGCCATCGACTGGGTAAAGCAAGGTGCGCAGGAAACCCCCATCCTCGGCTTCGGCGCCAATCTTTTGCAGGATGCCTTCTCTTCGGTCTCGGTCGTGCTCTCGTTCGCGGCTAAGGGGCCCGCCTCTGATGCCCAGATCAGCTTCCACCTCTGCCACAGCCGCGTGGGTCTCCTTCAAAACCGAATGGCCAGCGGAGTCGACCTCGACGCCATCGTCTTTCATCTCGGCGTTGATGCCCTGGGTGTCATCAAAAACACTCCGTAGAGCTATAGCCTTCCCGAGCGCCTGGCCAGGCACTTCAACGATGGTAAGACTGACCTCATCGCCCGCTTCAGTGCTGGAGTCAGGTGTGAGAGCACCGGAGCGGAGTTCTGCAGCAATGGCATCATTAGCCTTCGCCAGAACCCAGTCCACCAAAGCTTCGTACATGCTGGCGATCAGCACTTCGCGGTCGTCAGTGGTACATTTTCTGACAAGAACATCCGGCTCTAGTCCAATCAGAGCGCCAACATCCTGGCATGTCTCTTCCAACACATCGGAGTCAATCAAGAGCCCAATTGTCTCTCCCAGTTTCAGCAATCCTGCGAGGCATGACAAGAGACCACGGAAATCCGAGCCTTTGATACCAATTCTCTTTAAAGCTGTTCTAAAGTCCTCTGCAGCCGCGGCATCGTCGGCCGCTGGGAGGTAGCTGGGCGGATCGTAATATCCGGATCTATTCAGAAGTGTATATTTGGACGGTTGTTGCAGGCCCAAAACCTCGCGCTCAGCCGGGGTGGATGCTGACGTTAAAAGGTAATAGAAGACGTCGAAGGCGCGAAAGCCAGACTCGGCGGGGATCCTGAGCAGACCTCTCTCCACGTCAATGGCCGAGCCTGACAACGAAAGGCTAAGCCCGGTAACTGTCCCGCCGAGAGTGACGGTGTATTTGGCCGCTAGAGAAGAGTGTCTGAATGTTGTTGGATTGGAAGGCGTTACACAAGAGAGAAAGGGTCGAAGCGCTGTCAGCGCTACATACGCGATCTCCGGAGTGGGCAAGGGCACGACTTGCAAGAACGCCTGGAACAGTGAGGGCGTCGAAGGGTGTAGCGAGCCTAGGATTATACATCCATCCTCTGCTCTTCTCCTGGCATGTTCCCACGCTCTTGAGGCAAGATCGCCGTCAACCACGCCACCTACTCGCCCCTGCGCGTCTGGGTTGACCGCGGTCAGCCAGGTGTTGACGCCAATGCTCGTGCATGAGTCCAACTGGTAGGTTTGTCCTGAAGCATAGACGGTGTGAAGGGAGTTGAGGAGGGTAGTCGTCGAGACCTGCGTCGGCGGCTGAGCCGCTGACCGGGCAGCACCGACATGGGAGGAATTATTCGAATATGTCGAATAGCGGTTGGCCATGTTGAGGCAATGTCGGGCTCGGGCCCCTGTCGAGCAGGAAAGTCGACAGGGCCTTTATCGACCGCCGTGAAAGGATGTAATTGCGTCCGATATCCAACCACTCTTCGTTGTACCTGCAACTTTCTTCTTGGCTTCTGCTCTCGGGGCGTTTGAATGAAGGGGTTCGACAGGAGTGTCGTCGGGTGGTATCGTCAAGGCAGTATGCGGAACGTGGAATCAGATATCGGCAAACAATGATGGTCTGATAAGTATGAGTCTCTTGAGTGATTCAAGTGCAGAACGTAAACGAATGTGATATTGTGTCTGAGTGAAGGTGTGTACAGAATGAATGGGTGATGGCAAAAGCGATACTGGCAATTGCTTCACGCAGACAGGAGTTGCAACGCTCCACCCGCGTGTTTTGGGCTGTGTATTGACTGTTACATTACAGGTTGATGACAGCACAATAAGCATCCCTGCAACGCTCGCAGCGATCCGCAGCCACGGGCGAGCCAGGTCAAGAATAGCAGCCAATCTCCAACGCCACGTTGGTCTCTAGCATCCTTTCTTAGGCAGTCGAGCCCCGGATCTCGAATGGCCTTAACCTTCTCTGGGTCAAAGAGATTCGGGTTGCTGCAGGGGAGTCCGGGAGGTCAAAAAGCAACAAATCTTCTCCAAGCCAATCACCACAGCCAGGAGAACGTGCTCCAGGGCAACGGGTCGCGCAAAGCACCACGCGTGCATGTCGAGAGCTACCTCGTACTCATGCTGAGGCACAAGCAGTACGTAAAGGGAACGTGTATGTCCAACAATGCGACATGCGCACAGCACTCGTACCCAGTAAACACCGCATGGCGAGAGATCCAACGAAAGCCGGGAACAAAATCGTCGCGTCTTGTTTCAGTGTCGTGCCCACCTCAGCCCACAATTTCGTCCTCGCCTCAAACAAGCCTGGGCCAGCCAAGTCACATGACCCTCAGCGGGCATTCAACCTCCGGGCGTGCGGGCTCGGGCTTCACCACTCGGCTGTTTGCTGCCCGCAGCTGCTCACCTGCAGGCTGCACGATGTGTGCTGCATCACGAACACACTGTCTCACTTTTGAGCTTCGGCGTCCGTCACCGTCGATTTTTACGCATCAGTCACGGTTTGACGTTCCGAAGATGGGGTCGCTCGCTTGCCAGCGAGTCGGCCAGCGAAAAACAAACGTGATTTGTTCAAAAGCGTCATACTTAGTACGTAGACTGGTGCTACACCTGTCGCAGCGGAAAATAGGAGAACAATAAAGACAAGCACAAATGACACAGTTGTCTGACACATGGCAACTGTCGGACTCATGTCTATTTTCTCTTCGCAAATCTCAATATCTCGTCCTCACAGTAGTAAGGAGCCAGAGAATCCTTTTCGTGGAGGATGTCGCCTCAAGCAGGTGTGGCTCGTCGCGGACTGAACATGGCCGCGCAGCAGGTCCGGATGATGACTTGTAGATACGGAGTACGACTGGTGGCGTGGCAAATAGGCCATAGCGATCGCTCCTTCGCGTAAAGCTCGAGAGTAGAGGATCACCGACAACGGTCATCACGCTGCAACCACCACGAGTGCAATCGCCCTATCTTCGGGTACGGAATGCTCTTATTCTTTTCCATCTTGTACACAGTACGAGTCATCGTAGTCAGCATCGACGGCAGCGTTGTGCGTGTCCGCAGAGTCAAAGATCGCGCGTGTGAGGGGCGCGGTGGCGCAGTTGGCTGACTGGCCCAATGATGAACTGCCTTGTCAAACAAAAAGGCCAAAACAGGAAGAAGGCCGGGCACTCAAAAGGTCGCTCTGACATCTGTGTTGTTCCGGTTGTAAAGACAATACGACAACAGCCCGCGTTTGAAATCTCTGGCCTCACAGACGATTGCGCAGACAGACGAATCCTCTCTCCTGCGCGGATATCGAAGTCAGTGTTGCTCCTGTTGTCGACTCCCTTGACGTTGCATTTTCTCCATTGCAGTCTTTGCTACGAGTCCACGACCTTTCACTGCAATCGTTCACTTTGCATTGTTGTTTATTTCGACTATCCTGACGCTCGTTGCTTCGCCGTCGCCGCCACCCGATCCCCTCGACTGACGCTTGAAGGCTCCTGACTTCCGCATTGTGACCCTTTTCCCAACCGCCAATATCCAGATGCATTGACGATTTCCCATTCGATCTGGTGTGAGAGCCGAGACGGCTTGCCGTTACATCTAATTTGACGCGTCCGAAATATCTCTACAACATGGCTGCTCGCGGCAATGTCCCTGCCCATCTACAGGCGTCCTTGCCTGCCCTCCCACCCCATTTACAATCCGACACTCATTTGACCGCACATCTGGCTAGTCGATTCCACGTTTCACTGCCGACGGCAAAGTTATCCTCGCAGGCTCTAATCTGTCTCAACACATACACTTCGTCAACCCGGGGGCCCAATGGCGAAAAGGAGGGAAGCGCAATGGGCGAGGCGGAGGAGCTTGCTCGCAGAGCGTGGGCGAGACTGGGAAGCAGAGGCGAAGATCAAGCAGTCGTTTTCTTGTAAGGACCCTCGCTGCGTACCGAGAAATGTTTGGTGGCAGATGCTAATTGTGCAACAGTGGCGAGTCAGGGTCTGGCAAGACGACGGTCAGATCACATCTCCTTTCAGCCTTTCTCTCGTTTTCCTCGACACCGCTCTCTTCCAAACTATCTCTCGCCGCCTTTGTTTTCGATACTTTGACCACGACCAAAACGACCACCACTCAGACGGCCTCCAAGGCCGGCCTGTTCTACGAGTTACAATATGACGCTTCTTCTTCGATACCCACCCTCATCGGAGGCAAAATGTTGGACCATCGCCTGGAAAGGAGTCGCATATCACACGTTCCGACCGGTGAGAGGAGCTTCCATGTGCTGTACTATCTCTTGGCGGGGACAAGTGCGGCCGAGAAGTCACATCTCGGCCTCAATGGACAAACGAACATCAGTACTTCCGGCACGGGCGGCCTCACACGATCTGCTTCCGTGGCTCAGAAGCGATGGAGGTATTTAGGCCATCCGACGCAGATGAAAGTGGGCATCAATGACGCCGAAGGCTTTCAGCACTTCAAGACGGCTCTGCGAAAACTCGAATTTCCCAGGACGGAAATTGCCGAGATCTGTCAGGTGCTTGCCGCCATTCTGCACATTGGCCAGCTTGAATTCGGCACAGGCCAAGCTACAATGACCGCGGCGGAAGAAAGTGGTGGTTTCTCGCACGAAGGTGGCGAGACTGTGACCGTGGTCAAGAACACCGACACACTCGCTTTGGTTGCTGCGTTTCTCGGTCTCGGCGTGAAGGATCTCGAGGAGAGCATGAGATATAAGACAAGAACAATCCACCGTGAGCGTGTTACCGTGATGCTCGATGCCAAGGGCGCAAGAGAAAACGCGGATGAACTCGCAACAACGCTATACTCTCTTCTCGTTGCATACATTATTGAAAGCATCAACCAAAGGATGTGCGCGGCAGAAGACGCAGTGGCCAACACAGTCTCAATCGTCGACTTCCCCGGATTTGCAGACCACTCATCTACCGGCTCGGTACTGGATCAACTACTAAACAACGCAGCCAATGAGTCGCTTTACAATACTTGCCTGCACGGATTTTTTGAGAAGACGGCTGAGATGCTCGACAGTGAAGAGGTCAGCGTGCCAGCCACACGATACTTTGACAACTCGGACGCCGTCCGTGGCCTTCTCAAGCATGGCAATGGCTTGCTCGCCATTCTTGATGATCAAACCCGTCGTGGCCGCACAGACACTCAATTCCTGGAGAGCTTGCGAAAACGGTTCCAGGATAGAAACAAGGCCATCACGGTTAGCAGTGCATCTACGACCTTGCCAGGCAGCAACTTTGCCACCACGAACCTTGCGGCTTCGTTCACTGTTCGCCATTATGCTGGTGAAGTCGACTATCCTGTCAACAGATTGGTCGAGGAGAACGGCGATGTTGTCTCTGGAGATCTGATGAATATGATCAGAGCCACCAAGAGTGATTTTGTCGCGAGCTTGTTCGGTCAAGAAGCCCTCAACACGGTCAGCCACCCGGCCGAGAAGACGGCTATCGTTCAAGCCCAGGTCAGCTCGAAGCCTTTGCGTATGCCTAGCTTGTCTCGGAAGAAGCATGATCAGTTGCGCCGAATGGGAAGTCGAAGAGCCGACCGTTCTCCTGCACCCCAGGAAGAGGGCGACTCGGCCAGCGCCCACGAAGAAGGCAGAACCCGTCGAACCAAGCCTTCTGCTACTGGTTTGTCTCAGGGTGCGGCAGCGCAGTTCCTCTCTTCGTTGGACAATATCACGAAATCTTTGACTGCACCCAACGTCAACAACTACTTTATATTTTGCTTGAAGCCTAATGACAGGCGCATCGCCAATCAGTTTGACAGCAAGTGTGTCCGGCAGCAAGTCCAGACGTTTGGTATAGCCGAAATCAGCCAGAGACTCCGCACAGCCGACTTCAACATATTCCTACCGTTCGGGGAGTTTTTGGGTCTGACCGAGGCCGACCCTGGCATTGTTGGAAGTGATCGCGAGAAGGCTCAGCTCGTTCTGGACAGCAAGCAGTGGCCCGCGAATGAAGCAAGAATTGGCAACACCGGCGTATTCCTTAGTGAACGCTGCTGGGCAAGCATTGCTCTCACCGGTTCCCAGAGCGCGGCTTACTTCGGAGGCGATGTTCCCACACTTTCCCGACCCGATACCCCGAGCATGAATCCTTTCAGTGATTCCAAAGCCCGGCTGGTTCCTTCTCAAGATGGGACACCCAACATCTACGGTGACGAGACCAAAGGAGGCGGCTACTTTGGCAACAGAGAACTCGACACCAAATCCGAGGCGGGCGCCTCTGCATTCAACTCGGGCGACATGTTCCGCAACCTTGAAACCAAGGAAGAACTTGCCGAGAAGGGCAACAGGAAGAAGATGGAAGAGGTCGATGTAGTGCCTGTGTCCTCATCACGGAAGAGATGGCTCGCAATCGTCTACTTCCTCACCTGGTACCTTCCGGACTTCGCCATCAAGTGGGGAGGCGGTATGAAGCGCAAGGATGTACGCATTGCTTGGAGGGAAAAGTTTGCCATCAACATCATGATCTGGCTCAGCTGTCTCTTCGTGGCATTCTTCATCGTCATCTTCCCCCAACTCATCTGTCCAAAACAGAATGTCTATTCTGCAGCCGAATTGTCATCGCATGACGGCAAGGATCATAACACTGCCTATACTGCAATCCGGGGAGTAGTGTTTGATCTAGGGGCCTATGCGCCAAGTCACTATCCTAGTATCATTCCGCAAACTTCGATTGAGAAGTACGCTGGCCTGGATGCAACCGGCCTCTTCCCAGTGCAGGTGTCGGCGCTTTGCCAAGGGAAAGATGGACGCGTTGACCCTACGGTCCAGCTGGACTACACAACAACCAACGTTACGGGGTCTGCTACCGTCATCAGTACCACCGACCCCAACCGTCGTTACCACGATTTCCGGACCTTTACAAACGATTCTCGCCCTGATTGGTTCTATGAACAAATGATCTTCTTGAAAGGCAACTACAAGAAGGGCATGATTGGGTACACCCCTAAATACGTGCATTCCCTGGCCAAAAAATCGCGTGCCATCGCAAGTATGAACGGCCGTGTATACGACTTCACAACGTACAACCAGGGCGGACGCACGGTCAGAGCGCCTCCAGGTGAAGAGGTGCCTTCAGGAGTCGACACCAATTTCATGGACGATAGTGTGGTGGACCTATTCACACAACGGGCAGGTCAGGACGTCACCAAGTACTGGGACGCGCTCGACATCGACCCGGCGTTGAAAGCTCGCATGCATCTTTGTCTGGAAAACCTGTTCTTCGTGGGAGTTACCGACACTCGAAACTCGGCACAATGTCTCTTCGCTCAGTACATCCTCCTGGCGATTTCGATCCTGCTGTGTACCGTCATCGGCTTCAAGTTCTTCGCGGCTCTTCAATTTGGAGGGAAGAACGTGCCTGAAAACTTGGACAAGTTCGTCATCTGCCAAGTTCCTGCCTACACCGAAGACGAAGAGTCTCTACGTCGAGCTATCGACTCCGCAGCCCGAATGCGGTACGACGACAAACGCAAATTGCTCATTGTGGTCTGCGATGGCATGATTATCGGACAAGGAAATGACCGACCGACTCCCCGGATTGTGCTCGACATTTTGGGCGTGGCGGAAACCGTTGATCCTGAGCCATTGAGCTTCGAGTCGCTTGGTGAAGGCATGAAGCAACACAACATGGGCAAGGTGTACTCCGGTCTCTACGAAGTGCAGGGGCACATCGTTCCCTTCATGGTGGTGGTTAAGATTGGCAAACCGTCCGAAGTCTCGAGGCCGGGCAACAGAGGGAAACGTGACTCTCAGATGGTCATCATGCGCTTCCTGAACCGCGTCCACTACAATTTGCCTATGAGCCCTCTGGAACTCGAAATGCATCACCAGATCAGGAACATTATCGGAGTCAACCCGACCTTCTATGAATTCATGTTGCAGATCGACGCGGACACGGTTGTTGCGCCCGACTCGGCTACGCGCATGGTCTCGGCGTTCCTGCGCGACACACGGCTGATTGCTGTGTGCGGAGAGACTTCGTTGTCGAACGCCAAGTCGTCCTTCATCACCATGATGCAGGTGTACGAGTACTACATCTCTCACAATTTGACAAAGGCCTTTGAGTCCCTCTTTGGCTCCGTCACGTGTCTGCCCGGTTGTTTCACCATGTATCGAATCCGAGCTGCCGAGACCGGGAAGCCGCTCTTCGTGAGCAAAGACATCATCCAGGACTATTCGGAGATCCGTGTTGACACGTTGCACATGAAGAACTTGTTGCACCTGGGTGAAGACAGATACCTCACGACGCTGCTTCTCAAGTATCACTCCAAGTACAAGACGAAGTACATCTTCCACGCGCACGCCTGGACCATTGCGCCAGACAGCTGGACGGTGTTCATGTCTCAGCGACGCCGGTGGATCAACAGTACCGTGCACAACTTGGTCGAGCTGTTGCCTCTTCAACAGCTTTGCGGGTTCTGCTGTTTCAGCATGCGGTTCGTCGTCTTCCTGGACCTGCTGTCGACGGTGATCGCCCCGGTAACCGTGGCCTACATTGTTTACTTGATTGTGTTGCTCTCCATCTCGAGCGATGTCATACCTCTGACCGCCTTCATTCTGCTGGGCGCGATCTACGGTTTGCAGGCCATCATTTTTATTCTTAGGCGCAAGTGGGAAATGATTGGTTGGATGATTGTGTATATTCTGGCCATGCCCGTCTTCTCCCTAGGCCTGCCGCTCTACGCATTCTGGCACATGGATGATTTCAGCTGGGGCAACACCCGTCTGGTGACCGGTGAGAAGGGCAGGCAGATCTTGATCTCGGACGAGGGCAAGTTCGATCCTGACTCGATCCCGAAGAAGAAGTGGGAAGAGTACCAAGCCGAACTTTGGGACGCGCAGACGCAACGGGACGACGCGACGGAAGTGTCAGGATACAGCTATGGCACCAAGTCATATCACCCTACGGCTTCGGTCTACGGAGGTGCCCCTGCGGGCTACTATGAGAGCACCGCACATCTCATGGCGCCTTCACGATCTGTCTCGCAGCTCGACGTGAATCCACCAATGTATGACCGAGGCTATGCCCAGTCGAGGATGTCGCTGGCGCCTTCTGAGATGTTGGGAGGCGGCATGATGGTGGGTGGTCAGTCTGTGGCCGACATGGACATGTCGGACTTGACTGGACTGCCCACTGACGACATGATCTTGAACGAGATCCGCGACATCCTGAAGACGGCAGATTTAATGACCGTGACGAAGAAAGGTATCAAACAGGAGCTAGAGCGACGGTTCAACGTCAACCTAGACGTGAAGAGGGCGTACATTGGAAGTGGTAAGTTGTCCCGCCCGGTCGAATCTTAGTCAGACGCTAATCCATCGTGCAGCGACCGAGGCCATCCTTTCCGGCCAGTTGTGATTTGCAGGCATATTCCCGCATTGATGTATGGGTAGCGGGTGGTATTTGGGAAGCATATTGAGAGCGTTAGGACGGAAGGTCAAAATGGGTGGCAAGGTATTGATTGTACAACTGGGATGATTCCTCAGCTGGTCTTAATGGTCAGACTGGGGATACAACGGGGATGGTCTCCACAAGTGAAATCTAAGGGTAATAGAAAGAGGAGCGGGAAGACGCTGGCATGTGTCTTCCCTCGCAGCTGCTTTTTGTAGGAGCATTCGCATCATGGAAATCCAGCCCTGCACAATACAGGTGACATTGCGAAGATATCGCTGCAACAAATCCAGATCGTCTCGTAACTTTGAGGGTGTAGACTCTCGTTATTCAGTGTGGAACGAGCAGGAGAGGAACCGTTGACTGGGTGTAGGGCGTTCTTGAGCCCTACTGTATGTACTCGTAGGCTCCGGAAAGCCCGAAACAAGCATTGGCAAGCTTCAGGGGGGGCCACAAACCCGGATTGGGCGGAATTCCAGGTGCAATGCTGTCATCGCCCACCCGTAGTGACACGCGATCAGGAGCCTAGATAAAGATCCGAGCCTGAGATCAGCCGAGCACGCGACGCAGGACCGTTCCCTCAGAACGGCCAGGAACGGATACCAATCACGAGGGTGCGGGCGGAAGCAAGTTTTCGAGCATTTGGACCCTTGATTGCGCGGCCTTGACTCGAACATCGTCTTCCCACCCTCAGAGGACGAGAAATAATATGCGGCATGAAATCTCACCCGGTTCCAGCTGGCCCAGACCTGCCACGACGCCCAGTATCGCCATTGCATCACCCTGCATTGGGCCGCCAACTGCGAAGGTCCGACGCTGTCAAGCTCCTAATTCAACTGAAGACATCTCGGCGGTCGTGATGGGATAATCGCCATTGCACAGACGCGCCGGACATCCTCGGTACCACGATGATCCCGAAAAACGTCTACGAGCTCTGCCAGGACGGCCGGTCGGTAAGTTCCGAATTGGCCAAGAACCCGAACTTGTCTCCTCGCGAGGCGGCGAAGAAGCTCTACGGCGTCGGCGCCGACGACGAAATCGTTACCAAGAAGCTTAAGCTAGGGGAAGAAAAGCCGGGTGATCTGCAGGAGGCTCGAGAATGTGGGAATTGGGGATCGTCGAATCCGAGTGATTTGTTCTTGAGGGTACGACTTGAGGCAGTGGCCACCGTTAGCCTCTAAGTTGATGCTGACACGACGTCTAGATTTATCATGATGTCTTGTGTACGCTGGAGAAGAATCCCCTGGCGGGCGTCTGCTCGCCTTCCCTCATGGGGTCGAACGGAGTGTGCCCGCTTACCATTATGGCCATGGTTCCTGATATCTGTCGGCACATGTCAAATATAATAGCCAGGGCGGAGCACGAAGTATTCCTGGCGACCAACTACTGGATGCATTCAGAACCAACCAGGCTGATTACCAATGTAAGATGTTCTCCAGAGAAGACAAGACTTGCGGCAATGTCGAACCTGTAGACCAACGAGACGGTGTTTTGTCCCGCCTGTGCAGTGGCCTGGCGGTCCTCAAAGAAGTGAGATTGCACAGGGGCTGATATTGACACTCGTACAGGGATTACGAGAACTATCGAAAAAGGCAGTCTTGAACAACCGCAGAGTGGTCGTCAAGATCATCTATGACCGCGGCAGTGCGAAGCAGGTAAGTTCAGGTCGACAGGCTGCTGCCGGTCGTATCTGACCTCAGCAGGTCTTTAACAATCACCTGGCAGTCAAACCCGAAGAGTTTGCCGACCCCGACGGCAAAATCAGGATTCCGCATCCCGACGAACTCCCCAACGTCGACATCGAAGTCGTCAACTTTCATCGACCCGTTTTCGGCACCTTTCATGCCAAGTACATGGTTGTCGATCGCCGTATAGCGATTGTGCAGAGCAACAATATCCAAGACATTGACAATATGGAAATGATGACGCAGTTCGAAGGGCCGATCGTCGACTCTTTCTACGAGGTCGCTCTCATATCCTGGCACAATGCTCTCAAGCCGCCATTACCGCTGCTAGACCGACCGGCGGCTAGTTGTCCGGAGCCAACTTTCGAGGCGGAGAGTCATGCCACGATGTTCGACGAGCACGGCAAGTTGAGGACGGTCTATCATGCGTAGGTTGCCCCGTAGATCAACTGGGAAGTGCTTGCTGACCGGCCCAGCACAACCTCTGTTCCTGACGGGGCCGACAGCTTGAGCAAGATAGCCGAGGAAGGTGCACAGATAGACCTACCTCAGCATACCTCTCAGGATCCGCATTACGACCCGGACCTCAAATCGGAGGTCCTGCGCGCCGTAGCAGCCCTGAACCCGCGTAGAGGCGAAACGCGCGTCAATGCAATCACTCGCCTCCTCAATACCACCATCCAACCGCACACCAAGGGTAGTGCGCCGGAGATCGAACCAGCGGATACGATGACCCCGCTGATCCCCATCCCTCGACACGATCCCTTTCCCATCGCCATGGTCTGCCGGCAAGCCTGGGGCCCGCCGAACAAGCACAGCCTGCACACGCCGCAAAACGCCGCCTTCACGTCGGCCCTCCGGCACGCCACGCGATCCGTGTTCATCCAGACTCCGGACCTGAACGCCGAGGCGCTCCTGCCCGAGATTGTGAACGCATGCAAACGCGGCGTCAAGGTCACGTACTACTACTGTCTAGGCTACAACGACGCCGGCGAGCTTTTACCCATGCAAGGCGGCCACAACGAGATGATCGCGCACAACCTCTACCGCGACATTGGACCGGACCACCGGCTCAACCTCGAGGTGTACGCCTACGTGGCCAAGGACCAAACCCGACCGATCCACAACAAATTCAAGCAACGGTCCTGTCACATCAAGCTCATGATTGTCGACGACCACATCGGCATCCAGGGGAACGGGAACCAAGACACCCAGTCGTGGTACCACAGCCAGGAAGTCAACGTCATGATTGATAGTCCGCTGGTCGTGGGGAGGTGGATCGAGGGGATCAAGCAGAATCAGAACACGCACCTGTACGGCAAGGTCGAGGGTCAGGGGGACGACGCTGGGTGTTGGAAGGATCCCGAGACGGGGGAGCAGGCGGAGGGCGCCATCGGCGTGGATCCAGGACGCTTTGCTTGGGCAAAGGGTGTTATCGGCGCCGTTCAGAGGGTGAGAGGGGTGGGTGGATTCTGAAGCAGGGGAAGAAGGGAGGGGACAGGAACCCTGCACGCAGGGTTGCGCAAAACGACTACGAGATTTCAGCCCTGAGGTCATCCGGGATGTAGTATTTGATCAAGGGCATCCATTTCGGAGGGATCATGGCATGCACACGAGACGAGGTATAACGGGCCATGGAGTTCAAACTGAGACGTGTGCAGATGCTCGAGACCGAGGGTGGTTATAAAGGGGAAAGGGAAGACTACATATTGACCGGGTACATGATGGGGGAGATGGGCCTTCTTCTGCCTCCAAGCATACTCGTAGGGAACACTCCGGATTCCAACCAGGCGTATGTTCAGGCCACTTCGCAGTCGATGGCATCAATCAGCGTGGAGGAGCACAGGGGGCTTGGCGTGATCTCAGTGCAAGCAATTGAACGTTGAATCAGTCCTTCGCCGGCAGATGAGTTTGGCGTGTTCGGCTTCAATTCCGCACCGAAAGTTTACTAGGTACTCCGTACTGGTACGCGATGCATCAGTCGTGACACCGCGCGATGCCCGCAGATGAACGTGTGCGGGTGCATGCGCGTCGTACTGTGCACAGAAGGATCCCGGTGAGACGCCCTTTTGAAACATATGCGAGTCTAATCTCCACCCTAAGCTCGACCTGGGGTTCAGAAGCTCGATAGTCAATGTCGAGTTTCGTGTTCGTGCCCTGGGGAAGCGATGCCGGAGACAAGCAACAAGGAAGCGCAGGAAACCCCACACGCCACCTAAGCTCGAAAGCGCAACTTCCCCCCACAATGATCGGCTTCCTCGCGCTCGTCCCTCCACGGCCGACTGCCTGGAGCAGAAGCCGCAATAGATGGCGCCCAAAGACTGTTCGTGGGTACTGATCCGGCGCCCAGCAGTGGCTAGCATCGGGAATTCTGCCGGCTGTTGGGTCAACTCAAGCCGGCCAGGACAACCGATTGCGGGGGGTCTGATATTAATGTGTGGGTTGGACGCTCTAACATACTCCAACCCTGCTGAAAGATCGGATTGTATTGCAGATAAACAGTACAGTGGCAGCACAGCGCCAGTGCTCTTCGCATTCAATCCTGCCGGACGAAGCACTACTCAATCGCCCACGGACTCTCTGAGCGCGAGAGAGCGAGCCGAAGTACACAATGGGGTCCGTTGCGAAATCGTATGCCCGCCCGGATCGTGCCCATGGGAGCAAACATGCAAGCTGATCCTGCTCATCTAGCGACTACACGGCCTCGTATGCCTTCTTTGAGGCTATTTGGGAGGTGAGAAGAGAACCTGGCCAGCAAGGCGCCCCGGACCTGTCACTCACTAATACACCTGTGCTCAGGCCGGTATCACCCATGTCTTTGTCAACCTTGGGTCCGATCACCCTTCGATCATGGAAGCGATCACCAAGGGCCAAAGGGAAAAGAAGGACAACTTCCCCAGGATCATCACATGTCCCAATGAGGTATGATATGAACACAGAACTCTGTGGCCCGAATCAAGACTGAACAAATGCCACACACAGATGGTCGCCCTGTCCATGGCGGACGGCTTTGCGCGATTGACCAACAAGCCTCAATGCGTGATCGTGCACGTCGACGTCGGCACCCAAGGCCTCGCAGCCGCCGTGCACAATGCCTCGTGCGGCCGAGCGCCCGTGCTCATCTTCGCCGGCCTGTCTCCCTACACGATCGAAGGCGAATACCGGGGGTCAAGAACAGAGTATATACACTGGATCCAAGACGTGCCGGACCAGAAACAGATCGTGTCCCAGTACTGCAGATATACCGGGGAGATCAAGGGTGGGCGGAACGTCAAGCAAATCGTCAATCGCGCCCTGCAATTTGCGACAAGCGATCCCCAGGGTCCCGTGTATCTGGTTGGCGCGAGGGAGGCCATGGAAGAGGACATCGAGCCATACCACCTCGACCAGGAGCAGTGGAAGGCAGTCGCGCCGGCCGCGCTACCGCAAGATGCCGTCAAGATGATTGCGGAGGAACTCGTCAAGGCCAAAGAACCGCTGATGGTCGTGGGGTATACCGGTCGCAACGCAGATTCAGTCACCGCAGCTGTGGCGCTGGCCGACAAGATCCCCGCCCTCCGTGTGTTGGATACTGGTGGCTCGGACATGTGTTTCCCCACGGACCACCCTGCGTCATTGGGCATGCGGTATGGGTCAGACCCGGCAATCACGACGGCCGACTTCATCCTCGTGGTCGACTGCGACGTCCCCTGGATCCCCACGCAATGCAAGCCGAAGAAGGATGCGAGGATAGTGCACATTGACGTGGACGTGCTGAAGCGACAGATGCCAGTCTTTTATATCCCTGCGTACGCTCGCTTCAGCGCCGACTCGGCGACCTCATTCACCCAACTGAACGATTACCTCGCGTCCAATCCCCGACAGTCAGACGAAGACCACGCCGCAGCCGCGAAGAAGCGACAAGAAGCCTACACCGCCCGCTGGAGTCGACCCAAGGAACTCGCGAAACTGCCGGAGAACCCACAGCAAGCGGCGATCGACCCGCACGTCCTCGGCGGGCAGATCCGGGCCGCCGTGCCCAAGGACGCGATATTTGCGGTCGAAGCCGTCACACTGACGCTCTTCGTGGCCGACCAGATCGCCCCCGTGCTCCCCAAATCGTGGATCAACTGCGGCGGCGGCGGCCTGGGTTGGTCCGGCGGCGGTGCCCTGGGCGTGAAACTCGCGTCGGATTTCGAGCACCGGGCTGAAGGCCCCAACAAGGGCAAATTCGTCTGCCAGATTGTCGGCGATGGGACGTACATGTTCTCCGTCCCGGCCTCGGTCTACTGGATCGCCCAGCGCTACAACATCCCGATCCTCACCATCGTGCTGAACAACAAGGGGTGGAACGCGCCGAGGCGGTCCATGCTGTTGGTACATCCCGAAGGGCACGGCAGTAAAGTGGACAACAAGGAGCTGAACATCAGCTTTGACCCCACGCCGGATTACGCGGGGATCGCGAAGGCCGCGACGGGAGGAAAGGCGTGGGCAGGTACCGTCAGCACGGTCGCGGAATTGCTGGAGCAGTTGCCGCAGGCCGTCGAGGCCGTGAAATCGGGAAGATGTGCCGTGCTGGAAGTCAAGCTTGGCGAAGGGGGTTTGGGCACAAAGGCTGGCGAACCCAAGCAGGAGGAGGTCGCGCAGACGAGTGGGTAGGTTAGTGAAGAGACGGCTACAGTATACTGTGTGCGTATAGACCTTTATGCGGCTGCTTTGATGTGAAATACCGACCTACAGTCAAGGCATGGTTCAGTTTACAGTTTCAGATGTGTCGGTTATGAGGACGGCGGGGGTTCAAGAAGCACGAGACGGGAGTGAAGAGAAGTCTTAGGTACCTATAGCTACTGTGTGTGTACACACCTGTATGCGGCTGTGGCTGTTGGTGTGCAAATAAGGAAGGCAATGACATACAACCGAGATATAGCAAGTCAAGGCAAGGAAAACGCAAATCAAGGCATGGTATATAGGTAAAGAGACGAAGATGAAAATGAATATATCCTGCACTGGAGTGTGCTGATACGGAGTACTGTACCAAGGTGTTGACTCAACCCAACTCAGGGTTACCGTAGGGTCAGAGTGAGTCGAACGGTCTGATATAAATATCGCATCGCATCGCATCGCACCATCGTGTGCATTCGACATTCGACATTCGACATTCGACATTCGACATTCGACATTCGACATTCGACATTCGACATTCGACATTCGATAGTCAACATCTGACACGTCCCCAGCCGTTCTTCGTATCCAACTTCAAAACGCCAACTGCCAACTGACAATCCACTGATAGCAATGTGTCCGGCGGTCCTTGTTCATGAGACAAGTCGTTAAACTACCAGGTAGTCGATCGATCGAGATGCGACACGCGCGATGCCTGTATTGCGGCACTATGTATAGCTTCGATGTAGCTCCGTTCGCTCCAATGTACATGGCTCCGATGTAGATCCTGATGCGAGCGATGTGGTGATTATGACATATACAATACCAAGCGGATCTACTGGTACTGTACTCACGAGTTAGGTAGGTTGTGGGAACTGCTACTGTACTGTGTACTGTTGGTATGGTGGCCTGAAATGGTGTCGGTCGGGCGGCAAGGTGAATACTTCTTCTCTGTGTGGATTGGTCGATGGCTTGACGGAATTGATATCTACTGATTCGACTTTGGCGCTGTTGAGATCTGGCACTACGTGCGCCTTGTCAATGTATTCAACGAAGACTTCGCAGCATCAGAACCATATCTACCTAAGGTTTGCTCTTGTATGGGCCATGGAAGGTTGACGGACCGCTCGTGATACAGTAGCACATTCAAAGTACACGCGCACTGTTTGCCCACGGAAACCCAGTACACAATGTGAACACCTTTGTATCGGTAGACCTACTGCTCAGTTACGGTTTACAGGCAATTAAAGCTCACTCCTGATGAGTCTCAGGCTGATTCTTTCGACTTTCCAGGCCTGTTGGTACTGATACCCACGTCAAACCTGCCGACTATGGCCGACAAATTAGACCTTGGTCTCGGGGACGCCTTGACCAGCTGTGGAAGCTTGATTCTTTTCCTAGTCGCAAGAATTCACACCAAATAACGTTCCTCGACGTCTTCAGAAGACCGGAGTGAAGTTACTCCGTTGGTGGTAAGAAATATCCTTGCCGCCGTCTTGACTAGAAGACGGACCCTTTTCTTTCCACGTCGGCAACAATTTCCTTGTTAAGGACACCACCTTCGCTGCCCATCTGCTCTGCAAAGGTCTTAGTCGGTCTCCACTTGGCAGAGGTCCGGGGACTGGTTTCTTCCATCATCTTGTCAATCTGTTCCAGAGTAAGACCCTTGGTCTCGGGGACGAGGAGGACGGAGTAGATGAAGGCGCAGGTGCAAAGACCACCCCAGATAAAGAAGACCGAAGACTTTAGGTTGCCGCGGTCCTCGTTGACCATATAAGGGGTAATGACAGCGATAATCTATAGTCGAAATGTTAGCTCTGAGCGCTCGGGAAAGGGTAAAAAGAGGTGCGTGCTTACGGTGTTCCAGAGCCAGTTGGAGGCAGTGGAGAGACCCACACCGCGGGACCGAATGGGAAGAGGGAAGATCTCGCCGATCAAGATCCAGGCACCAGGTCCCCATGTCGAGGCGAAGAAAAAGATGAAAATCGCAATAAAGGCGATCTGGGCGTTGACGGCAGAGATGTTGTTCGCGATGCTATTTCCAGCGGCATCCAAGTGGGCGTGGTTGAAACCAACGGTAACGCCGATGATGGCAACCAGGAACTGGCAAATGAGCATACCGAGAGCACCGTAGATGAGCAGAGGGCGACGACCGAACTTCTCGACTGTGTAGAAGGAGATAGGGGTGGAGCACACGTTGACCAAGGTAAAGATCAGGGAGATCAAGAAGGTGTTGCTGATGGCGCCTGTTGCCTGGAGAAACGGCGTCGAGTAGTAGAAGATGAAGTTGACACCGGTCCTAGATTGATCATGTTAGCCGCCGTTCGTCGCCATGGGAAGCCGCAGGCCATGCACGAGAACATACCATTGTTGCATCATCTGCAGCGAGGTACCGAGGATCGTGCGCCGGAGGTTGGACTTTTGGTGCCCAAGACCTCCCTTGAAGCAGTTGGCCCAGCTGGAGAACCAGCCACTAGATGGAATCATCTCGCGCTCATACTCGTCGTTGGCGATGATCTCGGCAATTTCGACCTGAATATACTCGGACTCTTGTGGTTGACCACGGAGTCGGGACAGAGCTTGCATAGCTTTCTCGACTCTGCCTCTCTTGACAAAGTATCGGGGAGAGTCGGGGAGGAAGAGCAGACCACCGCCGAGGATGAGACCCCAGGCAAATTGGATAGCGATCGGGATGCGGTAGGAGCCCGTGTCGGGTCGATTTTGAGTCGCATAGTCGACGCAGGAGGCCAGCAAGAGGCCGATGGTGATGCAGAACTGGTATCCGGCAACGAGGGCGCCGCGAACTTTTCTGGGACACTACCAACAGATGTGTTAGCTTGAACAGGGCAAAGACAGCGCCGCTGGCAACTTACAATTTCGCTCATGTAGAGAATAACCACGGCGCTTTCAAAACCGACACCGAGACCGGCAATCAAACGACCAGCGACGATGACACCAAGACCATGGCCTGGACCGGTGATCATCTGAACAAGGACACCGAGCATGTAGATGACGCAGCCGGCGATGACAGTCCATTTGCGGCCAATGATATCGGCGACATCACCGGCGATGAGAGCGCCAAAGAAGGTACCGCAAGAGAGGATAGACACGATCAGAGACTGGTGAGGAGACGAGAGCGCGGAGGCGTCGGGGCCCTCGATGATGCGGATGAATTCTTTGCTTCCATTGACACCGTTGATGTACCCAGAGTCGTAGCCGAAGAAGATACCGCCAAAGGATGCAAAGGCACAGATGAGGTAGGCTTTCCAGGTCACCGGAGCCTCGATCCGGTTGACGTCCGTCGTGGTGGAGAGGGCACGAACTTCGCCAGGCATGATGACGGCGGTTGGTGGACGCGATGGATGAGAAGATGTGACACAGGTCAAGGAGGAACAAGAGGACCAAGCTTCGTGGACGAGCAGGAGCGGGCTCTTTAAAGAAAGCTTGCGCGAGGAAAGCGAAGACAAGGGAACCGGCCGTTCGAGGCAAGGCTAAACCAAGGGCAACAACAAGAGCAGTGACGCTCCACTACGCGATGAAACTACGCAAAAACTGCAATGGCACCGTGATGCACCTCCCTTGACAGAGCCATGGTGGCTTGCTACTGGTCACACGCGCATTGCGTGGAGCGAATTTGCCATATGGTGACTGGAGCAACTTCTGCATGTGATTCTGTCCATTGATATCACAAATTCCTGAAATTGAATAGCGAGAGGGTGCATGGGGATCTCAAAGCGGGCCTCTTCACTGGCGCCGCTACCGAGGCTCGCATGCTTTGCGGGCGAAAGTGGGTTAGCCGGGCTGCCAGCGTGCCATCGCCAGTTTTTCGTCGCCCCGTGAGATGGCGGCTTCGTTTTGCGCCTGTGCGCCTATTGGGCGACGGGCTGTTCATTCCCTGCAAAACGCGGAGTCACGGGCATGATCAGCTTTTCCCAGCTGGCCGGCCGCCCCGCACAAACGAAGCCAACGAGGCTCTCCGGACCGAACTAGTCATCGGATTCGACGGGCTCCCTCTGGCTGATGTTCGGCGACCTGCCCAGATCCAGACTGGAGCGGCTGATTGACAGCCTTCCCTGCGACGCCCACACCTGGATCAAAATCCTTGAAGTCATAGATCGATTGGTCCAGAGCGAGTGTCAAACACCATAACGGATGTTGACGTCGGGTCGTGCACTCCTTTGTGTCCGCTTAAGCCCTCGATCGGTTGCCTCTTGGCCAGAGCTTGTGCGAATCCGTGCAGCTTGGGAAGTCTTTGCCTTCTTCTCTGACATTGGCTTTTATTGGCACCCCCTCACCTTGGATTCATCCCCGTGGGGCAAAATCTGCAACCAAGATGCTGCTAGTCTGTTAGCGCCTGTAACCTTGACCAGGGAGCTCTGTGTCCGCAAAACTTCACCAGCCTTCACGAACGAGCAAAGTACACAATAGGACACAGCATTGGCGGCTACTCCGAGATTAGATTTCGGTACCCAAGCGGGGGGCTGACATGGTTGCATTATAATCGTACAGTGTCCTTCCAGACTCCGTTTCAATTCGATGACAAGATGAGCAGAGTATCAGGGCAAGGGCTCGAAAAGGGGAGCATTGTCTTTCAGTTAACATTGTGCGCGTGTGAGTGTTCGCTGAGGCGAAAAGAACCGATTGAGTTTGTGTACAATCGAGATGCCCCGTCATTGTATCGACGATGTGCGTGGTCATGGCAGCAGCTGTTGACGAGAGTCAAGCCACTTACACGGTCAGGGCAATCTCCTCGGCCTGACCAACCGGGACTTCCGTCCTTAGAGGTAAGAGCTATTCCATAGCAGCTTCGTGAGTGACGACGAGTGTGTCTTTGCTACCTAGACTTACCTGTACGAGTAGTCCATACTCCGTACTGCGTAATCATTGAAACCTTAGAAGCCGGCCATAGATCCTTCGACTTGACCGGTTTCCTCGCCCGAGTTAGGCATGATGCTGCGCTGGAATTTTTCGCTCCATCCGCTCCATCAAGATCCCAATTCAGAATGTCGTCACCTCACGCTCATTGCTCACTCACCCACATATCAGTCGCCTCTTCAACGCCGTTGCACCACGTATCGACGGCCGCAAATTTTTCTTCCAACTCCACCCATCGTCGCATGACTCTCACGAGTCTGGCTGATGAATCCTTCTAGAATGTCTTGCATCCGCCGAAGTTTTGTGATTTGGTATGGATCCCGCTACTGCGGGTGGCGTAGCGAGGATTAACCGATGTCACCTCACCAAAGTCACCTCTCCAGCACATGGGCTTCGCGTGGTATCGTGTTGCTTGCATGTTTCTCGTTCAACCGCCCGGGAGAAACCTGCGTCGTAGCAGTCAGCATTGGGTAGGCACTTCGTATGCAACCCTCACGGACCCTTTCGGCTATCCTCCATGGGACACCCCATTGTCCCCGGAGGTTGACATTTTGCTAGATGGGGATGGAGCTTTCCTCACTCACGCCGTTCTGTTTCCAGGGTAGAGGTCCAGCACCACCTCTCTCGTGGAGTCCATCCATCGTATGCTGTGCTGTAGGACTGTACCCCGTGGGTTCCCCCCCAATGCAGGCGCCAATGTGCATGAACTGGGCCGTTGATGATTGGCGCACAAGGACACACCATGCCACCCCATGCCGTGCTGTATCTGCATGGAAACGACGCAGAAGCTTTAGAAGAATGAAATGCAGACCGCCAAGCAGGCAGTGAGGCATGGAGACAAGACTATCACCACAACGCGTTGCACCGTGCCACACCACGCTATGGCAGCGAAGTTCCGGAAATGAAATGAACTTCTCCCCTCAATGATAAGTTGATGTTGACCCTGCCAGTGCCGACACCACGGGATGAACTCATTCTCGTCAACGTGGCAATGCATCAAATGCACGATTTGCTTACCCAACAAAGGAGTATCTTGGTGGCGGTATGCTACGTACATCCCCGTGTTCTCTGTCCACAGCACATGTGTGTGCCGCGCGATCGGATCGGACGGGAGGTGCTTGGTGTGGTTGATACTGTGATCGTACATGTGTGACTGAAAAGGCTGGTTCGAGATCTTCGCGTCCCTGTTCCACGGCGCACCAGCCCGTTGGGAACATGCCACATCTGTCCTTGGTCTTTCTTTCCATACCAAGGACACGCTAGAAGTCCATCGACCCCTTCGCGGAGCACGTAACCTACCACTGCACCGTCCATGTTGTCTTTGATCCGGTACTTCCCTTCTCTTAACTCCGTCAACCTGTGCTGCACTGGATGCCTCATGGGAACAAAATGTCTAGTCTGACTGACTTGTAAGTGAGACTGTGGGAGCAAAGTATACTGTACAAACCAGGCCAGACAATCTAATGCCTCGAAACACATCTCCCTTCAAGATGATCAATGATGATGACCTTCTTGTGATTCGACTACAGCAATTCATCTTTGGTATACTTCATGGTCGGCGGCACGACTCCAAGCAAGACTCGAGTTTACCCTCCTCAGAATCGTCCGAAGGGTATATATGTACAAATGAATGCGCACTATGTATGGATGTCCCCAGAATATAGCCTAAATGCCACTTAAGATACGTACTCCGTACTGTGTACCAAGATTTGAGAGCACATCCTCAAGCCAGCAAATTACATCACCTTGAGTAGGGAGCACCACCTCTCACGGTCAGAGACAGACTCGCAGATTGACTGCGCGCTTGAGAAGTTAATAGGCTGACACTCTGCTACGAAGTGCACCGTGGGTTCTGTTAGTTCGTCTATCGGTAGATTTGCCTGACGAGATGTGCGAATACGCAATCTCACAGTCGGGTATGGAGTATCAGGTACTGATGATACTGATTCCAAAAGCCCCAAAGCCCACACCGTGGTGCTGGCCAAGTGATACGGAAGGTGGTACTGGAGTGATCACGATGTACTCTGCGAAGCAGTGATTCTCGTGAGGGTGAGGGGTGCATAGGATCGCAATTGCTTTACCGTATTAAAGTGCTATTACGGAGCAGCAGAAGTGCGCGTCTTTCACGCGTCGAAACGCGACTTTCTCTCCTCTCCTCGCCGTGCCCCTTCAACCACTTCTTCGCACTATTCAAACTTGGGATTGCCAACGACCTGTACAAAATGTCGCTCAGCACTAATCAGCTTCGCGATGAGGCCGTCCGAGACAGGATCAGACATGCGACCGAGTTCCTCGACCCCACCGACGATGAAGCCCGATCCTACCGTGCCGATATCGTCTTGATGCTGAATCGCGGTCTGCGACGGCTTGTGGTCAGCATTGATGATATCAGAGCCCATTCACGAGAACTAGCAGATGGCATTCTGTTCCAACCGTTTGAATATTCCCTAGCCTTTGACGCTGCTCTCAAAAACATCATTGCGACGATACCCAACCGCGCGGCGTTCGAACACGATGAAGACCGACTCTACTATGTCGCATACTCAGGCTCGTTTGGAGAGAATACCTGCAACCCAAGAACTTTAGGAAGCTCGCTCCTGAACCGGATGGTCTGTCTCGAGGGTATTGTGACTAAATGCAGTCTCGTCAGGCCCAAGGTTGTCAAGAGCGTGCACTGGAATGAAAAGAAAGGCACATTCATGTTCAGGGAATATAGAGACCAGACCATGAGTGCGAACGCCCCAGCGAGCCTGAGCGTGTATCCGCAAGAAGACCGAGAAGGAAATCCGGTACGTGTCAAACACAACGCTTGACCAGTGCGCAATTCTAACAGACTCTCAGTTGGTCACAGAGTACGGATATTGTACCTACCGAGATCACCAGACGATCAGCATTCAAGAAATGCCCGAAAGAGCTCCAGCAGGGCAACTCCCCCGCAGCGTTGATGTCCTCATGGACGACGATATGGTCGATCGTGTCAAGCCTGGCGACCGCATTCAGCTGGTCGGTATCTTCAGGTCCCTCGGTAACAGAAATGCTGGCTCCGGGTCATCTATCTTCAGGACGCTGATATTGGCCAACAATGCTGTACTCTTGTCTTCGAAAGCTGGGGGTGGTATTGCTCAAGCCACGATCACGGATCAGGACGTGAGAAATATCAACAGAATGTCGAGGAAGACAGAAGTCTTCGACCTGTTGTCGCAGAGTCTAGCGCCCAGTATCTATGGCCACGACTACATCAAGAAGGCAATCTTGCTCATGCTGCTGGGCGGCATGGAGAAAAATCTGCCGAATGGGACGCACTTACGAGGCGACATCAACATCCTCATGGTGGGCGATCCGTCGACCGCGAAATCACAACTACTGAGGTTTGTGCTCAACACGGCACCCCTGGCAATTGCCACAACCGGTCGTGGCTCCTCTGGGGTCGGTCTGACAGCCGCTGTCACATCCGACAAAGAGACGGGTGAGAGACGACTCGAAGCTGGTGCCATGGTGCTGGGTGACCGTGGAGTGGTCTGTATTGATGAATTCGACAAGATGAGCGATGTTGATCGTGTGGCCATCCACGAAGTCATGGAACAGCAGACCGTGACAATTGCAAAAGCCGGTATTCACACCTCTCTCAATGCGAGGTGCAGTGTCATCGCTGCAGCAAACCCGATATTTGGGCAATACGACAGCAACAAGGACCCACACAAGAACATCGCATTGCCAGACTCCCTTCTCTCACGTTTCGATCTGTTATTCATTGTCACCGACGATGTCAACGACACGAGAGATAGAGACATATCCGAGCACGTCCTGCGAATGCATCAGTATCGGCCCCCTGGGACTGAAGAAGGCGCCCCCATCCGAGATCAAGCCAACCAGATGCTTGGTGTGGGTGTCCAGGAGGACCAGAACGCTGATCGGGGGACATCGACAGTCTACGAGAACTACAATGTTGTCTTGCATGCCGGGTTTTCCTTTCAGAGGACCAGCAAAAGGGGTCGCAAGAAGCAAGAACACCCCGTCAGCATGGCCTTTCTAAAGAAATACATCCAATACGCAAAGAGCAGATGCAAGCCCGTCCTGACAAAAGAAGCAAGCGACTACGTCGTCAACGCGTACGCAAGCCTCCGAAACGACGAGATGAAGGCCAATGAACGCCGAACCAGCCCCATGACTGCCAGAACGCTGGAAACGCTGATCCGTCTATCAACCGCGCACGCCAAGGCCCGGCTATCAAGCAGAGTCGAAGAGGATGATGCAATTGCGGCAGAGGAAATTCTCAAATTTGCTCTTTTCAGAATTGTCCCAACCAAGGCCGGTAGGGGGAACAAGAGACGCAAGACCGAAGATGCCAACCTAGACAGCTCGGACGAAGAGGACGAATCTGACAGCGACGACAGCAATGGCGGTGATGCGCCGTACCGGGGCACGAAGCCATCCGGCAGCCGCGCAACGAAGCCATCGACCCGAAGTCAGCGCTCGGCTCGCTCGAACGGCACTCCTAACGGTGCACCAAACGGAACGAGGACCAACGGCAACGCGAATGCAGGCGACACAGGTGACGTTTCAGACAATGAGGATGACGAGGACATTCAACCCAGCTCATCCCGGCGCTCTCGCCAGACCGGTGCCGAGTCTCAAATGTCCCGCATGAGCATCGCCAGCTCGATACCCAGTTCCCAACTCCCCTCCACGCAGGCGGATTCGCAGTCCCAGTCGCGCAGAACACAGTCCCAATCTCAGTCGCAGACCGAGCCGGAAGATTCTGGACCTACCATTTCCCAAACCCGGCTGGCGACTTTCCGCGCGGCGCTGGGCCGACTTACACATACGAGCCTGTTCCACAACGACATGGCGACGGTGACGGACGTGACTTCGGCGGTCAACCACCGCGTGTCGGAGAATAACGGGCAGGAATTCACGGCTGATGAAGTTACAGCCGCGCTAAGGGCCATGAACGAGGCCAACCAGATTATGTTTTTGGAGGACAATGGGGAGGTCTATACTTTGTGATTACATAAATGTGCAAGTGTATGAAATTTGCATGCTTGGGATGACTGACGGTATGGTATGGGACGAGCAAGGCTGGACTTGGTTGCTTCCTGAGATATGACGGTTCAAGGCCGGGCGACAGGGGCGTTGTGAATGCATAGATTGCGATAAGCGAGGGACTGATCCACAATATCCTATGATATGCCCGTTCGTTTGACTCAAGTTCGATTTGCGAGGTAACAGTTGACGATACCTAATGCATGTGCTGCGTACAGTCAGACATTCCGCCGGTGCTGGATGCTGGAGTCTCATGCACGCGTTTTCTGTCCGGAGTACGAGCCACACATAAGATACCCAGCAGAGTCTTTCGTTCGTAGCTATTACCTGAGTAGTTACTTCGTCGTCTATAAGATATCAAGACGACTACACACTGAAATACAGTACTGTATGTACTTATGCTTTGATGTTGTCGGCTAGCACGTCGCCATTTCTGTTTAACTGCACCCATGCGGTATAGAAATATACTGATACGTTCGCAAAGGCTCAAGACAGCAGCTTGCAGCTTACTGAGTACAGTATAATGGTTGGCTCTTGATTAATAGTGAAGATGAAGAGGAGCAGATACGTAATTACTGTGTACGCGCTAATCAGCCCGGCGAACCCATTTTCCGTCCGTTCGAGCCGACTAAACTTCCTCTGGGCATAGAGCTGCGGGTTTCAATCAACTTTCACTTGCACCTCATCTCATTTTCCCTCCCTGATTTGACGTGGCTTATAACGTGTAAGACCGTGTTACAATTAATTTCATTTCATGACCGCGAGCATTCGAACGGCATTTAGACCATAATGGCCCTCCCTGTCCTTCAAGTAAGGATGATTCTTGTCACCCGACAAGAAGCAAAGCTCAGCTCCCTCAAGCAAGTGCTGTGCTGCTTGTCTCTGTCTCGGTCTTTCTGAGGACAGAAACCCAAACCAGGACAAGAACTATGACTATGACCAGGAGCATCGCACCTTACAAGAAGCTCATCCGCTTGAATGAACTGTTAGCTCTGAGGATGCCTCCAAATGCTCTCCCAGGTCCTTGCTGAATGGTCCTCCATGAGAGGCCTTCCCTCACCATGCTCGGACTGAGCAATGCTTCATGGAAGAGAAGCACCCATTCCCAGCGGACCGTGGACCATGGACCATGTCATCGCCGCAGATACCATGGTTAAAAATCCGGCTGTGTCCACCTCCAGGTGGCCTCAGACTCCCAGCCAGGAACTTCCTCTTCTGGCTCTCCACCAACGAGCTCCCAGTAATCTTTCTCGGTCCATTTCCACAATCTCTGAACGACACCGGCGTAATTGCGCATGGCGTGCCATTCTGCTCTGGTTTGGTATGTGACAAGAGCCTCACCTGGCTGGCGTGGGTGCAGGGCCTCCCAGATGAGACGGTGAATCTCCAGGGCGTCCGCCGGTTGGATGGGACCGATGAGTCTTCTGTATTCAGCGAGCATCCACTGGTGGTACTCAGTGTGGCGTTTCCCGTAGAAACGCCGCACCATGGCGTCGTTGGCTCGACTGTACTGCACCGACATCAGGGCCGTCTGGGCATGGAGCGCCCACGACTTGTATGTCCTCGTTAGGACTTCAAGCTGGAGGAGCGTGAATGTCTCCTCGTTGGACCAGTCAATGCTCGCGGCAACTTCGTGGTCGCCAAGGTATCCCCCCTCATCGCGGACCATGATAGGCTCACTGATCATTTCAGCATCGTTGATCATATTGCTGTCTCTGAGAAGTAGCGCTGCGCCAACCTCTGGAGTTGGAGTCGGGGTCCTAGCCTTCTTCAATGGCACGCGGCGGACACCGGTTTCCTCCTGCATCATCGTGTCCACCTCACGACCCATCGCCGCCTGAAGATAGTTCCAGGGCCGATTGCTGGAGTTGTTGCGCATGTTTTGAGGGAGCATGTCCCAGATGCGACGAGCATCCCACTGTTCGGAAAGGAAGATGCGAAGCATATCCCCCCAGACGTGCCTTGGGAAACGTTGGCAGACTTGTCGGAGAGAGGTGCCGGCAGGAATGACGTCGTTTGCAGTGGGATAGGGCGTGCCGATCTGTTGATTGATCGGGTCCCTCTTGCATCGTGCGATGAGTAGGGGTGCTCGCAGCACCGGTTCCGTGGTGCCAACCCTGATAACGAGCCAGTTTCGACCTGACCCAAGGCCTTCGCCAATTTGCTCTGCGACCTGCGGAAAGAGATAGTTCGCCGGTACTCTCATGTGCGGATCCGAGGTGGGGACAGGGGCGCGGGCACGGGGTGGTCGAAGTGCATTGTTACCACTTCGACTGGCGGGACCGCGGGGAGTCTGAGAGCCGTGCTGTCCTGGTGTAGCTCTCGTTGGGGTCGCTGGTGGATATGCAGGAGCCGCGGCAGGCATCGGGAGATTCATGGCACCATATGGCTGAATGGGAGGCGCGGGATTGTTCCATGTGCCGCGCATGTAATCCGCAAGTGTCGCTGACTGCTGCTGCTGCTGCTGCTGCTGCGAGCCTCCGTAAGGCTGCCACATGTTGGGGACTGGTACGGTATTCTGTTGCTGCTGGTTATATTGTTGATTTATACCGCTGCTGTTCTGGTTGCCATACCGCTTGTTGGTGTTGTTCTGACCCTGAGGGCGCTGGAACCCTTGTCTCCTGTTCATATTGAGATAACGACAAGATTGTCTGTGCACGTCCTGGCTTGTTTGGCTGGTTGATGACACGATGCGACAAATACTGGACAAGCTTTACTGGTGTTTGTGCTGGTCGCGGGGCTTGATGTCGTCTGATGACAATTGGACGCGGAGCTCGAGGATTTGCTTGTGATGACAGGAGGGCGTGAAGACGCGAGACTGTGGGCGAGCTTAGTTGTACAGCTGCTGAAAAAGAATCAGCAAGCGGCGCGAAGAAGTTGACCGCAGGAACGCCTACCACTTACTTGGCTCGCGCAGGATCAGTGACGTGGTCTAGGTCGCTGGAGACGATCTCACGTGGTTGTCGAGGCTTTCAGCTGCAAGGACGCGTAGATGCAAAGGTAGGAACGTGCAAGGTACAAAGTCACAAGCTGTGAGCACCGCCCGGCTCGTCTGGTAGCTGCCAAAACAATCAGCTGAGTTTGCAGACATGTCAATCGCAAGGAAGATACTGACTGCTTTGTGTGCCGCGCACGAGGATCGGTAGGTGACTGATCGTGAACGTGGATTCTCGCCTCGACACGCCAGAGATCGGCGGATGGGTGATTGTTGGTGTTGGTGCTGGGTTCTTGACGCTATGCGCACCGGCTCAGCAAACTGATTGCTAGTGCCGGATTCTTATCTCTGCGGTCGCGGAAAAGAGAGGCTTCTGGACTGATGAGTTGGCGATCGCGAAAACGAGAAGATCGAGTCTTACAGAGTAAGTGGTAAGTTGGTGTTCGCGAGGCTAGCAATCTTGGAACCGGTGATGGTGATAGCAAGCAAGAAGTGTCTTGCTCTGCAATCGGCTGGAAGAAGATGATGAGGGAGAAAGACTGTCGAGGAGTGAGATGTCAAGAGATGCTTATACCCGTGAGAGGATGCGCGTACCTTATATGCCCATGCCTCGCCGGTTGTTGTCACTTATGTCTTCACTGTCGTAGGCAGTGGCAGAGCACTGCCTTGTCTGGTCTGGCTAATGGAGGTATGGTCAACGGAGCAGGATTCTGGATTGTGAAGTCTACCACCATGGTGATCGACGGACAAACCATCCAATATCACTGACATTGTCACGAAGCTGGACCGCATCAGGGGGTGACAACCGACGCTGTTCGTCCCCACGACCAATATCGACCTCTATGGATCACGCTGGAGCTGCCCGGTGTGAATTTACCGGCCTGATGAGTGACTGAGCGGGTGAGATGTCAAGATCTGTGGCTGGCCAGATTCTTTGCCACTCGCAGGATCACAGCTCACACAACATCAAGCGGAGACTCTTCCACGTCTACGTCTATACCTATGTTTACGTTCAGCTGTGCAATCACTGCAACGATTATGATTCCCCAGTGCTACCAAGCTCCTGAGTCAGGTCGAGGGCCTGCAATGCCGTATGGTCAATAGATGTACAGTGGACAGGCTCTTTTCTGGTTTCTCGAAGAGAAACGGTTGCAACCAGTTGCTAGCTGGTGTCCAGTATCTGCGTGAGCATGAACATGTTGCAAATCAGCCAGAGCCCTACATACTCGGCGCTTGTTTCTACTCCTACTCTGAGTGATATCTTTCTAACCGCCGCCACCCTCTGCAAGAGGCGCATTACCAGAAACTCTGATCAGGTAAAGATTCATGCATGCGAACGGCTAGATCGTTGAAAGGTAACTAAACGGCCTAACCGGCATCCACTGTCCAGGTGTGATCCTTATCTAGAGGTGATCAAGGACCCATGATTTAGATGCTTCCTTCAATAAAATGCAGGTCCGCAGTCCTGGGTCCACCTTCTTCTCCCTCTCTCCATTGTTAAGCTGCAGTCAGGCCAGGTTCTGCCTCTACCAGCACAGCACCTAGATGCAAGGTAGAAGAGAGCATAGGTATTAGCGTCGCACATGAACACTCCTGCCAGACAGTTTGTGGAGGAGTGTACTGCCAATGGATGAGAGGAGATGGAGGTGATATCAACTGCGCAGCAAGGGAATGGAAGGCCAAGCAGTATCAGGGACGTGCATGGACGTGGAGGGATCACCGACATCAGGATTAGATTACTTCAGCATCGGCCGCGGGTCTCGGCGTCGGCTCGGCGTCGATGTCGCCCTTATTTAGTGTCATTCCAACTTACCTGAACGACATCTCTGCCTATCAACAACAAACAGCACGCAAACAAAACCGCATTTCATCTCATTGTGATTTCCTGCCTGTCTATGTTAAGAGTAAGGAGGACTCTTGTCACATGACAAGAAGTAAAGCTCAGCTGCCTCAAGCCCGTGCTGTGCTGTTTGTCTCGGTCTCAGTCTTTCTGAGGAGCGGAACCAGGACCAGGACCAGGACCAAGACTAGGGCCGCCTCACATGATGTTCAGGTCGGCGCTTCATCTCCAATATCGACGTCTTCGTCGACAACTTTCATGCAAACTTCACGCATCGATATGTTGAATTCACCGCCGCGGGTCTCAACCATCGCCACGCCATAAAAGCGGTCTCTGTTCACGACGACAGATGTCGCTCAAGTGTCGTACAGTTCAGGGAGCCCTAACGCCGCGCGTATCAACCATCGCCGCATACATGGGCTCTGTTCGCGACAAACAGATCTTGCCTAGACCTCCTCCAGATCTGGTGGCCCCATTGCAAACGCTTCTGCGACCGACTCCTTCAACCAGTCCTCGTCATTGTCGATCATATCTGGCAGGTCCCAGGTTGCGAAATCGCTGCTGTTATCACCAGGATTAACGACGCCGCCTGCCCCGTTGTGGTGGCCTGTACCGACACTGTTCACTCCTGTGACCGCGTGAGAAGCTGCACCGCTCTGTGTCACCGTCCCGACCGCGCCAGTGTTTGGCTCTTCAAAACCTGAAACATCGCTCGCGAAATCTCCGACGTCGAACTCTTTTCGGAGCTCCGCAGGTGGCACCTCTAGGGTAAAGACAACATCAGCAGCAGAGCAAGTGGAGGGTGATTGAGATGTACCAGGCGCCTGATCCAACACGGTATCTGCTCCTACACCTATTACTTCCTGTTGTGGCACTTTTTGCGAAACAGCACCAGTTGGCATCGACGAGTGCCAAGTTGGTGCAGAGGTGCTTACCGCATGGTCACAACGCCCGTTATTGATCACCATGATATCAGATATCATGGACGCACCTGCTGCACGAGCAATGTCGGCGTCGATCTGTGTGGCGTATTGATCGGTAGTGGCGCTGGTGGCGGCGACCATGTCTCTGGCGTGATAGGACGTGGTGTCGGCAGGAGTACTTGCCTCAAAGCGAAATGCCTCTGGCGTGATGCTTGGCTGTACACATCTCCGCTTGAGGGTTCCGAGCTGCTGGGTTGGCTCTTCTCTGGCTCGCTTCGGGGTGATCGTCGGTCTGAGAAGCATGGATGGAGGTGGTCCTGCTGCTGAGTCGAGATCCATTGCAGTCGAGTCGGCATAGAGTTCATTGGCGCCAATTGCATATTCATGAGCCGCCGTAGTGTTTTCATCAAAGGGGTTGCCAACGAATTCGTGGGGGCCAGTTGCAGTTGCATGTTGGAGAGCCGCCACAGTGTTGCCATCAGAGGGGTCGTCGGGGCCAGCTGCATAGTCATGAGCCGTCGCTGTGTTTCCATCAGAAGGGTTCTCCAACAACTGCGGTTCGTCCATTACGAGATCACCCTCTTGAGCACCGTCTCCATTCCAGGACAGGACGTCGTCGACGAGGCCCTTCACAAGACCCTCGGCCGGCAATTTCGCAACAACTTTCTCTAATCTGCTAAGCCTGGCTGCATAAGCTTGCTTGACGTAGTCCTCTGCGGACTTTCGAGTTAACACCACCTTTTGATCGACGGTCCGGCCAGGCGGTTGACAAGAGTCGAACATGTGGACCACGTGCTCCGCGACCAAGTCGCCCATGGCTCTGATGAAGGCGGGACACGCTTCAACGTGTAGGAAGCTGAACATGGTCTCGGTCGAGGGGTTGAATGGCCAGTTGGTCATTCGCATGATAAGGTTTCGTCGGCCTCGACTGACAATCAGATCATATGTGGCATCGGCATTGATAATCTCCTCTGCCCGCTGGCGCTGTCGGTTCCATCGTGTTGCAATGCCTCTGTTGAACGTCTCCAGTTCGGCCTCAGTCTGCCAAAGGCGATATTCCTTGCCACCGAGCATCACGGTTCTCTCCGCTGCCGCAGCCGTTTGTGCCCGCCCGGTGCTTCGAATCAATGAAGCGTTCTCGTTGTGGAACTTGCCCTGCATCTTGTTCCTGCCATCCGTCACCCCACCGTTCATCAAGCAGCCTCGAAGCTTGTTGGGCGCGAGGCACAACGCGGCCATTTGTTCTTCGGTGAAACGATTCATGCGCGCATCGAGCCTCTTCATCAGGAAGTTAGCACGGTTGTTTACTGACTTGCTGCGCGAAATGCCGGTGCTGTTGATTTCTTCGAGCGCCGTCTTAGTCAAGCGGTCATGAATTTGGTTGGCTGTCCACATCCACTGGATGAAGGCATCGAGATACTCGCCCCGGAGGTGGTTGGGGTACCTGATGCAAATCTCTTCGATGGTTGCCTCATCGGGGATAGGGGCGTCGAAGGGAGGAAAAGAGGGCAGCTGGTGATACATTGCAGATTCGCCATCACTTCGACTCCGACCTGTGCTGGAGGCTGCAGGTGACGCGGCGCGTGAGGGCGACTGCAGTGAATGGTCGACGTATTGGTACTGCCCTTGCGACATCGCACCTGGACCTGGCTGGTCGGCAGGTGGGATGTCGGGGTACTGAGACACAGCGTTGGCTGCCGGGGCTGGAGTCTGTGATTGGGGCTGGTTCTGGTTATTAGTCGCGCGGAAGGTGTTCGAAAGGAGATATACCTGGTACTCGGCCGCAGCCTCGTCGCCGCCCATGTGTGCCCACACCGACATGCTCTTGGATCGAGAGGTGGCTTGACTTCGTCCTGGCGCCAGGGCCGTCCGACGAACCGAGCCTTGCGGCCAAGGAGTTGAGGTCTCGGAATTGCCAAGTGCAGCAGTGTCTTTCTGATGATGTTGTAGTCAAGGATTGGAACTATGGGATGCTCGAGCCGACGAAGTCTCAGCCAGTGACTGAGTATCAGGCTTGAGCAGAGGAACCCCGAGAGAAACACGAGTTGAGAAAGAAACAGAGGCAGCGAAGTTGTTTTGATCCAGGAGCTGAAGTGAATGATGACCTTCAGTACGCGGTTCAACTGCCTTGGACTCGACTCGCGACAACGAAAAACGCAGCCGCCTCGACACCCATGTCCTTTCAACAAAGAGCAATTGTGCAGGCAGGAGAAAGGAACCCGTTCAAGTTGGAATCATTGCTCTCTTCTTTGCAGGGTCTACGCGCAGCGAAGTGCACGATGAGCGAGGTGTCGGCATTGAACGTTTCCTTCTTCACGAGATTCAAACAGGGCTGCAGTGTGTTTACGAATGCTATGAGACTTGATGTCTCAATGCCCCGGCGTCGGGCAATCCCATGTCATCGAGAACCCCTTTGTCCCGGCTCCTCAAAGACATGTTGTGGTCTCACGAGCCTTCGAACATTGGACTCATTGTGCCGTTGTCTATTGCCGACCAAGAAACAAGGAGAACAAAGCCGAACAAAGTGCAATGTCACTCGACTTCTTTGTGAGCCATCACATCCATGGAACTCGACGATACCTACTGTTTCCCTTCACAGTCCTCTCAAATATACGTATGGGCTTGAGATGTCAAGAACCAGGTCACCGGCCCTACGAGACTGGCCGTAGCAGACAATACAGTCTTCTCTTTCCTGTTGCTGCGCTCCAACTCTTGTGCCAGTCTTCGCTAGCCTCCAATATCGCTTCCCACGTTGATGTGATGGATGCAGTACTCGAAGCCAAGTTCTCTACTTCAGCCGCAAGAGCTTGTCGCTCCTCAGGCTTCCCTTCGGGTTGTCTAGATTAGATTCCGCCGCGTCTCAACCCATCTTTGACTGCTCAGCTCCCGAGTCGTCGACTTGGAGTAGCCACGCCTTACGCAAGGCCAGCTTGCTGCGAATTGTAAGTTCCAAGACTTTTGTTCATTGAGTCGCTGTCTGACTAGCTCTCAGGCTCTCCGCGTCCTCAATATCAGATGCCCCTAACCGACCTGGACATGGGATACGAGATCGATTGTAAACTTCTCTACACCTCGGAATCGACGTGCAGATACCAGCGCGTCTCATACTCGCGTTGGAACTGCCACGCCTCGCTCCGAGGATTGCTACCGACTCGAGACCGTTCTCTCGTTTTGCTCCGTCCAGCAGAAACACACCCGTATCTCAACCCGCAAAATGGTTCAAAAGACCTGCAACATCTTCAACACTGATTCTCCCACACCATCCCGTCCCCAGAGCAGCTCTACCCCTTACGGGCACATACAAGGGAATGGTCGCGAAGGCGGCCAAAAATGTTGACATAGGGCTACTGGTGTTGTCCAGGGCATAAAAGGATGGAGACAGCAACAAGCCAGAATTAGACACATCTCCCACAGCTGACGCAACATGCCTTGCAGCAAGATATCAGCAACGGGCCAACGCAAGATCTCGTCCGGCTTTGCCCACGCGAACAACAACCTCCCTTCAGAGATGGAGTGAGGCACATCTGCAAATGGTGCCAGACCACGTCGGCAAGTAACGCCTCATTCGAGCAATGCGAGTGGACCGAGAAAACCGACACCGAGAAGATGGCGAAACCACGGGCCTTCCGATGCAGGAGGAGATACTCGGCTACACGAACTTGCGCGAGATACTGTCGAGGCGTCTTCGTGCCCGTGCCCGGAGGCTCCACCCGGAGGGCATTGCAAGACTTGGCGGCGCCGAGCCGCTGCATCCTGCCCACTACTGTGGCGTGGGAAGAGTAACCGAGATGCGATGCTCGGACTTGTCAGGTATGCGTGGCTCGACTGGCGGAGTGACAGCGTAAGAAGCATAAGGATACAGTCACGATGCCGCGGAAGGCTGATCATGATAGCACATCGATGGACAATGGCAAACACAGCGAACCCTTTTCCTTTACCATTGGTGGGCCCCTCTCCCCCACCACCACTGCTTCAGTGTCAATCCGGAGGCTAGATACCCCTTCGCGGCAGCTCCAACTGCCCGATGAGCCGTAGTACTTTATTGTAGATCCATATCCGAACACGATGGCTACAGAGTAAACTGCGCGCGTGCCCCACACCCACCCCGATTCCAGATTGTTCCCATCGCAGTTGTGCATGCATGTGTGTGTTGTTCCATCTAAACAAGCCCCGCCACCCCAACACACAGGGAAGGGAGAAGGGAGTTCGGGTCCTCGCGTTATCCAAACAACAATAACTTCATATGATTCCGTGTTGGAATACAATGCCGAGTCGAGACCCAATACGAAACTAGAATGCCAGCCTTGCTTACCAGCACCAATTGCCACGCGTCCGATCCATTACTCGAATTTCACTCCTCAGTCCTGCTCCTGCCACCCTACATGTGACACGTGCTTTGCTTCACTTCACCACCCGCCACTCACCCCATTGGGAATATATTTTTCACTCCCCAAATTGATCCCAACAATCCGGACAAAGACATCCGCTTCTTGGCCACGACATATAGTCGTCGGTTCCACAGCTAGGGTCTTCTGGATGAGGGATTGTCTTATAAATTTGGTTTATAGAGCATGGAGTATAGATTTAGATTTCGCCATTACCGGGAAAAAACCATCTCGCAAGAGAAAAAGGTTTTCGTCTCACCTTCAACCCACCGCTGAAGTAAAGTAGTGGTTTGAGGGCAGAGTTTTTTGCTCACACGGCGGCACGGTGGCACCTACTCTTCTTCGGATCCTCATGAATCTCTACCCCTCTTCCTTTCTCTCTTTTCCACTTCCCTCAAGACATGCACTCGACGATGAGAAGAAGACACTATAACCCCCCTCAGGTGTCCTTAAGACGCTTTATTTTCCCTGTTTACTAAATAGATATCACTGTTTCATCTACCACTAATGTTGGGTAGCTGGGGGTGAAGGCAGGATACTCGAGCCTCGAGGTTTTTCATCTCTAGTTTTTGGATGTGAGATGGATGCATCCGAGCAGCTGAATGTTGAGCGTTGATCGGTACAGTGGTCTATACTAAGTAGCGCGTGTCGTTGTTATGGTCCACCTCGTGGGCACTTCCGTTCACTCTCCGATTTCACATTTCCGCGACCAACAAACTTCGGCTTGTAGGGGAGATATTTAGCATTTAGACGTCACATGGCACCGAGAGTCGTAATCCCTTGTCGTGTCGGTACTTACCTTTCGATTGCTGAGCGTAGTGATACCACAGGTACCACTTGCTGGGCGAGCCTACTCATGAGACCTGATTCAGCCTGGTAGCCTACCAGTCCATTTGTTTTGCATGCTGGTACGATTAACACAACGCTGTGTCTGCCATCCCTATCACGCTCAGTGGGAACAATGCTTGTGAGATGGCGAAACGGCACCGATAGAGGCACTACGTACGTCTATCGTCTGGGCACGAGCGTACCGGTGAAGACAGAGGTCAATGGACAAACTCCTTCGTGATGCGGCCCTTGATCCGAGTATCCAGCTTGGGGAGCGAATACTCGGGCATTCAGCTAAAGCAATATGCAAGTTGACTGTGCTGCATGACAAAGGAGCGGTACAGGGTGCGAAAGGGTTTTGAATGCGATCACCAGCATGCAATGCAAGGTTGGTTCCGCCCGCGATTCCTGCCCGCCCTTCACCACAGCCTTACGCGACGCATCCACGAGGCTCGAGCGTTCAGGGGTTTGGAGAACAGTCTCGCACTCCCCGCATGCCAAGAGCGACAGGAATTGCTTCCAGATCATCTTCGGGGCGTCTCCCTGCTTGGCGTTGGCATACATACAACACACTAATTTTCAGAAGAGGTATCCTCACAAGGACCACGATCAATCTCCATTCCTCCTCTGCCATAGTTCCAAAATGGTGCGTCGATGACTGGACCGATGACAAATCTCCTTTCTATCTCGTCTTTCTGTGACTGCAAAGCATCGCCGGCAAGCTCGGCCTTTTCGCAGCCTGGAAAGGCGTCCGTCGCATAGTACAGGTTGCCATAACTATGTGCGTCAGCTGACGTGGGGAGAATCGGCCATTAGTCATGGAGGTACTGACCGTGTGAACGAGATCGACAGTAGCTTCTTCTCAAAAGCCACAACATCGTCCACTATCTTGAGCTTATCATGGATCATCTGGCCATCCCGAACCTCGTGGAGTGGGGTCCCGTCGGCTTCCTCCATCAAGATGTATTCCGACTCTAAAAGGATTATTAGCATTGCCGCTCCAAGCCAGTACCTTGGAGACCGGGACGTTCAGGGTGTTGTGGACCTGCCGAAGAGTAGTGGTTAGCATCCGCGAATAGCTTTCGAAGGCGGCGGGTTGTCCTTACGAAGTCCATGGTTGCAACTTCGGAAGCGGTGGTCGTGAATGGCGTCCAGCGTTGGAATGCGGTATTCGTGCAATGATCACTTGACCATCATCCGTCACGAGGCGGAAGACTTTGTTGAAACCGCCTTCAGCAAGCTTGATCATAGACACGCGAGCACGGGATCCAACCGTTTTGGCGGCGATGTTTTTGAGCTCCGGTATGTTGAAGCGTTTGTACCGGTCTCGTAGCTGCTTTTCTTCGTCTCAGATGCAGCGTCCACCAGAGTAACGGAAGAAGTCCTCGTTCTGCGCGTCCCCACGAGAGGACTTTTTGGGGACGTCATGCAACAGCCGAGTTCGCCGTGACCGAACCTGCATTCACAGCAGGTTGGGTCTGAACGAAAAAGGAACGGGATTACAACACCGCCGAAGAACGAGGTGAATCTGGAACATAGCTTCGATTCAGCCAGTTCACATGATGACTAAGTCGTGCGCAAGCGAAGCCGTACATTAAACGACCAGCACAATTGAAGTGAGCTTGAAGTAAAGCAATAACGAGCATTGCACAAAGACAACGACTGAGCAGCCGTTTCACCAATCAAAGATCCCAAAGAAATCCACTAAATCGCGAATCGTGCAGGCTAGCGCGCCGGTAGAGTAAACCAACAGCCAACCAAAGCCGCTCGTCTTGTTACTCCTTCGCCGAGACTGTCCACAAGGGTAGAAGCATAGAGCATCTGTAAATAAGGCCACGAGGCACGAAGAGCCGCGCAATAGGCAGTCACAATCGAAAGTTAGTTTATATTGATCACCTCCGATACTGATGGTAAGATGCGACTGAAGACCGCGCGATTTAATGAATCCGCCGAGGGTATTGAATCAGGAAAGTGTATTCTCGTAGAATTGCAGATCCCGACGCATGAGACGTGCCTCTCATGTGCTTCCAAGACGTATACCAGATATCACACCGGACACTCGCCATAATGGTTACCCAGTTAACCTGCGGTCTCGAAACTCATACCGCCGCCCCTTCCAGAAGCCCCCGCCTCAACCTCACTAGCAAAACACGAAAGCGCTGCCACGCTCGCTCCTGAAGGGCTTGATGCATTTCAGTTCTGGCAGACAGATCGTGACTTGCCCACTTAGACTCACCAAGCTCGCCAATGTAACGAGCCATGGAAGTCTTGACGAACACCCAAAACACAATGGCCCATTTCAATGTATTACCAGCCCTATCGAACTCGGCAGACGCCAGCAGCGGATCATTCGCAACACCCAGGCTGACAGCGAGTTGTCGAATAACCTCATCGATGTCATATTTGCTGGCAGTGGCGACGTTGGTGCAGGACTGAATGGTATGACAGAAGTCACTGAAGATCTCCGCCCTGTGCTTGCTCTCTGCCCCATCTGCGTCTTTCTTTCCCCTTCCAGTATGGGAACAAAGGCGAGGATGCGGGTCGTATTGCACTTGTTGCGTCGTCTCTAGAGCTTGCAGTCTCTCTGCATAGGGCATCCCTGATATGGTGGTGAACCTTCCACAGCTGTGGGGTCCTGTTCGAGGGCAAGTGCAGTACGTTGCATTCTTGTCTGGGGTCTTTGCTGCCGCCGGCGCCGGCACCCATGTCGCTGCAGGGAATAGTGCTTTCATAATGACCCGTATTTCAAATGCCGGGAGGTCGAAACTTTGTGGTTGTGTTAGTACCTCCGCCGTGGGTTTCGGAATGGCTGGAGCTCCTATCGCGAGCGAGGGAGGGGGTTTCGAACTTGCCGGAGCAACTGCCAACACCGCCGGTCTGACCTGAGAAACTCCTGGGGTCATGTTCGATGCCGTTGCTTGCAGCTTTGGAGCCGCTGGTGCCGATTTCGATGTTGCTGCTGCCAGGTCTGAAAGTACGGATGGGTAGGAAGCTGATTTTGATGATGGCCACGATTGTGGTAGTATGGACTTTGGTCTTGGGGCTTGCTGTAGCTTCGGTGCTGGTCCTTGGAACCTCATTCGTTTGGCCGGATTTGTTGCAATAGCATCATCAATTCGCGATGGGGACTGCGAGCTATCCTCATCAAGAGGACGCTTATTAGCAGACTTTGTCGGTTGTTGCCAACACATCCCGAGGATGCTTTTCAAAGTCAAGAAGTGGCCAAGGTCCATTCCCAAGCCTTCCTCTAGCAACACCATAGTGGCATGGTATTGCTTCTCCGCACCTGGAGAGGACCAAACTTCGAATAGAGCGTAGTAATCGTTTGGTGACACGGTGACCCTGCCGAGCTGGTTCCTCAGAGATTCAGGGTCCTCGAGAAAGGTGAAACAGAGGTCTCCATAGCACTGACAGAGATGATCTGGTGCAAGCATTAGTTACAAACTTGCGTAAGGTCAGCTTCTGCAGAAATACCTCGTTTTCTCTGCCACTTGCTTCGTTCATCGCAGGTATCCCAACCAGAGGGCTTTGCCATCCTAAACACCAAAGTCTTGCCAATTTCCACCCGTGGCGTATTGTCACCCGACTCTGATGCCATAGATCGCTCAGAGGTGCTTTCCCCTTGACGATCAACTTCGTCTTGCCACTGATACCCCGGAGGCATTATTTCGATGAATGAGGACGTTTTCGATAGGTAGCTCTCTTGGACGCGTTGTCGATGTTTGGTCTGCATTGCGGATCGGATCTGCTGTGGGCCGAGTGGATGCATGGGAGAGCACGCAGTACAAAATAAAACGAAGAATTAATACTTTCCAGTCCCTTCGCGCACTGCTTCACGGGGTGACGCCGCACGTGACAAAGAGGGGGTGTCGTCACTCGCAGGTAGTGCACCAGTATTGTGAATAGACGTCGTGTATATGAACACGCTGATTGAGGCTTGAATAGGCACCAGTAGGAGCTCCTTGTACGACAACGAAAAGCTGCCCGCATAAACATGGATTTTGTTGCTTCTGCCACAAGACGGGGTGGGCTTGATGGTCAGCCGTGCGTTTGCATGGATCCGATGCTCCCAAGGACATATATGTAGATGCGAGGCACATTGCCCGTCAAGTGCGCGGCGATCGTTCTCGACTATCTCTGTCGCCAAGTGACAAAAGCTTGAAGTCGACGTAAGAGCAGCCAGATTCTGCGTCCGTTCGATGTTTCCACATATTGAACGGCTTGGACCTGCTTGTGCTGCTCGCACTGGCCGAAGAGGAAGGAAGGTGCCATCAACGCGACTGGACCGGCTGCAGCAATATTAGATGGCAATACTGCCCTCGTCACCACGTCCTCCCTCTTTCAGTGCAGGCTTGGCATTCATTAAACATAAAAAGCATCAAAAAGGGAAAAAGCGTCCAATGTCCATATCGCAGGCGGTTAGCTGAATGGTTGCTCTTGGTGTGGGAGACGTGCAACAATGGCCTGCTCACTGGGCTCGATAGCTAGAATGATGCGCATGAAGGGTAATCCTCACGCTATTGTTCTTTCTATTTGAGACATTCGTAGATGCCATGATGACAAGTTTCAACAAAGCTGAACAAAGAGCACGCCGGACATGACATCTCCCTCTGTCCGCAAACAGGTGACAGACTTGGTTGATAAAGAGTGAAACCCACTGTTCAATGTATCTCGGTGTCATGTACTTATGTGTCTGCGCAGAGATGGAAGGGAACCTGAAGTTACCATTTTAGTAAGACGGCCGAAAATGTGCTTTCGGCCGACCGCACCTGCACGTGATCTGGTTGACGGAGGACACGTGTAGTCGGCATCTAGGTCACGCCGACTCCTTGCAGATTAGAGATGGGCATCGGAGTTACAGCCACCTGAAACGGACGACTCGTCGGCGATAATGCTAAGCCTTCGTCGTTGTTGTTAGCTCCGTCCTGTGAGTTGGTACCTGGCATCAGGACCAGAAAACGGAAAGCCTAATTACTGGATGCACCCTTTTGCTGCAGAAGTACGGCGTATTCGATGACTATCGCAGATAGATTGTCCACCAGGTTCCGTGCTACAGGCTGCCTCCTAGGTCCAGGGCCTCTGAGCGGGGCTCGTCCTGCAGCAGGGATCCTGAGGGCGAAGTATAAAAAGATGGCCGCACCTCGTACCATCAATCAGAGCCACCGGCACGGTAGTTTACCACATTCTTTGCCGACGCAGCATCAGTCCAACGAGACCCGACCATCTCAGTTGACTCGACTCGAGTTACGGAGATGGAGTACAAGAGCCTTGGTAACAGCGGCTTGAAGATATCCAAGGTCATCCTGTATGTGACACTTCTCGTGGCTGGATTGTGAGACGCTGATGCATCTCAAAACAGTGGCTGTATGGGCTATGGTACTCCAGAATGGGAAGGCTGGGTGCTTGATGAAGAGGCCTCTCTACCACTTCTGGAGTATGCCTACAAGAGCGGCATACGGACATGGGACACAGCAGATGCATACGCAAGTTCCCATTTTTCTCCGACAAACCATCCCCGTTGTGCAGTTTGTCGTCATACAACCATATCTGTCCAAGCTAACAAAGAGCCTGCAGAGCCATGGCCGCTCAGAGGAGATCATAGGCAAGGCAATCAAGAAATACCAGATCCCACGGGAACGACTAGTCATCCTCACTAAATGCTTCTTTGGTGTAACCCCACACAAAATGGCAAACACTTGGGTTTACAACAATGACGGCGAGGAATTGAACCAAGTCGGACTCAGTCGTAAGCACATCATTGACGCCGTCGACAAAAGTGTTGCTCGATTGGGAACCTATATCGATGTTCTCCAGATCCACCGACTCGATCAGACGGTGCCTCGCGAGGAGATCATGAGAGCTTTGAACGATGTCGTTGAATCGGGAAAGGTGCGGTACATCGGCGCTTCTAGCATGGCTGCATGGGAGTTCCAGGGGCTGCAGAACGTCGCAGAAAAGCACGGATGGCACAAATTCATCTCCATGCAGAACTATCACAATCTGCTGTACCGTGAAGAAGAGAACGAAATGATCCCCTATTGCAACCATACCGGTGTTGGTGTCATCCCCTGGTCTTCAGTTGCGAGAGGTGCTCTAACACGGCCTTGGGATGACCGATCAAGCAGCCGGGAGCAGACCGATGGTGGACTCAAGCACATGGTGCGTTCGGCAGACGACAAGGCCGACCGGGAAGTTGTGGGACGGGTCGAGGAAGTAGCCAAGAAGCTGAAGAAAAGCATGGCTCAAGTCGCCATCGCTTGGAGTCTCAGCAAGGGTGTCAATCCTATCGTGGGTATGAACAAGATGGAACGCATGGACGAGGCTCTTGAGGCCAGCAAGATGAAGCTGAGCGAGAAGGATATCAAATTTCTAGAAGAGCCATATCTCCCAAAGAAAAGGCAGGGCTACTGATCACCAAACAGGAGACAGATTCCTACCCTCAGCCGTGGTATTGTAGAGAGATTGCCTCCAGCCATCATCACACAAAGGGCCTTTGGGATGATGACCTTGACCTGGACAGTCTGAGAGCTATGTGGATTTCATTCCGTACTCCAAGTGAATGTGGCAATCTGGGGATCGAAGTGACTTCACAACGACCAGATGACACCAACCTCACTCTCACTTCACCTTCAGTTCTTGTTGCTTCACCGCGGCGTGGTGGCGATTTCTGCGCACAAAAGCAAACCACGCCGCGCCTTGTCATTGCCTATACACTGTCCCTTCAACCTCTTCCCTTTCAACCTTTCGACGTTTCAAACTCCTCGTATCGTCGTTACAATTCCTTCTCTACCACTGGTTCCCATCACAAAAGGGGCGCGACTGCCGCATACAGTCGTGTTCACATCAGTAAGATCACGTTCCCGCGTGGATCTTGTTCCTTGCCTGACCAGTTCAAGAACCATCTCCGCTGGTGGCTTCCACCTCACAGCGAATAGCAGTGGGGGTAACAGACCGTGTTGATTCTTGTAAGCATGATCTTATGATTTCCGTCGGGATCGGTGACTGACAAGACTCAGATCGACCTCACCTCGCACCTTCCACTTAGCCATAGTCTCACTACCGCAAAGACAACGCAGTCGGAGCTACAGCATATCGACCATGTCTAACATCACTTATCCTAACTCCCATTCCAGCGACGATGGCGACTTCTTCGACAGTGAGTCCATGATGAGCGACTGGCTTGCCGTTCAGGCTCGAGACCGCTTAGATGAACGCAAGAGAGTCGCGGCTGCGTCAGGTGTAAGTTTTGAATTCCACAAACCACTTGGTAACGTAACAGTGGTACGCACGCAGTCTAACACGTATCCGCCAGGGTCTCAACACGTATCTCAAGATGCGCGACTCTGTCAAGCTCCACAATCGCAAGACTGCCAAAGGCGCTGCACGCGGCGGTCGAATGTGGCCGGGAAAGACCAAGCCGTTGAAGTCAGTCACTTCGAACAAAATTCACGCAGCGGTGTTCCCGCACATGCGTGTTCCAATTCATATGCGCAAGCAGCAAACCAAGAAAGGACACCCTGGCTATGGATCCATCACTTCCAACCTACGTACTGAGGATGTGCCTGTCATGCAAGTTCAATGTCCCATGCCTGGCGGCACTTCGGTCACGGTGCAGACTGATCCGGTTGAAAAGATCACCTGGGGCCCAATCTCCCGCGTCGAAGCTAGTGGCCATGCAAAAGACCTGGTCAAAGAATTGCGCAAGGCTGTCAAGGCTGCGGAGAAAGACAAGGCCAAAGCTGAAGACAACAAGGACAATGGGAGTGAGTCTGACGGAGAAGCGACAAGCAAACCTACCAAGTTGCCTAAGAAGAACGAGTCGACGATTGAGGTCAAGCATGACGACAAGCCTACTGGTGAAGGTGAAATCACAGAGCATGGTGTCACGCCTGAGACTGCGTCCATTGCCGACACTGACGTTACCAACAACAGCATGGCTGTTCCTACTCGTTGTGGATTCCGAGCCCCTCCAGTAACCCCTGGAGAACATGTTGTTCTCGGATCTCCATCTACTGAAGCTGCCTTATCCATGCCGACTCTCCCCATGATGCACCATATTGCAGATACCAAGTTGGTTGAACACTTTCGCCTGCAGCACGCCAAGAACCCGGAGGCTTTTGAGGAAGAAACTTCGGCAATCAGACAAGGGCTCATTGATGCGAAAGTCAATCGAGGCGGAATTCCCATCTTGCTGAGAGAAGAGTACACGGTCGAGTTGGCAAGCCGCGAAGGTGCAGAGATTGCTGAGAAATGGGCGAAAGGCCAGGCCAAGAGCTGGGAGCATCCTAGTCTGCGCAGTCGTGGCAACAGTCTCAAGAGCCAGCCCAGTTCTGGCAGCTTGAAGGCGCGTGTCGGCGATGTTGAAGGCACTGCACCCAACCCCAGCGCTGTGAAGAAGGAAAATCGCGATTGGCGGTTCGTCGTCTGTCCTGCGCCACACCCTTCTCCAGCTTCAACTTTGCCAGAAACAGAACACGACATGGCAGGTCCGACATTGGAACTCCCGCCTCCAATCCTGGAGCACGAACCGTCTAAAGACAAGCTCAGCACTGAAGACGGCAAGCCGTCTACCAGCAAGAGCGACTCAAAGCCTAAAGAAACCATCAAAGAAATCAAGAAGGCATTGTCTCGCCTCAATGTCGCTGACAACGTCTCCAAGATCACGACCTACGGTACTGTCCGCCACCAGTCTTCTGTCAAGCGCGAAGTCGGCGATCACGGCGAGAAGCGCACCGTGAAGACATGGATCGAAATCACCGAAGTGTATGAGGTGCCGAAACCACAGACACTGACTGTCAAGGACATTGTTGCGGCGGTGGAACAGGAAGCCAGAGACATGCATGTGGGTAAGGGCGAACCGGAGCGTCATGACCGCGGCGATGAGGGTGAGAGCGACAACGACCTTGGCGAGAAAGATACCGCGAGCATGAAGAAGGAGAAGAAAGGGAAGACGAAGACTTCCAGCGACGAATCGTCAGGCTCTCCCTCGGATACCTCTTCTTCCTCCGACAGCTTCCAGTCCGATGGCGCGTCTGACCAAGAGTCTGACGACGGTGTGGGTAACAATGTCTACCACGATCCCAACGAGGCCGGTGTCGCGGCTGTGTTTCGCTCCCTTTGCCGCCTTGGAGAAGATCTCGACGCTGGAAATCTTGCACGCATCTCCAATGACTTCGGTGCATTGATTGCTGGATTGCAAGGCGAGGGAAGTTTCAACATTACTATGGATGGTGCAGGGCTGCACGCATGGTGATCGAGTGGACAAGGCAATTGTGTGGCGATGAAATAGCCGCGAGCAAGAAGTGTGAGGTGAATGTGAGCTGAGGTAGGCACGAGCAACAAGTTGAGGTGAAGTTGAGCCGGGACACGTGGCGATTGGACATGACATGAGAACACATGAACTGGAGATCCAGGACGCCATGAGTGTGTGCAAAGGGCTGTTGAGCGAGATAGTGCTGGGATGTGCCTAATACGCGACCAAGAACAAGAGGCTCATTAGCAGCTGACCTGAAATGCAGAAGCTTTCGACAACAGACTCTTTGGTCTTGGACCTGCATCGCGGCGCGATTTCCACCTGCAGAAGGGTTGCAGCCGGACTCTACACAGCGCTCGACGCTTTGATGCCGAGTCTCAGTCGCATGTTTGCTAGTCTACTCAGCTACTCAGCTACCCAGACTGCAGCCATACCCCTGTTCGACGACAGTATTAGCGTAGGTCCTCTTCCAAGGGACACAATAGAGAGAATGAAAAGTCCACTTACATGCCAGTTCCAACGCACATACTCGTGACTCCAATCTTTTTACCTGTCCTCCTCAACTCGGTGAACAAGGTACTCACCTGCCTAGCGCCAGTGCAGCCAAGAGGATGTCCAAAAGCGATAGCACCGCCCTTGGGATTGACCTTTTCGAACGGGATGCCCAGCTCCTTGACACACCACACGCACTGGCTTGCGAACGCCTCGTTGATTTCAAAGATGTCGACATCGTCCTTGGAGATGCCGGCCTTTTCCAGCGCAACGGGGATGGCCTTCCAGGGCCCGATGCCCATAAGGAGCGGGTCCACGCCCACGACGGACGCGACCACATACTTCCCCAGGATCGGCTGGCCCAGCCGCTCGGCGGTGCTGCGCTTCATCAACAGCACCGCCGCCGCGCCGTCGGACACCTGGCTGGCGTTGCCGGCGTGGATGGACCCGTCCTTTGCGAACGCGGGGCGGATCTTGCCCAGCGACTCGGCCGTCATGCCTGGCCTGACGCCGTCGTCCGCGCTGACCGTGACCGTCTTTTCCTCCTCGGTCTTGGGGTCCGTGTACTTGACCGTGATGGGCACGATCTCGTGCTCGAACAGCCCGGCCTTTTGTGCCCGTTCGGCCTTTTGGAACGAACTGGCCGCAAAGGCGTCCTGCTCTTTCCGAGATACGCTGCGGTCCTTGGCCATCTGCTCCGAGAGCACGCCCATGGGCACCTTGCAGTTCGCGGCCTGCATGTGGTTCTCCAGCAGGTCCGAGAACTCGGTCACCGCCCCTGGCCCGTACTGGGTCGACATGCTCTCGACGCCGCTGCCGATGCCGATCTCGATCATGCCCGTGCGGATCGCGTTGGCGATGTCCACGCACGCCTGGAGCCCGGAGGAGCATTGTCTGTTCAGCGACCGCACCGCCGTGGATGTAGGGAACCCCGCGACCAGTGCCGCGGCGCGGTATTCTGTTGCTCCGCCGCCCGGGGCGAGTACGCAGCCTGTAGCAATATCTTCGACGAGGGCCGGGTCGATCCCGGAGCGGGAAATCAGGGCCTTGAATGTGTGTGCGAGGAGGTCTGCGGCGGCGGTGTCCTTGAGCGGGCCGCGGCCGCCTTTGGTAAAGGGCGTGCGCAGGGCGCAGGTGACGACGACATCGTCGGGCGACTTGGAGAGGATGGACTTGGATTTGCTTTGTTGACTCGAGCCATTGACCTGGCTGGATACTTGGGAGAGGCGGGCTTGTGCTGCGAGGCGGGCAAATGAGTGATTTTCACATGTCAGTCAAGGAAGGGTAGGTGTGCTTACCTGAAGACATTATGAACGGAGAAGCTGTGGTAGTGCGTCACAGAAGGTGGAGGGTAGACAGAGAAGGAAGGGATCTAGGAGGACGGTAGCAGCGGAAGCAGAGGGAGAGAAAGGAATTGAATTGATTGTGGTTTGTGATCACCGGTCACCTGGGTTGAAAGTCAAGTGGTTACTAAGTATGTTATGGCAGCCATGTTTCTCATGTGCATAATCCATGGATGCATGACATGCGCGCTGCGACGTGATGCCGAGGCATGTGCAATGTTGCAGCGCAACAGGCGAATGAAGTCATTGTATTGTGGGTAAACTCGGTCACCGTACGTGGTATCAGCCTCGTTTTACTCCGTGCAGGCAGGGGTTTGGCGTGAGGTGAGATGTTCAATAAGCGGAGATACGGAGTACTCGTAGATGGACCACATGTGAAGATGGAAGTCGAAGTGGAAAAGAAGTGAATACGCTCGCTACAGTCCTCGTACTGCTTCTAGTGTTCAACGTGCTAACGCAGCTCGAGCTAGATCAAATCCACGACCTAACCTAAATGCCTTGGTAACCTCAGATGACACTACCTACCCTAAGTAACACTCACTGTTTGCGGCTCAACTGCTACTCGAGACTGGCACCATTGGGTGGTTCTCACGTGACTGGCAATCTGACGGAGAAAACCATTCTTCCATTGCCGTGCGTAGGCGACTGTTCCTGCACTCCGTATGAGGTACGGACTATGTGCGTGCATTGATTTTCAACATCGAAGCTCAACCACCTCTCCCACCAGCTACTGTATACACAGTACCGCTCATTCCACTGGCACTGGCACTGTCACTGATCAACCAATACTTTCGACAATGGCAGTCCCGACCAGAGCATCCCGCGCCCTGACCTTCATGCGCGACTGCCGCTCTCGAACTCAACGGTATGCCTCAACCGAAGCAACACCCTCCCCGTCGCCGTACGCACCCTCAAACTTCACCCGCCAAACAACACCAGCAGCACCCTCGTCCGCATTCGACCCCGTCGACGACTCGTCCAGTCTCTCGGCTTCTGCCGCCTCGACAACCAGACCCCCCTACGCACACCCCATCTCGCGCCCACCCCCTCCCTCAGAGATCCCCGGCACCCGCCTCACCTTCACGTCGTGGGCGCTCTCGCTCGTCGGCATCGCCCCCAAACCATCCGCGACGTACACGCCCGCGCCCTTCCGGGTGACCAACAACCCGTACCGCGCGCGCAAGCGGTGGCCGCCGGATTTCCGCACCCTCGACCCGAAGCAGCAGTTCCATTATGAAAAGACGTACCGCCGGCGGGCGGCGCTCAAGTGGGCGCGGCCCAGGTGGAACAAGGGCGTCAAGCTCGTGCAGCAGACGTTGATCACGTTCACGATCATATATTTTGTGTTCATTTGCGAGCCGGGGCATGGGATGGGCACGCCGTTTGATGGGGTGAGTTATACACGTTTTGCTGCTTTGCCTTGCCTTGCCTTTTCTTGGTCCTTTGGCCGTCTGGTTTTTTTGGTCCGAGATTACTCTCCCTCCCATTCCTTGTTTTTGAGGCCATGAGTTCGTCAATTGCTGACTTGACGCCCGCTTTTAGTTCCGCGTGTGGTTCTTCGACAAGTTGGGCAGATTGGGTCAGTTGCCAGAATCGACGAGGGAGGAGGCGGAGAAGTTGAGTGATGAGGCGAGGCAGAAGATGAGGAGACAGGCGAACTCAGCGCCCCAAGCGACGAATTCGCCGGTTGCTGGCTCATGATGTATATCTTGGGGCGTGTCAAGTTGTCCAGCTATGTATACCGGCTGTCCACTACTGATCGCCCATATTTACAGACCGGCATTTCGTGCGTCTCAAGCTCCGACACGAATATTTACAAGCAGACTAGGCGTCCGCTGTATATTTTCTTCATCCTTAACTCTTCAATGCTTCTACAGCTTTTCCCAGTTGTTCAGTCCTCTCTGCTGCCAGCCGCCCATTTCACGCCTTTCCGAGGCCGACCAAGACGAGGAGCGCAACGTTCATGACTACCAGGACAATCCAGATTGTAGTGGCAAGCGCAGTTACAAGCCAGCCGTTCCGCATGTTCACCGCTCCCCCGGCGTCGTTGGTTTGCACGGTCATGATGTGGCTTCGACAGGTGAACCAGAGCAGCGGAGCAGTCACAAACGGCAGCATGACGCTCAGGCAGACCTGGCTTGCAGTTAATGCTGCGTTCAGGCCTTCCTTGCCAATGGCTCCCGCGATGATAATGCTCGGGATGATGCTGATGGACCTAGTAATTAGCCTGCGTAGCCATGGTTTCAGCGTCCAATGTAGCATTCCTTCCGACACCATCTGACCGGCCATGGTGCAGACTATGCCGGCTGAGGTGCCAGACAGGAGGAGGGCGAGGGCGAACAGGGTACCAGCTGCCTTGGAGAGGTTCTCACTTAGCAGACGGTGGATGCCAAATAGATCCGCTTCTGTAGCCTCGGTCTTGGGGTAGAGGGACGAGCCGGACACAATCAGGATAGCCGAGTTGACAAACAGGGCGAAGGTGAAAAGACAGGTGGCAAGCTCAACCACCGAGTATTTGAGGCAGGCCCGGATCGCATAGATAGATGGAGTGTATTTCTCCTCTTCGTCGTCGGACTCTTCGCCCCTGATAATGTGCCCGTTCCGCTGGTCAAACTGTTTCAGGCGTGGCTGAACGACACCCGAGCCAAGAAAGATGGAATGCGGCATGACGGTTGCTCCGATAATACCGCAAGAAAGGTAGATGCCGTTGCCCTTGACAATCGCTGATGAAGGAAGATAACCCTTGAAGACCTCTCCGACTGAGGTGTCCTTGATGTAGGAGAGTTGGATGCAGAAGCAGACCATGACGCCCAGAACAAGACACATGACAAAGTACTCGAAGAGCCTGAGGTGCATCATGGAGCCATTGGGACGATAGAAGACAAGAAGGATGAGTACATCGACCACGGAAATCGCACATCCCGCTAGTAGGGGGATGTGCAGGAGTAGATTCAGAGCTATGGCCGAGCCAATGACCTAAGTCTGATTAGAATGTGCAATGTAGGGAGGATTTTTCGGTTCTGGCTCACCTCTGCGATATCTGTAGCAATGATGGCAGACTCAGCAAATAGGTACAAGACGAAATTCAGCCACTTGGGTAGATGCTTGCGGCAGTTTTCAGCCAAGTTCAGCCCAGTGACGCTTCCCAGTTTGATACAGAGGGATTGCAGGAAGATAGCAAATATATTGGACATCAGGATGATGAATAAGTGACCATACTTGGTGGCCGCGCCTGCCTCGACGTCGGTGGCATAGTTGCCTGGGTCGATGTAGGCGACGGCAATGAGGAACCCTGGACCCACGAATTTTGCATACTTCTGAAGAGTGACCACGACCTTGCTTGCAAAGGCCCGTGGTGAATGGAAACTCTGAAATCGCGGTGGGTGGGTTTGTTGAACGGCCGCTCGCTCTAGCGGATCAACCTTGACAGCGTTGGGTGACTTCACGGCGGTGGCAGGTGGCTCTGGATTGTCGACCGGCATCACACGTATGTCTTCTTGCTCATTGTTATCGAGACTCGACTCAGTCGCTCTTTGCTCTCGGAGGTTCACGATGCCATTGAGGTCCGCCCGAGTGGTCAAGTCGGAACTGAGTCCATGTGGATTCTGATTCCAGTCCGGGTGGGCCTCGGTGTCGTCTGTGCGTGAGGGACAATTCATGATGGTGAGGCTCTAAAGGACGGATACTTGCTAAAGGGAAAGGTGAATGAAGACAGTGGAGCAAAATAGATGCCAGAGCTGTATATCATTAAACCAGCTACGGAGGATGTGGTCACGGATGCTTGTCCAAACGGTTTCTTCCGACGCAGCGTCTGGTGTGGTGAGGGGGTGAGCAGATCTATGATGGAATGTCGCAACACCGGCGACGGACCGGAATCACAAAGTGGCTCAGCCGTCAGCTGCTTTTCTTAGAAGAGCTTGGCCACAGGAGTCGCTTTTGAGGCTGACGAGAGTAAACGAGAAGGAAGAGAAGGCACTCAGAATGGCAAATAGGATGTTGAGGTTTTCAAATCAGGTACCAGGCACAAAAGAGCAGACGCGGATGAATCGATCCGGAGCACAGACGGCGGACTCGTGATGAGAACAAGAACCGTCCGACCTGGCTTTTTGCCTTCATACAGTACTCGAATGGAAAGGGAAAGAGCAACTCTGTGTCATCGACGACACGAGAGCCGTCCAAATGAGGTCTGAGAGACTGCTCCTCTGGTGGTGGCAGACATGAAATCCGCTGTCCCGAGATAGAAACGTGGATGATTTGGGAGCTGCAGCTGGGCCCAAGCGATAGGCGCTGGCTTTACCCGGAAGACAGGGACAGTGGCTGCGTCTGGGCATGCTCGGACCTGGGCTTGCCTGGATCTGGGTAGGGGCCCTGCCTAGGCACTCTCCTTCGGGAGGTTGGTTCCGCTAGCACGAGCTGCACCCAGTCCTTGCAGTCTTCTCCAAGTTTCGCTGGTGGAGCCGCTGACGAGTGCCAACCGGCTAGTTCGATTGGCTGACACTCGCTCCCCAACCTGCGACATCGAGTCTCTACACAAATTCGAGGACTGCCATGTTGACACTTTCACCGTCTCAATCGTCCTCGAGAACGCCGACAAGTCCTCGCGTTGACACTCGCTCACAAGGGTATTCCGTGCCCGTCTTCTGCTTGGCGTCCATCCAACATAGCCAATCGCGCCGTACATTGCGAGGGGAACCCGACGAGCAACGGCACAACTGCTGTCCAGAGGCAACTAAACCACTTGCACACACCGGTCTGTCGCTATTTCACTAATAGTCCTTCTTTTGTTCGACAGAAGCAATGCAGCGCAGATAAGCGGGTTCTTATTGGAGGCGACGCTGGAGAATGCTTGTCCCTGACCAGCTTGTGGTTGCTCCCACCTACGATACTCAATCTCACGATGAACACCACCAACAACGGTGCATATCCACCTCTTCAACGTCGCAGACGGAGATCTGATCAGATCTCTCCATCATCCCCCTCCTACCCGCGGCGGCTGCTTGACCGCCCCAACAGGCAGAGCGACGCCTTCAGCCCGGTCGTCAGCACACCTGCCACCGATGAAGCAGAGAGTCCTACTCTCAACCTCAACCTGACATGGACCTCTCCAGTCTCCGATCACCTCTCCCCGGTGCCCCTCGTTCCTCCCTTACCTAAGCCTCAGGCCGTCGAATCAAAGTACCACCAAAGGTCTTCAGAAGAAGACAGCCGGCCGAAATATCGATCATCAGACGAGGCTGCTAGACATACGACGAGCAGGCCGACGGATCAAAACAATGCCCTTGCTAGCTCAACGGCGTGGTCACCCTTACCCGGTGCGGAGTATGCGTTGAGTCCCCCGCCTTGGACGTCTAGTGCCAGCCAGTCCCAGCCGCGAGAGAAGAAAGTGCTTGAACCCCCGATCAAGATCGGCGACAATGCCTATTCCCCGAATCTGCGCAATTACAGCTTTTCTAGTCAGGTATGGGATAAATCCGGACGTGAGGACCCAATTCCCGGAAAAGCGCAGACTGGGAAGAAGAGCAGGATGAATCTGTTGAACCCAATGAATCTTCTGGCCCGTCGGAAATCATCACAGAATCAGAAGCTCGAAGATATCAATCTCAGTGTCAAGGCTATGTCTGTTCTTGCACTGCCAGACAACTTTGACCCAAGCATTCGGGGCAAGGTCGTACATGACTTCTCGATGCCACGGAATCGAAGGCTTTATTCTCACAATGACGTTGGCAACGTTGACTCGCCCCTGCGATCTGGCTTTGGGCCAGAACCCCGTGGGACCAACGACTCGCCGACTTCGTCGAGATTGCCACTAAGCGCTACACCGAATACCTCGCATAGCCCGATGTTCAAGGAGCATTTCTCGGATGACAGGCCGTCGTTACAACCAGAACGGACGGGTTACCTGCACAATATCCACGCTTTTAATGTTGCCCACGACAAGCAAGATGCTGTTGACGTCCCTGCTTTCGCCAGGCGATTACCATCGGCAGTGCCGCAGCCGGGCATAGGGACGGATCCGGAGCTGTCTCGAAAAGAGAACAAGCCGCTACCGCCTGAGAAGGGAGACATATCCACAGCGCCCATAGGAAATCCCTCACCCCCTCCGCCGTCACCCCCACCGAAAAGCACGCCTTCGCCTAAATTCGACATTCCGCCACCAGCCGCTCTACCCAAGCACATGACGAGCACCTCCTCGCGATTCAGCTTCCAGATCGGGGGAGGCTCTTCGGCTCAAGAGAAGCTACTGGAAGAGAAACACAAGCAGCACGAAGCGACCAGGAAGACTGGCCAGCCGGATGGGGACGAAGAAGAGGACGCCTTCGACTATGACCTGGATGCAGACGATGACTTCGAAGAGCGGATTCCCGGCGTCAACGCAGATTTTGAGGATGATGACGGTTTTGGCAATGATGATATCCCGCTCGGTAACGCCCTCGTGGCCCGTTACGGCCCCTCCGACACGCATGAATTCCCGGCCTCGGATGATGACGGTTTTGGCAACGATGATATCCCGCTCGGTAATGCTCTGGTGCCCAGATACGCGCCCCATGAGACGCATGTAATCCCGGCCTCGGATGTCAGGGGTACGACCGTGCAGGGCCAGTCACTGCAGGGCTTCCATTTTACTCCTCAATCCATGACATTCAGCCCCACCAGCACAAACAATGCATCCCAGCCTACTCCAAGAGATCACGAAGGGTTCGCAATTGGCATCGCCGACTCTAGAGTGCCTTCACAGAACGAGAGCTTGGACTTTCCGCCCAAGAACGGCGTCATTGATGTTGAAGAGGTTTCCATGCTTGGAGGGCTTGGCATTTCGACCGCAGAAATACATGGCAGGCGAAGCAAGCTGACTTCGCGTCCTCAGGGAGGAGTTTTTGACGATGATGATCTGTACTTTGATGACGGAGAATTTGGACATCTCGAGCTTGATCCTTCTGGTCCCACCTTTGACGAACGACTATTTGACGACGAGACAGGCCAGATTCGCGACATTCCAGCTGACAATGTCCGGAAGCTTGAAGCGTCCAGACAACCAGCGGTCGAAGATACAGAAGTCAAGGTTCCGAACCAAGAGGAAGGTCAATTGGGTAGGCGGTCCCTCCAAAGCACCGCGCCGAATAACCAAACAGTCGCTGCAATGGCAAACGGCCATCAAAAGAACCAAGGTAGCTTCATGCAAGGAGGCTCCATTGCCGGTCTCACCGAGACCAACCTTGCCGCTTATCACGATGCTTTGGCGCTTGCGGCCAATCAGGCCGCTGCGAATGGGCGATTCGACCGCAAAGTGAGCTTCAGCCAAAACTCCGATGACACTTCCCAGTCTCCAGTCGAGAGCAGCCAGCGTGGAGTTATATCGGATGGGAGTCGTTTCAGCCTCAACTACAGCTCTGCCATCGCAGAAGATGATGGGTTTCCCTTTGATGATGACATGGACGATGATCTCATGATTGCGGAGGCGAATGCTGAGGCGTTGGAGAACGATGATGAGGGCTTCTACGGCCAGGAGTTTGGATTTTATGCTCGCTCCCGTGGCAAAGGCAACACCGAGCTGGTCAATGGCGGCTACTTTGCGGAGCGAGGGTCGAACGGAGTGAAGCGAAGCCACAGTGGAAAAGCCAACTTTCAAGAGCCTAGCCTAACGCCTATCACAGAGCGGAGCGAGTTCAGCACCCGAAACTCGTTTGTTTCGCTACCAGTACCGGGAGGTGGGATGCCAGGTCCAGCACACTCGATGCCCAGCCCAGGAATTGCTCAACTCCGGGAACTTGACTCGCCCGCATACGACGAAGATATGAGCTTTAGCGCGTTGATGAAGCTGCGTGGCAGGACTTTCGGAGGCAGCTCTTCCAGCATCAGCAGCTCCGCCGCTGGATTCACGGCTAGTTCTCCTCTTGCGATCGTGGCGAACAACCCCTTTTCGTACTCGGACCATAGCGGGAGCCGCATGTCCTCCTCGATGCACGGTCGATCCTCGCCGGCTGGAATCCCAGAGTCGGAGGAAGAGGAGGACGAATCGGAGCGGCCTACCCTGACACAGAACACGCCGCGCAAGAAGATGATTGAACCGGTCGTCGTAACGTCTCAGGAGGAGATGCCTTCGCCGATAGGATCTGCTGGCGGTGAACGACGAAAAGGCCACCATAGTCGCACATCAAGTGGTGCTGAGAGTGTGAGCTATGCCCGTGATGGTGAGGGCGGTTGGGTCTTGGAACGGAGGCGGACCGATGAAGGCAGCGGGACTGAAGTTATTGACCGCGAGTATCTAGCCGGAGCTCGGATTTGAGAGGGATTCGTGTATGTATAGAATATGGTGAAGACGGCGACAGCTTGGACATTGTCATTTGGAAAAGGACTTGGAGACGACGTTATGATACCCCGATAGAATTTGAACATATAGCTACCTAGGTACCTACCTGGTACGGACGCTGCAGAGCGAACGCTGCACCGGCAATACGCAGTTGAGCTGCAAAATCCGTTTCCGAGGAGCCGGTTCTGGTGTTGGTGAAGCCTCTACCACAGGCGCACGCGGCGGCTACCATGTGCCAGCACCAGCCAGTTTGGCGTACGTAAGAGCCAATGGGGTGCCGGATGATGTATGCCAGATGACTTGTCGGCTTGACACATGTCGAGCCTGGGCGACGAGGCGTGACGAGTGAGTGGTCAATGGTGAGTGGCAGGGAGCATCTCCGCAAAATGCCTCAGTTTGTCTTGCCCTTGGCGACTTTTGAAACCTGAGACTGCGCAGCTTGAGCACCCGCTTAAGCTTGACGTTGACCTCAGACTTCACTCACTTCACCCTCGACGCCTCGGTGTCTCCCGTCGTTTGCCTGTCCACCTCCCGCCTCCTGGTCGGTGGTGCGATTTGTTCGTCCGGAGCACAATCTCCTCTCCCATGGACCCTTTTCTGTACCATTAGCCCACCTATTTCCAACACTATGTATCGTTACGCTGCGGGCAAGCTCCCGTCGAGGGCTGCGCAAGCTTCAAGATCTTTTCACACTACTCCCGCTTCACATGCGCTCTCTGGAGCTCGTCAGAATGCCCTCATTGCTGGGAGGAAACCACTGGCTGTCATGGCCCGCAGCTCGATGCTGCGCCGAAGCTATGCCATGGCAGCAGAAGAGTCGAACAAGGGAGTAGTATGCACTGCTCACAGGCCTCAATTGGTCCAAGGGCCGCAGCGCTGACTTTCAAACAGGACCCCAACGACTCGTTCCTGCAAGGGAACACAGCCAACTACATCGACGAGATGTACATGGCTTGGAAACGAGACCCGTCCTCCGTCCACATCTCGTGGCAGGCCTACTTCCACAATATGGAGGAAGGCACCATGCCGGTCTCTCGCGCGTTCCAACCTCCTCCCGGCCTTATATCGCAGGCTGAGGGTGCGGCCAGCCTGGCTCCGAGCGCAGTAACGAGCGAAGCCAGTGGGGATGTCACAAATCACTTGAAGGTCCAATTGCTCGTGCGAGCATACCAGTCAACCGGTCATCACAAAGCTAAGACGGACCCTCTTGGTATTCGTGGCGAGGCAGAAGCATTTGGCTACCGCAGACCAAAAGAGTTGGAGTTGGATCACTATGGCTTTACCGAGACGGACCTTGATCAAGAATTCACCCTTGGGCCGGGTATCTTGCCTAGATTCGCCACCGAGTCACGCAAGAAGATGAAACTGCGCGATATTATCGCCGCATGTGAGAAAATCTACTGCGGCTCGTACGGCGTTGAGTACATCCACATCCCCGACCGAGAGCAATGCGACTGGATCAGGAACAGAATCGAGGTCCCCACGCCATACAAGTACTCTGTCGATGAAAAACGCCGCATTCTCGACAGACTGATCTGGAGTTCCAGCTTCGAGTCCTTCTTGGCCACCAAGTATCCCAATGACAAGCGTTTCGGTCTGGAAGGATGCGAAACTCTCGTGCCAGGCATGAAAGCCATGATCGACAGGAGCGTCGACTATGGCATCAAAGATATCGTCATTGGCATGCCACACAGAGGAAGACTGAACGTCCTGAGCAATGTTGTTCGAAAGCCGAACGAATCCATCTTCAGCGAGTTCTCCGGGACAACCGAGGCCAGCGATGAAGGCTCGGGCGACGTGAAATACCACCTGGGCATGAACTTTGAACGACCAACGCCATCGGGAAAGCGTGTCCAGCTCTCCCTTGTCGCCAATCCGTCCCACTTGGAAGCTGAGGACCCTGTTGTGCTCGGAAAGACTCGCGCCATACAACACTACAACAACGACGAGAAGCAACACCTGACTGCCATGGGTGTACTGCTTCACGGCGATGCTGCTTTTGCGGCACAGGGCGTCGTCTACGAAACTCTCGGCTTCCACGCTCTCCCCGCTTACTCGACTGGCGGTACTATCCACATCATTGTAAACAACCAGATCGGGTTCACTACGGATCCTAGATTTGCTCGATCGACACCTTACTGCTCGGACATTGCCAAGGCAATTGACGCTCCGGTGTTCCACGTCAACGGTGATGACGTCGAAGCCGTCAACTTCGTGTGCCAGATGGCTGCCGATTGGAGAGCCGATTTCAAGAAGGACTGTGTCATCGATATCGTGTGCTACCGCAAACAGGGTCACAATGAAACCGATCAGCCCTCTTTCACGCAGCCACTCATGTACAAACGAATCGAGTCGATCAAACCGCAACTCGACAAGTACGTCGACAAGCTGCTGGAAGAAAACACCTTCACCAAAGACGACATCGACGAACACAAGAAATGGGTATGGGGCATGCTCAACGACAGTTTCGACCGGAGCAAAGAGTATCAACCCACAGGCAAGGAGTGGCTCACTTCGGCCTGGAACGGCTTCAAATCACCCAAAGAGCTCGCCACCGAGGTTCTTCCTCATCCGCCAACCGGCGTCCCTTCAGATATGCTGAAGGAGATCGGCAAGAAGATCGGCGAGGCCCCAGAAGGTTTCACTGTGCATCGCAACCTCAAGCGTATTCTTGCTGGCCGCCAGAAGGCGGTTTCCGATGGTAAAGGCATTGACTGGGCGACGGCCGAGGCTCTTGCTTTCGGTACCCTTTGCCTCGAGGGCCACCATGTACGTGTTTCCGGTCAAGATGTCGAACGTGGCACATTTTCGCAGCGACATGCCGTCCTGCATGACCAGGAGACCGAAGGCACGTGGACGCCACTCAGCAATTTGTCCCAGGAGCAAGGAGCCTTCACCATCTCCAATTCGTCCTTGAGTGAGTTCGGTGTTCTCGGCTTTGAATACGGTTACTCACTCTCGTCGCCCAATGCGCTCGTCATGTGGGAGGCTCAATTTGGAGATTTTGCCAACAACGCCCAATGTATCATCGATCAGTTTATCGCTTCAGGAGAGGTCAAGTGGTTGCAGAGATCCGGCTTGGTTTGCTCTTTGCCTCATGGTTACGATGGACAGGGACCCGAGGTAAGCTTTTGGCAGAAGGCCGCATAAAGACACCGAGACTAACTGTTACCCTCAGCATAGCAGTGGCCGCATGGAACGATATTTGCAACTTTGCAACGAGGAGCCACGTGTGTTCCCGTCGCAAGACAAGCTCGACCGACAGCATCAGGACTGCAACATGCAAGTCGCGTATATGACAACGCCTTCCAACTATTTCCATATTCTCCGGCGACAGATGAACCGACAATTCAGAAAACGTAAGTTTCATGCCCCCAAGGATAGATGCAACTCTTCTGACCCTAATCTAGCATTGATTGTGTTCTTCTCAAAGTCCCTTCTCCGACATCCTCTTGCACGCTCCAACCTTGAGGACTTCGAGGGCGACTCTCACTTCCAATGGATCATCCCAGACCCAGAACACGGCAAGGCAATAGCTGAGCCCGATGAGATTGACCGGGTCGTCATCTGCACGGGTCAAGTTTACGCGGCTCTGCACAAGCACCGTGGCGACAAGGGGTTCAAGAACACTGCCATCACGCGTATCGAGCAGCTCAACCCCTTCCCATGGGCCCAGCTCAAGGAAAACCTCGACACGTACAAGAACGCCAAGACGATCGTGTGGTGTCAGGAGGAACCTCTCAACGCCGGCGCATGGAGTTTCGTCCAGCCGCGTATCGAGACTTTGTTGAATCAGACGGAGCACCACAACAGACGGCACGTCATGTATGCTGGCAGAGATCCTAGTGCGTCGGTGGCCACGGGCACAAAGGCCAACCACGTCAAGGAGGAGCAAGCATTACTTGAGGAAGCGTTCAAGGTGACGCAGGATAAGTTGAAGGGCGAATGACTAGCCGACGGTGTGACTGGGGCCACAGTGCTTGGCTGAACAGAACATATTAGGAGGAAATTGCATGTACAAGACGCAGGCAGCGTTGCCTACGAGCACTCGTAGACCTGAGACGGTCAGTTGCTAGCTTTCATAGCTAGTATTGAGAAACATTTTTTTGGCGTCCCGATCGAGATAGTATAGTACAGGACGCAACTGTGCCGTGCGTGCCCAGTGGGCAGGTTCGACGCGTAGAACTGTCAAGCGTGAGAGCCGTCAAGAAGCTTTAGGTCGAGCGACACTGAAGGCGGCAAGGAGGCCAAGGTATATCTGTATACAACGACAGCAGCCAGGTCGAAGAATACCATGACGTTGACGGGTGGTTGACATTGTGGCACGAACAAAACGTGATATGATGATGCTGATAAAGTCAATCAGTACCATGTACTCCGTAGTGATCTGATTGATCATGAGAACGGACCGTTAAGATGACGAGGTGAGAGTCAAGGATGAGACCTGTGAGGCTGGCTGTAGACCGACCTTCCAGGAGGTGTCTAGATGCCGTATGGAGTACAGTACCTACTGAAGGTGTACCTACCTACCCTAGTTTGATATTTAGCTCTCACTTACACCCTGAGCGTCGTCCAAGCTATATCATCGCAAGCGCAGTCACGCAAAAGTCCTGCAGAGACACGAAGAGGTACAGTATATACGGTCCACAATACGGAGTACTGGCAGCTGAGTATCGAGTTCCAGTAACCGCGGACGGCAGTGGGCATATCGATCGGCCTGTTCCGGCGCGTGAGATGGATGTCATGCTATGAATGCCCTACATGCCATTGCCATGCGAGAGACGTATCCCGTTTCCGTAGATTGGTCGGTCGGTCCTCTGCACTTTTGTCTTGTACCGTGGATGGATCAATCAATCCGCATACAGGACCACCCCCGCCCGGTACGGAAGATGGTACTGTACTGTAGTAGGCCGGCGACAATCCGTGGACACCAACACCAACACCGGTAATTATCTACCACGCCATGGCATCCCTACGACATTCCGGGACAGAGTACTCCGTACTCCGTATATAGACGGATATGTCAGTCGTGAAGCCCATTCATCCACGCAATGCATCATCAAGTCGTAAATTCAATGGGCCTGGCTACGAATGTCTCTGCCGCTTTCTGTCCGTGCGTCTCCGCCTCTCTGCCCCTACCTCTCTCGTGGGCCGAGTCCATCTAAGCCATATACTCCCTGACGTTCCTCCTCGCCCCCCTCCTGGCCTTCGCGCCCCCAGTCAACGCCTTGGCCGCATTATCGTTCGGTTGGGCATCCCCGAACCCGCACCCGCCGTCGCGCGTCTGCGCGATGATCGCGCCCGCGCATTTGCCCGTGTTGAAGGCGCAGCATCCGCTCGCGCAGTCGGCGTCGCTGAAACATTGGCCCGTGATGAATTGGCTGGCGTCGCCTTTGCCGACGTTTGCGGAGCCGGGGATGGAGGTGTCGATGGCGCCGCTCGAGGACGTGCTGGCGCCTGAGCCGGTGCTTGAGCCAGCAGTACCTGAGCCAGACGATGACGACGATGACGATGATGACGATGATGACGACCCCGACGATGATGTATCACTGCCGGCTGCTGGCGAAGTTGGCTGTCCGCCACGTAGAAGCTGGGCGGCGTTGTCGTTGGGTTGGGCGTTGCCGAAACCGCACCCGCCGTCACGTTCTTGGGCGACGATAGCGCCGGCGCATTTGCCTGAGTTGAAGCCCTGAGGGATCGAGTAACGATGTTAGTATACATACATATGTGCTTTGCTTGGTTGGCTTGTGGGCCACATGATTATGATACGATAAAACAGGGATCGTAACTCACACAGCATCCACTCGCGCAGTCCGCGTCACTGGTGCATGCCCCCGTGATGAATTGAGTGCCTGTGCCGACGTTGCCGCCGCCGCCACTGCTGCCACCCGCCGCTGCAGTGTTCATGGCAGCAGGAGCCGCCGCGGCAGTTGCTGGTGATGTCGCTTCCGCTCCCGCCATGCCGGCCGACTGGGATGCAAAGAATGCCTGGGCTGCAATGTCGTTGGGCTGGGCGTCGCCGAAGCCGCACCCTCCGTCGCGGGTCTGGGCGATGACTGGACCGGCGCATTTGCCCGAGTTGAAGCCGCAGCAAGAGGACGCGCAGTCGGCGTCGGAGGTGCAGGGGCCTGTGATGAATTGTGTGCCCTGGCCGAGGGTGTGGTGGGTGAGGGAGAGGAGGACCAGGATTGCCTGGGAGATGGTGAGGGTGCTTTTGGCGTACATTGTGTAGAGATTTCCGTCCAGCGGTCTTGATAATGCAATCGGTGGAGAATTGAGTGGATGGGTGAGTGAATATTCTGTTGGCACAGCGAATACCGCGCAGCGATGGGAATGGAAGACCGAATCCTAGAGAACGAATTGAAGTAACTTTTGTCGCACAGCGAGAGCAGAAGCAGAAGCAGTTGAGGGAGAGACCGACTGGCTGTGACAAGAAGAGAGACCTCAACGTGCCGCAACAGGCGGCACAGTCTGCGTATTTGAAGGCATCTTCAACATGCAAGCAGTACTCACAGCCTCCTTTCCACCGCCATTTTCATTACCAAATCCGTCGAATGGGTCGGACGCCGTTCTACTGCGAACAAAGGCTGGATTCCAATGACTTGACAGGGTCTCATTAAGGGCTATGCTGTTAGTCCAATGGACCTTCAAAGTCGAAGAATCACCCGCTGCAGCTCAAACAGGGCGCCACGAGGCTGAGACGAGAGACTTCGAGACAGCCTCGTCGCTTTGTCGCAGGTCCGGCGTTACCGCCAAGGGGCGCATGCGGGGGACGGTCGACACGCCACGCGATTGGCCTGGTGCGAGGGCCCCTGGTTCGGCTTTGAAGCACCCATCGTGGCAGCTTGGGGCTGTGTTTGAGTTGTCGTTTCAGTGAGAAGGCGTGCCCTCTTGTTCCCTGCCATCACCCAGTACCACCTGGAATCCGGCTGACCAGTGCTGCGTGAAGTAGCGTCCCCTGAGTCTTTGGGATCTGAGTTCCGCGTCTTCAAGTGGCTTCCCTTCCAGACGGTGAAGCCGCGGCCAGACGGTGGCTTTGCGCAGGCGCGTCATAAAACTGCTGCGAGCACCACGAGCACCGCTTCACGTCAACTGACTACGTGCACAGTACGGGGTAGCACCTCGAACGGCTCTTGCTCCTCCTCGCCAATCGTACTTTTTGCGCCTCCTGTTTGGACAAACGGGATAAAGCGGGCAAGCATCGTTCTTGCTTGTCTCCTGAGGAGTGAACGGCTTTACGCGTCGCATTGCGGCGCAGGACGCAACGGAGCACACAATTCACAGGCAACGCCTCATCTGAAGATTGCATCTCCGCCATTTATCAGGATTTCTCTTCCTGTCCGCTCACATACCGACAGTCTATTATGCCCAAGCCATGCGCTGCACCCGCTCGCGTCTTGACGCAAGCCTTACCTGCTGACATAGTCTAGGTCTTCCTGTGTGAGGGTAGCGCCAAATTGATAACCCCCATCAAAACTCTCGTTCGAGATCTGACGCGCCCTCCCTTCCTCCCCGAAGCTGGCTGAGCACCTGTTAGCGGTCCCAGTCGCAGAACCACGAAGATGACACGAGGACTCGCGTGCCGTCATACAGGGGGCAATGAAGCAACTTGCAGACGGCAGTCGGGGTGGTTTAAGGAGAATCATCTGAGAGGGTTCAAAATTCGATGCAGAATGGAACATGAAGACATTTCTTCCCCGTCGTCAACCTCGTGCTGCGGAGCTCTTCTGTGCCAGTGGAGTTCTCGACCTCTACGTCTGCTGTTTACTCCCTTGCCCTCGATCATCGGTGGGTGGCGCGTCAACTCTCCACCATTAGATGGCAGTGCTCCGAATACGATATGAAGGGTATACACCAGATCTCTGTCCGCCTTTCAATGAAAACAGTCGGCCCACATTCATGACGATCCTGGCGTTTCCGCATGTCAGCTCAATGATCGAGACTGGCGACGAAAATCTGCAGCAGTTTACACATTTCCAGGTTTGACGAGTGAATCTGCAATCGGATTCGGAGAACATGCTTCTCCCATACTGTATCCCGTGCTATCTGGTTTCCCAGCCAGCCCGATTCCCTTGCTCAACCAACCGGTTAGGGATACTGTAACTGAACCTTCGGCAGGGAATATGCCACCCCCACAGAGCATGCATGATGTGCAACCCGTGGTTGATCAACCTGATACATCACTCTCATCTGCGTCTGAGTTCAACCAGTCCGCTTGAGAGGTGCCATCGGAGCCGACAACTGAGTCAACATCCGCCCTAGACATATCCGGAATGACCAACGCATAACCTCGGAGCTGCTGTCTTTGTGTACGTGTGCGGTTGCAATTCTCTTGTCATTACTGTCCTTGAACCGAATTGAGACGACATCTTCGTTGTCTGAAGGGTCGTCGTAGGACTTGTGGGGTTGCGAGCCTCTGGTTATCGACCTGTTAGATACTCGTAGGATTCGTGGCCCGATGTGGATGGCTTGTGGGGTTATTACTTTATTTCCGCTTTTGTGACCGATGGATTCTAGCAAAACCTCTCAGATTCTTTCTGAGTGGCGTCCTTTGGCTGATGGGCTTGGCTCTTTCTCAGATTGTTCGCAACATAGCTTCACACTGTTATACCAGATTGGCTCTTTAATTTGTTCCAGCTTCGTTTTGCCTACATAGTCCAAAGCTTCTTTGCGGTAGCGGAGAACATGGTTGCTGTCTCGGTCTACGTGGTCGTACTATGTGTATCCCTATCAACAAACTCCATCTGAATATATAGCCTTCTCGAGACTCTATGAGAGGCCCAGTGAACTCCTGCCTCGTAACGCTGTGAGCGCTTCAACCCGTGCCCTGATTTGGTTTATCACTTACTGACCGTGCGCGACCGCCTGGGGCCATTCACGCAGCTCGATCTGCCGGCGGTCGGCGTTGTCGTTTTTCCTTCCTGGTCATTTAGAGAGTCAATACTCCGTACTTTGTAATGAAAGCTGGTTCACCGGGGTTGCACCTTCTGGTATTGTATCTTTGCCGGCGATACGCCTGTGGAATAGATATGCGTTTTTCACGTTTCTGGACCCCCCTGCAAACTTCAATCACTGTCAATTCAAAGCCTCGGCCGCACATGGCAGATCTGGTGCGATGGACAAGGAATATATTGCAACCTGCCACGCCGCCACGGAGGTCATTCACGCGTGAAGCAGAAGCTTTGGGCCCAAGTCGATCCGTTGAAGAGGAAACCCTCCCGGATTATGAGCCGGATGAGTTCTACCCGGTTCATATAGGCGATGTGTTCAATGGGAAGTATCAGGTGGTGGGCAAACTTGGCTTCGGCGCAAACTCAACTGTCTGGCTGTGTCGCGATACAAAGTATGATACTGCGTTACCTCGGTGTTTTCGTGCTCAGCACCAACTGACTTACCTCCCCAGAAGACGCGTTCGCGACTACGTTACCCTCAAGATATGTACCAAGACGCCTACTGCAGCGATCAATCGCGAGATTCTGGCGTACCGCCACCTGGAGTCTTTACGTTCTTCGTACCCCGGCCGGCACACATATACGGGGACTCATCGACTCATTCGAAGTCGTACGACGAGATGGCAGCCGTCACCACTGTTTCGTTCATCAGCCTTTGCATTTAACAATGTGGAATCTACGCCGGCTGGGAGGAACTCCTACGGTCTTCCCACAGGATGTGGCCAAGAGCGCGCTTCGGTAGTTGCTTCAGGCGCTGGATTTCCTCCACAAAGAGGTCAATATAACACACTGCGGTCGGTACTTCGCAAGACATGATTCATGGGGAGGCGCGATCCCTCGGTTGACAGATCGGCCGTATCTCAGACATCAAGCTCAGCAACATCATGCTGACCATCGAGGACAAAGGCGTGCTTACCTATTTTGAGGACACTGAGCGGGAACATCCCTGTCCGGGCAGGATTGTAGACCACGAACGTACAATATACGCGTCGTGATCATTCCGCTGGCCGAAGAACCACAGTTAGGGTGCCCCCAGTATTGTGTGACTTCGGGGAGGCTCGCGTTGGGGGCTCTTATTCCTACGAGGAGATCCAGCCAGAGGTGTACACGGCGCCCGAGATCATCATGCAGACGGACTGATCGCACCGCGCCGATATCTGGAACGTGGCATGTGTGGTGAGTCAGCCGGCCTGCATCTCCTCTTGTCTTGCTCGTCACGTTATCTGGCTCATCATTAAGTCTCATGTTATTCTAGGCATGGGACATGATGGAGAATAAGCGTCTCTTTGACGCACGAGATGACGAAGGCTTCCACAATAACAGGTACCACGTTGCCGAGATGGTGGCGTACTTGGGCATTCCGCCGATGGAGTTCCAGCGCCGGAGTCCAAACACGGCATTGGTATTTGATGAGGAAGGCGAGTTCTGATTTTCATGGGCTGTTGATGCTCATGCTGACACATATTTACTCTAGGGAATTGGGGAGGTAATCCGCCGTTACCACCACTCTCGCTTGAGGATACCGAAGGACAGCTCGACGGCGCTAACAAAGTCGCATTTCTCAATTTCATGCGCTCGATGTTGACTTGATTGCCAGAGCAGAGAAAAAGTGCTAGAGAGTTGTTAAAGGACCCATGGTTGAGTGCATGAGCGCCAGCAACAGGACTCACCACAGGTCGCAGTGGGCAGTCTATTTGTGCTCACTCGCCCGACCAAGCTGTATCGCGACCATACCTCGGTGATTAACCTTATTTCCCGCAAACACAACGACGACGACGCTCATACACTTGTCATAGTCAAGCATGATAGAGACCTACCTCCGGACATCTGCACACCTCGATAACAAGGCAAACTCTTGTTCACGTCGCTGAGACGAGGAACGCGGACTTGTCCGAACCAAAGCCGCCGGCCAGCCAGCCTCACTGCGATCCCCTACCATGCCATATAGTATGAATCTGTCAACTAAATCCAGAGCGTTTCCTCACAAATGGCGTTCCTGCCTCCTCGCCGACGGTCCACGCACACCGTCCCAATGGCAGACATCATTCGTCGGAACGCCCAGGGCCACACAGAAGTGAGAACGGGGCTAGGCTGGCGCAAGGTACTCTCCCCGAGCAGGGCGGAAGCGACAACTGCCCATCTTCCCGTCATCGACATCACCGATATCACGCACGCGGACCAGACCCGGCGAAGGACTGTCGCAAAGGCAATATGCCACGCCGCTTCTAATGTCGGATTCTTCTACGTCCAGGGGCACGGCGTGCCTGACGAGGCTGTCACGTCCATCTTCGCGGAGAGTAAGCGGTTCTTCCACGACCTGACGCTCGACGAGAAGATGGAGTATGACACGGAGAGGCATGCGCACTATTATGGGTATTACCCCATCAATTTGGACGAGGGCATCCCTGCTGGGGCCAGTAAGTATTCCTTCCATTAAACTTCGTGGATGGGTCCAATAACGGTGCCCTGCTTTTGTGGTCGTGGTCGTGCTCATGGTCCTCACCTATTTACTTCCTGCCTTTCTTTACTTGCCTCGGTTACTTACCTGCGGTGCGGTTCTAGAACTGAACGAAGGTATCAACTACGGGTACGAGGCTTGTTGCGATCCCGATGTTGCATCCGAGCCCATGCCTGCCAACAGTAACAACGGCGACAACTGGTGGCCGTCAGAGGAACGTCTGCCCGGCTACGAGCGCCAAGTCAAGGGATATATGACGCACATGCTCAGGCTGAGCCGGTCCCTGCTGCGCATGTTTGCGCTGGGTCTTTATCTGGACGAGCATGCGTTCGACCACCTCGCCACGAAGCCATATTCCATCTTGAAAATGGCGCATTATCCCGGCAAGGGTCAGGGACAGCTCTCTGGCACGGACGCACCATCAACCATCCGTCCGCATACAGACTATGAGCTTTTGACGATCCTGCTGCAGGACGACATCCCTTCACTGGAAGTGTTGTCCAACACCGGACATTGGATCCAGGCGGCGCCTATACCCGGCACTTTTGTCGTCAATATTGGAGATTCGCTGTCCATGCTCACTAATGGGCTGTTCGTGTCTACAATGCACAGGGTGATTAATGTGTCGGACCGGGCTCGATATTCTGTGCCGTTCTTCCTGGGTGGTAAGTACAGGATCTGAATTGAGCCCTTCCATGCCCTGCACCCGCTCGTCATCCCCATTCTATGGAAACCCATATTGACTCTTTGCAGCAAATCAGGACGCGGAGTTAAAGGCCTTGGACAAATTCGTGAGCACTGAGAATCCTGTAAAGTTCCAGCCCATCATGTCGGGGGAATATATTCGGCGGTCACTGCAGGCTGTTTACTCCAAGCCGGATGTGGAAATCATCAAGGACACGATCGAAGTGCGTGGATAGGATAGCTTTAAAAAGGAGATCCGTGGGGCGTTTGATGGAGGACATTAAGACGATTGTGCCGGGAACCATAACATAATTATCCCGGAGTAAAGGAGATTCATCGCAGGTTTGGAGGGCAAGTGTGTTGTTGTATCTCATGATGTACAAGACGGAAGGACATGGAATTGTCGCAGTCGAAGTAAACGCGCTTGACCCGCGATCGCGCGTCGTGTTATCTGGTTGGACGTAGCAAATGCTATTCCGCAATGACCAGCCCACCGTATCACTGTAAGCGCTGAGCCAGATGACCAAAAAACTTGCACACCTAAGTTATGACTAAGGTTACTCTTCACGATCAATCGGAATCTTTAGTGGTAGCTAACATACTCCGTATATAAGTGGATAAGCCTACTCTATACCTTATACGCTACTTAACAGTACCAGTATTACATAGCATTGTCAAAGGAAGCTTCGGTTTTCATGTCATCAGGCTCGAGCTTCGCGTCCGCTTCCGCTTCCGATTCCATCAAAACGCAACTCCATTCTGAGGGCCGTCATAAGCTGCTGACCAGGGGCCGAATCCTGCGAGTTGCTGGCTTACTATTCACGTCACGATGATGGACCCCCTGGTGCCACCACCACCACTGCAGAGCTCATACGAGCTCTTGCGCCATGGTGCGAGCTCTTAGCGGTTCATCAGGCCTGCAGAATGACCAAAGCGGACCTCGTTGACTCGGTTCTGACAGGTTCCAATGAGAGGACGATAACTCAGCTCCGCAGAGGATCTTCACATGTCCGCTAACCTACTCTGAGATACTCCGTGTAACCAAGAAGGTGCACTGCACAAGGTGTTATGCATGATTTAGGCCACCAAGTCTAAGATATGGCAATTGGCATTGCCGGTCTTTGCCCCAAACCCAACTTGCCTCAATATCTCCAGTGTGATTTGCAAGACTAGACGGCTCGGCATTCTTCTGTCACTTAACTGTTTGCTAACCTCCCTGTTCTTCTAGTATCACAGTTCCGATACAACTTCCGACAGCCACCATAGTCGGACAAGCAGCTACAGCGGTACCTCCAACCCAATCGGTGCCGGGTGAGCAGCAGAAAGCTGAAGTCGATCCGGCTATCTCGGGCCAAATCAATGGCGCTCAGCCCGAGCTCTCAACCGCCGCAGCACAGGCTGCCTTGATGATCCAGCAAAAGTACAATGAAGAACGCTCCAAAAGGATTCGGCCTGATGGCGATGCCCAGTATGTGGATCTTTCGGTCTCGGAGCAATTCAAGCATTATCGCAAAGATCCCTGGCTCGACGAGCGGTCGGAGACTGTCACTATCCGTGATGGCGAGCATATCAAGTATTTCATTCTGGGTGCGGGCTTTGGCGGTCTGGTGTATGCAGTCAAACTCATCAAAAGCGGCATCCCGGCATCCGAGGTTCGGATTGTCGATTCTGCTGGAGGGGTCGGAGGGACGTGGTACTGGAACAGATATCCAGGCCTGATGTGCGACATTGAAGGGTACTGCTATCTCCCCCTTCTGGAGGAGATGGACTACATACCCAAACACAAGTACTCGTACGGCTATGAAATTCGGGAATACATGAACAAGATTGCAGCAAAATACGGACAATCTGACACGGCTATGTTCCGAACTAGTGTCAAACGTCTCGTCTGGGACGAATCAGGCAAGCAATGGAAAGTCACCATGACCAAGGAACGTACCTCGGACACTCCTCTCGAGATCAACATCACTGCTGAATTCGTCATATCCATCTCCGGGCTTCTGCTGCATCCGAAGCTCCCTGCTATCTCGGGGATCGAAGACTTCAAGGGGACATCATTCCACACTTCTCGCTGGGATTACTCTGTTACCGGGGGTTCGCAAGACAACCCCGTGCTTGGCAAGCTCTCGGACAAGCGCGTCGGCATCATTGGGACTGGCGCCACGGCCATCCAGGCTGTGCCGCATCTCGCCAAGTATGCTAAAAGCCTCACCATCTTCCAACGCACACCGAGCTCAGTCGATGAACGCGGCCAACACCAGACCGATGAGTCTACGTGGAGCTCCAAGATTGCCACAAAGCCAGGCTGGTGGAAGGAGCGGAATCTCAACCTAGCAGCCCACCTCTCGGCCGCAGTCGAGCCCGGCGCGACCAACCTTGTGGACGATCAATGGTCTAAGTGTCGCGCGTACCGCGCCCTGGTAGGTGGGCCCAACCCGCCACTCTCGATGGAGAGCATCCCTGCATTCGTGGCCTCGCTTTACGCCAGTGACCTCCCTCGAGCGGAACGCATCCGCCAACGAGTCGACAATATTGTCAACGACAAGACCACCGCCCACGCGCTCAAGCACTGGTACGGCACCTGGTGCAAGCGCCCGACCTTCCACGACGACTACCTCCCCGTGTTCAACCAGCCGAACGTGCGACTCGTGGACACGAGTGGCAAAGGCGTCGACGCCCTAACCGCCACATCCGCCATTGTCGGATCCACCGAATACCCGCTCGACATTCTGATCTTCAGCACGGGATTCCGCGCGCCCATCATCGGTAGCCCGGCCTTTCGCGCGGGCATGACCATCACAGGCCGTGGGGGACAGGACATGGACGCCAAATGGCGCGACAACGTATCCACCCTGCACGGCACCCTGACGCGCGGGTTCCCCAACTTCATCATGCCGGGCCCCTTTCAGGCGGGCGCAACGGGGAACCAAAACTTCACGCTCGACATCATGAGCAACCACGCCGTCGAGATCCTTAGGCAGGCTCAGGCACGGTTTCCGGGCCAGAAGGTCGTGATCGAGCCGACGGTCGAGGCCGAAGAGAAGTGGTCGGCCGAGATCGCCAAGCGGAGTATGGCGTTTGCTGCCATGGCCGGGTGCACGCCGTCATATCTGAACGGCGAGGGGATCATGGACAGTTTGCCCATGGAGGTTAAGATGAAGGCTGCGCGCATGGGCATCTGGGGCGAGGGAATTGAAAGTTTTATGAACACGCTAGAGGCATGGGAAAGAGACGGAGGGCTAGAGGGTCTAAATGTCACGCCTGTGGCGGCGAATCTCAGTAGGTGGGTAAGTATGTGACTCAATTGGAGGACATGATGGATTCCAGAGGGGTCTGGGCAGAGACCCAGCTATATAGTTACGGAGGCGTATGTAAACAATACGGTATCGTACAATAGGGTGTATGGCCCATTACAGCCCTTGGCACTGTCTGGCCAACCCTTCGGATAACCTTCCCAGTCACAAGTACCGAGAGTGGCTGTCACGTGATGGTACTAGGCCCGACTGGGACTGGTGGCACTTGCCATTCTTCGAGTCCTTATCACTCTCTGCCCCTCTTCCTTCTCTCCCTACTTCCTTCAGACATGTGCTTAACAACAGTGAAATGATGGCATTGCAGCCCTCTTAGCTGTCACTGTGACGGGAAAGATCTATATCTTAGCTATCCGGCTGGGCGATAGAGTCATCTGCTTCCAGGACTCTACAAACCGAAGAGAACCTCGAGCCTAGACCAAGGCTGGTTGGGATCGATCCGCACGCACCAACAGAGCCACGCTTCCTCAACCCGCAATTGTTCTTGTCAATCCATGCTGGCTCCCGGATAGACGCACGATTCATGGGCCCGAAGCACAATATCACGCTCATGAATGGCTTCCTCGGCCAGACTGAGAAGGGCAGGGACAAGGTCAAGGGTCGCCACGCGCCGAACGGACTAGCTATATTGGACTGTCAAAGTTGCGAGGCTCACAACGTCTCTCCCAGGAGTGGCCCGTACGACCAGCGTACATTCGTGTGACATTGGGAGCCGGGAGATGATAGCGAGGGTCCCCTGTGCGGAGCCTTAGACAGATCCCAGGTCGCAGCCTTGTGGCTGCTTTCACCCGTGCTAGCTGGAGGCGAGAAGCTCAATGACAGTGTTGCATTCGGCGTGGCGCGCACGTCTGGGATAGATCCAGACCCTCGCTCATTTTGTCTAGGATTCGCAAGGCTTCCAAGCTCGTTCTTCCCAGTGCTCAAGAACCAGTTATCGTCCGATCTCCGGACGCATGGATCGTCCGGCCCTGGTACGGGCTCTAACCCAGATGGGGCACCTTACTGCACAACGGGCATGCACATGCATGGGCAGGACCCCAGGGTTCCGCACGCCAGATGTATATCTTCACCGACCTCGTCCGGTACTCTGCCTGTGACTATCCCGCCTTTGTCCCCGTGAAAGACAGTCCCCGATTAAAGTATGCATTTCCGGTTCCATGAACCACTTCAGCCTCGACGAAAGGGACTTGCTTAATGGCACGCAGCGCCTGCAACAGGCCCAGATCCCGCAAATCAGCACCACAACAGCAAATTGCGCCACCGCAAGTTCCGTTCCTAACGTCCATTCCCATGCCGACGTCCACTACTTTGGCACGCACACGCTACCAGTATCGTCACCTGGGCTAGCACTACAACAGGCACCTCACGTCACGACCGTCAATACCAGTATTAGTTTCTACCCGAACATACAGAGCAGACCTCCGGTTCATGGCCACCAATACTCCCCCAACGGATTAAGCTTGGATATCTTTCCGACGAGCCCGTCCGAGGCCGCAGAGGTGGCCGCCAAGGAGGAGCGACGGCGACGAAACACCGCTGCGAGTGCACGCTTTCGGCAGAAGAAAAAGCAAAAGGAAGAGGCCTTGGAGACCAGGATGGCGAATGTGCAGGGACGGAGCGCCGAGCTTGAGGAACGGGTTCATCAGTTGGAAATGGAGAACAGGTGGCTCAAGGAATTGATCACGGAGAAGAACAGGAAGCCTGCCAGCGACGACGGGGACCATTCGCATGACGAACTGGAAGATGACTAACGGCGATCGCGTACGGGACGTGCTGCTAATGGGAGGAGCATGAGGAGCGGGACGAGCGTGACGAGCGCGACAGATGACGGCGAATCGAGCTAGTGAAGGGGGGAAGAAGGGAAGGGCAGAGAAGGTAACGGTAGCATGCATGCCATGAAGGATGGGAAGCACCTTTGGGTCACGCGGTGCCAGAACATAGGCCGCCGGGCATAGTGATTAGGCTCAGATTAGGGCGAGGGTTCGAGGAAGGCCCGGTTAATTACAGTTATTTCACCACCCCATCGACTCGGTGCCAAAGCCTGTGTCAATGCCTGTACCTGTGCCTGGGACGCCGAGAAGTTGGGCATGATCAAACACGAGGGTACACAGAGGTAAGTACGTTCTTCGGCGCACCAGCGCCCCATCTGCCCGTCTGATCGTGAGCGTGCGCACTCACTCCTGCACGCTCTTATCCTGCATCTGCATCCCGGCGGCCCAAATCGTGTAGATCGTCCAACCAGCCAGCACGCAAGCATATCACGCAAGCCAGAAAGCAAGCTTGCCTCCCCAGCAGATTGGCCGGAGAGGGAGGGCCCATAGTGATATCAAGGCTGTTGCTGCGTTGCGGTGCTGAAATTGACGCCGTGGTGCTGACGATTGGAGGTCGTCGGTGATCACGCAATATGGTGGGACAGCACGCCATTGCTTGGTGGGACAAGGGGCCGGGGCGGCAGGACGAAAAGGGGGCCTGGCCTTGTCCGCGTGGGGGTCCATGGCGGACCACGCTGTACGAAGGTACAGTACTTGGTATTTCCCCGTGGTGGTGGATATCTCCTTGCGTGCCTAGGCCACCGCCGTCCAACTGCTGTGCTCGTACTTCTAACCAGCGGCCTTGCACGTGTTGCAGTACACGCCATAGTACCCTTTCCATACTGTGAGCTCATGTGCTTGCACTGTCGCCTCATCGCCTGCTTCTTCCGCCCGTGGATACTGTCGCATAAGTACAGCAGATTGTTGCAGCGGGCAGAAGGCAGGCACGGCGGCCAGGCACAATGTGGCCGTGGTTGCTCCCCATCGTCGTTGCTGCCGTCGCTGCGAACCTTGAATCTGATGTGCAACGACCTCTGGGGCCTGGCAGGGATTCTGTGCCTGGCTCTGGCTCCGAATCACGACCGAACATCATCTTCATCCTGACGGATGATCAAGACCTTCACATGAACTCCCTGGCCTACATGCCGTATGTGAAGAAGCATTTGATCGACGAGGGCACATTCTATCAGAGGCATTATTGCACCATAGCCCTGTGTTGCCCTTCGAGGGTGAGCTTGTGGACAGGAAGGGCCTCTCACAACACGAATGTCACGGACGTGAATCCTCCGTATGGTTAGTTGCGTTCCTTGTTGTTTGAGATCCTCCCTGGTGGCTCCCAGCCCTCTGTAGGGTAGCTCCATTCCCTGAGTGTGGCATGGAATTCCTGATATCGGCATTAGGCGGCTACCCCAAGTTTGTCAGCCAGGGATTCAACGAGGCGTGGCTCCCAATATGGCTCCAGGACATCGGTTACAACACCTACTACACCGGCAAGTTGTTCAATGCTCATAGCTTGAGTACCTACGACTCCCCGTTCGTCAAGGGCTTTACTGGCTCTGATTTCCTTCTCGATCCACACACCTATGAGTATCTGAATGCCAGCTTCCAGCGGAACCGAGAACCTCCGGTCAGCCATGAAGGCGAGTACTCCACCGATGTCCTAGCTGACAAGGCCTTTGGCTTCCTCGAAGACGCAGTTGCCGAGCAAAAGCCCTTCTTTCTGACCATTGCACCGAACGCCCCCCACAGCAACGTCAAGTTCCAGGAAGACTGGTTCAATGGCTCGGGCTCCGCACACACTATCTTCACGACTCCGCCCATCCCGGCTCAAAGGCACAAGGACCTCTTCCAAGACGCTGTGGTCCCGCGTACGCCAGGCTTCAACCCCGACGAGGTGAGTTCCCCAGTGATGGACGAGACACAACTAATCCTGGAGCAGCCTCATGGGGTGTCTTGGATCAGCGACCTGCCCCAACAGAACCAGACGAACCTCGACTTCAACGACGGGTTCTATCGAGACCGGCTACGCGCTCTTCAGGCCGTCGACGAGATTGTCGACGCCGTGGTTGATCGATTGACCAAACACGATATCCTGGATAACACGTACATTTTCTATTCCACCGACAACGGATATCACATCGGCCAGCACCGGCTTCAGCCAGGCAAAGAATGTGGGTTCGAAGAGGACATCAATGTCCCGCTGATTGTGCGCGGGCCGGGCGTGGCAAAGGGCAGAGTCAGTGAAATCGTGACCTCCCACACTGATTTGGCACCGACATTCCTGACCCTTGCGGGTGGAGAGATACGACCTGATTTTGACGGCGTGACCATTCCCGTGACGTCGGAGCAATTTGACGCGGCTGCCGGCGTCCGTGGCGAGCACGTCAACATCGAATACTGGGGCTTCGCACTCGCCGAGGGCCAGTACGGCAAAGCCATGTACTGGAACAACACGTACAAGGGCCTGCGGCTGATCGGCAAGACCTACAACCTGTACTACAGCGTCTGGTGCAGCGGGGAGCATGAACTCTACGACCTGACTGTAAGTGTGCCTGTGCCCCTGTCAACCTCTCTGCATTGTCAGGGCTAACGGTATTTGAATGCAGCGTGACCCCTACGAGACGCACAACCTCTACACCACCAATCATTCTTCCGCCTTCACTTTCCCGTCTTCAACACCTGGAGAACGAGCCCGACACATCACGCTGCAGCAGCTGCTGTCACGGCTCGATTCACTCGTCATGGTGCTCAAGACGTGCAAGGCCCGAAGCTGTACCCATCCCTGGGAAGTCCTGCATCCCGCTGGCGATGTGCATGACCTGCATGATGCTCTCGGCGTGCGATACGACGACTTCTACCAATTCCGACAGGAGAGGGTGCGCTACGAGAAGTGCGAGAAGGGGTATATTCTCGAGAGTGAGGGCCCTCGTCACGTCAAGGCGTATTCGCATTCGACCGATGAAATCGGCATCAGGGGAGGAGCACAGTGGAGTGAACTGGTGTAGTAAGAGACAGGGAAGGAGGAGTTAGAGATTGTGATCTGAGTACTTCGAGCCATATACTGTAAGATCAATGTCGCCGCTAGTCTAGCGGCACTGTCTTATGCAACCCGGGGTCAGATGCTTGCTCGTAATAGCCCCTGTCCTTTTCGCAAAGACCACCGATCCCAAGCATCATCGTGGACATCGCATGTGGAATGTGCAGTCTGTATGTCGCAGATCCTGTCACGCCACGCCGGACGACTCGGGCTGATCTGCCTTGTAGCGTACTAGTAGCAGGCATTAAAGAAGTTCCCGGGAGGGAAAGATCGAGGCACATCCGTGGATCCCTCGCTATCAGGCCGGGGTCGCATTCCCTTGTGCAGGCGCCACCAACGTGATGCCTCGTGCGTGCTCGTTAGGTCAACTTGCGTGATCAGGTCCAGCCCATGGAGGACGAAGAATTCACGGCAGCAAGCGCCGCTTGCTCCCCGCCTGGCGCCTTCTCGGCTTGGGCAACTTCCTCCCCGCGAGTCACTTACAGTACCTGTCTTTTCGATCTTGCTATTGACTGAGTTGGAGGTGCTTTGACCGAAGCGCCTTGTCCGACGGAAATGCTCCTGACTTGAGCGGACGTTCGATTGCCATGGCCGATGCGGACGTGGACGAGACAACCGCCCTGCTGCCCGCTGACCACGGCGCTCTTTCGGACGACTTGGAGCGACGGCAGTCTTATACCACCTCGTTGAGACGCATCTCCTCTGCCAACTTACCCCCGTACCACGAGGCCTGCACACCAAGCGGTGACGAGCCGTCTTCGGCGCTGACCATCTGGACCGTCGTGCCGGTGTCGCTACTCGGCGTCTTCGTCGCCAATCTTGACGGCAGTCTGATCATTGCCTCGAGCCAGCAGATCGCGTCCGAGTTCGATGCCCTGTCGAGCGCCTCGTGGCTGGTCACAAGCTTTGTGCTTGCCTTGTGTGCCAGCCAGCCCCTGGTGAGGATGACGATCTGAGAAGACCGCTAACACGGCTCATGTACTTCGGTGCTAATCCTCGCAACAGTATGGCAAGCTAAGCGACATCTTTGGCCGACGGAGCAACCTCACGGTATCGTACATCTTCTTTGCAGTTGGATGTTTTCTATGGTAAGGCTTCCATCTCCCTGACACGGTGTTACGCACTTGGCACTTGCTCAAGGCCTTGCAGTGGCGTTGGTCAACAGTACTGGCAAGTCATCGCGGGCCGCGCCATCTCCGGCGTCGGCGGAGCGGGCATGACGGCCTTGGTGTCTATCATTATTGCTGGTATGTTGCTTGCATATCTCGATAAGTGACACGACGTATAACCCATAACTCCAGACGTGGTTCCCGTGAGGGAAGTTGCAAGCTGGAGGAGCTACGTCAACATCGCCGCCACGACGGGAAGAGCCCTAGGTGGCCCGCTCGGAGGTGTTCTATGCGACACCATCGGCTGGCGCTGGTGCTTCTACGGTCAAGTGCCACCGACAGTCATCGGCCTTGTCCTTATCCTCTGGAAACTACCCAACAAGACCGTGAAGACGGCCAAGCCCGACGATGACCACGATTTCCCTTTCAGGCAGAAGCTGGCGAGGGTGGACGTGCCGGGCGCCCTTGTGCTGATGGCTTCCATCGTCAGCTTTCTGCTCGCTCTGGAGTTCGTGACCGAGGACCTCCCGATTGCTTACTGCGTGATCCCGGGCGTCGTCTCGTTCCTCAGCCTCGCTCTGTTCTATTACATCGAGAAACGATGGGCTAGCGAGCCCATTCTGCCGATCGATCTCTTCACCAACCCGGCCACTTTGACGGCCTACGCCCTCGCCGGGTTTCAAATGGCCGGCCAATTCGGCCTCTTCTACTCAGTGCCCATCTACTTCCAGATCATCTCCGGCACCAATGTCGGCCAGGCCGGCCTGCGCCTCGTGCCCTCCGTGGTCGGCAACGCCACGGCGGGCCTGATAGCAGGGTACATGATCTCCAAAACGGGCCGCTACAAGCTTCTCACCGTCATAGCCAACTGTGCGGGATGGGTGGGATACCTCTTGGTGTTGCTGCGCTGGGGCCGCAACACCATCCACCACCCGGCCGAAACCCTCTACATCTTCCTGGGCGGGTTTGCAACCGGCACGGACCAGTCCACCACGTTCGTCCACCTGGCCGCCAATCTGGACGCCAGCAGGATGGCCGTCGCAGGCACAACGCTCTATCTGGTTCAGAATCTGTTCCTCCTCCTCGGAATCCAGCTGGCCACGGCCATCCTGCAAGCCAGGCTGAGGATCAGACTCAACGAGGGACTAGACGGCGTGAGGCACAAGAAGAAGGTTCGTACTCTATACTCTATACATGTCCCGTATATATTACTACCCTGCGCTTTCCCCGTGCAAGCCGAAGCAGGCCAAAAAAAAGATGCCATGTTATACCGTACCATCCGCCGTCTGACCGCGCCATCTGGCCTGACCTGGACCATCTTAGATCATCGACTCGGCCGTCTCGAGCGTGCGCTCCATCCGAACCCTGCCCCTACGGATAAGGGTCCTCGTCATCCGCGCCTACCTCGACGGATTGGCGTGTACCTTTGGTAAGTGCCAGGGCTCCGTAATCACTGATCGTTCCGTCGACCACACCCACAAAACTTTGCACGTACCATCACTAACGGCGATTCGTCTTTCGGCATACAGCCATGTCCCTAGCTTTTGCCACATTGGGCGTCATCGCCGCGCTGCTTCTGCGGGAACGAAAGCTGTGATTAGTTGGAGCGTTGAGGGACGGGCGGGTGTGGGAAGGGAGAACTGAATTCACACGAAATGAAATGAGCTGAACTGATATAAAACCGAAATGACATGAACTGACATAGCCTGAACTGGCACGATTCGAACTGAACTGAACTGAACTGAAAACTGAACTGAAAACTGAACTGAACTGAACGGAACTGACGAGGGTTCGGTGGTGTGATGAAGTGGACAACCGACTGGCTGCGACACTCACAACATACGTATATATGATACATATGTATATGTCGGATGCAGGAGGGTGGACTGACGTATTACGTGGTACAGCATGACATAGAGCACAGCAGTATGTGGCGAGGAACCAGTCAGTCATATTCATAGTCAATACTCACGGTCAATCGTGTTCATCTTGATCCCATCCTGTATTTGCAGTGCTCACCCCTCAGCTCTCCTGCTCTACTCTATGGTATGTGTTTTGTACTTGACCCGATATGCAACCGCCGCATATTCCTTCTCTGACCACCTAGCCATCTCTGTCTCCCGCTCTGTAATGGTGCCGCGTCTTGCGCAGGATTCGCAACCTTCCCCTGCGGCTAAAAGTCGACGACTCGGCGACTCGGCAACTCGACGACCCATACATCGATTGTACATAGTACTTGTAACTCATGACATCACATTGCATGCTTTGACGTCGAGCTGGGTAACCCTCCCCCCGGCAACTCAATGCGCGAACCGGAAGTCCAACCGCTTATTCCCCCTATCGGTCGTTGTCTTGAGATACTCGACCCTCTCCTCCCTCGACATGCCATACCAGATGGCGTCGCGCTGGGCGTTCTTGCGCACGTAGTAGATCTTCCCGGCGACGAAAGCGACGGTGTTCCACGCCACGATGCCTAGCAGGACTTTGTTCCCCCGGTAGTAGTAGGGCTTGTCATCGTTGCGGTAGATCTGGGTCGAGATGATGTTGGACGTCTGCACGGCCATGTTGTACAGCGAGGACCCCACGGTGCGGGTGCGCACGGAGCCGGCGTTGCGCGACGTGAGGGCCACGAGGATGGCGTGCACGTACGGGTAGCCCACGAGCATGGTCGAGAGGACCCACTTGGACCAATTCGAGCCGTGGAATGTCGGCGGCAGGGTGACCAGCGCGACGAGCAAGGGAAGACACCACAGCTGGCAGATGACGCCCAGCAGCAGGCGCGAGTTCCACCGCTCCGACACCCACGTCCAGAAGAGCAGTTGGCAGATGAACAGCGTGTAGGCGGGGATCGTGAGCAGGTTGGTCTGGAACGTGTCGAAGCCCAGGGCCTTGCAGGTGAGGGTGATGTACGATTGTGGGGGGGTTGCTGGGATCGTCCACCCCAGGCCGATCAGGTAGATGGGCCACATGTCGTAGTCGGTCAGGGCTTCCTTGAAGAGTTTCCAGCTGAGGCCCTGCCGGTTGTGCATGTCGGATTTGCCCGGGTCGTCACGCAGGATCCGCGTCACCATGATGACCTCTTCGCGCTCAGTGAACCAGCCGCTCCGCGGCCGCAGGAGACCCTTGATGCCGTGGCGCGCCGTTTGTGTTGGGGAGGCGGGGAGATACAGCCAGGTGAGGATGCCGATCAGGCCGGTGAGACCGCCTTCGATGGCGAACAGGTAGCGCCAGCCTGCCGGTTTCAATTAGCATGCAAACCACCTAAAGTCAAGTTGAAGGACAGCGAGGAAGTATGTGAACTTACCCTCCATCCCGTGGTGGCCTCTCAGGTGGAGGATGCCATATGCCAGGAAGGCTCCGACAATCTGAGTGGATTGATAGGACGTCCAGAACCAGCTGAGCCGTTTGGGCAGTTCGCCGTTGGTGAAGAAATAGCTGAGGTACAGGATGGTGTCGGGGATGAAGCCGCCTTCGATAAAGCCCAGCAGGAACCGGCAGATATAAAAGCTGGTTTTCCCGGACAAGGCAGCCTGAGATGCGGCGACAGCGCTCCAGCACACCATTTGGATGGGAATCCAAATGTCGGGCCCGACTTTCTTGCTGATGAGCTGCGATGGAAGCTCGGCAAAGAGGAACGAACAGTAAAAGATCGTCATGCCATTGTTGTAGTCGTTGGTGTTCATGCCAAGGTCAGCTGCGCAGGTTGTTAGCATCTTGGAAAGCTTGTCACCGGGACCAAGCACATACTAAGCATGTTGTCGGACAGAGCTTGTGTGATATTGCCACGGTCAAGCTGCAGAGCGAAGAACATGATGCAAGCAGGAACTGCGATCAGCCAGTCAAGCTATCGACATGGTCAGCTGTGGTCAGGGCATATGTGTTGACTACCGCATCACATACCCTGCGGACCAATCTCTTTTCCTCTTCCGGTTCCCATGCGGCTGAAGGGTCGAAACGGTGCGAGCCTTCGAACTTGGCGGTAGGCTTGTAGATTTCTGCAGCCTCGGGGGCTTCGAAAACGTTGTTCACGTTCCTGACGAGGTTATCACCGTCCTTCGAAGACGTCTCCGAGTCTGGTTCGATGTCCGCATCGACGGAGACGTGGCTCTGGTCTTGACCACCAAGCTTCCACCACTTGCGTGGTCTCAGCTTTCGTGGATGTTCGTGAGTGCTTTCAACTGGGGATGCAATGATCCCGGACTCGATTGACTTCTCCATGGTTGCTTGACGAAGCTTAAAATTCTGGCGAAGGTCGGCACTGAAGCACTTCGCAGGACCAAGAATGACGGTATATATAGAGTGTGGCCACGGCTTTTCCTGCCACGTTTCCTTGAATCGGAGTGTCTCCCGTGGCGTGGGTGTCTAGCGACATGCGCGTGTTTGTGATAAAATTCTAGCCAACGACCGGGTAGACTGCCGTCACCTTTCCCGACGACGATGCCAGATCAAGCTGACTGGGTGTGTGGTCAAGTTGTGGGCAAATTGCGTGATCGAGGATGCGAGAGAACATATACTGCCCAGACCACCGACGGAGTATCTCCAGACAGTGACATGGGCAGCGAATAGGCCGACGACGACGCCGCCTCGAGGGCCGGTCAAATCCGACGGGGCTGGCCAGACTTAGCATCCCACGAGCATCAGTCTGAGGTGGTTCGCTCGTCCTGTTGAGACCTTGCGAACCAGCAGTTCCGTGCCCAGCCTCTCGGGTGCTGATGTGCATCGCGCGGAGTGGGGTCATTCATAGCATCGGTGCTAGAAGAATCGTCGACCAAGTACGGTCGTGCAGACTGCGCTGTGGCATGAGTACAGAAACACTGTTAGTACAGCGCGATTGCTGATCGACTTCTACATGCCCTGGTAGCCAGATCTATCGAAAGGAGCAATGTTGTGGGGATATGCTCTGCTGGGTGGACATCATTGGCGGACAAGAACTGCAGGGCGGCTTAGGAACCGCAACCGAAGTCTTCGAGAGAAGCACGCCATCTGGAGCATTAATTCGACATACATGCTCTTCCGCACTGGGAAGGACATCTGTGAATACGGCCACAGGATGCTTCTGGTCTTATCAGGGAACAAACACGATCCTTTCTGATTGGTATTTGAACCTGGAGGGCATGTGTTGATCACGTCGCCAAGTTGTTCGCCGCATGGTGAAAGCCACCGTGCGACGGCCGAAGACGGGGATGCGCCGAACTGGTCCTTAAGGGGAGTCTCGGCATTGAAGTCTTCGCAACAGGCGGCAACAGGTCCTGCCTCGTCGCCATCGCTAGAGATCTGGCTTGGACATCTGCGACTTCAAATGCTGCCATGGTTAACAAAGGCTGGTGGATTCACAGGAGGCCTAAGTTACTTGGCCGAGTTTCGATGTGAAAGCTATGTAAGCGCCAAGTCTCACGTGACTCAAAGGCAACAAGGACGGGGTTTCCCGAGACGCGTCTCAAATTCGGAAGGTTGACCGCCTTCACTCAGCAGGACGCGTTTATCATCACCGCCATTCATATGTGCAATGATATTCACCAGCGTATTTTCGGAGCTGTTGAGCAACTGCACACATACTTCCAGGCCACCAGCCGGTGCTTTGTGCTATTGACGAGTCCGACTTCGAGCCCGGAGGTTTGGCGGCAGAATTAGCAAACCATGGCAACAGGTTGACGATGTCTGGAACACCGAAGGCCGCCATGAAGAACGATTCCCCTTCGATAAGAATGGTGAAGACCAGCCAATGCGCCCAGATATCCCAGGCCAACAGCTGAATTTCGCGATCAATGTCAGGCATGGCAGCTTGGACGGGCCCTTCTCCTTCACTTTCCGTTCGGGGAGGCCGAGGCTTCATGAGAAGCCGGAAGTACTCGTCTGGCGTACGGTTCACCCACGAGAAAATCGTTCGGCAGGCTGGTAGAGCGGGGTCGTAGATCGGTGCACTTGAATATCGTTTCAACCAAGGTAATGAGGAGTCTTCTAAAGAAGGTTCAGTTGAGACCGATTCATTGGTATACCTTTCCTCGACGTTGGACCCCGGATTGAAAATGACATTGTCCATGTTCAGCAGAAGATCAACGGCCATGAAACACGCAGACAGTGACAGACTCCGTCTCAGCTGCTCATTGGATCTTTCGAGGTCGACCGCCGGATTCTTTCGATGAAGATCCCGCATCAGTTGATTGACTCTCTCTGTCTTTTGCTGGAGTGCTTCCAACGCCACGACTCGCGTAGCGGAGATGACAGGAAACAGTGGGTGCTTGGTTGCGATACGGCATTGGAAACCATTCCAAACACGAGATCGATCGGTTGGCTCGGACAACTTGTTATGGATGTGTGACGAAACCAAAGGGTGTAATCTTTGTGACGGGTCACAGCACGCGGTGTCGTTGATACAGGCGGAACTGTTTGTCCAACATGCCCTTGCAGTCGTCGTGATGCCGCGGAGGATAATTATCCATTCCAGGCTACTTATGTGTTCTGCGTGCGTATCGATTCCAGATCCTGGCGTAGGTGGGCCAACGTCGTCCAGCAGATGCGTTACTCTTCTCCTCGCCAAAGCGTAGGGAAACAGCAGCATGGTATGCGCGTGGGCCTCCGCAAGGTCTCTCGGCCGGTTCGTGCTCAACTGGCGTTGAACAGCGTTCATGCCCATCCTATGATAGCGGTCACCAGTACTGATGAGCTCGGCTAGGTCCTCGACTTGACTGCACGAGCCCTGCGCTGATAGGATGTCTATACATAGACATGTCGCGCTGAGAGCCATGATGGAATATAAGATGCCCTGGTTTCCGGCTGCTAGCTGTGGGATCCCAACTTTCTTCGCGTACGCCACGTCGGGAATGACCTCCAGGTCGCGGCACGTGTGATCCATGTAGTGGTCGAAGAGAAAGAGGTCCTTCATGATGGCCAACGTGCTCTCAGACACACCATCCGACACCTGGTCAAATTTTACAAGACCTGCTGCCTCATGATAGATCTCATCCGCCGGGTGATCCGCCTGTCTGTCCTCGATGAAGGCTGGCGTTTGTCCTGCAGATGAAAGGGAGAGTGGTGGAGCAGTAGACGAGAGACTGATCGGTTCCCCAGATAACTCCGCGGGAGAAACCGACACTGAAAGCGGGTCTGTGTCCGAAAGGCCCTCGTGCTCCTGAGCTTGCGTGACGTATTCGCACGGCTGATCCCGATTGACACACCGGAGGCACGCGGGCTTTGTTTCATCGCACTGGAAGACAATGGTCAGTCGGTTTGTGTCTTTGATGACAGAGCCAGCTGCGTGCCAGTCGACCTACTTTGATTCTTCGTCTCCGGCAGTATCTGCATCCATTTCGAGACTTTTTATGAGGCCTTCGTGGTTTGAACGCTCGGGGCACTTGCAGGGTCTCCATACTGTTGTTTTCGAGGAGGCGTTTGATGAGACGCGAAGGTCTATTCGTTTGGCGGTCGAGATATGAGCTCTTGTTGAGAACATCATGCTGTCCATTGATCCCGCGAACGTGCAAGGCCACCAACACCAAGGCGGGAGGCTTAGACGACTACTTAGTCAAGCTGTGTAGTCATCGCGAATTTGCCTAGCACTATGACCTACTATAGCGTGCTGGGTTTACAAGAGAGTACTCGACGATGGCTAGGCAACACTCGTACCCAAGTCAATGGGGAAGCTTCTTCCAAATCATGCGCCTACTACCTGTAGTCTTCGCAAACACAGAGGCAGTGCTCTGCAGGTCGCCGACGAATCGTCATGTGGAATGATCGAGGTGGAGCGAGGCATGAGCATCTGAGAAATACGAGGTTGCAACCATGCGAGCTGACTCGGCGTCCAAGCCTTCACTGGGATGCCTGAGGTCTTGATTTGAGTTTTGCTGAAGTAATGGCACCCATCGTGAAAGCTCGGTCTTAGCTCTGGAAGGCCGAGACACAAGGCTATGTCCGGTGCGGCTGCCACTCGTAGAAGCCACAGTGTTACTTGCCGCGATCATTCATAAGTGCCTGTGTGGGTGAAAATAAACCAGAAGACCAAGGCCTGCTGGTTTTGCTCTGCCAAGCATCGACACGTGATTTACACGTGATCGCTTCTAACCAGCCCCGGCGCCCATCCGAGCTAGAGTACTTAGACACGCTAGACGAGCTGTTGCTAGCAGGACTGATGTAATGCCTGCTCGCGCACTCACTGCAGCTTGCTCGATTGAAAAGCGCGATGAAGATCATCCAGATGGAGAGGGACCTTCGGTGCCTACCGCCATTTCTCAGCCTTCCGGGCACGCCAATAGCAAGCCTGGGATGCACGCCCTTCATGTCAATTCCTTAAGTCACAGCCGATGACGACACTCGGGGTCAGAATACGCGGAGACGGGTCCAACTGTTATAGAAATACGAAGCCACCGCAGGCGAGATATAGAATTTGCAAGGCTGATAGGGCTGCCAGGTATTGGACTCAACAGAAAGACATGGACATCAAGGCGAAGGTAGAGTGCCACTGCAAATTGACGTCCTTCTCGGTCCCAATCCCGTCTTCCTCACTCCCATTGAAAGCATCTATATGTCACTGCCACTCCTGCCGACATAGCTCCGGGCAGATCTTTGCGACCTGGGCAGTGATTCCTTTGCCTCTGCCAGCAGACATAGTGGAGAGTGGCAATTTCGTGAAATACGCAGTCTCGACATGCGAGCGTTGGTCATGCAAACGATGTGGTGCAAGCGTCATCAATGTCGACAAGGCAAGCGATCCGCCAGAGTGGGAAGTGGCTACTGGAGTACTCAATTTTGATGATGCTAGCGGCCTCGAAGGAAAGCTGAATCGGGTCCAACTCTGGGTAGCAGATGTGAAGGGCGACGGAGGTGCAGTGGGTTGGATCAACAAGGGCAGACTGAAAGGCATGGACAGGCGCTGGAAGTCGCGGCGGAGTGATGTGGTCAGTGATGAGACTGTCAAAGAACTCATGACGCCACAAGCAAGGGTTGCCGGAGACAACGACGAACGGCTTCCTGTGCAGTGTCGCTGTCAGAGTGTCCAGTTCGAGATCAAGAGACCAGATAAAGACTACAACGCCGGAACTGGGAAGTTCGACGCCTGCCTTGATGCTTGCGATTCATGTCGTGCTGTCACCGGGTTTGAGATCACCTCCTGGACGGCTGTGCCGAAAGTTTGCGTCGTCGTCGAACCACGTCTGGACACCTTTCTAGAGGACAGGTCAAAGCTCGGGCACTATCAGACAAGCTCAAACATAAGTCGGTATTTCTGTCTGAAATGTGGTGCGGCTGTATTTTACTACAAACATGGTGGCCAGACGATTGACATCGCGACAGGGCTTTTGGAGTCCAAAATCGAAGGAGCTGTGCGAGTCGAGGCATGGCTTGATTGGCAGAAGGCGTTCAAAGAGGCCTACGAGATGGGCGATTCGCCCGAGTTTGTCTTGTTCCGGGACGATGCAGTGGATGATCAGTTCGTCAGTGATGTGGCGGAAGGGATGAGATTATGGCACAAGGAGAGAGGAGGCTGAAAAGGACATTGTTTGACATGTTCAGTGTGGTATCATCTGAAAGGGACATTATTTGACTTGTTCAGTGTGGTATCAGTGTAGTTACATGGACGCTGTACAGAATCCGAGCTTGTGGACGAGCTTAGCTGGAGAACCTCTTCTCGGCAGCCTTCCAGTTGACGACATCCCAGATAGCCGAGAAGTACTCGGCCTTGCGATTCTGGTATTGTAGGTAGTACTAGAAAGATGTCAGTATGCGGTCTGGCGGAATCTCTGCAGTATGCTTACGGCATGTTCCCAAGCATCAATACCGAGCAAGGGCTTGTACCGGCCAACCACAGGGTCCTGGTTAGCATATGTCTGAATCGAAATGTTCCCGTTCTGGGTATCCTTGACCAGCCACGCCCAACCGGAGCCTTGGATGCCGGCAAGAGCAGTGTTGAATTTCTTCTTGAGGTCCTCCAGACCGCCATAGGTACTGTCGATTGCCTTGGCCAGTTCGCCAGAAGGGGGTTCACCGCCGCCGGCGTTCTTGGGAGCAAGGTTCTCCCAGAAGAGGGTATGATTGATGTGGCCACCCCCGTGGAAGTTGATCAATGCTTGGAGGGAAATCTTGGTGGCAATGTCATCGCTAGATTCGGCGGCAGCATACTGGTCGGCAGCGGCATTGTAGCTGTTCACGTAGGTCTGATGGTGCTTGCTGTGGTGCAGCTCCATGATCTTGCCCGAGATGGCTGGCTCGAGGGCACCGTAGTCGTCTGGTGGACGTATAAGTCAGCTCTAATAATCCAAGGTACCTCACGAAGATATCACGTACAGCTCAGATCAGGAAGGGTGGCCTTCATCCGCACGAACGTCTTGTCGGCGGTGGTCATGCATCGTGCGGGATTGGTTGCTGCAACAGCTCTGAGAGTCGACGGGCGAGCAACGGAACGAAACAAAGATGCCATGGTGAATACGAGTATGTGTAACTGTGACAACGATAATGAGGTACGCAGTCGGCGAGGAGGTGAAGCTGTGGTGTGGTGTTGGGGATGCTGCGTGTTTATCGAGATGGAGCTGCCAGTTACATCATAAGCCGCCGGCACCGGGCATGATATCCACAAACCTCGCACCATCTTCGGCGACCCAAGACCTAAGACCCTTTAGTCCGCAGGCTCAACACCAGATCGATGATCTCCAAGACTGGCAGTCTACCTCCTGCAGCGCACGCACCATGAGCGATTCCTCGGATGACGATCAGCCCTTTAACCTTCGCGATTACGATGATGAAGACACGGACGATGAGCGACCCAATAAGAGAAGAAAGACCACTTCGAGGGCTCTCCGCGGCCGTGGATTGGGATTCGTCAAGTCTACTGGCGCTGAAGAAGATGAACAGGGCGAAGAAAACGAGGAGGATGTCGACGGCGAAAGACCGTCCATGCGCATGGGTCTCGGCGCGGGCGCAGGCGCAAGACCAGGCATGGGAGGCTTTCGCAGCGCATTCAACATAGGCGAATACAACGCCGAAGAGGCAGAAGCAAGCAGCCCTCCGCTGCAGAAAGACATGTCCCCTCGAAGACAGCAAGAGAAAGCAAGCGGCACGGGTCCTTCGGCGTTTGGCGCAGGCGGGCGCATGAACAAGAACTCGTTCGCTGCGCGCATGATGGCCAAACAGGGCTACGTCGAAGGTCAGGGCCTAGGAAAGTCAGGTCAGGGCATAACAGCACCCATTCAGGCGAAGGTACTGTCAAGCCGGGCTGGGTTGGGTCAGGGCAGCGCAGCACCAGAACCTCCTCGGAAAAGACAAGAGCCAGGGAAAGAGAAGGTCTCCTCAAAAGCATCCACACCGGGGACGAGCACGCCACGACTCAGAGCGCCACCTAAGGCCAAATATGCTGTCGGAGCGATTGAGTCGCGGGGCTTGCACGTCCCTGAGGCGATTAAACAAGTCATTGTCGATGCTACTGGCGCCGAAACGAAGACCCTCACATCGCTATCTGGCTTTTCAACTCCCACGCGAGAAGCCTCACCGTCCCACAGCCTCGAAGCGGCAAAGGCCACCTCGCGCATCAAGCTGCAACTCCAAGCCTTTGCCGATGCGTGGGACTCGACAAAAGACCAAGAACTTCGGCTTGAGCAGGAAGAAACGCAACTGTCCGCAGCGTTGGTTCTCCACGAGGAAGAAGTCCAACGGTATAACGACATCATCTCCGCTTTCGAGCGAGTGACGGTCGACGACTCAAACACGGCCCGCGACTGGGACGCCTCCATCTCGCGCCTGCGGTCCATCCAGACACGCTTCGCCGACTCCATCAGCGACCTCTCCTTGCCGGAACTCACAGCCTCCTGTCTAGAAACACCTCTCCGCCGCGAACTCCTCGACTGGGACCCTCTCAGCGAACCACAAACCTCGCTCATAACCTCCCTCCAATCAATTTCGGAATTACTGGAAATTGAGAAATCCACCGCCTCAAAACACCGCAAGCGAACCACCTATTTTGAATCCCTCCTGCTTCTACACTGGTACCCGACGATGCGCACCTCGCTCACCAAGGACTGGAACGTCTACGACCCAGACCCAGCATACACACTGATCGAGTCCTGGAGACCACTTCTCCCGGCCTGGCTCCTCCGCAAGATTCTGCACGAGATCGTCCTCCCACGTCTGGTCGAAGCAGTCAAACGGTTTCCCAAACCCGTCGACCAACCAGCCACAACCTCGAAAAATATAAGCAGCAGCAGTAGTAAAAAGGCAAGAAGCCCACCAGCACCAGACCTACACACCTTCCTCTTCGACTGGTGGACCCTCCTCTCCAGCGAGACTCTCCAGCTCGACTCCTTCCTCGAGCTGCGCTCGCTCGTCAAACAGAAAGTCACGACCGAGACGTGGCCGCATTGGAAACCTTTGCTTGGGTCGCGCAAAGCTAAAGCGTTACCTCTGCCGCCGCTAGCGCCCACACCGTCAGCCCCTACGCGCGTCGCCACGGATGTGGAAGAGATCTCCTTCCGCACCATTGTCGAGGATTGGGCCTCGGAACATAATCTGTTGCTCACGACGAGCCACAAATCCGACGCCTTCGGCCGCCTGCTGTACAGACTGCAGGACGCGGAGCGCCGCGGTCGCGGCATTCTCATCTACCTCGCTGAGGATATCGTGTTCGGGGCCGAGGATGGGGAGCCCTATGCGCTGGATGATCGACTTGTGCAGATGGCGAGGGGGAAGGGGAAATGACTAGGCGCGGTAGATACGTAGACAGGGAGACAAAAACAGGGTTCGAGAGAATGATATTCATTTCAGTGTCACAGTACATTCACTAGTTCCTGGCTCTCCCTCTTCCAACCGACATGGAAGGCTGCAGAATGATATTCGTCGACGGACGACTCGAAAGCTGCAGGAAATATTCATTGATGAGGACCCGAAAGCTGTAACTGTTATGCATTGACCGACGACTCGAAAGCTGCAAGAAATATTCATTGACTGACTATCCAGAATGGATTCCAAAAAGAAGTCTAGCTCGCGCAAGAAGTGCAGGGAAAGCTGTGCAATGCAGGACAACACAACACAAAACACGACACGACACGCTGGCTCCCAGACCAGATCGATCGATCGATCGAGCATGCCCGTTTTCTCTAAACTCCAGAGCTGGCTTTTCTTTTCTTTTTCCTGTTCTCTAACAATCCCCCCCGTCTTGCCTTTCCCCAGGCAAAACCCGGCCAAGGCTACTTTCCAAACAAGGAGGAATACCAACCGGTCTGACACATGAACCCAGATATAGATAGGTAGGTGATAAAGTAGGTAGGTAGGTAGATCGGTAAACAGAAAGATAGCCAGATAGCCAAGTGCAGTGAGGGGCACACGATCTGTCTTCAGGGACGTGGTTGGGGGCCTGTACCCAAAAACCTCTTCTCATCATCGCTCGTACCCCGCCTGCCACCGGGATGTATTTACATGCAAGCAGCGCCGTCGATGCCGAGGATCTTGCCGTTGATCCATTCGCCGTCCTGGGAGGCCAGGAAGGCGGTGACGCGGGCAACATCGATGGGCTGGCCGACACGGTTCATGGGAGACCACGTGGCGGCGTACTCGTCGACCTGGTCGTCCGACAGGTTGGCGCCATTGGGGATGTACTCTCGGCAGACGGCGTGGTACATGTCGGTCTTGATACCGCCCGGGGCGACGGCATTCACAGTAATCTTCTTGTCGCCGCAGTCGATGGCCATGCAGCGCACAAACGTCTCGATGGCGCCCTTGCTGCCCGAGTAGACGGTGTGCTTGGGGACGCCCTTGGCCTGGCCGGTGATGGAGCCCATCAGGATGATGCGGCCGCCGACCTCCAAGTTCTTGTATGCTTCGCGGGCGACGAAGAACTGGCCTCGCGTGTTGATGGCAAAGACACGGTCAAATTCCTCCTCGGTGACGTCCTTCAGGTGGCCGAAGGAGACGACGCCCGAGTTCGAGACCACAATGTCCAGCTTGCCAAAGTGTTTCTTTGCCTGGGCGAACATGTCGATGATCTGGGACACGTCCGACACGTTGGCTTGCACGGCGATGGCGTCGCGGCCGAGGGCCTTGATCTCGGCGACGAGCTCGTCGGCGGCTTTGGAAGAGTTGGCGTAGTTGACCACGACGTCGGCGCCACGGCGAGCGAGCTCGAGTGCGGTTTCGCGGCCCATACCTCGCCCTGCACCGTACACATTCCGTTAGCTTTATTACTTTTCCTTGTTGGAGACTGCGCAGGCGGTGAAGCCGAGTGAGTAGTGGGGTGGTTTTCAGGAGACGTGACACGGGGCTTTTTGAGCTGCGCTCGCTCGGTGAAGTTCATCTCGAGCATAGAAAGACGTACCTGATCCGGTCACGAGAGCGACTTTGCCAGTGAGGAGGTAGCTGGGGACAGGCTGGTCAACGACGGGAGCGCTGCCATTTGCGAGTCTGGTGGAGTTTCGTTTAGACATGGTGAAAGCGGTGTGCGGGAGATGGCAGAGAGGGATCTCGGATGTTCAAGTGGGATGAAAAGGTGTATATACAGGACTCGACAGGACAGAGCGAGTCACGGATAATTTTATTCAAGGACAAAAAGGCACACGGTGTCCAAGGATAAGGGGTTGCTTCGCTTTTGTTGTCGTGGAGGGGGAAAAAGTGGCAGAGATATATTTAACAGTCCATCAGCCGCAGCTAGTGCGCTAGGCCCCCACTAAGGTTCGCTGATGCTGCCAGGGGTCCGATCTTAGGCAGCTTTAACTGGAACGCTCGGCCGCCACACTTGCGTGCTAGTGGATAGAGGTCCAGGAGGGGCAGCTCAAGCGGCCGGCGATGGGGCACTACGGGGCCTGCCACGCATAGCCACAGGGGGACCGAGCGTGTTTGTCTCTTCTGAGATCTTCACCGCTCCGGTTCCTGATGATTGTCCAGATGGCCCCTTGGGACCTTTAGGATCCTCCGTGTAGACAGAAATCAGCAAGCGGTAATATGTCGATGTCCAGACCATATGAGAACGGAATCTCAAAAACTGCCTACGCTTCTGCCCTGCTCGTTCAAAATCTACTGACTTCCTCGAAACCTGGACTAGATCTGTATAGGGAATCCTTTGGCAGACTGTGATTAGATTCAGGTCCATGCCGGTCCGATTGGGATTTTACCCTTTGGCTTGCGTATGAGTGGCCCAAACATTCGCTCTCTTGAGCGTCTCCATTGCAGGAAGCTTACCCTGTAGCCTCGGCTGGGTCCCGGGAGCAGCAGGCGCAGGCGGGTGTGCGTTTTCAACGACGTGGTACAGATGGTACGTTTGTACGGAGCGCGTGCTTCCCTCTCCGTGAGGTCCGATATGGTTCTCGACGCACGAGTAAGAGGCGGCACGGACAGCCTGCATTCAGATCCGGTGTTACGAAACATGAAGGCGGCCTTGGCCTTCAATAGCATGCCCAGATCGTTCGCATCTGGTCGGCCGAGGCCCCTCCGCGAGTCTATAAGCGGTTATTCCCCTCTCAGTGACAGAAGCGGTGAGGCTGTACAGTGTAGCTACGTTTGTGTTCTACTTTGACCTACTTGTCAATGAATATGGGGTGGATGCATCGTTGACGTGAGTTAGGGCCGGAAAATCCACATAGATTGTACCTGGACCACCGAAGATACATAGAGTAATTAGCTAGAATCCGTGTAAAGTGCGGAAATATCTACAAGCCTACGGATATCGACACGTATATAACGGAGACCCCGGGCTCAGGAGTGTCCTGTGTACGAGTACGAGTCTACCGTAGTCGTCATTTACTGTAGTATGTATCCCACGAAACACCTCGAAAAACGTTAGTCCTAACCGCCGAGTAGCCGTGCTAGGTAATTGAAAAAGGGGGTCCGAAAAGCGGGCTTCCACTCCGGCGCTAGTGAGGGAGGGTCGTTGGGACACGTGGTGGAGATGCTTTCGACGGCTTTCCGCATCATCCTCGTGTGTGTATCCACGGTCTTGGATCTAAGATTTTATTCTGGTGTAGTCACCATCCGACTGTCACATTGAGAGGACGCTTCCGCAAACTAGAATGACAACTACAGACAGCAAGGTCGCACCTCGTCAGGGAAGACCTGCTGTTCTGCATCCAGTCGGTCTGGGGACAGCTGGGAGGGTCCTTGAGAGCCTGATCAAGTAGAGTGTGGAAGTATCGTGGTCGTATTGCATCCCCCCATAATGTCAACTGCTGGCGTCAGGCTCTTCTCACAGAGGTCTCAAAGGTAGGTTTCTTCTGTGAGGCTGCGGCGAGTTCCGCTGCCAAGGAGACCATACTGTCTTTCCAGGTTAAACAGGCCCCGTCGGCATGCTGGTGGTGATCTTGTGGCTGGAAGCGCTTGTGAATCTGAGCCCGCCGCAGTTTTGACGCGTATGAGACGGTTTGAAGCATCTCAGGTGATGGCGATTTGAGAAGCAAACCCTCAGTACAAGCGCGCAGAGTTCGACCGCCACATCCCAGGTATAGGCTGAAAATTTACGACCGTGCACCCCGTGTAGCAGTCAGTATCCTCTAGTCCTTGTCCTTCACCTCATGGAAAGAATATTTGCATCCTCAACAGCGATCCTGGTCATCTTCTTCAGCTCGGCCTTCCAGCTGCTTTCCCGCCATCTCTCCCATTCTCCGAAAGTACGGTCAGCCTCCATGTTCAACGTCTCGTACCCTTCTTTGATGACCTTCTGAATGGCTGCTGGTGATTGATGTGTCTTCTTGCTATGTTGTGCCTTCAGCAGGTCGTGATAGTGCGACGAGACGCTTATCAGAGCTTCCACGGAACTTCTCAACTTCTCGGACCGCGTACTTCTGTCACAATATGCCTGCTTGAACTTGTGCAGGACGTCATTCGCTTCGATGAGCTTGTAGAAGAAGTCATCAAAGCTGGCGGGATCGGGCAAGAATCCATCACCCTTGGACAAGCAAAAGGCTGTCAAACTTGTCAGTGTGCCACACAAGTCTTCCTGAATGCCCGGAACATGTCCCAGGTCCCCGGCGTATTGCGTCAAGAATCGCATGAGCGACAAGAGCGAGCCCCAGACGTAAGCCCAGTGGTGCTGGAGACGTGTTTTGGTCTGTTCGAGGTACGTGACGACGCGCAGAATTATGCCCAGTGCCAGGCCGTACAGATGGACGTCCAGTCTCTTCCGCAGATTGTGACTGAGTATATCTGTGCACACGTCAAGAATTGCTGTTGCGGGAATCCTTGCTGACGTGATCAGGGGAAGATGAGGAGCCCTCTGTCGACATAATCGGAACACCGTTTTCGAGTCTGCGGAGCACAATCTCTTCACCAGCACAGGATCCTCCACTGTGATTCTGATGCACAACAGACCAAAGACGGCATATGTGGCCTGTCGCGGGCCCCTGTATGCATGATGTGAGATGTAGGAAGTCATCGACAAGAAAGCGGAGAATGGCGTTTCTCCATCTTCGCTGGCGGGCAAACTCAAAAGACTAGCGGCGAACAACTTGTTTGCCTGCACGCAGGAATACAGCGAAAGGGTACAGGTAGCATCTGGTTCTGGCAAAGCAGTAAATCGCGCTTTCGCTTCCTCTTCCGTGGGCGGCGCTGGTTTCTGTGCGTCGCTTGTCAATGCTCGAAGCCCGACGAGGGCAAGAGTGGAATTCAAAGTCCATGGTGCCGGGTAGTCATCTTGCACCGCAATGTACTGATCTCGAATATTTGCGCAAGCGTGGGCTGAGTTGAGGACCAGCAGGCGAATTGTTGCTTCGTTGACGAAGTCTTGAAGCCGGTTTTGGTACACGTTCTGGGCCTCGAACTTGTTGTAGCTGGACAGGATGCCGACCACCACGAGAGCTCTTGGTCCGTGAATGGAACTCTCATGGACGTCATGAACGTACTGGGCCCGGTTAGCAAGTGTTGCGAGTCTCCGGATAAGCCTACCTTCATCAAGGCGGGAAAGAGGTCACGGTGCATGAAGTAGGTGACGAGGCTTGTTTGGAATCCGCCAGCAACAAGGGCAAGCACAGTCTCGACTGCCTTGATGCGCAACTCGTCCTCGCTTGACTGCCTCACGATGGATTCCAAACCCTGGACAAAGTCAGACATGAGTCGATCGACCTCATCCAGCCCAGCAAAGATGTCGATGATGTCGGTGTTCGGATTTGGGTACTTCTTATTGAAGACCGCGCACAAGAAAGCTATGAGATTCTAGATCTGTCAGGTACGGTCGAATTAGCGGAAAGATGAGGACTGCTTACGTCGAGGGCATTTCCGTTTCTAGGAGACATGCCAGAGTTCGCTTCGCCGACCGCTCGTTTGAAGAACGTTCGCATCTGGATCTGCCGGAGCGTCAGTGGCGAGGAAAGGCCGGCCGCGAGCGTAAGAGCTGACTATACTTGCATGTGCATCAGGTCGGAGGCCGTCAACGGTTCGAGGATATCATAGAGCCGCTGCTTGTCGGGTCTCAGCAAGAAAAGCTCTCTCCAGAACCCTTCAGATGGCACAGAGTCGGCGGCTTCCTCGTTCGCCAGCACATTGAAGAGCTGAAGGTACAGCTGGGTGATCTTTGGTTCGAACGAGTTTGGCCGTGACTGTTGGGTTAAGGGTGCGTCCATCGTGGGAAAAGGGGCTCAAAAGTGGTCGCTGGTGTGCACTGCCCTGGCTTCATAGTCCTGTAGAGACAGCTGCCTGCTTTGGGCAGCCTGGAGAGGACCAGTTCTTGACCTTGAATGGCTTCTCACCAGTCGCATTCACTCAAAGGTGACCACCGCTAGCGTTTATGGTGTGTGAAAGCCGAGCGGAGGCCTAGGAATACCAGGTGAGGGAGACGAGGACTTCAGAAGAGCAATAGGAAGTCAAGTGTCCGCTGACGGCGGGAATAACGTTGTCGGCCGTTCAGTGTGCTTGCTATCGGACACTGCCAAGTGGACGAGACGTCGCAAGCGATGCCGGATACTGATCATCACGTGATTGGTGGACCCGACTTTGCCGTCCTCGGCTACCTTGCCTTGATTGCAATGGCCACACGCCGATTGGCTGAATGTTGGGAGCATTTTGACTGTCACGTGAGCGTTTTCGGCTGACAAACTAAGTGCAGCTGCGGACGTGCGGACAGATGACACACCCTTGCATCTTTCGTCTTCATCTAATCCGACAACAGATTCTCAGGAACCTGTCGACATCGCGCTCACCCCTACGAATGTAAAAGAATTCGTCACTACACGCCAGCCTCTCTGCGTGCACGATATACGATTCCAACGAGCACCCGTCATGTCTGCGACGTATTTGATCCCCTCGACTACGTCATCTGCGGCGTTCTTTCGAGCATTGGCGATTGCCTCGACAGCACGATCATGTCCTCGCCATGCCCTGAGGACGTTTTCTTCAAGCATTGGTGCACGCCAGTCGGGAAAGCGAGACTTATATACCACTCCGTCATATCAACCTCATAGTTTACCAACTGATTTCCCTCTTCCCCCGAGAAACGCCGACGTACCCGATACCTCGATCGCCGGTCCAGAGCCGCAGCCCCATAATACAACGAAACAGCAACAGAATGCACCCCAGAAGAGCACTTCTGGCGAGACGGCGTCCATCAGCCTTCCAGAAAAAGAAGCACAAAAACCAAAGCCAGTGCAACCGCCGCAGCCGGCAGAGGCAAAGTCGACGAAACCACGACGGAGCAAGTTACGGCCTCGCAAGGCTGCTATGACCATAACGCCGACGGCCTTGATCCATCTTCGCGAGCTTCTAGACCAGCCGAACCCGAAAATGATCCGAGTGGGCGTTAAGAACAGAGGCTGTTCGGGTTTGGCGTACCATCTGGAATACGTGGACAAGCCCGCAGCTTTCGATGAAGTGCTTGAACAGGACGGAGTCAAAGTGTTAATTGACAGCAAGGCACTCTTTAGCATCATTGGCAGTGAGATGGACTGGCAGGAGGACAAGCTGAGCGCCAGGTTCATCTTCAAGAACCCCAACATCACGGAGCAATGCGGCTGTGGCGAGTCTTTCAGCGTTTCGTAAAAGTCCATCCAGTGTGCAGCGTTCAAGCGAGCATACCTCAAGAGGCTGATGAATATAATGAAAACCGCGTCTCCAGCCTAGTACACCCCCTTCTCATAATCGATAACTCGCACGTTGTCGAACCTGGGCCCGTTCTTCTTGACGAAGGCTTGGTGTACCGGGTCCTTAGAGACATAGTAATCTCGATCCTCCTTGGACGCAAATTCGACGACGAACCCATGAGTAAGCCCTCCCTTGATCGCGCCACTCAGTCAACGCAAAACAGCAAGAAGCGCGAAGACCAACCTGAGCGCCTTCGGGACTGTTGTCCACGCCGCCAGAGGAGGCGACGATGTACGGTTTGTTCGACGTTGGGTGCAGACATGTGTCTTTCAAGGCCAGCATGTCGTCGCAGAACTATACCATTATTATCGACCTCTCGACTCTGGTGAAGGACAGGACCGAGTCCGACGACACACCTCTTTCTTCTCCGCGTCGCTCAGCGACGATTTGAGCTGGAACAGCACGATGTGAATGATAGTCATGTTACCTGGTGATCTCGAGTAACACGCGTGAAAGACACGTTCTCGGTATTTAGTACGAGACCCGATGGCTGACGACAAGACATCACTACCTACGGAGTTGAGGCTCAATACAGTGTATGCCTGTCACCCACCTGTGCGGGGTCCAGTGCTGTACTATCGCCTGCCCCTCGTGTGCTTTTGCTTTTCCAAGACATCTAATACCACGCCGACAACTTCAGTCCCTGCTGTGACCTGCCTAGGTACAGTACCTGTGTATCATTTGACGTCGATCCACTCCATCTGACTCCTTGTTAGGCTGCCGCAGCCATATCACGTCAAGCCTCGGGCTCCCTTAATTACTCTCCGTTTGTCCGCCCCACGCCGGTCAAGTTTCGAGCCTTATCAAGAGCCACGCACACCTAGAGCCGAGAGCAGAGACACAAACCCCTGAGCCGAGAAGCGACTTTGAATCCCCTCCCTGTCTCTGTCCTTTCCCTTATCTTCGATCCCATCAGTCGTCGCAACCATGGCCACCCACTCCCACGACAACGGCCCCCTGCACTCGCACGACCACCACACGAACGGCGAACCGCACGGCCACACCCACGAGATCTACAACGGCCCAGGCTCCTTCCTGCACCGGGAGATGCCCATCGTGGAGGGTCGCGACTTCCGCGACAGGGCCTTCACAGTTGGCATCGGCGGGCCCGTGGGCAGCGGCAAAACCGCACTCATGCTCGAACTCTGCCTGGCCCTGCGCAAGGAGTATAACATCGCGGCCGTGACGAACGACATATTCACACGGGAGGACGCCGAATTCCTGACCAAGCACGGCGCGCTTACACCGGAGAGGATCGTTGCCATCGAGACGGGTGGATGTCCGCACGCCGCGGTCCGCGAGGATATCAGCGCGAATCTACTCGCGTTGCAAGGGCTGCACGCGAAATTTCAGACAGATCTCCTGCTCATCGAGAGCGGCGGGGATAACCTGGCAGCAAACTACTCGCGCGAACTGGCGGATTTTATCATCTACGTTATTGACGTGGCGGGCGGGGATAAGGTGCCCAGGAAGGGCGGGCCGGGCATCACGGGTTCGGACCTGTTGGTTATCAATAAATGCGACCTGGCGCAGGCGGTTGGAGCGGATGTAGACCTGATGGAGAGAGAGGCGAACAAGATCCGCGAGGGCGGACCCGTCGTGAGGGGTGTGATCAAGAATGGCGTGGGTGTGCGGGACACGGTGGAGATGATCCTCAGTGCTTGGAGGAGTACGGCTGGGTATGCTGTCAGTCGGAAACGATGGGAGGCGGGCGCTGCTCGAGGGAGTGGTGAGCAGCCGACGGCCAAAAGATGAAGCTGCATGCATCCCTAGGTACCAAGTGGATGACGAGAGCGTTGTCGTGCTTGACAAGCCGGCCATATCGCACTTGAGGCAACATATCTGGTTTCAACCCGGTTCACCAGCTGAGCCCACTTACGGAAGAGCCTTGGACGGTGTATACCTCGCCACCACGACATGACCGCCACTCTGTGCAGCCGAGTCAGTAAATTAGTTCACGCAGCCATCCATTGGTCAAAGTGAACAGAACCGGATCAGGCATATGGTCATTGCGCACTGTGATCCAGCCGACAGATATCACAAAACATGTCCTCCCGAACAACTCTTACGGGTACCGCGTATAGGAACATCCGTTGGACTTTTGGGAAATGGCAATTGGGTATTCCTTTGGCAGCATAGATTGTGGTTGGGTGGCACAGCGGGTGCAAGGACTGTACATGTGTAATGGTTACGAAGAAGTCTACATTCGGATTCAAGCACATAATATTGGAGACTTTGTGCCACATCGCTTCTGTCCCTAAAGCTACAGCCGCTTCACACTGGCAAACCGGCTGAGGGCAGGTCCCAATTCGACTCTATCCCGCTTCAGGCGCTCCTTGTCCTTCTCGGCCCTCTCCTTCCTCATATCCTCCAACCTCATCCTCTTCTCGTCGATTATGTTCTTGCCGCCCTTCTTGCGCAGATACTTCCTCAACGCACTATTCTTGCCCCTCGCACGGTGCTTCTCCTTCTCCCGTAGTTTCGCGAGAGGGTCTTCCGCCGGGGTATCCAGATCCTTTTCACGCCTTCTTTGCTCCGCACTGCGCGTGTCGAGCGTGCCAATGAAAGTAGGATCCAAAGCGATGGTTTCGGGCTGGAGTTTCGTAAGCAGCGATTTGACTTCTGCCTCTTGCCTCTGTTTACGCGTCTCGTAGGGGTTGACTTCGAGGGCGTCGTAGTTTGGTTCTCCCGCGCCGGGGACGATGATGCTGTTGAACCCTCCGGCGTGGGAGATGCCGAGGATATCGTCAAAGGGGCAGAAGCGCACACGCTCGACACGTTGGCCGTCGTTCCCCCAGTTCAGGTAGGGCGATTGAACCTTTTCAGGTTCGTGGGACGGGATCGCTGTGAACAAGTCTTTCCAAATGGTCACGCCAGTGCCAGTCGCTACGGCCGCGAGGCCCCTGTCGGAAATGTCAATTGATGAAGCGGGTTGGCGGGTCGTGTAAGAATGGACCTCTTTCAGGGCACGGATGTCCCACAGCTTGAGGCGCAGGTCTTGGCCGCCGCAGAGCATGTAGTGGCCCGATCGGTCAACCGCGATCGATCGAACCGGCCCGGAGTTGGACTGCATCTTGATCAACGCATCCGTGGAATTCGGAGACCAGAGCGAGACTGTGCCGTTCTGGTGGCCCACGTGGAGGATGGCATTGTAGGGATTCTGCGCCAGCGAAGTGGGTGATCCTTTGCGGGTCGAATACTCTGCCACAATCTTCCCGGTCGACGTGTCCGTGTACCTCAGAAACCCGCTGTTTTCGATACCGGCGAGGAGAAAGTGGTAGGGTAGGAACTCGAGGTGCGTCGTCTCGACGTATTTTCGCAAGCAGTGGATTTCCACTCCGGCCTGATCGTAAATGTAGGTATGTTTCTTTTGCGCCACGGCGAAGAACTGGTCGTTGTGCAACCATTTCGCGTCCCTCACCGTTTCGTTCAGATGTAACTCACAGCCGGGCTTCCCGGCTCGCCATTCGCATGTAGCGATATGGCCCTTCCTCCCCGCGAGCAGCAAACTGCGCCCATTCCTCGTGTAATCCGAAACATAGGGCCCTAGGTCCAATTTGAACTCGACCGACTTGTTTGCCTGCTGAATCCCGACCGCGTCTAGTATATCATCCTGCCGCACTTTGTATGTCCTCTCCAGCTCATCTTCGGGCTGCAAAAAACCTTCCTCGTTCTCGTAGAGAATCTCCGCATCTTTTGCATTCAACACTGCGTCTCGGTATTTGGTCTCGATGCGCTTGAGATTTGCGCGCAGTTTCTTGTCTTTGGCTTCATTGATGCGGACGGGGCGGCCTCGCCCGTATTTCCTACGTGCTTCGGCGATGCGTTTCTGGTTCTCTTTGTCTTCCTGGGTTAGGTGCGTGGGTTTTCGTTTCGTGGGCGGCTGGATGTTGCGGATCGTGAGCTGGCCGCCGCTGTTTTCGACGAGAGTCTCCATGGCTGTTGGCAGCTGGTCCCTTGCGGCACAACTCGACAGGACTCTGAGGGTTCTGACAGCGACAGTAGAAAGGGCTACAGTGCCATATTCGCAAGGCATGAAAGTGCTCGACTCCGAAATTTCTCGGTTTGCATCCGAAGTTCTGCCGAAGCGCGGCACGAGTGGGGCTGCGAAATACGGCGAGCTGTTAGAACATGGGAGTCCGGGTGCAATGGCCGACCGTACGCGTGAGTCTTCTGTTCGCGCTGTTCCGTACTTGACTTATCAAGATTTCTTCATGTTATTCGGACACGATAACAGAAACTTTCAGGGGATCCCTCCAAGGATAGCACTCGTTACCACCCGGTCTGTTTTCTGCTCGAGAACGACGCAACGGTGACGTGATATGTGTACGTGCTCGAGAGAGCTTGGTCGGGTATATGCGTGGACACCACCAGCAAGCGAGTGCATGGCGAGTAATGCCGTGGTGAACATGCACACAGTACGAGGTACACGGCATGTCTGACCCCGCATCCGCCCGCCATTGCAAAAGCTCCAGCTCGCGCCTCAGCTCTGCCGTTGAGCCAATATTGACCAAGGATTTGCTTCTCAGACTTGGCCAAGTAGAGACCAGATCGTATCCTCTTTACAGCTGATTCGACAGAATGTCCGAGCTCGAGCTGCAACTGGCCAGACCATGCGAGTTTCCCGGTCACCTGCAGCCTTCACTCGCTTCTGATCATGACTTATACCTTTCATCAGCTACTCCTCGGATGACAGCGGCTGTAAGGCTTCGTAAGACCAGAGACTTGCCGCGTCTCTCAAAGGGATGCCACGTGGGCAGCCTTACGCCTGGCTACCCTGCCCGAGCATCAATGAACCTCTACGTGGAAGGCTGACGAGTCTGCAGACGTCAGAGGCCGTTCCGACGCAATCCTTACAAGAGAATAAATTCCAATGTGCTGTCTTGCGCACGCTTGAAGCTCTCTCAGACGCCATCCTGAAATACTCGCCAAATGTGGTCAACGAAGCTCCTCGTTTCGCTTTTCATCGGCGCCGTCGTGGCCCAGAGTAAGGTGACGGTCTTGCACAAAGCACATAACCTCTCTTATGTAGGAGTCGGCTTGCAAGGCACCGAACAGTTTCTGGGAATAAATTATGGTCAGGATACATCGGGGCCCAACCGCTTCAAGCCTCCCAGCGCCTTCCCCTATCCTACTGGCACCACTGTCCAGGCCACAGCCGCGGGGCCAGCCTGCCCTCAAAACACCATTCTGTCATTTCTTGGTGCCATCAGCGAGAACCCAGGTGTCTACAATATTTCTGAAGATTGTCTGAGTCTTCAAGTCGTCAGACCGGCAGGAACCAGACAGAACGCGAATCTTCCGGTGATGGTTTGGATCTACGGCCAGGGATTCGAATCGGGCTCGTACAATTATTCGCTCTACAATCCTACTGCTCTAGTAGCCGGGTCCGCTGCCAAAGGCACACCCGTGATTTATGTGGCCATGAATTACCGTGTCAATGTGTTTGGGTTCGCCAACAGTCCAGCACTCAGGTCGGAAGGATCACTCAATGCTGGTCTGCTTGACCAGAGACTGGCACTCCGCTGGGTTCAATCGAACATCGTGGCTTTCGGCGGGAACCCAAGGAATGTGACCATCTTCGGAGAGAGTAGCGGTGCCACTAGCGTAGGATTGCATCTAACTTCGAATGGTGGCAATGGTGAGATTCGACCTACTTGCGTCCACGCCACACACTGATCGCTATGCACAGGGACTGCGCCTTTCCGACGCGCCATCCTTCAATCTGGTGGCCCAACAGGGGATCCAGGTCTTACGGGCAATATTACCGCCAATAACACAGCTGCAGTCGCCCAGTTGGCTGGTTGTACCTCCACCAACGACAGCCTGGTCTTGGCATGTCTTCGCGATATCGCTGCAGACTCGCTCTTGAACGCTGTTCTCCAGTTCGAGAACACTACAACAGCAGGCGGTTCATTCCAAGACATCTTCTTCCCAACAGTGGATGGAAGCTATGTGCCTGCGGCGCCGTCAACGCTTCTCCGTACAGGTCGCCTTCACAAGAACGTCTCGATCATTACCGGATGGAATGAAAACGATGGCAGCATCTTCGCGCCCCCCACGTTGAATGCCTCGACCGCGGTCCAGACATACCTACGGTCGGCATACCCACATCTCAACTCCACCACGATATCAACCCTGCTCTCCCTCTATCCGCTTAACGACTTTACGGTTGCGGCGCAGATGTTGAAGATTTCACCGTATTTCCTCCAGGCATCGCAGATCTACCGCGACGTCAATTTCGCATGCCAGTCCCTTGACGTGGCTCACCGCGTCGCCCAGCGCGGTAGTGCCAGCTACCTCTACGTTCTCAACACGACGTCCCTCGCCAGCGTGCTGTCCCTGTTCAACGCCAGCTTCGAGGGAGTGATTCACTTCTCTGACGTGCCATTCGTGTTCGACCAACCCAACGTCGGCTTTGGGACCACCGCCGCGGCGAATCTCACAGCAGCAAGAATGTCCGGCAGCTGGGCTCGTTTCGCAACGACAGGCCACCCCAGCGGTAATCCCGATGTGACGCTCGCAGGATGGACGCAGGCGTACACGAGGGCTGAGGCGGCGAAGACGGGCCAGAACGTCACCAGGGCGACGGTTAGGGTGATTGGCGGGCCGAATGCGGGTAATGCAAACTTGTCCACGGCCGCGAGGGATGTCGTCGAGCCAGGCCTACTGCGGAGGTGCGCTTTCATCAATTCGGCGGCGTTCTACCAGCAGCTGCAGACGTAGTTGAGACTGGGCTAGAGCCATCATCCATCTCAAAACAGGCGGCTCAGTGCGCACAGATAGATCGATAGATCGATTTGTATGACTCTCACTTTCGGTGTGGGATGGATCCGCTCGCTGGTCTTGAAGTTCATGATCGAAAACCCGAAGTGAACATGACAGTGACATAGCCACTTGCTGAGTCTACCTAAGTGCCTTTCCTCTGCAAGTAGCTCCTGGGGCAGTAGTGTACTGTATTGTCCTGATGAGCAGTGCCAGAAGTGAGAACCCGCTACGGCGCATCATTCGACGATGACGACATTCTCTTCAGCGCATTGTTGCTAACTTGTGACAGTTATTGCACTTCACTTGCGTGTCTCTTTACTCTCTGTTCGACCTCACCGTGACAAAGCCTATCCGCCACGATACCCGACTTCTGCGGCCCGTTAAATCATCATAGTAGCCGTGGATGTGGTATAACGGAGAAGGCGGTCGGCGGCGTCCCATCTTGACTGTCCGATGAGGTTTGCACCTACTCACCTCTAGTCTGGACTGAGGTCAAGCGTGTTAATCTGAGACTCCCAGGGTAGCCTGCTCTCTCCCCGCTTTGTCGAATCCCTACTGCTTCTTTATCCAAAACCACGACGATGTGGCAAGGGACCAACAACCCTACTCCCCCATCGACCACATACTGATGCATGCTCTTGTCCGATACGGAACCGCTGAGTTGTAACATCAATTTCGATGGCACTAGCTACCTCACAGCAACTGTCACGGGTAGGGATTTCGTTCTCCATACTTGCAGCCTTCGGCGGGAAAAGCAGACGAAGCATTCACCAGCCTCCACCTTTGGTCAAGAACCCCACGCCTTTCTGATTGCAATCGAATCTCCTTCGCGCCAGAAGAACTTCGGCAGAACGCTGATCTCGATGTCCGTCCAATTTTGCCAATCCGGGAAGTGAAACCTGAATTCGCCGAGACATGATAATCCTTCTCGGGGAAGCACCGAGCCCTCAAGACGATATGAATCAACCAAGACCATCCACATCCACACAAGACACTCTGTGACTATGGGGTTGTCAGACGCTGGCACCCATGGCAGCGCCTGAGCTAGCTTGGTCCTGGAGATGGTGTGACACAAGATGCCCGCCACGTAGTTCGGAGCGATGCTCCATCTCATGTGAGCATAGCAGAGCAGCGCCAACTGCAGGCACTTCTCCAAGCTCGGCTCGGCAGCAGTGAGCCAGGGACTGGCCACGGCGTAGTCGGGGAATTGACTTTCGGCCTTAGGTACTGCGCCCAGTCCGTGTTGACAGGCGTATGAGAATCGCGCAAGCAGACGTCGGCTCTCGTTACTCAACATACCCTTGATTATCAATACCTGAAATCCCACGGGCAGAGTGGCAGCCACGTCATAATACTTGCTGGCAGCGGAACAGTTGAATGCGGAAATGAGCAACTTCGGACTTTGGTGTTCTGGCAAGATTTCCAGCACATTTGGTCGGCCTTCCAAGACGTCCATCCAACAACTGAATCTAGTCGAAGGGCTGATATTAGCGTTCTCTGGCATGAGCAGGAGTTTGGACTCACTGCAACAGCAACCCTCCATATCTCCCGTCGAACTCTGCTCGGTCGATAGGACCAGCGGTAGAATCGAGTAGTCGCTTCAGGGCTTTGCGGTGCAGAGCACTTTCTTGGTGGTTGCCTCGAAATTGCTTGTCCCCCTGTCAGCATATGTTTGCAGAAGCTGGCCATCAAATCAATGTCTCACTGCCAGGAAACTCAACAGGAAGATGGTGTTGATCGCGGACGGGCTGTCCGCGGCAGTCCTTTCTGTGACAATGTCTTTCTTGAGCAGCGAGATGGCTAAAGCATTATGCTTTAGCTGTTCCTGGCTATAGTCGAACTCCCAGCTGTTGGTCTCCTTCCGGTGGAGCTCGAGGCAGCCGTAGGCGAGCGCGGCGATGCAGTGCTGCGCAGCCTCGCTCTGACACCCTGGACTCGAAAAATACTGATCGACAGCGACTTCAGTGACGCACATGAGGACTACGTGGTTTATCACCTACAGATTCAAATACATTGCAGACGTTGAAGAGAACGAAAGCTGGCGCAGCATTTGGCAGGATCCATTGGAACCCTGTTCCACCTCACAGTCAGCTTTGTGGGGGAGCACGCGAAGGTGGGCGTCTCATCTGACAAATGTCGAGTGCTCGATAAAAGGAGCCCACTCTTGGGTGAGGCACGTTGTAGAGCGGGTCCAAATAGTGGACATCCGAAAACGACATGGCACTGTCCGGCGTGCTGCTCGGTGACACGGAAGCATGGCCGTTCGGATATGGAGAGCTCGCTTCCCTAGGTTACCGGTCACTAGAATGTTCAAGCAAGGACAATGACAGGCTACCGACAATACCCACCTGCGTGGCGGCTCCTTTCGCTGCCGGCGGCGTTCATACGAGACCTTCGAAGCATGGGAGAGCGCTTCAGTGTCTTGGTGTCTGTACTCTTTCTCCGACAGTACGTGGCTGGTCCGGTCGTAGACAAATCGTATTCGAATCGGTCCGTCTTTCGCCATGTGAGAAGGTCAAATGGCGTCAATGGAAATGGGTATCCTGCACCGTGATGAGGTTGACATCAGCTCATCCTTGAGGGGCCCTCACTCAGCAGGATCAACAGGCTTTTTCGGGCGAGAGTTATATATCCCACGACATACCAGTTTATCCTCGACTTTGCCATTCCAATCGCAGACGTTCGATGCACTATGACAGTGCCGGCAGCAAGGCCGGAAGCCCCGCCTCTTGCGTCTGCGGGGCGAAACCCTGAGCTACAGAATTTCTCGGTCCAGCCTGTTCGGGTGAGGAAAGAAGTCATTGGATTCTAGGTCCACGAATGCGAGCTCGCACAGGCGATTTTGTGCGGCCATATCCAGGCCACTGTTCTACACCAACAGCATTGCTGCCCTAGTTCTACTTCGCGAGCTTCACGAGATCTAGGCGTGAAAAGCTTGTGAGAGCTTCTACAGGCCCAAGGCTTCGCCGTCCAATCAGCTGGACATGAAACACTTCTTCGTTTGGCATGGCGTCCAGACTACTGTTCAGACTATGAACCATGCAGGACATTAGTCACGGCTGGAGGAGACCTACCCCCGTCCTTACCAAAGTATGGACTCATTCTGCCGGATATGACAAATCAGACGTTCGGCAGACACTTTCCGAAGGCCATGGTTTGCCTGGGTACGTATACGGCCTGAAGAAGGGGGCTCACTTTACCGGACTACTGTGTACGGACTGTTCTCCTGACAGCGCACAATCGACGGCCGGTTTTCTCTACTACTCCTCTTCCTTACTGTCGCGAAGCCCGTCGCGGGTCTTCAGTGAGGTCACAAGACTGGAGCACAATGCCCACACAAAGACGCATTTGTAAGCGTAAGTCGTCGCAGAGCGGAGGCGCATTTCGCGGTTGTTGAATGCTGGTCGGACCAGTGGCCCGCTCCATGTCTTCGAAGCAGCTACACGGCCCCAAAAAGCCAAATTTGACGGGGGTCCACCAAGGGTCAACAATGGCGAGATGATGCCTGGTGCCCAAATCGTCGCCATAGGTCGAAGGTATGTTCCGGTCTGCCTCTGTTCGCAATCTGCTGCACTCGTTTTCTCCGGTAGCGGGTCTTGAGCATTCAGCCATGGTTGTGATGGCAACATCATCCAGTCTGCAACATAGGAGCGTAGGCGATCTCGAGACGGCATTGAAGTGGGAAGGTCGGTCGGATCGAGTGCGACTCATCGAAGCGGTGAAACCGAGAGCGCGTCGACGGTCACGGCGGACAATAAACTCACCTAGCTGCCGCCACTGAATATCCATTCGCGGCTCAGAACCTGGCAGCTCGTGGTGCGACACGTGGGTGTTGCTTCGGAGCATTAGCAGTCGGAGGGAAGCCGGACCTACAAGACTTTCGCCCACCATGCTGTGCCAAAATCAGACGAGACTGCCACAAGGCAATCCACCAGGTCGACATCGCTTACGGAGAGTATCCGTCTCGCCTGGGGCCGTGCCAGACCGACTGCGTAACTGCGCAGGATGTCTTTGCAAACTGCACATGGACAGATCTTGGTCGGAGTGATGGTCCAGGTTGATGCAGGACTTCGCACAAGGTCTCCGAGTAGTCATGGTCTCCTGTTGGTACGTGTGGCAGAGAGAGTCTGCAGGATGGGTTGTGTGAGGACATATCTGGACAAGTCTGCAACTCCTGCGCCCCCAAGAGTAGCGGGAGACTATAAATTTTGTCGACCTGTCTCCGGTGTCTTCAGCCGAAATCATGCCATCGAGGTCTCTGGCCATTCAATGCTCAACCCTGCCGAAATGCACGTATGCAGCATCATGGTGTTCTTGCCTCGACGTCATTTCTCACCAGAAGAAAATGTCATCATACCTCCATCGCAACATGTCGGCTCGTCCGATATGTTGAGGAACGAGTCAGAACAGGGGCGTGCATAGAAGCGACTGCCGGGGTAGCTTTGGATTCCAGCCTCGCAGGCGCTTACCGCACACAAGCTGCTTGGCGGGCCCGTCCATGTGGTAGCTCCTCCCTCTATACAGTAGATCCTTGATGGTTTGTCACTGGACGAATCTGCCAAGCTGTGGCAAGACGGAACAGCAAGGCCCAGGGTTGGACGGCATGTCTCCGCTCCGCAGCGACGACTAATCAGCACATCCAGCTCTGGCTTGGCGGACTTGGCGCCGAGGCTTGAAGAGCTTTCTCCCACCGCCATGCGCTCGCCCAGACTTCGACGATGTGCTCGCCAAGACACTCGATTGCAACTCTAGTCCAGATTCGAAAGACATGGCAAGACGACGATAGCCAGTGGCCATAAGGATCTTCCGATTGCGACAAAGTGATTGCTTCTTCCTCGCCGCGAATGGCAATGCCCACGAGGCTCGCCAATCTTTGCAACAACCCGGCCACCTGGGTGGGGTAAATGATGTTTGCGATGGTCGTGATTTGACCGGCATCTTTCTTGCGCTCGGCCGTGTCCGATCTCGCGATACGGAATTCCAGAATATGAACATGTTCGAGGCAGGCTCTATGAGCGTGGCATTCCATTTTCCTTGGATCGTACGGAGTATTTCGCTTCGCCGCGTCTTTCATCTTTCCCTTCCTGGACGCTCTCAGTCAGCTGCTTTAAGAAGCCGTGCGAGCGTTTGAATGTCAATCCGAGGAGGTCGCGTCCCACGTACTTCAGGAGCGGAGACGAGCAATAGTTGAGGCCTATCTGGAGTCGAGGTCGACCACGATCAACGACTCCGTCGATGTTGGCAAGAAGTCAAACCACGGTGATGATTCCGCTTCAGGTGTGTCGAGCACGGCACCGGCAGCATTGTAACATGGCCTGACGAGTAGCGCTTCCTAGTTACGATGGTCGGCCACACTGCAAGTGAAAGGACGCGAAGAAAGGGAACTGGGGCAAAGCGATCTCGACCACGTTGCTGGTTCTCCAGCTATTATACGGCAATCCAGACTCCTCATGTTGGAGCCCGAACGCTATTTAGATTTGCAAGGCGCACCATGACCTAGGGAGGGGTTCTCGTCGCATGACTGGAGATGGCATGCTCGCTTCTCTGCCTGCAACACGTCCAAAGCCGAGGCGAATCATCGCCACTGCTGGGGCCAAGCAGCGGCGGGACACTGTCCATTGGCGACAGTCCTTCTTGAAGGACATGGCCTCTCTCCGACAGTCTTGGCTCTGTTAGCTCGGCCCCGCTCACCTGTCAGCTTCAGCGGAGCGCGAGGGCATCGGGAGCCAGACTGGGCAGTGCCAGCCCTGCCAAGAATATTGGCATCGTGATGGAATGTCCTTCGACCCAGATAAATTTGATCCAATAAGGTTCGTCCTTCTTACAGCGTGCTCAAAGCAAGCATTCTCGTAGGCACGGGCGGAATCTCTTGGCATACAACGGGCTCAGAAGATTTTCATATCCCACGCTGCGTCAAACGATTACGACGCACGATTTCGGACGCGTGGGCGACGCCCGGGAGAAACGAAAGAATTCATATCGACGTATAAAGACCCCTGCTCTTCGACAATGCCACGAACTTCTCGCTTCTCCCAGCGCTCTTCTGGGATTGACATACAGCCCAATCCACCGATTGCAAGACCACAAGGCCGGTGAACATCATGCCTTCCCCCCTCACAGCCAAATATGATTGGATCCTTGCGATCACCACCATCGCCTTTGTGTTCAGTGCTTTCGGTAACGGCGCCAACGATGTCGCCAATTCCTATGCCACCTCGGTGGCAGCAAGAACCTTGACCATGCCCCAAGTGGGAATCCTCTCCATGATTACAGAATTTGTGGGTGCCGTCGCGTTGGGAGCCCGAGTCACGAGCACGATCAAGAACGGCATCATCAGCATCGACCGTTTCGAAGGACGTCCGGGAGTCTTGATGTTGGCCATGGGCTGCGCTGAATTGGGCAGTGCGACCTGGTTGATGGTTGCAACCGGGCTTGGGTTCCCAGTGTCCACGACCCAAACCGTCGTCGGAGCCCTCATCGGTGTCGGCTTCGCCGCCCAATCACCTATCAAATGGGCCTGGGAGTCTGGCAGCGTGTCTCAGGTAGCAGCGTCCTGGGGAATTGCACCACTCATCGCCGCTGGCTTCTCGGCTTTGATCTTCGGAGTGCTCAAGTACTCGGTGCTGGAACGGAAGGACTCCTTCAAATGGGCCATGAGACTGATTCCCATCTACTTCGCCACGACCGCCGCAATTCTAGCCCTCTTCATTGTCGTCGAGGCTCCCACAGCACCCTCGCTGGAGGAATTCGGCGGAGGAAAAGCCGCCGGAATTATCCTCGGCGTGTGGGCCGGTGTCTTGCTCATCACATACGTCTTCTTCATGCCATACTTCGAACGACGTCTGATCAGAGAGGACCCGCGCGTCAAATTCTACCATGTTCCATTGGGTCCGCTGCTTCGCAAGGAGAATCCGCCGCTGTACTGGCCGGGAAAGGAAGACGGCAAATTTGTCATCGACTACTATGAGGACCCCTACGCCGATGACACCGCAAGCTCGACATCGACCTCCGTGAAGAATGGCAACGGGACTGCTACATTGAGCGACGGCGAGCATCAAGTCCCCTTGGACCCGTCTCTGGAGAAGGGTGTCAATGACAAGACTGCGGCCCCGAACACCGTGCGCAGGAGGGGATACGCTGGACCACACGAACGATTCCTCGACCCTGTCAAGCATCTATCCATCACCAATCCTCGTCGTATTGTCGGCTACATCAAATTTGGACTGCTCCAAGGTGTCACACGGGACTGTGTCTCGCACGACTCGGCCAAGCTACGAGACATCCACGGGCGGGCGGCGAAGTACGACATACGTGTCGAACATCTCTGGACCTACTGCCAGGTTGTCTCCGCCATGCTGATGTCCATTGCCCACGGTAGTAACGACGTTGCCAACGCTGTCGGGCCTTGGGCCGCCTCGTACCAGACCTACCAAGCCGGCGAGGTCAACACTCGAGCTGCCACTCCCATCTGGTTCCTCGTCATCGCCGGTTTCTTGCTCGGCGCCGGGTTCTGGTTCTACGGCTACCACATCATCCGCGCCCTCGGCAACAAGATCACCCAAATGTCGCCCACTCGTGGCTTCAGCGTCGAGCTCGGCGCTGCCATCACCGTACTGCTCGCCTCCCGCCTCGGTCTTCCGGTCAGTACGACCCAGTGCCTCACGGGCGCCACAATGGGCGTGGCGTTGATGAACTACGACCTCGGTGCCGTCAATTGGCGCCAACTTGTCTGGATCTTCTCGGGCTGGCTCATGACCTTGCCCGCCGCCGGGTTGATGTCGGGTTTGCTGTGCGTCATGGCCCTCAATGCTCCCCACTTCTAGACATCTGTGGGTTTTAGCTTTGTTGTCGTCGGTAAAGGTAACCTTATGTAGATACAGTACGGAATGGTACTTCAAGCAGGGGAGGAGGTATAGAAACATATCACAGCCATAGTGTATACTACTAGTAGATGGTATACTAATGTCAGGAATGGCTACCAGAGCTTACTAAGCCTGCCAAGAGGACGCCTTCAACTCTCATGCACCTCGCATAAGAGTCTTACCCTCCTCTCATGCTTTGAGTCCTGTTTGACCTAGAGGTCTAGGGACACCTAATATCATTAAAACCCATCACTATTACTCCCTGCCTATCGCTATAGGCTGTTCCTAACAACTAAGTAGTAGTGCTGAATAAATACTTTGTAATCAACCACCTACTAGTATAGTACTTTACTACTAGTAAGTACTTAGTACTATATAGGCCCTCGTATAAGTTATAATCCGGGCCTAGCCTAGATCTAGCCCGGATTAAGCCCGGTTTAGGCGATTTAGAGCGAAGTAAAGTAGGCTGGCCCGAGCTAGCCTAAGCCGACTCAGGTTAACTCAGGCTAACTCGGGTTGACTCGAGCTGACTCGGTATTAATCCGTGTTAGCCTAGGCTAAAGTTAATATACTAAATTCTTTTAGACTTATTTGCATATTTTATATAAATATAAAATTATATTAAAATCAGCTTGTAAGTCGAAAAAAAAACTCAAGAAAAGTTTAAAATAAAAGAGAAAATTAAGGAATAAAAAATAAAAATTCGAGAGTCGAACTCAGAACTTTTTTTTTAGACTTTACTTAAATCACTTTAAATCGGGCTAATCTAGGCTAACTCGAGCTGACCCGATTCAGCCGATTTAAGGTAATTTAAATACTTAGTACTAGACTTAGTTACAGCCCGATCTCAATCCGGCGCTGATCCACCTTCAGCCCACCTCAGCCCGGGTCAGCTCGGTTTCAGCCTAGGCCTGATCCGGGCTTAAACTAGACTAGAACTAGGCTGATACTAAGAGGAGCGGCACTATAGTACTATATTGATCTTAGACCGATCTCAGACCGATCTGGAAGCGATTTAGAAGCGATCTGAGATCGGTCTCAGATCGATCTTAGACTTGTTTAACCCCCCCCCTTAAGCGGGCTATACTATATATATATACTAAGTAATCCAGGCGATTCGGGCTGGAACTGGGCTGAAACTGAGCTGGGAGCGGACTGGAACCGAGCTAAAATCGAGCTGGAGCTAGGCTGGAACCGGGCTACGCCAGTCTCTATATAGTAAGTACATAGTAATACTGTGCTTCGGAATCCTTTTCTTCTATAAGGAACTACAAATTCTATCGTATCGGGTTAAGATTAGACCCGCGACTACATATATATAAGAAGTACTTATGTAGTACTATTCTAAGTTACTATACATATAGTATTAGCTAAAGTACAACACAAAATATCTATGTAGTAATATGAGTAGAAAGTACATACTTAACTTACTAGTACTCACCCACTACTAGTACTACTAGTATATTCAAAGTTGTATACATAAGTACATATAATAGTGAGGTCTATGTACATGTAATCCCAAGTATAGTAGTACTTAGTAGCTCTGATCTAGGTTTGCTTGGGGATTAGTGATATAATCCAGGTTTGAGCCTGATCCGATCCAGGCTAGACTCTGGTCTAATCTTGGTATGATCCGGGTTTGATCTGGGTCTGATTCTGTCACACCTCTTGGGATAGTAGTATATGTACCAAAAGTAAGTATGCACATAGCAATCTTCATGAAGGGTGCCGTGCAAATGGTACGACATCCACGTACGGGATCCTCACTCGCCCTGGAATATATTCAGTGGTAGAGTCGCTGCAACACCAAAATTAGGCATATCGACCACCTCTGCCAGCTTGAGATCCACGGCAATGGATGCGAGCATGTAGGCCTCCGTCCGTGTCAAACCCCGCGTGGCTGTGAGGTAATTGATGATACCCCGAAGAGCGTCCCGCGTCGCCTCCAGCAGGTCGGAATTGATGCCCAAGGCCGCGTAAGAGCCACGATCCTCGAAGCCAGCAATGGGAGCCAGAGGTGCGGCGAAGTAATGCGGCGAGGCGACCCAGTCGTGGTTCTTTCGTACTGTCAAGCGAAGAGTCGCGTGCATTGACGTCTCGATAGCAGTACCGCAGACTTCCCCGTCCCCTTGCGCCGCATGACCATCGCCGCAACTGAACAGCGCGCCGGGCGTCTTGACGGGGAGGAAGAGCTTCGACCCTACAGTCAAGTGGCGACAGTCGATATTGCCCCCTGTGATGAGAGGCGGGATGGTCGAGAACTCGCCGTCTGCTTCGGGAGCGACGCCCATTTCACCAAGGAATGGCCGAAGCGGGATCCTGATGCCTTCTTTGAACACGGCGTAGGGCTTGTCGGCGGGTAGGTCCCAGATCTTGATCTGAGGCTCTCGAAACTCATCGGCTAGCAGGCCAAAGCCAGGCATGACCGCCGTCCAACCCCAGTCTGCCGTTTTGAGGTCCAAGATCTCCACTTCCAACGCATCCCCAGGCTCGGCTCCATTGACGTACACGGGACCGTACACAGGATCTGCGAGGTTGATGTCGAAGTTGGAAACGTCCTCGGCAGATGTTGATGTTGAGACCTGCCCGTTGCTAGCGTCAAGGGCGTCGAATGTCACCACGGCGCCGGAGTCGACCTTCAGCACGGGGGTGATGGCGTTGGACCATTTCAGATGGCTCTGGCGACGATTGATGTGTAGGGAATGGGAACCCATGTGACCAACTCGACGAAGCAATGAGGGTGATAGTTGAGTAAATGCTCGATTGTTGCAGGTCTTGTCCACAGTCTTGCGAAGGGAGTAAAAGCAGTATGATCATGTGAACCGGGGCAGCCTGATATGAGGATCCATCATCGTTTCCATCACTGATGATGCATCATACGTCGGAAAAGAGCGCGTCGATGTCCCACAACGACGTCAAGCCGTATCAGGAAGGAGGATTGGGCGGAGAAATCTCGGGGCCCTCGGTGGTGGCAGCAGTCGCGTCGAGAAATCCAGGTAGTGGGGGAGGGGCCTCATAGCCTGATGTCTCGTGCTTGCTATGCGGCATCGGAACGTACTAAGTAAGTGCCGTGTAAGTAAAGTTGGCTGCTGTTATGAGTCAAACGCTTACCAATCCACTCACCATCACTGTAAAGGTCGAGCTGGTTCCTTGTCCGCTCCCACAGCAGGACCAGAGTAGACGGGGCTGGGGCTGTACATGTCGTGACTTTCATTAGACCTTCGCCCATGCCAGAAGTACTAGGCCACCAACTTGAAGGAGAAAGTGAGAGAAGTGGGTGGCGTAGACAATAAGTACTCAATGCATGAGCGACAGTACATAAGCACCTGGCTTGTGGTGAAGTGTTATGGAGGCGATGACAGCTTGGATTCCAGGGACCGCTCGTTGAAGGCTGCGTCCACAGCTGAATAGCCACATTGAGTTCGGGGCATCGTGCAAAAGTCGGTGCGGCTGCCTGAGAAGGTTCGGTACAGGTACAGGTGCAGGTGCAGGTGTAGGACGTGATGGGGATTTTGAGGTATCCTAGATCGAATCCTGGAGTGAGCGGTATGAAGCCTTGATGGTCGCCAAATGCCAAGTAGCGAAGTTGTACAAGCATCTACGGTGGGTATGTAATTGTGGGAGTGCTCCATGTTCTCTCGTGCTGGGGAAATGAAATTGCGCTTCCAACAGCGAGGACCGCGACCACCCGATAAGGCCATGTTCGTGACTGCCACGCCATTTGTACCGCGACAATCATCCTGCAGGATCCGTGCAGACGAGAGATGCTCCACGGCCTTTCCAGGCAGAAATCCCTAAACGCTCCTTCTCATTCACGCTTCTCGACAGGACGAATACGCAATACCCGTTAACAACTCCCGAGGGGCTGATCTTCCTGCTCCTACTCGGACTATCAACGAACCATGAACAAGACTGCTCATCTAGAAAGGCGCTCTCGAAGGGTATGTCGGCGTGCATCCCCCGGTGTACTGCAACATGCTGTCTCGGATCCAACCAGGCCATGACTAAGTGCCGACCTGACTGAATTACTTATGAGCCCCGCAATCACAGATCTCTTACCGTGGCGGCGGCGCCAGGCCAACGAGAACCGAGATTCCTATGCCGCAACGAGGAACTAGACGATGGATTCAGTCAAGGCTGGAGGCCTAAAAGCAAGACTGCTGTTAGGCGACAAGAGCTCGAAATATCCGAAGCCGAGCGCCTCGCTGGGGCCATGCGAAAGTAACTGCCCTTGTCAGCTTAGTCGCTCAAAGATCAAACCCTAGCATGAGCCTCACACGACCCTCACGAACGCCACCAACTGCGCCCGCCTGCCTTATGAACTTCGTCACCTTCTTCATACACGGTACACATTCGGATGCCCCCAGCAGAGATGGAGCAACGTCCTGTGCAACTGAGTCCATGGACATGGCCGATAGATGCCTCCTGCCCATGGAATCGCCGGGCACATCATATCCAAGTCCTGGTCGCGACATAATCCCACACGACCGCCGAGTACAGGGGTGACATAAGCACGGCGACATTGCCTCTTCCCTGCAGGTCTTCGAAGCCACCGCCGCTGGATGACAACCTGGCTCCTACACAACTTACGATGGCTAGCTCCTGGCTCCTGGCCCTAGCCTCCAGGTCGACCCTCTCGACCGTCGAGAGACTGCTGCACTAGCTGTCTATCGCCCTCACAGGCCAAGCAACGCCCAATCACCAGACTCCCCACCCCATGAATCACGGTATCAGCTAAGCCTTCAGCCCGTTGGCGGCTCTTTTTAGCTTCGGCCCCCAATGCTTCAGCAGACCACGGTCAAAGCCGCCTTGTGTGTCCTGGTTGTTTGATGCGCCACGGGGGATTATCTTAAAAGTGGGTGAGGCCTCAAAGCACGACTACGCTCTTTCGTGTCCCTGCCCGCTCCTTCCACCCCTTTGGCTCCTACCGTTCGTTCCTGTTTGCTGTGTATATCATCAAGGAAAGCCCGACTCTTGCCTCGGGTGCTTTCTGTGCAAGATGACCTCTCGCTATTCTCGCCTGAACCCTGTTCCCGGAGTCGAAGCCGATTCAAGTCGCGCGCACCTGACAGAGAGCATGGACATTCTCGCCCATCCCAACGACGTGCCCCTTAGAGGCATGGCCAGCCAAGCTCATAAGGGTGAATGGAGGCCGCTCAACGACCACCTAAGAAAGTCGGAGCAGTCTTACTTCCAACCGAGGCCGACAGGTAAGTAAGTCGGAGTGTGTTTTGCCACGTGCCGCCTGCAGCCCACAGAGGCATTAGTTGACAGAGGAAACAAGGGCCCAACCAGAGAAAGAACACCGGATTCAGCATCCCCTCCGTGCCTTCCTCGCCGTGGGAGCATCAGCTCAATGAAAAGCACATCCGGGCAGCGCCCAAAACGACGGAAACGGTCCGGTATTTCGACCCCCGGCGGCAGACACGCCGTGTGTTCCTCGACTGCTTGTTCATGTGGTTCTGGACCGTGGGAATATGCGCTGCGCTGGCCGGCACCATGTACGGGTTCTCGACGATCGTAACGGGCCTCACCAGGAGGCAGAAGTACGTCTACAATGCCCTGATCACGGGTCTGTCCATCGTGCTGGGTCTCGCGTTCGCGGCGCAGTTCAAGCAATACGCCGAGATGATGCGGTGGAGGTTCCTGGCGTCCCAGTACCGCAAGATCCAGGACTTTGAGGACGTCCTCGGCTGCGACAGCTACAGGAGCGCCCTGCGCGTAATGTGGCGGGGCCACCGTCGGGGAACCTGGTACCCGAGCAAGGCGCAGGTCCTCGCCACGTTCTGGATCCTCGTCTTTGTCGTCTTCAACGTGTGTACCGCGCTGCTGGGTCTGACATATTCGATCGACGTCTCGGACATATACGTCCACCTCTCCCATGGTAAGTGACCGGATGCTCATGTGGGCCTGTACAAGCACATTCCACCTATTGCCTTCCCCATCGACACGACGAGGCCATTCTTCTCGTGCTAACCCCGTAATGTTCGAACCATCTAGGCGAAACAAGCGTGGCCGACCTATCGTACATCTCGAGCCAACCACTGGCAGGCGGCGGCTCGGGCTACTTCAGCGAGTTCCAAAAAGCGGCAGCCAACCTCTGGGGCCAGGTGGGGCAAAACTACTTCACCTACCCTCAGGACCTGGACGACGTGGTCGGCTACCCCAACGCCCGGTACGTCAGCCCCGACAGAAGCTTCTACTACTACCGATTCGTGGACCTGTCGCCGGACCAGAAGACGAACGTCGTGTCGCAGCGCACCGTGTCCAGCACGGCCTCGTGCGTCGAATACACCGTCACGTTCGGCGGGTACGCCGGGCTCAACACGGACGACGCGGAGCTCCTGTACAGCGTGCAGTGGGTGGACGACCAGGGCAACTCGTTCGGTTATTCGATTCCCAACGTCGCGACGGGCGAGACCACGTGGATGGGCAACTCGAGCAGCGCGTGCGGGCCCCGCTGCGCCCAGATCCTGGCCCTTCAGTCGGCGAACAACCTGACGAGCACGCCCGAGGGCTCGGGCATCTCGGCCGTGCCAACCCCGCGGATGTGGGCGTGCAACAACACGGTCGGGCGCGTGACGAACACCGACGTCGAAGGCTTCGAGGACCCTACACGCGTCGACCTGCCGGACGACCAGGCCTTCTACCTCGCGGGCGCGATCGGCTGGACGGGCATCGAGACCCAAGGTTACGAGCTGCAGTACTCACTCTTCCACGGCGACACCCCGTTTAACCCGCCCGGTGACACCACGGCGGACCACATGGCCGAGCTAGTCATGTCCTTCACCGTCGGGGTCATGTCGGCGAGCGACGGCTTCGGCGGGCCCCGCATCAACCTGACGGGCGCGGTCAGCCCCAGCCCAGCACAGGTGGTCAACGTCAAGTGGGCGGATGCGGGCGGCATCTTGGCCGGCATCCCCGTTGTGCAGTTCGTCATGCTGTTGGGCGTCGTGTGGTTCGCCAGCAAGGCCATCATCCTCGAGCCGAGCTACATGACGGTCGCGCACCTGTTGTACCCGGTCATCCAGAAGGTGGGCAAGGATGGCTGTCTGTTTACTGTCGACGAGATAGCTGAGCGGTTAGGTTCCGGATACAGGATCGCGTATGGCGTGCGGCCTGATCCTGCGGACCCGGGCCACCACGACACCACGTTTGTGCGCGATCTGGATGTCATCGAGGAGTCCGAGGGTCATGGGTATATTCGTGGGTCTATGCCGGAGGGGAGGTATGATTGATTAAGGAGGCATTCTCCACTTCCAATGTGTGTATATTGTAAGGATTCATTCTTCGTTCACAAATCTGCGTATAGCGTAAGCAGGGAGTGCATGTGGTCCGGTTCCCGTTTCTTTACTGCAGCTGGATATCCGTGTCTAGAAGTAGACTGAAATCACTTGAATCGAGTTCGGACATACGTCTGCTGACAGCGGTGAATGACCGTGTGCGTAGACTGACTCTGCGGATGCGTATGTGTCGGAGGATTAAGCTGTTCCGCCCTTTTTGCCCATTTATCTATGATTATTCGGAGCCTTGTTTCGTCCCGTCCATGTTGCTTTTTGTATCTGTATCTACTGCTGGTCTCCAAGCATGCCGTGGTGTAGTGTACCGTGATGTGACTATCGAACTATACCGTGTGTACTGACATCCGGAACGGCGACCATCACAGCTTCGCGGTCAGGGGCGCAGACATCGAACCATATCGTGTACTGACGTCCGTCCGTGTTGCTTTTCGTATCATCCATACTATACTGAGCTCCAAGGATGCCGTGCCGTGCCGTGGTGTGACCATCGAACCCGTAGCCTGTACTAATGTCCGTCCCTATTGCTTTTAGTATCTATACTGACTTGACTGCTCTCCCAGGATGTCGGTGCCGTAGGTGGTTACTGACTATCGAGTCGGACCATACTGTGAAGTAACGTCCCGTCCATGTTGCGTTTTTGTATCTGTATATACCGAATTGACTTGCCTCCAGGGATGCCGTGCCGTGGTGTGGTGTGGTGTGGCTACTGTCGAACCCATACCGTGTGCTGTACTGACATCCGGAACTCTAACCAAACCGATCACAGCCTCACAGGCAGGGGCGCGGGCGTAGGCGTAGACATCATCCTCGACACTGCCTGCATAATGCGCTGACAGCTGTCCGGTCTCGTCGAGTTACAACCTCGCACTCAGAGGCGTAGGCGTAGACTCATTCTCGACGCTGCCTATGCGCTGCCCGTCCTCGACGAACTCGATCTTCTTCCCGGTGATCAGACTTTCCTGTAGGGCGCAACCGATCTTGACGGCGGTGACAGCGCCCTCCAATTTGAACGGCGGCTCGGCGTTGTCGAGACAGCACGCCGTGAATTCGTTGGCTTCGGTGATGAACGCCTCGCGGAACCGGCCGTAATAATGAGGCGGGATCTCTCTCCGAATCCCCGAGGGTTCGTAGATGGTGACGAGATTGGACATGGGTTGCGTATTGACGGCCAGTTTGCCGGCTGTACCTGTGATCTCCGTACTATCTTCCTGCCCCGCGGCCATCATGCGCGAACAGTACAGCTGGGCGATCTTGCCGCCGTGGAACTCGACGATGCCCAACGCGTTGTCCCGGTCGTTGTACTTCCGCAGTTCGGGCGACACCGCCGTAATCCCGATGGCGCTGACGGATTTGACGACCGAGTCCTCGCCGAAGAACCACAGCGCCAGGTCAATGTCGTGGATGGAGCAGTCGACGAAAATACCGCCCGAATGTTGGGCGTACTGGACGAAAAACCCCGACGGGTCGAGCTTGTCGCACGTTTGTGAGCGGAAGACGGCGGGGCGCCCGATCAAGCCGGCGCGCATCTTCTCGTAGGCGTCGCGGTATGAGGCGTCGAAGCGGCGCGAGAAGCCGCAGATGACTTTTTGCGCCGGGAACTCTGCGCGAGATGTCCGGTACGCTGTGATAACGGCTTGGGACTGTGGCGGGACATTAGGACCACCCACCGGACAAAGGACAAAGACACCAAGTACTAGGAGGACGCGCCGGGACGAAGAAACTGCGCTGCAGTACGTACCACTTCTGGATTCGTGCTCAGTGGCTTCTCGCAGAGCACGTGGAGCCCAAGTCGAATTGCCTTGATTGCTTGTTCCGCGTGCGCGACGGTGGCCGAGGCGATGACAACGGCCTGCAGGGTCTTCTCTTGCCTCAACATCTCGTCGTAGTCCGGATAGGTCCTGACTCCCTATAGATTTTGGGCGGCCCATGCGAGTTCCTTGGCGTTTGGCGATGTGACTGCAATGACCTCTGCGCGGGGCGTCATGGTGTGGAAGTGCAGAGCGTGACGAGCGCCCATCCGGCCCAGGCCGGCGATTGCTACCTTGAGTTTTGGCGATGACATGCTTGCTTGATTGTGTGAGATACAGTAGGAATCGATGCGGGTGGACGACGAGACAAAATGTTAAGTTAGGAGGCACATGCAATCCCAACTCACCGCTTGTCACGTGGAAATGAGAATTTCCATCAGGTACGAGCCCGTTGGCCGAAGGTTTCGGACTGGGATTTGCAACGTGCAGCGCAATAATCCACACTTGTGAGGGAAATCGTTGTGGGCTGTGAGGGACCGAAGCCTGCACTTTACATGAGGCCCTAAACTGGATAATTTAGGCTTCCTTATCGCCAGTTCCAACCTGCGCAAAATAGTGTTAGTGGCACCTAATGCCGCCAAACGCCAGGCTTAGCTAGCAACCCGGAAGCTTCGCTATCCAAATGAGGCAAAGCCTCAGGTACAGTCGTCGTTAAAAAGCAAAAAAAGGCTTGGCGATATGGCTGTTGCACACACACACAACAGCGGCATGCTCTTTTACGAATTGCATAGCAGCCGGCACTATATGAATGAAGGGTACTTTGTCACCGGTGGTGTATTGACGGGGATCTATTCACGGCCATGATGTTGAGCCTCTGGGTGCCGGTTCGACGGCATCTCCACTGGCAACACGCTGGGAGAACTTTGATGCTGCTTCGATGCAATTTATTTGCTGACTAAAGGTCAGCTTGGACGTAGACTCGTTTCTTCCTGGGTGCAGATGCAAGCAATTGGCACCATGTGGTCGATTGACCTGCCTGTGTCGCGCGGTTCAAGTTCGTGGGTGCGCATGCCGCAACCCAACGTACGCCTGAGGCGCAATTTTTAAACATAGGGAAGTGATTGCATGCGTGCTCCATGTCTCCATCCACACGACACCGAGAGCCCTCCGCTAGGCCCCCAGTACCTTTTGCGCAGGTGCAAATGCCCCCATCCATGCGCCCCTGCCCAGTCGGTCGTTGCCCGTCCTGTCTCTCGCCGACAATGAGCTGCTCGTTCCCATGCGAGCGGCACTCGTCCATCATTCCCACTCGATATCCGTGTCAAGGAGAAGCTCGGCGATGGCGGAGAGATTCCAAGTCTCAGAACGTCGATCAACCTCCATCTGCGCCTCGACAGGTGGACGTTGGGGTCTGCCCGGCTGTTGCGGCGCGGGAACAAAGCCGCGACCTATATTGAGAGTGCTGTCTGCATGAGAAGTTGCGGGGCCGAAGGATCGCCCGCATTTCTGCCACGTTGTTAGACTTAGATACTCACGCTCGAACTTGGTCTCGGATCTCAACGAATCCCGCTATGAGAGGGCGTTATCAAAGAAAACAAAAGGAGCAACGTACCCAGGACCAGTACTTTGACATGGCGTACCAGACATAGTTATCCACATTTTGAATGGAGATTGACATTTTGGTGGTCGGGTCCTGGGGCTCGCGGTTGAGTCTCGCCGCTTTCCATGGTCCATCTGCAGGATTTGATTAGCATGGGTGAAGACAGGACAGTCTCCACAGCCACGCCTGTAGGCAGACTCACAAGAACGGTCATTCGGTGGATAATCAATGATCTTGCGGATGATGTTGAACTTCCACCCGTAGTGTTGACGGTCATAGACGTATGTGTCGTAATTGGGGATCCCCTCAAAGATGTCCGGACAATGAAGCAACTCATGCAGAACCGTCGTCCCAACGACTCTCATGTACCCGGTATCTCTGTCTCCCAAGCCGCTGCACCCCCAGCCGGGCTTAGGGTTTCCCTGGGCGTCCCTCGCAAAAGCGGGCGGATCTCCGTCCCAGCCAAATCGAGCCGGAAGTTGAATATTTCCCCCCCGGGACAGAGGATCATGTAACACGCGCCCTGAAAGTCCCAGTTGTCTGGTCGCGGAGCACGCGGGTCGTAGATGAGGTATGCATTTTTGTTGAAGAGCACATTCCGGCTGTTCCCGCAGCCGACACTGGTTTGGATATCGGCGGGAACGCGTGGATAATCGCCGAACGTCATCAACACTGAAGACCAGTAAGGACCTAATGTGGTGTCCTAGCGGTGGGAGACTGGGATTAATCGAGAGACTCTTCCGGCACCATAACTTGGCAGGGCCTCCAGCCTATCTTGCAAGAACGGAAAACGGCCGGGGTGAAAGGTTCGCCTTGAAGCCTGCCACTCTGGCTCTGAACATCCACGGTAAAGACAAGAACAGAGACGCCAACTCACCATGTCGAAAGTAGAGAGCAGGGCAAGAGTATCGGCCTGGTTGTGGTCCTTGGACACGTCGATGTTGGCTATTCTGGCGAAGATAGACTGCACGAACTCGAAGTCTTGATGCTGAAAGTCTGAGCACCAGGTCAGCTTCACGGCCAACGAAAGAACAACCGTATGAAAAGCGCCATAGAGTCAAGTGAAGGGACGACTTACACCGTAAGAATTCCTGTGATGACGGGATAGCAATGTTAGCATTGACCCGCGGGCTACCACTGCCAGTACTTGTAACCCGCAGTCACGGAACGATTTTGTCCATAGTGCACGCACCGGATCGCACTGCCTTCCGGTCAGCAGCACCACCCGCGCGAGGGTGATTGCATCTTCGAAGCCCTGTCGCATGAGGCGCGCATATGCCTGATATTTCCAGTCATTTTTCGAGAATGGGAGACGGACTTGAGGACGGGCAGTGATGACGAGCCCGATGTTCAGCAAGAGAAGAAGAAGAAGGGTCGGCAGCATGTTGACTTTGAATGCGTTGAAGGCCATCTTTTTCGTCCGAGCAGGGCAGGCAAAATGTCGAAGGAGGTGACGCTGAGTCGGATATAATCCGTGTGAGAGTCGATATGAGGTGGTCGCTGGGGGTTTTAAATCACCTCGTTAAACCAGTTCTTCACTTACCGCGTCGGTGAAGTGAAGCATGGTGGAGGACGTTGCGTGAAGATCAAGTAGCGCCAGAGGGCGCTCCTCTCGAACGCAAATGAAGGTGAGTCTCGACGCTTCACCGAAAGTATCTCGAGGACCGATTCATACCATTACATGTCAATGGAGCTGGGAGAGCGTATAGCTACGGCAAGAGGATGATGGGGCAATATTGAAGGAAGATCCTCTCGTGCGGAGGGTTCCTAAACATGGGACCAGTGAAGAGTGTCGACGCTCCGTGATGGTAATGCCGCTTTGTGACATCCAAGGGAAGGCCTCGAAAGATCGTGCTTCCCTCCAGTCTCAACCATATGGGAGGCACTCACCAGAGCCTACGGGCATGGAGTCTCTCTGCCTGTTCTTCCTGACACATCCACCATCCTCTTATGTTGATTTATTTTCTCTCCTCCACTCGGACTACCGACACATTCAGAAGGTGTTCGCAGGGCCTTTCCAGGACTGCTCGAAGCTGTTAGCCTAGTGTAACGCCGGGGCTGCGATGCTACGTATTGAAGCAGCAGGAAAAAGACGACATACCAATATCATGGCCGGCTCCGTCAGCGGCGTCATCTTCATCAGGCTCCCATAAAACTCTATACCCCTCTCTTTCCCGTGGCCAACGACACACATCGACCTCCTCAGATGTGGCATGTCTTCGACGACCTCCTGCACGCAAGAGATCAGCCATTTCCCAAGTCCCTGGCCTTGCCATTCCGGCAACGTGTACACGTCTGTCAGGTACGCGAAAGTGACTCGATCAGTGATCAAGCGAGCAAAACCAATCAACGAGGGCTGTTCTTGATCTTGGGTTTGTTGCTGCTCCACATCCTTGGGTGACGTCTGATGGCTCGTTGACTGACTGCTCGATTCCGGCTTGACATGTCCAGCAATTTCGTGGAGTATCTCTGCTGGATCCGGCGCTGTAGACGCCGAGATGTCCTTATCCACGGGCGCAGGCGCAGGTGGTGCCGGTGTCGGCGAGTAAAGCCCAAAGCAGAGACAATTGTCCAGCATATCTTGCATGACTGGATCTGGCAGTGGCGAAGCCCAGTATAGTGCGTCTGATGCAAAGGCTTCATTGAGGTCTTGAATAGGGATCAGTGAAGAATCTGTCGATATCAGGAAGCCGTCGCGTGTCCACGATCTCGCTCCTTCCACGGCGTGGGCAGTGTGTGACATATTGGTCGAGGGCAAAACCTCCACCTGTCCTTCTTTGAGAAGAATTACGCAATCAGGATATTCACTTGAAGAGCGTTCTACTTTCGGGTACTGGCATGTAATCTGAAATCTTTGCCCAGACTCAGGGGTAAACTCGAGGGAGGGAATGAGTCGCAGTACTGGTAGTACTTGAGCTCCATTGATGATGACCGAAGAACCACGGGAAGGATACATCATACCGACGTCTCCTTCGCGTTCAGCACGCCGTACTGTTAAGTGCTTGCCACGGCGAAGCAGCACGACCCTAGACGTTGGGGGATCTTCTTGACCTTTATGCCTGGAAGAAAGTGGTGGGGTTCAAAGAGAAAACAGCTTCGCAACCAAACTATAGTAAGGTGACGCTCTTCTCCTATCCTGGACGCCATCCCATCTTCCGTCAACTCTGTCGCTTAAACGATAGGTGAATGAATGTGCCTGCTGCGGGCATCCAGCCGCCCAAAGAGACGATTATAGACGGTAAAGCACTCCGTATTGGCCTCTATTACAACTCATCATCTGAAAAGCCAAAAGAATGCCGAAATCTCAACGTCTCCTCCTCCATGTTAGCACTTTTCAACACCACCGAATCCTCAAATTGTCTGCCCTCCGGGCCAAAATAAGACATGAACAGTCTCTTTAAATCCTTATCACTGAACCGCATATGCTCACCTGGCAACTTGACCGTCTTCAATCCACCTTTCTTGTCCAGCCGTCTCAAGCCGATCCAATCCTCGCGATAGAGAGGTCGGTTTTGAAGTGGCGTGACAGAATTTTCCGTCTCGTTGAATTCGGCGAACCAGGCGCTTTCCTTGGGGATCAGGGTTGTGTCGTTGTTGAACAGAATCATGACAAAGCGTTCCAGTTGAGATAGGTTGTCCGCGTAGCTGGCGTTCTTGAGGGCTCGCTCGTTGTTGATGTCAGCCAGGTAGTTTGAATGTTGCAGGTAATTCTCAAAGTCCTTTGTGTCACGGTAATATTGTGCAGGGACGAGGCGAGATTGGATGAAGTCGGACCACACGGTGCTGCTCTTCAAGAGTGCATTGGCGCCCTGGCATATCCAGTCTGTCGGGGACGAACACTTCTGGAACTCTGCAATTCCGTTGTGTGGCGATCCGAAGGTGATCAGAGATCGGACCTTGGGGGCGTTACACCTCTCCACATAACCACGCAGGAACAAGCCACCCTGACTGAAACCGAGGGCATCAATCGCTGGAGCTGTTCGCAGAATGTTGTCCTTCGTAAGCGCGTGGCACACAGAATCAATCTGTTGTGTAACGTTGCCGAAGAAGGAGGCCTGGCGGTCCGCTGAGCCCGCGTTGGCGCCTACTGTGATCATGTATGTATATGTGCCTGGATGGACTTCATCCACTAATGCGGCCACTTCTTTCAACCCATCCGCGTTGGCTGAGTCGCCGAGTCCATGCCAGATGACTACCGGAAGGGGCTGATCGTCAGAATCGTCGTCGATGGCCGTCACTCGCAAAGCGGACTTCGGTGATAGCTTCGTGATTTTGACCCATTCGTCCGCAATGATCTCCTCCACTGTGTCGCTGGACGTTGGAGTCTCTATGCTTCTGTCCTCTGTCCCAATGGTCTGGGGTATGACGCGGGCCTTGGGCGACAGGCCTGGAACATCTGCGAGCTGGCTGCGAAAGACTTCGGCTTCGGGGAAGACAACAAATGCGAGGGTAGCCGCAGGAAGCGACAACAACACAGAGAGCCACGTCACCTGCATTGTGACAGAGAGCTTCACCGCCTCGAAAAATGAAGAGCACAGGACTGTTATGCTGATTCTTCGGAACTAGAGGCCTGCTCCGAGATAGATTGACGTTGAAGCTACTAAAACAGGTACGAAGAAATGGTTGTTGCCTGCGCCGCAAGCGCATACTGACGAGTCGATTGCTAGTTCAAGCTCGGGGCCGCTGCCATTCGACGTACCCCGGATCTTGGCTCTTGGCAGGCACACACGCACATCTGCATCACCAGGCATGTCAACCCAGAATAAGAAAAATCACATTGTCTGACGAGAAGAGCGCTCTTGCTTTGCATGGTTGTGGCCAAATCACACCGCAACTTCAACTGGCATGGGGGCACGCGACCACGAAGCAAATTTCTTCTGCCACCTGGGACCCGTGGGAGACACCGACGCCCTGCGTATCTGAAAAGCGCTCAGCTTCTCTGGATAGACTACCGCACTGATGAACTATAATGCAGTGCTGTGAGCAAATGAAACATCTGTTTACTGGCAGTGCACAGCTCGGTCGTATATCTGAATCGTTATTCTTTTCATGTCTGCTGGTATCGCGTAGTAATTAATGTCTGTCCTCAGGAAGCGGATGAGAAAGCCTCCTCTTCCAGACTCCACGCTAATGGGTATCATATCAAGACAATTTGCCCTCCCATTTTGGGACATGCCTCCTAGAACGCCTAGAAAAGCCCGAGCCCAATCCATCCTCCTGTGAGCATATAGAGGTGATGCATTTTGCGTTTAACCCAGCAACCCGAGCCCATCTTCTTCGGCGACCAGCACTCGGAGCTTCTGCAGATCCTGTGTCCACCTCCTGGTAACGTGCAACCATAGTTGTCTCTCGTCCGACCGCTTCTCTTCGATATACTTCTCCAACGACGGCTTGCTTTGCCAGTCCTCCCATTTCCTCCCAGGACTGACCAGCATTTCGCAAGTAAGATGTGGATATTGCTTCTTTGCCGAGGCGATGGCTTCTCTATCTGCGTTCAGACGGGCATCCTCCAGCTGACATGGAGGACAAGGATGGTCCTGGTGAGATAAGAAATTCGGCAGCATCATGTAATGAGGTGGAAGGAAGTGTGAGGATGACGTGCAAGAGAAGTGGAATGCTTTGGCAGAGAATGACTCTGACCGTGTGAACCTGCGGGCCAGTTCGCCACACTCCTTGGGTTGTCGAGCCACACCGGGCAGAGGTGCGGCAAAAGACTGGACCCGGGATATCGGTGAGGACGGAGGCGTAATGGAGCCGTCTGAGCGAGAATCCGACGTCCCATACGAGGAGTTAGAACATCCTCGTGATGAGACTGGTCTGAGGTTGGACCCTGACAATCTGTTCTGACAATTGTAGCATTTGTAGGGTTGCTGAGGGAGCTTGACTCCGGTTGTTTTGAGGATCGGGCATGGTCCCAGATTGCATATGTCGAGGCTCATCAGGATACCATGGCCGCAACAGAATCGCAGGACGTGAGCCTTACACATCTCGCAATAGTGTACGTAGAGATGTCTTCCCCGGAGGGAGCAGCGAAGAAACTTGGTGGTAGAGACTAGAGATCCTCGAGAGGCGCAGGCGATGGAGAAACGACTCGACGTCCAGGGTAGTCTATAGAGACTCTCTCAACAGGCGACGTGCTGATAGTGAGGCATTAGGCAGATGCTCTCGACTCTTGACGAATGCCCGGGCGAGGACCTTGTGCACGCGGGGCAAACGAGTGTGGTGCCCAAGAACCGTCGTCAGAGGCGTCCGTCCACCAAATAGATGCAGGATCCCAGTGTTTCCACTGCGCAATCAAACCTCTGTGCATATAGGGTGACCTGTGCGACTTGAAATAGCGAGTGTCACAACGTCACCGGACCCAGCAAGTGTGAGTAGGTTGACGGTGGGTATAGGTTAGAGGGTAGGAGTCGACGGTCCGTGTCCAAGAGGGCGAGGAAGACCCAGATCGTGGAGGGAGAGACTATTAACCTTTCACAGGTGGGTTCGGAAGAAACGCCCGAGGTGCCCGTGGGCCGAGGGTCAAAATGATCGCATCGAGCATTAACGAACGCAAGAAGAGGGTCGACGGCAAGCAGCAACTGGACCGCGACGGCGTGCAGGCGCGGGGAACGAATGACGATGAAAGGGAGTCTCAACGGAAATGAAGCTGGAATCAAGCCGACCCCATAGACGCCCCTTGAGGAAAGCAAGACAGACAGACAGAACAAAAAGAAGCAATTAAGCAGTATGCATAAAATGGGGAACGACGTTGTGAGCGAGCGGATTCTCATCGGCTGGGATAGGGTCGATGGAGGAGCGATGCGTATGGTTTGCGTTAGGATGGTGGAGGTGTCTAATAGACGAGGCGCTTTCGGCTGCAGGTTCTGCGGCCACAAGGTGGGACGAGCAGGATGGGCAGAGTGGAAGCCATGCGGAAGCCACTCTGATTGTCCTCGAGGTGGGATGTTGCTTCCCTAACGGGCATGATTTGTTGGGTCCCCAGGCGTTCAAAAATTTTCCTTGGCCGAACTATCCGACCCCTGTCCCCGCAGGCTGAAATTCACCCTATCCTCACTTATTACCTTGTCGTGTCTCACGCTCGCACTCCTTCAATGAGACAGCTGATACCTGGGTATCTTTGGTGTGTTATCTGCCTCTGTTGCTCGTCGCTCTCTTTCCGCATCCTCGCTATAATCCACTTTACGTCGTATTACCCACCAAGCGACGTATCTTGCCCGTTGTCAACTTGGCTCAGCTCTATGGGCACCGGTTGCAACTCTCAGGGTGTCTGCGGGTAAAAGGCTCGCAACGGGCACGGAGAGTGCATGGCGACGGCAAAAAGGGTGGGCTTCGCCCCATCGATCATGGTCCTGTTGGAGCTCAAGTCCTTTCCTTTCGCCGCTCCGGTGGTCGCGATTATATAGCCAATGACGAGGTGAAGCGTGATGTGCTCGTCGCAAGCATGCTGATGCAGCTTGATCCCGAACACCACCATTTTATGCTGTGCTTCTCTGAGATCTTCTTGTCTGCCTCTTTCGGCTCTTCTAGAAGACGCGATTGCCGGCGAGACTTCTGATGATGACTCGCGCCAGACCCACCCAGGTTTTCTGAACACTTGTGGTTACGTACATACCATGTTCATGCACGTTGACCCCAGAAATGCCATGCCCGATCCTTCGCGATGGTTGCCACATGCATTGCATCGTCGTCGCGGTTGGCTTTCCGCTCACCTTGGATGGCCTTGGTGTTTCAGCGTTTGAAGGAGAAACACAGCTTGAGCGCGCAAGTCACGTTCCTGCTGGGCCTGCAGGCGCACATCTCCAGAGCATACTTGCCACCTGCCTTCGTTCTGGTAATCACAGTAGGTAAGCTGTCCTGCCGGCAAGTGATAAGCGGCGGTAGTAGCACCAGCAGCGGCCGCGTCATCTACATGATTTTCGTTGATATCCGTTCACATCCAGCTCGGCGGTTCGTTCGGAGCGAGAATAGCTGCACGCGCATGACCCATAAGGAAGTATTAAGCATGGTTCAGGTATGGTGCTGGGTCTGTAGGAAATACTCATTGAGTGCCAGAGTCGGGCATGCAAGGGCTGCCTTGGGTTATCTAAGAATACTGATCCACTTTCAGTCTTTATCGTCACCTATTAGGTCGCCATGTGCTCCGCGATGAGGGCTGGGCCAGATCCTTCTTGACAAACATAGACGCCCTTATTGGTCCACAGCATCTTCTGGCGCTCGTGCACCAGGCCTGCATCGATCGCGCATCTAAACCGAATCACTTGATGCGTTGCTTGCAGTGTTGTAGTACATGGTGATGCTCTGGATTTTGAGAACGTTGTCCCTCGCCGGAGGACCGGCCGACCACCCTGGCACGATGGCCGTCAGAAACGAAGACTGAGATAGAGATAACACCAGATACGTACCTCTGTCGCCATTTGTCCAATTGTTCCACACCCATGTACCTGGTACACTCGGAACGTTGACCCAGAACTTTTTCTGGAGAACCCCGTCGATGTAGAAGGCAGTAAAATCCTTGGTCCAGTCAAGCCGATACTCATGGACGTTCTCTGCGCAGTCAGTTGGAGCATTGCCGGTCTGGTAAGTCTTGGCCATCCTCTGGGGATCAACAGCTTGATTCGTGTACCACATGGGCACAGGTACGCCTGGACCTGGGTTGGACAAGGAAGTTGGATCTGTCAAGTATTCGATATCGGTCTCCTGATTGTCACTCTTGTAGAAGAAGAGTCCTGCTACTGTCAGTACCTGAGGGCATCATCCAGCCGCCCGACCTGGAAACGCACCATGAACAGTGCCAGGTTCCTGGCTGAAAATAGCTTTGGTCCGCACGCTGGCGTAGAGGATATTTTGGTCAATCGTCGTCACCTCCGCACACCTGATGGCGTAATTGTCGGCCTGCGTGGGCTGCTGGCCTCCTGGAACCGCCAGGGTGAGAAACCCGTTGCAAAGCTGAACGTTTGCAGGGTCGAATCGCACATTGTAAGGAATCTGTCCCACCGTCCGGCTCTGTATAGTATAGTTGCTCTTCCAAAGGCCAGCAGGTAGACTGCATCCATCGAATATGTAGACAGCCCGCTTTTGAAAGGTGCCGACACCAGGGACGACCCATGCACCATCCCCTCCCGTCACATCGTCATCGCCGCAGCTGGCTCTATGCTCACCGGCATTTTCATCATCGGGTTTCTGACAGTCATGTGAGACTTGTTCGTTGTCAACATCTTGGCTCTTGCCGATACATCCATTGTCAGTGGCTCTGTCATTCGAGGTTGCGGTCGGCTTGGCCGCAAGCCTCTCCGACTCTGTGGCACTTCTGAAACCCTGCTCTTCATTCGTTCTTCCGGTATTTGCCGCTGAATCCACCCTGAGATCAAGTATATTTCGCTCCATCCGGTCAGCAAATGCCACCCCACGTGCTGGCATAGTTTGTACTGATGTGCGTCGGGGAGACATGGTCATACAGGGTCGTGAAGAACAGGATGACGAAGAATATAGGAACGAATGGCTGAATGACGGTGCTGTCAGGAGTCCTGAGACCGGTCTTAGTGCCAGAGGATGACACGCGAGAGACGGCTAAGGCACGGGTTAGAAGGAGCACTTTGCTTGGTTTATAGCGAGATGTCACAAAGCGTGTGTGTGCTTACCGACAGGTGGCTGAGCGGGCTCCTCGCTAGGCTTTCCCGGCTGACTTTGAGAGCAAGAAGTGATTCTGTTCACCCAGTTCCCTTTGATTTGCACTGTGAAGGGCATGAGCTGTTGGTTATGATACGAGGATACACAGAGGAAGCCTGCTAACGAGGTCAGTCACGCTGAACCGGCCTTCGCAAAGCTCATTGAGCTGCACAATTGAACTCACATACATGTAGCGAGTGTTTTCAAAAGCATTGAAGAACGATACTGAGAGAAAAGATGCTTCCTGTCGAGGCTGTGACAGAATGATAGCAGCCGTTGGGGTGCGAATGGTGTGCGTAGATGGTTTTATCTGTGAGACGAAGTTGACGATGCAACTTAACAAGCCCGCACCTTCCGTTCGAGTTGGCTAGAACCAGCAGGAGCTGGTACGTAACAGGCTTGTTGGTGAGAAAGAGCGAGATGGTAAGCGCAACTAGACATCTGAGTCAAAGTTGCCATTCCATCTGGTAGCCAAAGACAGTCCTGCGAAGAAGCTCGTCTCCAGGGTCGTTCTCAAACATGACCTTGTCCATGATTTGTTCCGAAAGCTTCTTGACCACAAACCCATCCTTGCGCGCGAGCTCAAAGAAATCGAGGTCTTTATCCAGCAGCCATGGTCGGTACGGTGTGAAAAAGACCAAAGCAACCGACTCTGAAGATCTCTTCAAGCATTCACGTACTGTCCGGAGCAGTTTTGTATGCTCTGAATGGTTGAAGAGAATATCGGCAAGAATAAGGAGGTCGAAACCTTCTGGACCAGGATTAATATGAGATTTCAAGGAGTCCGGCGCGCTTCCCCACAGGTAGCCCTCCGCTACAATTGTGGACTTGTTGTTCAGTGTCGAGCAATGCTCAATATTATAACGGAGATTGTCTACGAGTTCCTGGTCAGGGTAGTCTGTCACCACTACTTTTCGAGCGCCCAAGAGAGCAGCAACCAAGCTAGGAAGACCTGAGCCAGCCCCAAGCTCAAGAATACTTTTGTTCTGCACGAGCTGCCGAGCATGGTCCTCGAGATACGTGGCAACAACTTGACCAGCGTTCCAAAGAAGGTGACCCTTATGAAATGGTTAGTCTAACAATAAAATCCAGAATGCAACTCCATATCACACCCAAAGAGGACTGTGCCCAACAAGCCTCAGCCTGAGCTCATTTCCATCCTGAAGGGTATAGCTGACGAAGGTTGGTGGCTTCTCAGGCTGGAAAAAGTCTGCAGGTTCCCGGAAGATGTCGAGAGATGCCGAAGCTTCATCGTCGTCACTGTGAGCCATCTTGAAGACGAAGAGCGATGACAAGACACATCCAAATCGTTGGTCGAGGGCCACGATATTGCCGTTCAGAGCGTGTAGTGACACCAGAATGTTGCTGACTGAGGGGAAGGATGAAAGCCCTGTCTGGGCTCGAGCGTCGACGTGTATGGCTTGGCGAAAAGCCACGGATGAGCTTGTGCTGAATGGCTCGCTGGGCTCGCCCAGTACTACGTGGTCAGCGTGACGTACCGTAATTGCTGCGTACTGAGCACGCATAATCCGCTAGATATTCTCCTTGTCTGAACTTCGACCTTGTCCCCGATACAAATCACCAGTGCCTGTACCAACGACATAATTCTATCGACTCGACTTCTGATCGCTGAGCTTCCGTAGATGTGCTTCTACCCAATACCACCTCAAGCCATAGCTAATTCGAGATGATCGTGCTCTGATGCCTGGCCAGGCTGCATTTTGGCCCGAGCAGCCTTTGCGGATCAAGAGTACTAGAGGGTCGTTCGATTTCCGACGTTGCGTGGTGGATGTCTCCAACAATGTCTTCACCTACCCGAGTACAACAGGCCGCCTCCGCCAGTGTCATGCCTAGAACGGCCGACTCGTTGACCTCTCTCAGACTGAACTCTGCCAACAGGGCGCAAATTGTCACCAGAGCAGTTTCTAACCCAGAAAAGTTTGTAGAGGTCAGCTAGAAGTGGCTTTCATTACCCATAATGCTGCATAAGTACTAGACAACGATCTTCCTGCGCCATCACCAGCTTTGTCTCCAGAGTCGCTGGTGTCGGTGTATCGAAGGGCTCCAGTCCGGCCTGTTCTACCCTCTGAGGGTTACCCGGCACCCGTTGACCGTACAACGAAGCGGCCAACATGCAGGTTTCCGAAGAGTCAACAAATGTTTCGCGTCGAGTTCGCACAAGACAGCACGAGTTTAACCCATTCGAAGAAGAGACTGCAAGTGTTATCTACAAATTCCGGCAACGATTACAGTATAGAAAGCCGCTCGCAGCCCGTGGAGTAGCAACTACGGAGTACTCGCAGTGTACTCGCACCTTATCCTTAACCGTGAGATGTCGGAGAAGAGGATGCCGAGGTTACCTCGAATCAGGCCTGAGGCGAGTATCCGGAAATCCTGCGTCAAATCATGTCGACCTTCCTACTGCACAGTGATGATGTGATGCGATCGGATCTTTGCTACTCGACGTTCGAGGGGTGGCCTGACTCTGCACCGTAGCGGATAGACTCTCAATTGAGATGAAAGGCACTCGTGAAGAGCTACTAGATTGCGTGGAGCCTGACGTGGAGTACTTAGATACTGCGGTAACTTGTGCTCTACGGCAGATTTCAGTTGGTGCGACGGCGTCACTCCCGTTCAATTCGACGGGTATCTGGCCAGAGTCATTTTTCATCGACCCCCTCAATCCCACTTACCTACCACTGACTCTACTGCGGCGCATTGTTCAGGCGGTGAGGTGGTATCGAGTCGAAAAGTTCTTCGGCAGATATCTGAGTGAAGTCCAACACGTGGGATTAGTGTGCGCATCACAGCCCAAATTCATACATCATGGCGGGTACATTGCATCCTGTAGTTAGGGTACTCGTACTTTCACTCAGTGCAGTGACGTGCTGGATGCACGCCTTTTTCCCGGAGGCTCTGGCAAGGACCGACCGAGGCCGGCGCAACGTGGGAGAGCGCAGCCGGCACATCGTCGGATCGAAGGATCAAGCCTATCGCATTCTTGTGAGAAATGCCTCCCACTATCGATATACCGTGTATTCCCGACGGCTTCATGGCCCGGCTGTTCCTGGAGGTGATTTTCCTTCGTACCTGCTCGTCGCTCACAGCTCTCTTCTTTTCCTCGATTATCTCTCCCTGATCTGAAGCTGTATCTTCGATCTCGCATTGATTTCCCGGGCGACGCAGCCAGTCAAGGTTCTCGGCCCCCCACAAGATCAGCTTCACATTCCCCATCGCCCAATTGCACCAGCCCCGCAATCTCTCCAGGCTCTCGGACTGGCAGGCAGGCTTCCACGCGATCCCCCACGAAACTCCTACTTGTCTGATTGCCTCACCTCTCGCCCATCTTTGTCCGGCTACTGCATTCTCGCCATCCAGGCAGTTTCAGCTGGGTGGTCAGCATCATCGACAGAGCCTGAGTAGTGAGGACTCGCTAGGATTGGGAGAAACTGACCTAGGCTCACTCTCCAAAAATCCTACTCACACCCGCTCGCACTTTCCGCGCCCCGGCATTTCTTGCGGCGACACTACGCCCGTGTTACACCCATCCTGAATTCCTCCGTCCTCTACGTACTTCGTCCCTCGCTTGTACTTTGTACCTCTGCAAACCGACCAGTCCGCACAGACCTTGCGATTCGAGAACACAGGCTTTCGGTAGCCGCGCGCTGTCCTTGCAAAAACAAGACCAAGACGCAGAAGCACCTTTGAAATAGAGAGGAGCCGCCTGCTCAGCGGCTGCGTCTCTGAAACACAATTCCACAGCCTGAGCCCCCCAAGTCTTGCTACAAGATGAGCAGCTATCCACGCAGAAGCGCTCGCCTTTCATCACAGCATCTACATCAAGAACACTTCCAGCAGAGGAGTGGCACTCTCTCCGCTCCTGCGTTTGCAAATTCCTTCTCACAACCGTCGAGTGCCTCGACCAGTTCGCACCCCAGTCCTATCAGTGACAGCATGCATCCCCCTCCGCCACCATCGACCCCCCAACAACCTCAGAATCGTCTCCATCTCCAGCCGCTCTTCATGCCCCAGCACCAGCAAGGCCAATCGCACATGAACGCGCCGATGCCTTCGCCGTCGGCTGCAGAAATGGGACCCTTTTTCGGACGGGCATATTCGCAGCCTAACCCGTATGCGTCGCAACAACTACAAGGCCAGCAACCTTACGGTGGCCAACAACCACAGATGAATCAACAGGGCCAGCAACACCATTTGCATCCTCATAGCAATTCCATGTCACAAGATCATCCGGCTCACGCGCAGGCCATGAATCCTGGACAGTTGCCACCTGATTTCCTTGCCGAGGCAGCCAAACGCGCTCAGATGGCGTGCTTGATGCGGGATATTGGTGACATCTCGCTCTGAGCCAGAGCATTACGAAGATTTTGGTCGCTTTGTATGCGATATTTCTACACTACGATTCATTCTACTCTGCTGGGGGAACTGACCCTCTGCTTTCTCGGGAGTTATTCCGCATTCCGGCCACAAAATATTATGCCGAGGAGGGAAATTGGCTGACATGTGCTTGACGACCACGAATGTTCGGCACGCCCAACTCTTGTCGACATGTCATGACTTCCATGGTCTGGAATCTATCATTATGCAGGTGGTAAGCAACCGACGGGCATATTTTCCAGTTAGCGTTAGAGTTTGCCGTGACCGGTCACCGTCACTGTCACCTTCCCAACGCAAAACGGGCCGAACGAAAGAGTGGATATTTCGACTCCAACCACGACCTCACCAAGCTTTTTGCTCTTGACGTCACATCCATCTCCACATTTACGATATTTTATACCTGATGCGAGCAACATGCGTTCGACCACTCCTCTCAACCAGTTTATGCGGTTCTGTTATCTTCTCGGAGGTCGTCACGGTTCTTTTGACGCCGATACCCCATGACGTTTTTGGCTTTGGTTGGGTGCCATACACCTCTGGTCGCCGGACCTTTAATATAATTCATTTCATACTGGGGAAGCAGATGCGGTTGTTATTGAGTTTCGAGCGACTGCGGGACGTTGTTTATCCACTGCTCTGTGTGTTTCTGATCTGTCTGATAGACGACGGGCATCCCTCTCTGGAGTTTCCATCAGAACGACGGCTTGCATGCATACTACATCACACCCACCGGGGCACGGAGTTGGCAGGAATCACTTTCAAGAGAATTTCGCAAGACGGCCCCTGCACATCCAAGATGGGACGGAATCTCGATTCAGGGAATTTTTAGGTGAAGCGAAGGTTAGGCTTTGGTTTAGTCTCATTGGAGTGACATGGAGTCTAGGCCGGTTCGACTCAACTACTTATGACTACAATCGAGAATGAGGATGAGGATGAGAACATGAATATGAATATGGAAATCAATATCAATATCAATATCAATATCGATGCAACTCGCTGGTGACAGGCCTGGTCTCATCATTGCATGCGTACACGTGCTTCTCGTTACTTGAAGTCTTGTATCCATCTTCCAGGGCGCCAGATATCGTCAAACCGTTGAACCAAACTCCCTCGATCTCCGAACGCGAGGAAGGGAGAGAATTGTGCGGCGAATCTTGTATTACGCGAGACATTGTCAAGCCTTGATTCAACTCCCTGAATCTCCCAAGGTAAGGAGCGAGAGAGTTTACGCTGCGACTTCACCCGTCGACCGCATTCGTCGTTGCACGCAGGCAGACAGGCAGGCAATCCATCTCATCTCATCTCATGTCGCTTGGACATGGTGAAAGTCAAGCCACTCACTCTGCATACCGTAGCACTCGTGTCTCTGTATCTAGTATTGACTGGCACTGACTGGCACTGGCTTGGACTTGGACTTGACTTGGACTTGACTTGGACTTGGACTTGGATGAGACTTAATTTGGGACGCCACCTTTCGCCACTCAACAATGGTACATATATACTCCCTATCCTAGTCCTAGTCCTAGCCCTGTCCCCGGTCCAGGTCTCTGTTCGCGCAACGGAAGTCGAGATTTCCGCTCACTCAGCCTCGGACCCAGCCTCAGTGACTACCTAGGTAGTGACTGGTGACTGGTGGCTAGGGTAAGTCGCCATTCACTGTAATGCCTCGGGTCATGAGCAACAGAGTCGAGGATCTCGCAAGGCCAGGTTTTGGACTTGCGTGCTTTAACCAGAGCTCTACACAGCTCGAGTCCGTACTTTGATGTAAACTGCGATTGGCTCACTCACACTGTGACTCTTGCACCATCGCACGCCCACGCCCCACGCCCACACTCTCAACCCAACCCAACTACCGGCTCATCCTCGTCCCACTCATCCGCCAAAAACCCTACAAAGGACTCAACGACGGCCCTCCGCCCAACTATATACCCCTGCCCATGCGCGATCCCGCCGCGCTGGATCTGCGTGTATTTCCGCCGCAACCGCTGGAGCAGCGGCTGGTTCAGATTCACGCCGGGAGGGATCCGTAACGTCACGTGCACTGCCTCTGCGTCTTCTTCTCGAACTTCCTCTCCTTCTTCTTCTTCTTCTTCTTCAGCATCAGCAGCAGCAGCAGAGTTGATGGCGCGCTGTTCTCTCCCCACAGGCACACGCAGATCCACCTCCCCGCCCTCGCCCTGCAAAATCGCCGGGGTATGGGCCCTCGCTTGCGCGAGCAGCTGTTTCACGACCTCCATGGTCGCGGACTCGAGCGTTTGTAGGGCGTCGGCGCCGGTCGCGCGCGGGAGGACCGTCGCGGCGTGGGGTTTCACCACTGAACCGCCATTGGTGGGGTCTTCGGGTTTTGTAGCATTGGAGTTCGCGCCCGCATTCTCTCGTCCGGTGTCTTCGACCTCGGGAGTACTTGCTTTGAGATGAGATTGCGGTCTCGGTCCCAGCTGGCTTAAGGCCTTTTTACTCGTCGGTCTGGTGGGTGTGGGGTATATCGCGGTCCAGATGTCTGCCATGGGAGGGGCCACGTCCGTGGAGGGAACGACGAAGAGGGGCGTATCCCACCGGGAGAATGGAGAGGGCGGCTCGTACCGCATGCAGAGGGAGGAGAGGGTCGATGGACTGTAGGGAGCTGAGGCCGTTGATGGTGGGGGCGGCATTGTATTTGAGACACCAGGTGCAGGTGAAGGTGAAGGTGCGAATGCGGGTGAGGATGTCGACGCTTGAGGTTGACATGTGGCCGTTGCCGAACCCGTGTCGGCGCGGTCCCTAATGTAGAGAGACTTGAGCGTCATGGTCTCGTCCTCGTGCGGCTGTCCCGCTCGGGCAGTGACCCCCTCCATGTCGTCCAGAGACGAAGACCGCGACCTGCTGGTCTCCGTCTCCCTCACGCCGCGATCGCCATAGATGGCCGTATGGCTCTCAGGGATCAACTCCCCAAGGACATTCTCGCCGTCGTGTTTCTTCAGCCCTTGCTCGTGTGTACCGTGTTCATGTTCGCCATCCTCTCCGGCCCTGCGTCCGGATCCCCGTGCCCTCGCCCGTTCGGCATTCCAGGCGGCACACTCGTCCTCCCGCGCCGCCACGTGGACGACACAACACCTGGTCCCCGCGGCCTTGGCCTCGCACCACAACTGGTATCTATATCCCTTGATGTAATTCAACGCGTCCGCCACGATGACATTGTCCCGACCGAGCGCGCGCTTGACGGCCGAGAACTCTGCCGCTCGTGCAGTCTTCTCCTCCGCTGCGGACGTGTAGATCTGATCGCGCAGAGATGAGGCCGCGTCTTGCGTAGTTTCGGACCCGACGCCGTGAGAACCGCGATCGGCACGAGCGTGCTGCGACGGGATGAGTTGCACGGTGCGCCTCGAGATGGTCGGGTCGGTGGACGAGGAGATGAACTCGGTCAGGGAGGCCGCGATCTGTTGTGCGCGGTGGGTCTTGCCGGAGCAGGGGAGGCCCGTGACGATGATGAGCTAGAGGAGAAGGGTTGTCAATGTGGATTTCGGTGGGCATGAGATACGACAATACGCGTCGACGGTATTGTTACATGGATGCTGGTGGTTGGACTCACTGGCATTGCAATTCCTCGCTTTACTCAACCAGGCTTGGAGATGGGAAATTTTTGTTGTCGGCGGGGGTCTTCGGTGCCTGTTCTGCGTGTCCTGCGGGGTTGGCAGTCGTCGCGTGGCTCTGCGGGTCGGGCGAGGAGAAGAAGAGGACAGCATTCTTCACTGTGAAGCACTCTAGACGTTGTGTGCATCAAGGCCTCTTGCTCGAGTCAGTCTTGTTCAGTACGGACCGAGATCAGAGTAAATTTAAAATAGTACATTGGAAGTCATTATTACTGACACTGCTGTCAAGTATCATCTATCTATATATCAATCACTTCGGTCCGGGCTTTGCACCATCCCACAGTAGCAGGTCGCGGACGACGAAGTCAATCCTGTTCCACTAAAAGCCAGAGCTTCTCCGGTTACGCTCAGGTGTCCACTGGTTTATCCGTGGTTTGAATCCTCGCTGTTCCTTGGGAAAAAATTCCGGAGGGGGGAATTTTTTGGCCTGTCCATGGATTTGTGGTAGTCCACTCCTGTGGAATAGGGTTTCTCCTGGGAAAATCAATCTACACGGGCCGTGTCACAGAGGCGCGTAAAGCGCAACGCTGAATGAGATAGACTGGAGCTGCGGTGACGTGACACGGCCCTGTTGTTCTGTTACTCCTCTGGTATGTAGTCCTGTGAGAGGATAATGGTCTGGCCCCAGGGTGGATACATGCACAGTCAAGCGAAGGTCAGAAACAAACGTCGTCCAGATGGGTTAATCGCACAAGGGGGTATATGTATGCATGATTTGAATCATCTGCGCTAAAGACGGACAGAAGAAAGGGATTCAAGAAGAATATACCCCGGAGTATGATGGCGAAACCCTAGATGTCCTGGATATGGCGACTGGCTGATGAGAGAATTGCACCTCGGCCATGGACACTGGCTGTGCCCTTATTGCGTTGTAATCCTGCGCATGGGTGGAGTAGGCGCTGGGAGCGACATACTGGGTCCGGCTGATGGGGCCATAGTTGGAAGCTTGGATGGATGCCTTGACCATGGCATGAGCCTTAGACACTGTGGATGAACTTGATCTCCTCATCGGGACAGAGGTTGGCGCGCTCGGAGCCTTCCGTCTCTTGGACTGGCTTTGGCTGCTAGGGCTCTTCTTCGCAGGCGCATCAATTTCCTCATATTGGTGGACCCGTTTCATGTGGTCACGTTGGTTCCATCGGCGAGGGAATCCGTTCCCCTCCCGGGCGCGCTCACAGTCCGGGAACTTGCACAGGTAGGGGTTCATTCCGTGGGTATGTTCTCCATGGGCTTCTCTTTCATGGCGTAGAAGGCAGGCATTGGACGAAAACCGGAGGTCCTCACATTCGGGTCGATCCGTGAACTTGCAACGGTATGGCCTCAAATGGGAATCCACGTATTTGCTGCAAAGAAAGGGCATGGTTAGAGAAGGTACCAGTGGTGAGTGGATTGGGGTGTCAACCTACTTGTAGACACACCTCTGCGTGGTGGATTGGTGACTGCAGTTGCCTTCCTGAGCCCACGGGCAATGGTATTTTCCGTCCTCATCAGGTCCGCGGTTGTAGTATGGATGAATTCTGGCCTTTTCCCGGTTGGATGGATCTTCTTTAGGAGGGCTCCTGACTTCCGGGGGTGAAGTGGACGAGGCACAATATTCACTGGCTGAAGCGTTCCTTTCCGAGGCTGATCGGATGGGTCGGGGTTGTCGCACGCTCCGCTGGCTGGGGCTGTTGCTGCATTGATTAGTTTGTATATTCACACAGGGTTAAGCGAAAGGAATCTGACCTGGCGGGCTCCATGTGGCATGTGGTAGCACTCTCGGATATCGTGAAATCCTTGTCCACCGGGCACAGTTGCTCCTGGAAAACGTGTCCTGATGGAAAGCATGTTGCCAGGTACTCCTCTGGGGGTGGGGTTGGAAGCCTCGACATGTCGGTGTTAAAAGTGGGCATCATTGTAGGCATGTACAGTGACTCCATGGGCATGTAACTGGCCTGCAAGTGCTCCGCGGAATTTCCTTGTCCTGGGTACTGGCAAGGTACGAAAGTCATATCTGTACAAGTGTCGCCTGAGAAAGCATCCTCTGTCAAGAACTCAGAGGCGAAATCGGCATCGAAGCCGCTCAGGCTGGACAACATAGGGCCGGCAAACGGGCCGTCAGAGACGGGCATGGAGCGATAAGCCATCCCTGAGGATGTGGACAAGAAGTAATCATCGTTGTCCGGATACGATCCGGATAATGGTGCAACGGGCCTTGAGCCGTGGTACCGGCGCGATCCAAGAGTGGAAGATGTCACAGCATAGTTCCCACTGGGCACTTGTCCGGCCATGGAGGCGGGGTTCAAATGAATATCACCAGGGGAAATCAAAGGCATAGTCCTTGGTATCCGGCTTTGAGTTCCTTGGGACTGAGTGGCCAATATCGGGCTTCTCCTGGTTCTCGAGTTCATTGCGGGATTGTCGGCCCTGAGTAGGTGGTACTATCAGGACGACAAAAGTTAGTTCTCTGCCCATCATACAACGAGGCGTCTAGGTAGCATCAAATTGAGTAAATCAAAAGGCAACAAGTGTCAGTGCAGTTGAGTGGTCCTGGGGGAGAATGCTGGCCGGGCGTAGGGATGGAGAGCAAGGTTAAACCAGGCCTGGGCTGAAAAGCCGCGATTTCCGGGAAGACTTGTGTTGCCAGAATAGGTGCGAACCTTAGTGGGGCGGCCGAAGGAGCATATATGGGCCAGCAGGACCGATGGAGAAGAGTGCATGTGGCTGAGAGTTTGGTGACAGGTCATGACGGCCGTTTGAAGTGTGGCAATTTCGGTCGGTCTGGTGTGAGTGCCGAGTGTCAATGGTGGACATTATGCCGTCAGTGTTGTCGGTTAATCTCCTCAGGGCAGTCGCTTTCGCAATCCTCTGGGTAATCCCACGGGTTTCCTTGGGTGCAAAGTGGTCATAGCGAGGAACGCAGTACGGCCTTGAGCTTCATGATGTCGCCAAATAGTGGATGTAGCGTGTTTGTGCTGAGCTGCTTCGCGTTGAGCAGGTGCGAAATTGGGTGAGAGTTGTCGTGAATGCCGGACAAGTAGCTGTCGAGGTAGCGATTTGCGGTCCAGCTGAGACGGTCTCTGCATTACACGACATTGGTGTATGCAGAGGTTCACTCGAGGCAATCCATTCCACGGAAAATGCAAGGGTGTAGTCAAATCCAGGATCATACTGGCTCCATTCGGTTGTCCATAGGTCCGCTTGGGTCTTGCGCTGATCAACATTCATTTCAGAAGCTTTGAGTTGTGATCATCGATCACCGCTCTGAAGCATGTGTCACCTTGAGCTAAAAGCTGCAAGGGACCTGTATGCGCATGTCGGACATCGTCCGCGCGCAAGAGGGATCCGGGGTGGTTTGACAAGGAAATCAGGCATAACATAATGAAAGAGTAAGGAAATCTGTAGTACCTCAAGACGCTGATAATCCGGCTGGTATCAATTTGAGGTTGGTTGTCGATTCAGATCCTGTGGATAGCAAGTCCCGGAGAAGAGCTCGAGTATAGCAAAAGCAAATGAAGCACTTCCTGGGTGTCCGGAGTAAATGGTTGTCCTGTGGGTATAATCCTAACGGCCAATGTGGACTGAGTTGGTTGACGTTGCCTGGGAAAAAAATCGGTGAAGATGTTGTCGAGAATTTGTCACGAGCTTTAGCATGTACTAGAACAAGTCTGAAGAGGAGGAAGAGAGCAAGACGGGTTGGACTGTTGGTTATAAGCAAGCCGCTGCTGCAGCACATGGGTCAGAAGGAGGGAAGTGAGGTGAGCGAGAGGTGAGCGAGAAGTGGGCAAAGGCGGTGGGAAAGGAGCCAAAAAGTGGGAAAAGCGGGCTCTGGTCGAGTCGTAGCCTCACTCTCTGCTCACTCCGACCTTTGGTCATCCCACCGCGAGCCGTCTTCACGACAACTTGAGTGGACTGTTTGATGCACCTTGCTGCGGTTTCGCATGCACGTTGCCCGGCTGAGCGCACAACAGCAATGCATCCAAGGAAGTTGCACAGACTCAGAAACTCGCAACTTGCCTGTCAGGTCCGTTGCGACCCGCCCTCGGCTGCAGCCAGCGCAGACTCCGAGCACAGAGGCAGCGAGTCAGCATCGACGTCACACCCACTATCCAGCACTTAATTCGTGCTACCCGTGATGCGTGTGGAAATGCCCCAATCTGTTCCGTTCTACTGGTTCACGCCCACGGCCCACGAATGGGTCGGTGATCAGCAGGGGAATGTCCATTCGTTGTCAATCATTCCCCGCCATGTCGGTTTCGGCAGGGTTCCACGCTTCTGCGTCCTGGCATGCACGCTTGGCCACTCGCCGTCAAGGTGACTGCAGTGACGAGGACCGCCGGCACATGCGGCAGGACGGAGCACACTGACGTGGCAATCTCTCGCGGCAGCGGGATGTTCTTGTGACTCGAACTTCTCGAGGCATTGCAGCATCATCCTGTGGCAGCCTGCTTTCTGTCCAGCTCACAGACCAAAGTTCTACAGCGTACGGAGTACACTATGTCCATTGTTGGCAGGACAGAGTACCGTGCATGATATTTTGAAGCAGAGAATATGGCTGGCATGAGCCGGTAGGCATCTGCATGTTGGCCTCGAATAAGCATGAGATGGACTTGAACGGTCATGTGAAGCCGGACGCTCTGAGAGGTCTGACGTATGTAGCTGCTACACCACTTTTACTCGTAACGACGTTGCACATATTACAATCTTTTCTCAGTTGACAGGCACAAAGAACAAAGTTTGTGTGACTTCAGCAGCGGGGTAATCCCTGAGGACCCGAAGGGCTAGCACAGTACTGTGTACGAGGTAACAGCGCCATCGGGCTGACAAGGGACCGAGACTGGAACAGACGCCTCAACCTTCAGAATCCAAGTACGAGTGCCCTCAGCCTCGTCAACCCCATTTACTGCGGCCAAGAAGCGAAGTTGTTCTCCACAGATGTCATAGACAAAAAGGTTTGCAATGCAAGCTCCGGAAGCCCTACAAAGCAAACAGACCCCGTACATCTTTCCCTCCTACGGTTACACGACACGAGGTACCCCTTCCTAACTGAAGAGTCGATCACAAGCAGATCGGACCCTTCTGGACGTGTTGCGAGACTGGACTAAACGGGGGATCTAGTATCGATGTAGCAGGAATCACAGCCTGATGTGCCTGATCCATCAAAAAACTGATGCAACCGATCTGGTCTTTGCTTAAACTCCAGAAGCCACTGACGATCCCACCGGTCGTGTTTGCAACCAGCACCTCGGATTTTAGTAGCCAGATGAGGAAGGCCTGAAGAATATCATGGCAAACGTACCTGCGTAGACGACATCAGCAAGACTGGGCCAGGACAATGTGGAGAAAAAGGCGCGGAATCAAGGGTCCAAGGTGTTCAGAAATACTCAAATGATGGGATGTTGTTCGTTCACAGACGTGGAGTCTCAGTTGAACTATGCTTTTGGATATGTTGTTTCATCATAAAGGACAGTAATGGGTGGAATGGAGTGCTCGCAAAATGGTGCGGGTGACGCATTGCTTGTCAGGTTACGTACCTCTTGTTCAAGCGCCTGCAGCGCGGGTTGAGTTCGGTGGTACGGAGTTCATCATGGCTTCGGTGAGCTCAGCGGGACATACCCGGAGCACGCAGGAAAGCTGGCTAATTCCCCGTTCCTGGACGAGCTTCAGCGATCACGCAAAGCTCTATGACTGCTTTGAGTTGCGCAACAGAGCTGCGGGTGCATAATCACCGACCAAAGTAAGTACCATCGAGGTGTGTTGACGCTGGAAAGCTGCCGAAATTTGAACAGCAGCGTGCGAGATTCTGACTGCCAAACCTGGCTTGGCACGTTTTGTCCATTTGCACTGTCTTGGCACGTCCCCACACTCGACGAAGACGAGTACGGCAATAAGAATTCTAGGATCGTGTACTCCGTACGGCATACGTAATTATCGTGTCCTCTGGAAGACATGGGCTTCAAGACTTTCCGATCGGGCAATGATGTGTGGTCGGATCGATGCTTTGTTCTCTCCAGCCACTTCTCAGCGAAACTTGACGGACGTGCCTTTGATAAGCTCTCAATTAATCACCTACGTCTTTCGCCATGGTGCAGCGCGGCTCAGTTGCTGCCTGACTACTCTAGGTCGCCTTCGTCAATCTAGCAGTTTATGAGACCAGGTAAAAGAGGCGAGTGCTACACAAATATGCAGGTTATACTTCCATGTGAATGACTGCACTCCTGGGGTAAAGTTTCGCAGGTCCCCCAGCCCTTCTGCGAGTCGTCGTGACTTGCACCTTATGCTTGGCCGTATCGATGAGGCACCCCAACCTGTGACGGTGGGCAATCGTAATCACGCCGGCACTGTGTGCTGTCTGGAGTATAAGAGTGATCTGAGGCAGATTGGCAGACCGCATTTATAAAGTCCATTTTCCCACGATGAAGCGGGCGTGAATTGGCGGGGCGAACTTCGACCAGCGCGACGCTGCTCTACTCTTATGGGCCTGCCAGCTGTTTTCACGATACACATGGACTGGACGTCCCATGAGAGGTTGACAACAAGTCCTGGCGCCACAGCAGCTCGACACAAGGTCCGGTTTTCCAATCAAACCCACAACGTCTCTCTCTTTACAACGAGCCCGACCAGGCCCTCGGTGAGAACCAAAGATTTGTTGGGGCTGGTCGAAACTGCAATCCTCTGAACACGAGTTTATCTTCAGGGATCTCGGTTCAGGGTCCAGCTCGGGGCTGGGCAAATTTTCAGTTGCGGGAAACACGAGTGTTTCCACCCACAACGTCCAGCAACAACCGGTGTTTGGATGACAGGACTCGAGAACCGTATCGCTGCTGACTACTCCCGGTCCAGCACCGACTCTGTGACCAATGGGCCACGAGTTGTCTTGCCGAAGACGCAGGCTAGACCGGTTGTGAAGCTTGAAGTAGTAGGATGGTGTGCAAAAGGACGATGTCATCAATACGTGAACCTCAAAGTACTTGTGGAAAGTAGCTGGTCCTTGTGAGCAATGAAGGTGAGGGCAATTGAAAGTAGCAATGCTCCGACTAAGAACCGCAAGATCGACGCCACACCTCCTTCCAGGTACGAGTACCACCGGCCATGGCCAGAGAGCCGCAATTCCTTCCTTTTCCACCCCAGCCGTACCGTTAATTGCAACTTGAATGGAGAGCCCTGTCATCGGCAACTGATAATCCCGTGGCCGGGAACGTCTCATCCCATGCACCGGCCTTGGATGGATCATCCCTGCGTAAAAAAGATATGAAATAGACTGGACATCTCGGATTTCTTGGTCATGACCGTGTCCACAAGTCTCTGCTTGGGCATGGGCTCTCAAGAGTGTTCCAGGCTCGGCCAATGTCACCGTCGAAGCACGCTTGAGAGCAGTTTACCAGGCCCGCCCATGACATGACAAATACGATGTGTTCGCCAACCGGCAGCTAGACCGGCGCCTGCTGGATGTCCTGAGCCGGCCCTGGAGACTAGTGTGGGTGCCCCTGATATTATGGTACGTACCATATCGAGCGCTCCATGTGAAACAGCCCGTCTATTCGGAGACGCTGTGCAAGCCAAATATGGGATGCGGCGTTGATTCGCCCCGAGATGCACAGAATCCTACAACATAAAAGCGAGGGGTGTCCCAGAGCGCGAGAGACCGGGTCCCGACACCATCCCTCGTATTGTTTGCTGACGGTAATCTGCACAACACACGTTGGGCGTCGTCTCATCAGAAAATGGGCTGCAACTTTTAGTCGGGGATCAGCCGGCGGTGTCGTTTCGTTGGCGCTTCTGATGTGGACTGGGTACCCGAGCATGAGAAGTCTTTTGTCAGCAATGACCTGCATCTAACTGTCCACCGGTACTTTTGCCACAATGCTTCCATGGCTATCCAGGACTTCTGTCCCAATACTCACACCGTTCTCCACGACATGGCACCAGAGCCGGAGTTAGCTCAGTTTAGCGCTTCCTGGACTCTCTTTCATCACCAGCAGAGCCCACAGAAGCACCCATGCTTGAGCACTGTGTACATGGCTCAGCCAGCGTCGGTGTTTTGCCTACGATTGATACTACAAGCAATAGCCGGTCATAATCTCATATGGCATTGTCCCGGCCTGGACACGTAGGTGGCCAGAAGGCGGATCGCACCCGAGCCTCTGCTACACACTTCTCCGATTCAAAGCGCTGGCTATTGTACTCGTTCATGTTTGTCAGCTACGGGGAAGAACGGTGGTGTCGGTATGCGTTGGTATAGCGATCAGCCCTGTCGTATTGCCATGCCATGTGCTGACTGGCTCATCTGCGCGCCGAGTGCCCCAACTTCCCGAACGGGATCCTGACAGGGTGAAAGCTTGTTTCCGGGACGACAGTCCTGGGGTTCGAAGCCCGGTAAAGCATCGGTCGTCGGCTTTTGTCCACGATACTCTTCACAGACATTCAAGGCGAATATATGATTCGCTATCAGGAGAACAGCCGCCTTGGCAGAGGGCCGAAGCGAGCGTATAGAATCCAGTGGCACACAGCCTTATTTATATCGGCATGACAAAACACTACAATCGGTGTATATGGAGGCGGCAACTTGCATTAAGCTCACGAAGCTCGTATGATTGCTGGGCCCGAGGACTACTGCCAGTGGGCCTAGACTGACTCTGGACATCGTGGTCGCCCTCTCAAGCACCCCCAGGCGGCAACAACGGGTTTGTGTGGCTCACGAGGGTTTCCAGACGCGCGGTGGGTGTCTCTCCAGTTCACGGCTACGGGCTCTGGAGCAGCCTTATCAGGAACAGGAGACTGAAACCCTGCTCCACAATGGATCACGCAGAGCGGGTCCGGGAGTCGCTATCCCAATGGGGCTCAAGATCACGGTGTGCTGGATGGCCAGAGACATTCGGGATCTACTTAAAAGCCAATCACTGCTTGAAAACCCCGGTGCCAAATTTGGCAAGTCGATAAGTCATCCTCCACTTGTATAGCTGCTTGTATCTGACAGGTATTGGGGGTGGCAGTATGCGAGGCTGTATACAGAGCACTCCCCGGGCACCAGCGTGGATCAGATTCGAGAGCTCATTCACAGCACAAGAACCGTACAAATTGCCCTCGTGTCTCGGCTTGATCACATACCTCCAAGAGGTCTTATCACTCCCTACCTGAAGTAGCTCGACGGCGTTGGAACAGATCGACTCCCAGAAACGCTTCAGCCTCGACCTGCTCGCAACGCCCATTGCTTCATTGGTTAGTGAGTGGCGTCTACCAAGCAGTGCATGATGAGCTAACGGGAACTCTTGCCTCTGCAGCACGGACAGCCATTGACATTCGGTCTTCTGCCTCGTACCCATCGCAAGCGGGAATGCTACTCTCGCTAATCCCCATCAATACGGTTACGTTTTGAACCTCGACTAGTTCAGACACACTTTCCTCGACCCAGACGCAGGGGACTACGACCGCCCAGCTTCGACAACAAGTAGCCTTGACAGCCACAATAATTGAGTAGTGCATATTGGCGTGCAGAGAAAACCCCGAAGCGTGAAGACACCCAGGCTTCTGGGTACGAGCTGCAACAGCTCTCATTGAACGGAGATCTCTGCAATTGGCAACCTCGATGGCTGTCTTGAACGAAAACCCTGCTCAATTCGAGTTCGCTACATTCAACAGCCTGAAGATCGATGCTCAACGGCCAGCCTCGACCAAGGCTCCCTTTCTGTTCATTGTCAAGACCCCCGCCTCGGACACGTTATCTCGCTCCACTACCCGCAGCGCGGCTGCAAGCATCAACAGCCATGCTCAACGTTGGGCCCAGGGGGTCGCAATGTCCCAGGGCGCCAATGTGGCAGGTGGTCCACGCCATACCGACACCCTGGCCTTCGAGAAATGCATGATGAGATGCCGTGTGTCTCGGCTGCTGGAGGAACCTAGCAAGTCAGTCAAGTCAAAGCGCTCTGGTTCAGCGAAGAGAGTCGGCCGATTCGTTGAGAAGCGCTCTCAAAAATTGACGCTACAGCCATCGGAGAAGGCCAGTACAGCAACGAGTGAGAAAGATTCATCGAGCAGCCCTGAAGCCGAGCCACGATCACGGGCGATGTCGCACGAGCGTCGAATACCCCAGACGCCGCCACTGTCAAGTCCTGATGGAACAAGGTATGCGGTTTTGAATCCCTTCGACTCGACGCCTCTCGCGAACGACGGCGACGTCCAGCCCATTCTTCAGTATTTTCTCTCCTTTACGCTTCTGTCCACGTCACAGGGTAGCAATGGCGGCAAGTCGGCCAACGCCGCCACGATACAGCACATCTCAAGCATCAGCGCCATCATGCAGGGGTGCATGAACAAGAGCGTCCACCTATATGCCCTACTAGCGGCTACGGCCAGTCCTATGCGAAGAGTCTGTGGAGTGTCTTTCCGTCCGGACAACGGACCGGAAATCTATCTGCACAAGGCACTGCAATGCCTTCGGATGTTGCTCGACGATAACAGCCAGCCAGCGATCCAGGACCGTCAGATCATCCTGGACATCTATTGTCTAAGCGTCTGCGGCTGGTACATGGAGCGGTATGAAGAATCCAAGACACACTTCAACGTCCTCAAACATTTCTGGAAGTCGCTCAGTCCGGGGCTCTCGACGCTGGACCAGTACATTTACGACCTGCTCAGCTACAATACCATCTTTCTCGAGGCTGATGCCACCAAGATTCTCGACTCAACCGGCCCTAGTCATTTTAACCACCTTGCCGGCGATGGGATGATTCCCCAGCCTCTCGCTTGGCAAGACCAGTATCCAGTCTCGGTCCGCCACTGCTCGGCGTTGCTCCTGACGCTCGAGCAGATAGGCTACAGTCCGGATCTCCGGGAGCTTGTGCGAGAATTGCCACCGCTCCTGCTTTCCTACCAGCAGTCTGACCTCCATAGCCTCGAGGGAGAGTGGGCCCAGTGGAAGAGCCGATCGCTTGTGCTTCGCCTGCTCGAACAACCCAGCTACGGGGACGAGCTGTGCTTTCGCCTGGCGCTCATCATCCTCCTCCGATCCATCTCCAACACCAGCACCGGTACCTTGGCCACCGGCTTCCCAGTCCGCGAGACCGACAGCGACATATCCATCGACCTAGTCCTGGTCACACGGCGCTTGAAGCTGCAACTGCAGCATGAGATCCTGCTGCCGTCCAACGAAATCTCCCCCGTCGCGCTTGGCAACAGGTCGGCCGCTATCTGGACCGGCAAGTCCAGCCATCTTCTGCTCTGGATTTTGCTCGCCGGGCTCTTCGGCGCCCGACTGACGGACCAGAAGAGCGAATACGACTGGTTCTGGAGCCGGGTCAAGGCGTTGATGCGACTCTTGGAAGTCAGCACCATGTCACGGTTGCGAAAGCTGGTCACGTCTTTCGCCTTTGTGGAGGGCATGCTGGCCGACCAGAGGATTGAGGGGGTCTTGGTCGACGAAGGGCTCGAATGAATATGACGGAAAGAGTTCGGCTGGGTGCGTGGCGTGGAGTGGTCAGCGCCAAGTCGACGACGTGCAGTAGCCTCCGCCATGCATGATGCGCGTGAAAGTACTCCGTACTCCGTATATGGTCGGATTATGGCATCAAGATGGTTATCTAAGCATCCTTTTGTGTTTTGTACCTACCTAGGGCCTGCACCGGATGCGGGTTGCAAAAAGGCAAATTGCACCTCACCTAGCCCGTGGGCCATGGACATCTCATGCATCTAAGTGACCGGTGCTTGAATGTCGTTCACCTCACGCCTCGACGATCTTATGGGCCGCGGCCATCATGTCCATCCCTGGCTCTGCATGTGGGAGAGCGGCCAGAAATCGAATGAGCCATGTATTGACTGTAGATGAGTGACCCCGGCCTTAACTACCTCCAGTGGCACCTGGGCGATAGCGGAGACTACGCAGACGAACCCGAACCAGCGTCGCTCTCTCTTCCACAAACAAACAATAAACCGCGTGTCCCTTCCCCATGTTCCGACGCGTATCCCAGCTATGGTCGCATCTGCTTCACCACAAATCCAATGCAAATCCTAGAACTGTATCTACTGGCATGGACTTGAAGCGGACCTTCCACGGCGGAGGAGACTTTCAGTCAACCGCATCGCTTGATCCCTCCACTGACACCAGCGGCCGTTGGCTTCACCGGGACAAGGCACAGCGGCAAGCTCGATCTCTGAAGTTCGACTTCGCTCTATTATGCCAGAAAGCTATAAACGTATGTCCCGGAGCTAAGAGCGTCGTGCAGTGTGAAAAGACGGAGGGGGGCTTCAACCGAGTATTCATCTTCTCCCTGGACAATGGAGCACATATCGTGGCAAAGCTGGCTTTCCGTGTGGCTGGTTCACCAGATCTGATGACCAGCTCGGAAGTCGTCACAATGGCATACGGTAAGTCTGCCGCTCTGCCCGGACGTTCTACTCATACGATACATTAAGATCTCACACAAGCATCCCCGCTCCCAAGATTCTCGATTGGAACTCCGACGCCCGCAATCCAGTGGGAGCAGAATGTATCATCATGGAGGGCGTTTCGCGTAGCGGTGTTCAGCTGCACGAGGTGTGGCCGACCATGGATACGCATTAACATATGCTGGTGACGAAGAGCCTGGCGTATGCTGTCGCGGAGATGGCGAAACTCCCCTTTTCCGCCTACGGAAGCTTGCATTTCGCCACGCATGCGAGAGACTCAGGAAAAGTGGTCAACGTCGCTGATGGGTTTGTGGTCGGTCCAAATTGCGGAAGAGAGTATTGGGAATACGGTGGCGAAGAGACTACCTGTCAACGGGAGCGTCCGACGAACCGAGGGCCATGTGAGTACCGTACAATACCATGTCATTCTATTTGCGCTCATTCTTTGACAACGTCACTAACGAGAAGCCAAAGGGACTACACTCGGGAGTACACCGATGCGTTGCTGGACGCGGCATATGAGCGGCTCCCTAACCTTTCAAAGGCAGAGCATGCCGCCGAACTGTCGTACCGTGGCTCAGTGGAGGAACATGTTCGGCTCTTGCAAATCAGCAAAGCCGTGATCAAGGGCTTAAATGGGAGCCCCGTGATTCGGGACGTCTCGGCACCGATACTCCTGCATCCTGATCTCAACAAGAGGAACATATACGTCTCGCGCGACGACCCGACGCAGATCACCGCCCTCATAGACTGGCAATCAACCTACGTGGAACCAACCTGTGTCTACGCGAACGAGTCGCCTGATCTGACTGCTGCCTCGCCAAATATCTCCTCAATCCCTGAAATGGACGACGAGTTACGTGTAAACATAGATGATGTCAAAGATAGGGAAAAGCTGGACCGAGACCGCCATATCTGTCAACAGACCTTCGAAGTCGTACTCCGTGGATACGCGCCAAAGCTCGCAGCCGCCAGGGCGCTGGCGGAAATACTCCCGAGTCCGATGCGGTCTGCCATTCGTCCTGGCGGGACCGCGCCCCGGCGTTGCGGCAGGAATTGATCGACCTGTCCCAGCCATGGCCTGAGCTGGGACATTTAGGGTCATGTCCCTATCAGCCTTTAGTGGAGGCACTCGCGGAGCATGCGAAGCAGTGGGAGGATTTCAAGACGGTGCTGAAATTCAAAATCTTTCTGATCCGGGTGCTGGACTCGAACTCGGAAGGGTGGATCTCGACCGATGGCTGGGAGGCTGCGAAAGCGACGCACAAGCAATTGTATGAGCAGTGGATGGAGACGGTCAGGGAGTCGGAAGATCCGGAGATGAACGAGGAGAGAGGGAGGAGGCTCCGGCCTTGGGATGAAAGTTGAGAGACAAGGGATGATGAGTGCGTGCTTGTCGACAGTCGCGCAAACGACTTTACATCGCCATGCAGTCAGCGTGCAAAGTGCAATCTTGACAGCAGAATGTTACTACTCAGCTGCACATCACGATGTCACGACCCAGCATGGGAAAACCAGATGGAAGTGAGCCTCACTCACGCATGGTATTTCTTGCGCCTTAGTCTTCCCCAGGCAGCCGTTCCAGGATTGCGTGGGAGATCGATGTCCTCGCCGCCTGATGTCAAAAAACACAACATATACATATCGTTACGGGATAGCGACGAATGAGAGCACGTGGTGTCTAGAAGATGGAGGGCCCGAGATTTGATACCGAGCACAGCCAGCTACCCAATTAACGAAGACGGGATTAACCGTACCTGTTGACATGGTATCTTGTCACCTAGGGTAGACTCATTCACTGACCCGATCGGCGCCCACCTGCTCACTCGCTCACTCACTCACTCATTCACTTACTCACACGACCACTTATTCACCCACTCACCCACGCAACCGCTCGCCCGCTCACACAATGACCGGTGGTCGCCCTTGTGGTCCAAATCATCCTCTCTCCCTACGATATCAAATCCACAAGCAAATTCGCTGCTCAGTGGCACTATCGCACAGAGGCCGCTCACGACGCCGGTAAAGCATCGAGGATCGACGGTTGAGTATACTCTCGAGACGGAGACAGGGTCAGGAGGCAGAACCAACAGAGAGACAGCGTCGGGAGATAACAGAGGCAACACGCGCCACAGGGGCAAGACTGTCAGGACTGTCAAACGCGGAAGGATTGATGGATGCATACCTGGGTAGACGGATACAGTACCGTAAGCAGGTAGAGACAAGGTGGACACGGACACCTTCGAAACCGATCTATACACGTGTACATATCTACCTCAGGCACGCCCTCATACTTCATGGGAGACTTAACTTGTCTCTACAGTAGTATCACCCACACCAGCCGGTCCGCTGGTCAGCCATACATACAAACCGAGATCGCTGGCTCATGCTGATCGTTCTGGGCACAGGATGTATTGTCGAGGCGTGCTCGTCTATTGTCCAACCTTCATCCCCTGCCCGTCTGGAATGCAAAAGAAGAGTCTCTCGAATGGCTACCCGTACGTCCGAGCCATGCGCATCGAGTCCTGCCTTCTCAACCGTTCAAGCCTCTTCTCTGCACAAACAGGAGGGGTGCATAGTTTCGTTGGCACAATCCTCGAGTTCGCAGCTCTGCTTAAGTATGCTCTGCTCAGCCTTTCTCGCCCTTCAAGCATCTTCGCTGTGCACAAGCAGCACGTACACATTAGTTAGACCGCTCGAAGTTCATGCTTATATATGCTCTGCTCGGCCTTTTTCAAGTCTTCAAGAGTCAAGACTCTTTCCTGCACCAGTGGTGCGATGCTATTTCGTTGGCACAACTTTCTCCTCGAGATTCTTGCTTATGCTCTGTTCAGTCTTTTTCAATTCTTCAAGCCTCTTTCCTGCACAAGCGGTGCACCATTGCTGCCGTTGGCATGACTGGAGTTTCGTACTTGGGCTCTATTCAGCCTTCTCAAGTCTTCAAGGCTCTTCTCTGTGCACAGGCGGGTCGATGCCGTTCGGTGGGCACAACTCTGGGCTCGAGTTTCCTGCTCTGCTTATGCTCTACCGGTGGGTGCGGGGAGTTGAGTTGCTTCATCGCGGACAGACAGTCGGTCACTGTGGCAGGCAGGCGGTCGGGATCGAAGCTTGAGCTTGAGATCTTCTCGAGAGTTAGAGCGAGAATCGTGAAGATTATTGCTGGTGGGTACATATGTAGCCATATGCACCTGGCGCTGAATATGATTGCCGATCAAGGGGAAGCCTGTGCTCATGATCGGCCTTCTGAAATGCTAGGATGCCGAAGGCAGAGCGTGTACAGCATGTGTGAAAGATACCGCTGCCAGGATGCCGAACATGGAGCGTAGAAGGCACGTATATCCCTCCCTCTGTAATGCTAGGATGCCGACACAGGCCGTAGACGACATGCGTGCAAGGTATCGTATGTCCTGTCGACAGGCGTTGCGTGTACTGGTAAGGATGTGAATGCATCACATCATATCACTCCTTTGTCCCGCTGGATGTGGTGGGTATTCCCTGCATTGCATGATATGACATGACGCTTTCGATCCGTTTCATCTGGTGACGATCATGTCGTAGTCACGAAGTGGTAAGACGGCTCAGCTGGCTCCCCGGTACGTTTGTGTTTGCGTTTCGCATTTCGTCGTAAGTAGCCCCCACTGGGGTTGGAGACGGTGCTTCATGCCACTCCTTCCTCTTCACCCTCACCCAGCACCTGCACCGACTGCAGCCTTCGTTTCGAGATCCAAAAACCCGTCCAGCCCGTCCATGACATCCCTAGCGACGCCGCCGGTCAAAGCCGTATTGACCGCCTTTTTGAGCATCGACCTCTTGATCCCCCCGACTCGAGGTTTCCAAATACCAGGCACTTCGACCCCCTCGCCTACCTCGCCTAACAATGGCACACCCTTCATGGTATCCCTCGCGGGCGTGTCGATCATTCTCGTGGCGAGGACCTCAAACTCAGCACCACGAGCACCACGGCCGCCTTCACCACCACTCGCCACGCCGACACTGACGGCGACGACAGCGTCCGCAACAGCCAACTCCTCGCGACTCGGATCGAAAATGACATTCTCGCCAACCACCACGACCAGTAGCGTGACAGGGGGTCTTGATGCCACCGGGATCCCTGTCTCCGTCCCGGTCCTGGAGTACAGATACGCACTCGCCATCCAGTCGTCATCCGCAACGGGATCTTCCTCGCCCTCGCTCTTCAGGCGCGGCACCCGCGTGTCCCGAAGCGCGAGATGCGTGGCCATACTGAGCAACGGGAGAGGATAGCTCGCGAGCCCGGTCGCCGAGATGAGCAGCACGTCAATGTACACGTGCCAGTGCCAGCGCGAGTTGATGACCAGGCTGTCCTGGAGAGATGCGCGTGAAGACGAGGAAGCCACTACCAACGGCTCCCTCAGCATCTCCTCGAGAAATACCAACCCGGCGTCATCGTCCCGTAGGCCGGGTAGCGTGAGACTGAGGGTGACCCATTCGTGGCTGCCTCTACCTTTTTGACCTCGTGGGCTGTCGTTCGGGTTCATATCGACATCGACATCGACATCCGTAGCCTCTCCATCATTGCCTGCTCCTGCTCCTGCTCCTCCCTCTCCTCGGGTTTTGTCGCCTCCCTTTGCTTTCATTATCGATTTCGCTTGCAGCCCCGCGCTCGTGCTCGTGCTTGTGCTCGCCCGCACTTCTACCGAGAATGTGCGCTCAACCTCAAGCTTCACCCCCACAATGGCTTCCCGGCCATCACTGAACCCGACGTGCGCGCTGCCGTTGACGGACGGGAGCACGCCCGTCTCGGCGCGCAAGGCACGGAAATCTGTTGGCGAGGGTCGCGCGTCTGGGCGGATGGGCGGGGTCGACGAGAGCGATGTATGTAGGTACGCGAGCTCGGCGGGGGAGAAGGGCAGGGAGGAGGTGAGTGAGGAGGGCATGGTCTCTGCTGGTCTCTGTTTGGTTCGGTTCGGTTCTGCTGCTGACCTTGAATAGAAATAAATGGAGAACCACGCAGTGCAGTGCAGCGCAGTGTTATGCAGCGCAGTGTTATGCAGCGCAAGTAGAGCGTGTCACTCAGAAAAGAAGGTGAGGAGGAATAAGTGTTCCCAAGGAAGCCCCTCAATGCTGGTGGTCGTGGGACCGCGTGCGGCGGAGGTCGAAGAATGGATGCGGCGAACTAGTACTCTGTGATTAGGAACGCATGAACTAATTAGCGAGCGACTCGCGCGAGGGCGCCAGGCCTTCAGGCGTATGATTGTTGACTTGTGTACGGAGTCCAATCGAAGTGAAGATCTGGAGGGGGGAGGACGGTGCTTTGAGACAGAACCCAAAAAGTTCCGAGAATCAAATGATTCAATTGCGCCGGAGTTAACGAATCGTGCATGGCGCCCGTGACTGGCTTAAAGCCGAGAATAGACGGCGAGGACGGCTCAACACACAAAATACGGACGACAAAGTAGGTATCTGTAAGTACGGAACACTCGCTGACTCCATATTACTGCGCCGCACATCGAACATCTAGGTACTGAGGGCAAAGTATGCAATACAGGCTGGTTCTTGATCACCGAGGTGGCAATTCGAATACTGAGCGCGAAGAACGGAGTCCAAGCTGGTTCTTCACTGACGGGCAACTCGAATACACAGTAAATACACAGTAGCAGAAGAAGACGCAGTGTTTGACGACCTCTTCGGGTGGTCCTCCGTCGCGGTCTTTATCCCGCTCACGCGTCGATTCCCATCCCTGCCGCCCCATCGCTGACACCCACAAGCCGGGGTCTGCCGGCCTTTGCCCCATACACCATCTCCATGAGTATACTCTTCTGCTTATCTCGGACTCCCCGCAGGTATTCGTATGTCCCCTCCAGGCCTCGGATTTGCTGGTCGACGACGCTCCCATTGTCGATCGTGACCGAATCGTTGCGCCTGACCAACGGGCTCACCAGTTTCCGCCGCAACGTTTCCAGGTTGATTTTCAGCGTCTGTAACCGGGTGTGGTGCTCCATGAGGAGATGTTTGTTGTTGACCGTCCTCGACCGGACGCTCGACAAGAGCTGCTTGTTCTTCTCGAACTTGCGCAGCATCGCGGCGTTCGGGCCGATCACCCTCGTCCACAGCGACGAGAGGAGATCGCTCTCCAGTCTTTCTTGCGTGTCTGTTTCGCGGACGACCGTGCGCTGTAGATTCAAAAACTGTCGGTCAATCGACTCGAACAAGGCGAACAGCGCCGCCGAGTGGGTCAACTCGCTGTTGATCGACTCCTCGAGCACGTTGACGAATTCGTGGAACGTCCTCGTCAGGGTCGCTCTTGTCCTCTGCGGCGAACTTGCCCCGAATACTTTGGTCAGGAACGTTCCCAGACTTGTCGGCCCTTTGGACGTCTCGAGTAGGCCGCCTCGGTTGAAAATTCCGTGCAGGTGATCAAAGATGACGCCGCTGAGTGATGCGCCTTGTCCTGTCGTGACCCCTTCGAGCTCCCGTCTAGCCCAGTCCATGACGAGCAGGATGCTGTCGACATCTGAATCCACGTCGGCAAAGAACCGCGTTAGCTCGAGACCCAGAGTCTTCAGGCTCTCGGATAGTTCGTCTAGTGAACGGACAATCAATGGCGCTGAAGTCATGTTTGCACTTCTGACCGACTCGCCTAGATCCCATACCGCCACGCTTGTCTCCTGCAGGGCCGTGATTTGCGTATATCCGTTCTCCGAATAGAAAATGAGCGGCTCGAACGACTTTGCCAAGGTCGACACCTTGACAAGGTCCGGCACCGGAGGTGGTATCGGTGGAACAAGAATGATGCGTAGAAGCGAAGCGAGTAGAATGGTCGCGAGAACCGACACAACTGTCGCCGACTTTGTCTTGGTCACCGCGTCGAATTTCCTTTGCACGAAATTGAGAAACGGCACGAAAGGCTCCCGGTGTTGTACTTCGGCACGCAGCTGTAAGCGAATATCTGTTCCACTATTAGTGAGTCGCCGCCTCTTTGGGGTGGGGAAATACTACAATTGTTCGGGCTCTCTGCGGATATGGGTTCTTCAGTCGCGAAGGGCTTTGCGCTATGCTGGGGCTCCACCTCTGGCGAGCGCTCCCTCACGGGCGAATCTGTGCCCGCAGGCAGAGGGGTATTGACCGCAATTGTGATGTCTGGGTCGCCCTCGATCGCATCTTGATATGCCTCGGGACTCGTCTGCCTTGACCTGGAAGGGCTGACTGACGGTCGCAGGTCATATTTCCCGTACGGATCCTGCCGAAACCAATTGCTCGCGTTCGAATTGCGACTCTTGAAGCCCGGCGGCGACCACGGCAACCCAGCGCTTGATGTATCGTCAGCTTCACTTTCCGCTCGCTCTGGCCTGAAGCCCGGAAATAGAGGGGAGCGGCGCTCTTGCTCTTCGAAGTCCTCTATCGAAGCCTCCAGCGAATGCGCATCTTCGTGCAGAGGCTCGGAGTAGACGCCTTCCATGGGCCTCGCTTGCATCATGGCGAACATCGAGGCGTGCGAAGGAAAGGAGAAGAACTCATTAATGCGAGGCTGCGCGAGAGGTCAAGGCGGGGCAACAGGCCGATAAAGAGGCCGGCCTTCACAGAGAATCAATACGACTCGCGGTTGGTTCAATATAGCTGTCACTAGGCAACAATGGTATCAATGAAACCACTATCGAGAAGCCTCAACTATTGTTTCGGTGGGACAAAAGAATAGAGGGCGCACCGTTTGAGACTGCCAAAGAGGAAAGTCCATCTCTGGCAGAATGCGGGATGTTCTGCAGGCCCAGCCTCTTCTCAGAACGCGGTTATCGAGGTACACGGACAAGCAGCGTGCATCCCGCCTTGCACGGCTAGCGGGCGCCAGGTACTGTAAGTTTGCAACAGAGAGGAAAGGAAAGGGAAAGTCTGGAGGCTGGGACAGCTGGCAACCCGTGGTGTCGTGGTTGAGAGGGGAAGTTTGCTACCAATCATATTGCTGGACAGGGTCAAGACCAGGATGCTTGATGCAAGGGGCTGCGGTCCTTGCTGCAGGTTTGGCTGTCTGCCAGTGCTGCAACGAGTCGCCCTTATTGGAGGCTGCACGACGCTGCCGAGGGCCAATTGCTTATCAGCGAGTACTCTAGTACTGCGAAAAGAGTGATGGGAGGCAAGACGAATAACGCAGCGGAGAAGAGATGATTGATATGGGCCCTCCACAGCTTAGCTCTGCCAGTCTCGCGTGAGAAGATGCAGGTACGCTTTCGAAGGACCAGGTAGCAGGAGGATTTTCTATGTACAAGGAGCTTCGTCTACCGGCTTCTCCGGCTTCCCATCCAGCCGTAGCTTAACTGCTATGCAAGTCCAACCGTCAAATTAGGTAAATGTGCGCCTCGCCGTTCTTGATGATACAAGCAGCCGATGATTCCAGGAAACGTCGAAACGTGCGCGAGCGAAGAAGCTGAGGCGCGAGTAGATCCGGATCGGTGCAGATGGTGTCTACTTCTTGGTCTCTTCACGCAACCAGGTGATCAGGTCGTTCCTGTCCTTGCCTTTCTTCAGACCACCGAAAGCCATCTTGGTGCCCGGGATGTACTTCTTGGGGTTCTCGAGGTACTCGAACTAGTTAAAGATTAGACAACAGGCGAATGAGATCCTGAAAACGAGCAACTCACCAGAGTGTCCTCCTTCCACGTGATGCCTTTCGACTTGTTGGCATCTGTATATGAGAAGCCCTCAACAGAGCCGGTCTTGCGACCGAAGAGACCGTGCAGGTTGGGGCCGATCTTGTTGCCCTCTGATTCAACGACGGTGTGGCATTGTGCGCATCTTGTCTTGAACAAGTTGGCACCCTTCTTTGCGTCACCTGCAGTAAATGAATGTGAGCTTCTGTCCCATGTCTGTTCTTGCCGGTCTCGCTTTGCAGCCTGTTCCGCAGCAGCTTCCTTTGTGTGCTTTGCCGCGATCGACTTCGAGCTCATCAAGCTCTTGAGGGAGGTAGGCGAAGTAGCCCCAAACCATAGTTTCGAGCTTAGATAGACGGCACCGGAATATCGCATCGAGAGTTACGGTAGAGTAGGGACGGTGGCGTGACGGGTGGTTGAGCGCGTCGCCGAGTCGAGGCGGCCATGAAACAGACACAATCTGTTATTCGCGAGTTGCGTGATCGCAACCGTGACACGCCGTCCATCACTCCTCCCGTTTGCGAGCGATGAAAGCAAGAAGTGAAGCTGCTGCGAAGCTGCAAAGGCCAGTGGAGCAGGAGACACCTACCTTCCTTGAATTCGTCGTTCTTGCCCATTCTGATGTGGTGATAGAAGCTGGGGTAAAAGTGGCGGAGGTGTGGATATGAACGAGGGAGCTCTCGTGTATGAGATAGCTTAGGCTGTTGGTGTAGGCGTAGATGGCAAAAGAGACTGAAGCAAAAAGGTCGAAGGGGATCAAAGCCCAGAAAAAGGTCTGTGACGCCGATGAATGACCAGGATCGAATCCACTTTCAGCGCTCGCTCGCTCTTCTTCCGGGCAACTCTTGTTCGAACCCACCGCACCCGACGAATCATACGGGCCCTGTTGTCATCGGCAGTTTTCGGGAGTCAATCACTTGCGGCACGAGTAGCAATCGGAACAGCATGGCCTCATCCAGGTGCGCCAATTTCCAAAATTAATCTGCGTTCTTCCTCCTGTATTGAAATCCACCTATCTGCCAGTCGTTCTGAATCTGTGGGCACCTGACTTGAAATGCTATAGACATGGTCGGCTTTGTCTGTGACGTCCTGCTGTGGCATTCACAAGCTCCAACACAGATGGCAGGCAAAGAATACATGCTCGATCTAGCCGAGGAGGTGGCGATGACGTCGTCGAACACTCGGAGCAGCGGCAGCCTCTACCCCAGTAGACGTCAGAGCTCGACCATGACCATGAATGACCATGACTATGCAGCCAACATCATACGGGCTACTTGGTCCAGTGCAGTCACGCAGCGCAGCACAGAAATGGTGAAGTCGAGGTCAAGTTTGCGCCACAGGTGCCACACAGGATCTACAACCAGTCGTCCCCATGCTCCCATGCTGTCCCATCCCGCATCTGGGGAAAGCACACTACTCCATCGTGGCCCAGAATTCGTCAATGAGCTCATGTCTCTTCACAGCAAGGTCAAAGTCCGCGTAAGGCTGCCCCGTCGCATAAGCCTCATACAGCCTGCCAATATTCTGCCCCTGGGTCGGCAGCGCGGTCCATTCCTCCCCACCCTCGTCCGTGACGAATTCTTCGATCTCGCCCTTTTCGGCGTTGGAGAACCGAATGCTCAAGGCCTTCGCCATCTGCGGGCCCGCGCTCGCAAACTCGACGGCCAATTCTCCCTTGGTGCCATATATCCTCCACGTCGAGCCAGGAGAGCCAATGAACCTGTCTCCAGCCCGTAGGTGGAAGCTGAATACCGCCGCCGGATGCCGATCCAGCCTTCCCTGCAGCAGGATCTGGTCCGGCGTGTCCTTGTCGTAGAGCTCCTCGGACAACGACCCGTCAGGCTTCATGAGATGCATTTTCCGCCGGAGGTTGACGGCCAGCGGCGTATAGCTGCCCGGCTTCAGCTCCCCCACAGCGTACAGTATCGAGTCGAGTACGTGGCCTCCGTAGATGGTCAGCAGGTTGCCGCCGACCCTGCGGTCCATGAAATAGTGATATCTGTCGCTCGCCGCGTTGTTCTGCCACACGTGGATGGCCCCCTGGTAGTTCACGCTGTGGATGTCGCCCAGCGCCCCCGAGTCCACGAGTTCTTTCACCTTATTCACACTTGGTGACATGCGGCCCTGGAGCCCGATCATGGTTTTGACGTTCTTCGCTTTGGCCGCGGCGGCCATCTCCTTTGCTTGTTCCGTGGTTGCGGCGAGCGGCCACTCCACAAAGACGTTCCTGCCGGCCTTGAGGGCCGGCATGGCAACCTCGTAATGCGTGTCTGCTCGCGTCGAGACGACATAGAGATCCACGTCCGGGTCCGCGGCCAGCGCCTCGTACGTGTCGTACGCCTTTGTCGTCTCCGGCAGATTATGCGCTTTGATTGCCGCCTTGGTGGATTCTATTGACGAGTTGCACAATGCCACGATCTCGTAGTTGGGAGATTTGGCCAGTCGAGGCAGATGGGCCAATGTCGCCCAGGCGCCTTGCTTTGCCGAAAGGCCTACGATGCCCACGCGAACTGGAGCCATTGTGGTTGTTGTTGAGGGCCCAGCGGGCAGTACAATAATTATGGGAGGAATGTGGACGGAAATCAGCGCCACATGAATTTATGTTACAGTACCTTGGGGAATTGACGGACGACTCTCTCGTCAACGCCGGCGGTATTTACGCGGACGAACTTTATACGTCTCTGCAATTTCCAGGCCGTAGGATTAATTAGTGATGGCAAAGGTGAGAAGAAGTCGTTTACCTCGAACTGAACAGACGGCAGGCTTACAAATCGGACGACTGGTCTGACCTCCTACTAGCGCACTACGACCTCTCTTTTCCCAGCTCCGCCAGAGGTTGGTGTGACACTATTGGACTCTACGAATCAGCTCACATCAAAGTGACGATACAGTGCCGTTTCTGGGTCTTCGTTTCACCAGATGAGGCGGCCTGAGAGACAAACCGAGCCATCTACAGTATCTATGTTGCGAGGGTGAATCTTACAAGTCCGAGGCTATTTTACCCCCATCTACCTGGCATCAATCTGTTCAAGCTTGTGCCCTCGAAAGCCTGGCTCTCTCGTACTCACAGTGGGACTGTTCATTTCCGTCATAATCACTTGCATAAAGCGTCATTACCTTTGGGACATGGTCACTGCTTCGCCGTCGAGCTGTCCTCACAATCGACTTTTCACACCTTCTGGGTTGACTAGTCAATGCGCCCCATTGTGCTTCGCCGTGTCGCCAATCTCGCAGAAAGCTCTGAATGTAACCATTTCCTGCGCACTGCTCTCTACCACCAACTCGGCCGTCGCACCAACGAAATACACCCAGCCTTCCTTGAAGTCTTCCTTTTTGGGTCCCACGCTGATGGTGCCTTCTCCGCTCGTGCAGATGATGATGCTCGGTCCAGCGAGACCTTCGAACGTAGCCTTGGCGCCTTCTTTCTTGAGCACAGTGCGCACCACGCTGAATTCTTCGATAGGTGGGTCATAGAGTAAAGATTCACTGTTCGAGCTGTATGCCTTGTCGTTTAGCGTGACATACGGATAATCAACCGGCTGGAGGAGTTGTTGCTCCGGGGGGTTGTGGTCATATGTCAAAATATCCGTCAGTGTGTTCACGTCCTGGAATTTGGGCGTGAAGCCCGCGCGTATGACGTTGTCGCTGCTGGCCATACATTCGATGATATCGCCGGAAACGTATGCATGAATGTCATCCGCTTTCAGGTACATGGCTTGTCCGGGCTGCAATTTGACCAAGTTCAAGAAAAAGAGCACGAAGAGGCCGATGTCTTCCGGGAACTGGCTGTTACAGCGTTGGACGAGTTCGCAGAGTTCCTCGGAAGTGTTCACGCTGGGTCCGGGGGAGATGGAACCTTGCTTCGCCAGATCCAGGAGGGCGTGTGACTTCTCAGCGACTTTTTCCTTGGAGGATTTCATGAGCGAGCTGAATGCCGATCTCAAGCGAGATTTGGCGTCGGCTTCAGATGGCGATGACGTGTTAGCGATCTCTTCGAGAGCTTTGGCTTCCTCTTCGCCGACCAATTCGCGGAGAGACGGGATGGTGGAGAGGAAATGAGCGATTTCCTTGAGAGGCCGGAAGCCGCAGAGACCTTCGAAGGGAGTGATGGCCAGGGTCATCTCAGGCTTGTGGTTATCATCCGGGTAATTCTTAGGATCCTTGGCATGAAGCTCCTCGGCGAGTTTCTTATTGGGATGAGCCTGGATGGACAAGGCTTTGTTGATTGATAGGACCTTGAAGAGGAAGGGCAGTTTCTTATTGTACTTCCCGGTTATATCGCTTCCCATCAATGCCTGGTTATCTGCAACAAGGTCAAGCAGTGACCGGCCGGTATTGAGATCCTTGGAAGGCAATGATGGGTGAGTGCCCATCCATAGCTCAGCGTAGGGCTTGTCATCCTGCACTGAGAAGCTGTCTGAGGGCGTTGCAGCAGCGTATCTCGCGGCGGCAGAGTCCTGTCCATTCTTGCCCCAGTCGTAGCTGTTACAGCCTTGGCAAGGTCAATATTCAGAGATTCCCATGCCATAAACGACACTTACCGCACTGGAGGCGAAACAGGGGTACCTGCATGACGTCTGGATTCTGGCTGTGATATGGGGACCTGTCGAAGTGAAGGGTCCTTGTAAACTCAGTCGGACTTCGGGACGAGGACGTTTTAACTATGAGACCAATCTCGAGAGGAAGAAGAAAGAACAAGATGGCGGTGAAGAAGATGAAAGCGGCTGAAAATCCAGTGGGTATTGATCGCAGCAGCAGCGGCAGGTGTAGATTCGGGAAAACGTGGTTGGTCGAGGACCGAGAAATATCGACTGAGGCATCAGTGAGAAGAGCGGGAAAGCGGTCCGCTCGCCGCCATGCGAACATGCGCTCTGGCTGAAACCGCCCACTGTAGAAATTGCGGTGGGAGGTTCTGCATCGAGCGCAGTTCGATCATCCTCTGGGTGGCTCTGAGTGGCTCCAGAACCGCATATGGCCCTGGCTTCTTCTGGTCCACTTGGTTGAGGACATGACCATGAGTCTTTCTCACCGTCTTCCTGCACATATGGACCGACACTTACAGGAGGCGTGTCTCGTGAATATCTCATATCACCACGTATACTGTTGTTAAAAGAAGCCATTTATCGCATCTAGACATGTCATCTCGCCCCAGAGCGGGCCGGGGCACGACTGGCCGGGATGGTACAGAAGTCCTTGAAAATGATCTGCTTAACCGGACTCTCGAGAGTCTCCGAAAGGTCAAAGAGTATAACGACAAGCAAAAGGACCTCGGGGACGACATTATGTCTCTTGAAGGCGATATGAAAGCCAATGGACGTGAGTGGGACTGCGGTGAACCTGTGTTTGGTCCGCCTGATCAGGTGAATACAGGTACATCCGAACAACTGCAGCGACTGGATCAGCTTTATAGGGAGATGCTTCGCTACGCAGAGCTGGAGCGGAAGGTCCAAGAGGAAGAAGACTTTATCAGCAATCTTGCTATCCTGAAGACTCTCAAGACGAGCGACGAACCCGCACCCCGGAACGGCCAGTCCAAGGCGCGGAAGCAGCAGAGATCCAATATCGACTCGGATGCTGTGGATTCACCGGGGCCTAGCCCAGGAGACGGGCGCGCGGAGTTGATAAAACGAGTCAAGGGGACATCCCAACGTAGCTCCAGTACAGCGAGCCAGAATCGAGCACCATCGGCCATCAGGGACGACAGCGTTGAGACAAACGTGGGACTTCAGGCCGAAAGAACAGGGCAACTGAAGCCTGAAGTGGAAGTCTTCTACAAATATCCCGACCTCAAGATCCCCAAAGACACCAAGGACCAAAAGGCACAAGATGAACTTGAAGGCGTGGGTATCCATGTCATCATCAAGAAGGTGCTACAGGACAGAAAGCCGTGAGTCTTAGAGAATCCACTACCGCAGGGAAGCGATGCTGACTGAGATCTAGCGTTCAATACGACGTGAGGGACCCAGAGGTCGATGCCTCCTCGGGCAAGCCAACCTCGCGGCGGGTGCTTGCGAAGAATCTCCTGCCCATCCCGAAAGATAACCCGACGATCCAATATTTCAAGGACGGCACGAGTGTGTACGCCAAGTATCCCTATACCGACACATTCTACAAAGCCACGGTCCAGAGTTTCAAGAAACCCAACTACAGCTTGAGCTTTGACGACGACGATCAGGGCCTCCAGACCGTTGAGGGCCGTTTTGTCTTTGAGAACAAGGACACCAAGGACAACAAGCCGAGAGACAGCAAGCCGAAGAACTAAATGTCGGGCCAGGGGAGCGCGCCAGGTCCGGCGTGAGTGACTCTCTCATGAAGAAGAGCCCCTGCAGGGTAGGCTGTTGCGACCCGTGTAAGCCAGAATCATGATTGGTACGATGGCTTGGAGGACTGAATCGTCTATTGATTGAGTTGGCCTTTGCTGGCTAGATAGGCGGCGCCACTATCTGATCTGCCGTTAGCGTAGGAGTTCTGAGCGCACCGTCTACACTCACCGGCCCAGACCTCGTAGACCAAGACTCGGCTGTCCTGATCGAATTCGAGCACATAGGTGAAGACTTCATCCCACGATTGGCCAGTGCTGATCCAGGTAAAGGTTGCTTCGCCTCGCACTGATACCTTGGAAACCTCGGCGTCGACGACGAAGTTGCCGAATTTCATGTCTTCATACTTCAGGTGCGAAGACAGGAGTTGAAAGTAGGCCTCCAAACCCTCTTGTCCTCGAAACTCACGGCCTAGGAACGGCGCCAATTGAGGCAGGCCATGCTCCAAGGCCAGGACGTCGTCGGAAGACGAGAAATGGCTGAGGATTTTGGCAGGTGCTTCCTTGTTGGCGAAGGAGTTGCAGAATGCTTGGGCCGCGGCGAGGAGGTCGTCTCGTTGTGAGGCAGGCATGCTTTTCGATACTGTAGTCTAGTGTTGGTGCTTACCCAATGGTCCGCGCCGACTGACCAAGCAGCAGAGAAGAATTGCAAAGTGCGGAGGCAGGGCCGAGGCTGCGGGACCGGCACATTTCGTCAGCAAGCGGCGGCAACCCATTCACCCATTTCTCCCCTCTTCTGTCCTCGATGACTGCAGTCGGCTTGTGTGGGATTGTGTGCTATTGCTCCTAGATACAGTCGACATGACACCGCTTGGGATATAGAACTGGTACGCTCCCCCTATACAACGCTGGGCCAACATGGCTCGCGCCGCCGCCGCCGACCTCCCCTCCCACGCCTCTCCCCTCATATCCCCCGTCGCCCGACCCTCGACAGCATACTTGACCAACTGGTCTGACCTCGACGACGGCGCGCCTCCCACTCCCGGTCTACCGAACAATCTCGTCTCCCCGGCCTTTACTCCTCCAGCAACCCCAGGGGCTGGCACACCCTCTCGCCATCTCCATGTTGAGCCCAGGTCCATTCCCGTTGACACCTCGCTCGACGATCCGTCCGTCAAGCAACCTCGCCTGGTCGAGAAGCTACCACACGTGGAGTGTCTAGTACGTGCAAGGATACCCACGACCTCCGGCGCGGAGATGTTTCTACATTTATACCAAAACGACTCCGACAACAAGGAACATTTAGCGATTGTGTTTGGCAGCGGCATTCGGAGTCGCAGTCTCGATGCCGAGAAGCCAGGGGAGACAGAGATGGATCGCATGATTCGCGGTGCATACGTGGGACGACTGCGACCCGGACGTACGAGTTCGAGAGTCGACCCCTCCGAGCAGAATAAACGTCCACATACCAAGCGGTTACGAAGCGGCTCGGCGCTGAAGAATGTGACCACCGTCCCTGAAGACGGGGTCCTTGAGGTCCCTTCTGAGGCTCTAAGCCCTGCCGGTCAGCCTGCGCCAGCCAAGGACGAGCAAAATGCCGAACAACCGGCAAATAATCACGTTCCCGCGAGTCTGAGCACTCTCCTCGAGAATACACATATAACAGCGTCCTCGGCCGGCAAGGCTCCCCTCGTCCGCATCCACTCCGAATGTTACACGGGCGAAACGGCCTGGTCTGCCCGCTGCGATTGCGGCGAACAGCTGGACGAAGCAGCTCGACTCATGTCCCTCCCAAATTCCACCGGCGGCGTCATCGTCTATCTTCGCCAAGAAGGCCGTGGTATCGGCCTGGCATCTAAATTAAAAGCATACAACCTCCAAGATTTGGGAAACGACACAGTCGAAGCAAATCTGCTGCTCAGACATCCCGCCGACGCAAGAACCTATGGCCTTGCGACTGCTATACTGCAAGATCTTGGATTGGGAACGGATAGCGATGCAGAAAAGCTCGAGAGCGAGCGGGGGATCAGGCTTTTGACTAACAATCCCGACAAAGTGCGGGCAGTTGAAGGACCCGGTAAAGAAGTCCGGGTCAGAGAAAGGGTGCCCATGATACCTATCGCCTGGCGCACGGGTGGGATCAGAGGGGTTAGAGGTGCCGAAATCGAAAAGTACCTCGAGACCAAGATTGGGCGCATGGGACATATGATTCATGAGGAGTCCTAGGCTTGGTTGGACGTGAGACACATGATTCACGGGGAGTCCTTGGTCTGGACGTGAGACATATTGTGGTCAACAGCGGCGTTGCCGCCAAAATATGCCTCCAAGCTGGACGGGGAGACACTCGGCCTTGCAAGGGACTGGCCCTCGCAAGCCTCACCGAACAGCGGCCTGAGCCCGTCTCCGGCACACCGTCCTGCCCGAAGGAGTTCGAGGAATTCGAGTTCCACATGCCACGAATATCATCCGACAATATGGCGCCCGCTTTCGGACGGCAGCAGTGTTGTACTGGCTCACGAGACCTCGTCCAGGCAATCTAGGTCCGAGCAATACTCCCACGACATCCTCGGCGAACAGCAGTGCGATTGATAGAACGACAGTTCACCAAACAGCCACAGCACGATCACGGCTGTGCCATGACGTTCGCAGTCGCAATCCTGGTGGGCCCGCACGCTTGACACCTGATCCCTCCGTCGTTTGCCCGCCAATCGGTTGATACCGAGCAGAGCGAGAGAGAGGAGAAATAGAGACGAAACCCTCCTCACTCTGACCGAACCATCTCCTCGTCGTCACAGGAAGGAGATTCAAATCTGAACTTCAAAAAGGCTGAGAGCACACTTCGTGTAAAACCTCATCCGCACGTGTGCAGCGGACAGGACTGGTAGATACAGTAGGTGCACGGGATACAGCCTCATATATTTCACATATATAAACATATAATGCGCTCTGCATAGAGAGTATGTAGTGCACGTACATGCAATCACAAGGATGAGCCCCTTGGTACATTGCCCCCTTGCGATTGCAACCTCGCCCTCTGTGAACGGGGAAAGAGAGGCCGAATTGGATCGACTGATACACAGTACACTCACAGGGCGCGCAGTAGTGGTATTCCTCTGTCAGATCCTCGTTACTCGTGCTGGCATTGGCACTCGAATTAGACTGTACCCATGTGCGGCTGCGTTATCAAGTTCAGCGCACACAGAGTGAGCATAGGGATACAGTGGTGACAGTACAAGTATAGCGATTCCATTCCAGGCAGCGTGGCAGCGGCAGCAGCAGCCAGCTCGACTCGCGACTCGCCCAGTAGGGTATAGGTATGTACCAAACTTGCTACGGTATAGATCACCAGATGCCCAACCACAACTTCCTCCGCCTCTTCTCTGGTTGCCCGGCCTGAGGCTGGGATTCGTGCTGCTGTTCCTGCCCAGACTCGCCTTCGGCAGCCAGCCTGGTGGCGGTCCCGTTGGCAGCTCTCTCCCGCCTCGTGGCCTCCTGCTCCTCCCTGAGCACGGCATCGACGCCCTTCTCCTTGACCATCCTCAACCTGCTGCCGTCGCCCTGCGCCTCCAACCTCTTCATGAACTCGATCTGGTGCTCCCCAGGCTGCATGCCCAATTTCATCATGTCGGCCCCCGTGAGGACGATCTCCCTCCCGCCCTGACTTCGCTCTTTATTCGTGAGGCCATCATCCCAGGGCACCAGGCCACGGACATCGATTCCTTGGTCCTCGTCCGCGTTGAGGTCCTCGAGGCCGTGTGCGCGACGGTATAGTCTGCGTTTCTGCGCGTCTAGGATCTTTTGCTGGCGCGACTCATTTGTGCGTTGCGTCTCGTACTCGATGTGTAGGCGCAAAACGGATAGCGTTTCGCGGATGTATTCGATCGGGTGCAGCGGGAAGGAGGAAATTGAGGGGAGAAGATGTGCGTAAGGGGACGTGCGCACGAAGGACTGCGTCATGGTGATGCAGGCGAGGATGGTGAGTGTGCCCTATACGCGAGGGACATCTTGGTTAGCAATGAAGGGACCGTTACCGTTGTCATCTAGCTAGCTCGGTTTATGGATGGGAGTGAGTGCCGTCTCGAGGGCTTCTCTTGCAGTTTGTGGCTCGGCAATACGCACGAGTCACTCGCTTCGCTGTGTAAGGTGCTCACTCACCATTGTAATCCAGAGATGAATCTTCCGGTCCGTCAAGAACCAATGCATAAAGGTGCCCTGGTTGGGGAACATGTGCGGGTAGGCCCTGTGCTGCTGTCTCGCCTTCTCTTCCGAGGTCGTCCCCTGGTTATACGCAGCCGGTGGCCTTCGCGGGCGGTTCAATCGCGCGGGGTGTGACGGCGGGCGGAATTTGTCTGGTTGTTCCAACACGATGGATTTGCTGCTGCTGTTTGCGTTTGTGGAGGCGGCGCGGCGGGTGGTAGTCATTCGAGGACGGGCATGATGTTGATGTTGATATTGATACTGGTACTGGCTGCGGATGGTGTTGCGGAGACATTGTCGACACATCGACGATAAGGGAGACATTGTTCGGCTCAGGAACGCCCTGGACGGGTGTGCTCCTGGTAGAGCGCTCATCGTGGCGAGCTGCCGGGGTAGGTTTAGGTGGTGGGTGCTCGTTCTGCTCCTCAAGGTCGCGAGATGCGAATGAGACTGAGCCAGTTGAGGTACCGCCAAGACGGGAATGGCCGGGCTCATTCCTCCGAGTGGAAAGACACACCAAGTGCTACCAAAGTAAATACATCCTCCATACTCCGTACACACAATCAAAGTAGGCAGATACCTCCTACTGTGCCCACGCTCGTAGAGCCTCGGACCACTGTGTCCATGTTACAGCCTGACGAGAAGACTCACACCATCGGTCCTTTGGCCAGCCTACATCCAAATAGCTAGATACCTGACATGATGGCCATTGCTCCGCTCATGCTCGAATTGCCACAGTATCCGGACATCCCTCACGATCAGAGTACGGAATACAGGGTGCAATGACAGAGATCGTTCTCACGTGGTTGTCATTGGGCGTTGCCTCAACCTACACAGTACATCAGGGTAGACCGGGAACATGGCTATTCCGACATACTGTGGCCGTCAGCTTTAGAGCTGTCGTCACACCATCCTGCCAGCTTCATCCAGGGTACCTATGCATCTGCCCGATGAATTGTGCCATGCCATCTCGCTTTTACCAATTGTGCAGTGGCCAGGCTGCTGATACCTCGCACACATCGAAAGATCCAGAGCGCATGGGGGTAGACATCAGTGGGATCCAAAATCGCATTGATTGCTGCTAAGCTATCTCTGTCAACTTGGAAACCGAATCCAGTCATGGTCTTCTGACACCGACCAACAGATACCAATAATTCCAACACCACAATAATCCATGAACCACGTCCTGTCCATATATATGGTATCTAGCTGTACAGCCTCTTCCTTCCACGGGCGGTTAACATATGAAAATTCTGTCGCTGTCTTAGCTGACAATGCCAGCACCATGGCAATCCCAAAAATGCAGCATCGCACAAAGCAAATAGGTCGTCGTCCAATACGAGTTAGCCAACTGTCCCGGAACTCCACTGACTCAAGAAAGATGCATTCTCCAGGCAGCGAGCCAGTTTCGGATTGGAAGAACCGAAGACCGCGCCTCTCGCAGCCTCGTCCGAGGAACCGGGCTGCATTTTGGTGCAGCTTGGTCCCACAGTGTGTTGATAACGCCCCCAAACATATATCGCTCATAAATTTGCTGTCATAGGAGACACTCCTCCTCTTTTCGTACAGGATATCAGGCAGGTATATCGTGCTAAGATGATCAGAACAGGTACTTTTGGGGTCTCAACGAGTGTGGTCAGTTGGCCGTGGATAGCAATCGTCGTTTATCGGTACATCTGGCTTGTTGCCAAGATGCTGTTGGCAGCTGCAGATGCCCAGTCGTTCTCCTCGTATGGCGGCGTAGGCCAGTGTGAAGGGACATGGTCATGTTCACTGCGCTTCTTGGTGATGTTCAGCGGCTGAACGCTGGAAGTGCTGCTGGAGTTGAAGTGCACACCATCCCTCTTCGCCGAAGGCGAAGGCGTGAGATAGGCCGCGTGCAAAGCCGGGTTGCTCGGGATCTGTGGTAGGGACTGCCGATTGTAGTCTTTTTGTGCCAATGCATGTCGCTGTGCCTGCTCTTTTGTACAGCCCTTTTGGTCAAGTCGCCGTACTGCCCGATGAGCTGAACGCAAAGCTTCATCAAGCAACTCGTCCGCTTCTTCAGGCGTCTCGTACTGGTTGATTGGAATAGGACGACGCGAGATGCGGTTGTTCGTGGGAGGCGGGACTTGTGCCAGATTCTCGCTGGACCGGCCGCCTTGTGATCTCGGGACTGAATGCGTCCTCTTCAGAGATCCTTGGTTGGAGCTCACGTCTGTCGACGACTTCCTGTGTTCCATCTCAGGTTCCGCACGATCAAGACTGTATCTCACATTTTGTAGGATCTTGTCGAGATCGGAAAAATCGTGGTTGACTTCGGGAATGGCGCTGTCTACCATGAGCGATGATCTGTTAGACCACGGCACATTTGCCGCATTGGCCTCGACATCGTCACCGCTGGGTGACGCCAGCCCATGCCTTCCAGAGAAGCGCCTCGCTCGCTTGCGCAGGTGTGAAAAGAAGCTCTCCTTCTGACCGCTGGGTGGTGACACGAGGCCGCTGTTGGCATTGAGTGCCCGCTCGGCCTCCTGGCGGTGGAGATCGGCATAATGATTACCGTGTGAATTGATGGATAACTGTCGACCAATCTTCTTCGACTTCTCTTCAGCCGGTTTAGATTCGTGCTTCGACCCGCTGGAAGACACATATGTAGAGCTTGCCTGTGCGGTGACGGCGTTGGGTAGTGGTGAGATAGGGCGAATTGAAGGCAGAATTGGCATTGGTGCAGCGCCGTTGGAATTTGTGCTATTGGTCCATGTCGCACGTTTACTTGCTTGAGGGCGAAGTCTGCTGGCAAGTCCGTCTGGTTCTTGCTGCACCACCTTCGGCTCTGGGGTGGATTGAGGCACAGCAGGCGCACTTTCACGAGCAATGAGGGATCTTCGGAACCAGGAGGGTTTCGAAGTGATGGTTGGGGTGTCGGCTGCGTCCCTTGATCTGAAACTCAAATCCGAGTGTTTCCGGCCGAGAAGCCGTGATGATGACTTGGGCCTAAGTGGATCGACAGCGTCGGCGAAGAACTCGTGTTCCATTGCTTGCTTTGATGTTGGACGATTCTTGGGATCCCACATCAAACACCACGTGACGAAGTTGCTGAAGGCCAAGGGCCACTGTGGAGGCTGCAGAATAGTTTCCATGGCGTGAGGAGCCATCTACAACCAGTTAGCATGGCGACAAGCGTTTGAATAAATCAACTTACCTTGGGGAACGAGAAACACAGCTTTTGAGCCAGCTTGGTTCCTTCTCTCCATTCACCACCTCCAACTCGGTTTCCGTTTTTCGTGTACCAGCTCCCGGGGCTGCCCATAACTTCACATATCCGCCATACTTGGTCCACTTCGTTGCTCCCCGGAAACAAAGGCTTGAGAGTGGCAATCTCGACTGCCATCGCTCCAATGGCCCAGATGTCCACAGGAGCAGAGTACTCCCCGGCCCTCAACAGTACTTCCGGCGCTCGGTACCATCGAGTAGAGACGTAGGTGGTATACGGTAATTTTGAGTGGGTCTCTCGAGCCAAACCAAAATCGGCGATCTTGATAGAATAAGTTGGCGGTGTAGAAGGCGGAGTGACTAGTGAGGAATATCTGCTGAAAGTTGACTGGGAATCCTGAGGTGCTGAAGTAGAGACAAGGATGTTTTCTGGCTTGATGTCGCGGTGGAAGAAGTGGTGGTTGTGAATATGTTCGAGGCCGGACAAGATCTGGTAGAGGATGCTTTTGACACTTCTTGCGTCCATACATTTGTGTTCCCGCGCTTTCATCAATTGATAAAGGTTGCCGTCCATGTATTCCATGCAGATATGCAGTTTCTTGCTGAATGGATCCAAGAAGATATCCAACGCGGGGACCAAATGCGCATGATTGGGGAGGGTCCGTAAGAATATGACTTCGCGAAGCTCTAGACATGGTCCAAAGGATTCGAAGGTCTTTTTCATCGTTTTGATTGCAACCTGGAATCATCAGTGTCAGCAATTTCCGCAGTGCATAGTGCCAGTGGACATACCATCGTGTTCCGCCGTGCAACACTCGCACCGTTGGCTCGTACTCTGGCCAACGCAACACTTCCGAAACTGCCATCGCCAATGTCCTTGATCACTTCAAACCGGTCCTCCAGTGCAACCAAGGCATACGAGGCAGGCCTCTGGCTATACTCCGTCACGGCCATCTTGTCAGACAGGTTTCCAGGATGGTTCGGGGGCACCTTCTCCCTCCTCGCAGTGGTTGTCGGATACACAGTGTGAATCTATTTATTGTGGCTTCCCTGCGCCCATGAACGGATGTTCCTGAGTTAACTTAACACGTCATTTTTCCCGTTGTTTTGGTGGAATTAGTATGTTGTCTCAGGAAGATAGTCGGAACAGGCTGGCCGTCTTCTTCGATCCTGTCGTGCAAATACTCAGTACTTGTCGAGATAGATTCACACACGCAGACGTTGGTATGAGTAGAGAGATGGGATGGGCGATCCAGGTTGAGCTTCAAGAAGCTCTTGCTCGCATCAGGACCAGGCTCCTCAGCAGGACCCAGTTCAAAGTCGCTCGAGGCAGCTAGGGGAGCTAGTTACGGGAGGGTCGATTGGCGGAGTCGACCCGCAAGGGGCGTTGGGAAAGTGGATAGACAAGTCTTCCCCTTTCTTGAATGCAATGGAGTGGCTTTCGTCACAGACTAGTATCGCAGGGACGTGTTTGACGTGACAGGCATAATTCGGCTGCGTTGATGCTGCGCTCGGACAATTTGCTGGGAGGTGGGAGGCGCGCCTTGACTCTGCCGGAAAGGCCAGGGGGGCTGGAGTTGTGAGAGAAGTCGGAGTCTGTGTCTAACACGAATGTCCCAGAGCGCACAGGATTGGAAAATTGCCCTGAGTGAGCCGAGATAAATTCATTCCTCCTGCACATCGGGCAGACCAAAAGGAGAGTGTGTTGTGTTGTTCGGGGGCGTTTTGAAAAGGGAGAGACAGGTGACAGGACCGTGGTGGACAAGCGAGACGAGATCGTACTGGTTTGGTGTCAGCACTTGATGCGAGGCTTTAGGTTAATGAGGCGCGACTTCCATCCGGCATCTGGGCCCCGCGGCGCATCAACCAGGGCAGCGGCTTAAAACAGTCAAGCCTTGATTTTAGGGCTCCCTGAACACTGGCTTAGTCTCCCGGAAACACAGGTCGGGCTGCCAAAGTTTGGGCTCGTGTGGTTGGAGGGCTGAAGCAGGGGACCGTGCCTGACAACCGTGGGCTAGGCTGGTAGCTGCTCAGGTTGTCAAACTCCGACCACTGAACGGCCGCGGTAAGCCCCGCTGGCCCCAAGCACTCAGCGATCCAGCACTGAGAGACCACTGAACCCACCCTGACGGGGCGCGGAATCCGGAACTCTTCGACCAAACAGTGATCGTGCTGTGTGCTATTTGCTTTCGGACAAGCTACACAGTAGTCTGCTCGTGAGAATATTCTGGTTAACCAAATATTATTGCTCATCGTCATATCCCCTGAATATCACGACGATGGTCAGAAGGAACGTTAAACCAAGGTGGATTCACAGTCGCTGAGGGCACGTGAACGCTGGGCGCACCGCCAGTCGCTCAATCTAGACGGCAGGCCGCTGTGGTGGCATGGTTGAGCCCCGTCTTCCAAGCTCGGAGACAGGCAGCACCACAATACGGAGTACTGTCTAATTATGGTTTATTGTGATGAACCAGCGCCGCAAAATTCAACATATACAAGGAGCCCGGAAGCTGGTGCTGCTTGTCCTGAAAGAAGGGCGGACGCGGGTTGACGAGGGAGTCTAAGGCTCCTCATTCGCCGAGGCGGGCATCATTCGTCATCCTGTCATCACTCACCGTCACCATGGTCTCGAGCACCTCGAGGTACTCGTACGGAGTCCGAGTATGAATTTGTCCGCTAGAGGCCCTCGATATCCAAAGTACTACGAGGTAGTAGTAACCAAAGGCAGAGCGGACATCGTGTGCAGCCACACAAAGAAGATATCGCAAATGTAGTCTGTAGCATTTAAAATACTTAGGTACAAGGCGGCATCACACCCGCTCACAAGTCACTCTCTTCTCCCTTACAATGTACCACAGTACCTGGTACGCTGTTGCGGGGTCTCAGGTGGTCTCGCCTGCTGCCTGGCGCGACCGCTACCCATTTGGTCGAGCCAAGCTACATTGTTAAGTATGAAGCGTTCCCAGAGCACCCAACTGAGAGGACAAAATGTTGAGAAAGCAAACCGTCAGGAAACTGCCACGTTTCTGGTGGCCGAACAGCAGGCACAAAACCGGCCATTCGCCCCTTGAGCTAGCAGCACACGGTTCCTGGTGACAGTGCCAAAAACAGGTTTAGGCGGACCTCTACTGGATTTGTGGCTTGTCGCGACTCGCCCCAACCGTGCATAAGGACCGGGGCGTTTCTGGTGCCGGCCAGAAGCGCTGATCCAATCTCAGAGCCTTCTTCGATTGGCTTCGACCACTCGCCGACTTTTCGATAGAACCGGACTGGGGTTGACAACCACCAAAAGTGTGTTGACCGACTCTGCCTGTGTCAACATCGCGCACCGATATTTGCTTGCACAAAGCCATGGAGTCATGGCAAAACCCTTGTCCAAGACCCTCATCCACGCTAATCCGGCGGATCACATCGATGTTCTCGAAGCCCCGAAAGCACGAGGAGTGAAACCGTCATGAGACATGAACCGAAGGCTGATGCTCTTGATAACCTCAGGTAAAATTGCTGGGTACAATGGAGTCCAGCAACGCACCCGCACATCGGATAAGTAGTTTTTGGACCCTTGAGAATAATCTCACCGCTTTGATTGACTAAGGGATGTACTCCGAAATAGGATGCTGCCGCGAAAGACAATTCTATGATCAATAGGCGGAAGTCTGCGGCCGGCCAGAATGGCAAACCACCTACGGAGTACGGAGTACTTGGTAGATATCTGTTGTTGAAATCGTAACAGAAGCCGTGGAACTCATTCAATATCGTGTGTCTACTCCGTAACTCGGCCTTCATTGTCTGCACCAATCGAACCCAAACCTACGGAGTACTGTACTCCGTATATCAACCTGCAAGCTGCAGCCCTCCACACGGGTTCAAAGTGATACAACGTTCTTCCTTGTTGCCTGTCGACTTTGCTCTCGCTCCTCAAATACAACCCGACTAGCTTGCCGTTGACATAAAGCAATACGTCTGCCGATGTAGCTGTCGTTGGTATCGAAGACGAAGAATGCATAAATATTTGGCCAACTGGAAGCTTGCAGCATGCCAAGAAGCATAATCACATCGGAAAATCAATCTGAACCCAGCTCCAACTGCGGATTTATGTGCAATCGGCTGCGAGCACCGAATGCTTTCGCTGAAGGCAAGTTGATATCAAAAGCTTGCGTAGCAAACAGGTGCTGTGGGTAGTTCTTCCCAGACAGAAAGACTGGTTCTGATCACAAAGGCGGTCTGAACGGCGTCCTTAGGTGTGTACCAGCAAGGCGAATCTGTTTGACAAACTACAAGCTGAGCCTTGCAGCAAACGCGGGCTTGTCACTCCCTTGCAAGTTCAGGTATGGAGTACTTGACCGAGCCTTGAGAACAGGCGTTCTCATTGCATCCTCAAGGTCTTACCCCGCGGGCCGAAGAGGTTACTTTTGCAAAGCACTGCTCATGTAAGTGACTTGTACCCCACGGTCTCGACTGGGTCGGAGCTGGTTGAGCCTGCTTCCTTAGGTACCTCTCATGACTCGATGAAGCAGAACCGATTCACAGTTCCCTTGGTACTTCATTCCTGGGTGCTCGCTCTTCACTGACACTTTGATAGAGGTCTTGGCGCTCCATTTGCCTCCCTTTCTTACTCGACCTCTTCCTCTGCTGGAACCATGTCGCAGAAGTCATGGAAGTCTAAGACCAATTCTCAGAAGCAGCGACCATACTGGGAACGAAAGCAGGAGTCGTAAGGCTGTCTAGCCTTTTCTTGATTCTCTTCTTTCCCACTTCTTCAGCATTTAACCTCTACATTCATTGACCCAAGCGTCCTCTGCTTTCTTCTAATTCACCTCAAACTCACCTCGACTCAACGGTCAACATGGCTGCTGTCCCGACGCATCCCGCTAACTTGGGATCCAGATTCGCCAATGTCGACACGGGACCTTTGTAGGCGACTTGCCAGTACCATTTACCGGGCTCTGTGATCGCTAACCCCATTTGCAGGATCCAATGCACTATTTGCCACGTCAGATGCTTTCAAGGCCGCTTCTCCCGGGCCCAACTCGATAAATACAAAGAATCGCTTGCGAAGGAACGTCGAGGTGGTCCGGTGGCGGAACTTCCACGTTGCGCAAGCTGCACTCCGAAGCCGGTGGCCGAGCTCCACTGTACTGGTTGTCGCCTGACCAAAGACTTGAGCTTCTTCTCCAAGCAGCAACGCAAGAAACCGGACGATGCCGTAAGCGAGCAATGAGCCAGAGAGATATTGACCGTTCTCGTGCTGATAAGGACCAGAAATGCATGAACTGCCAGCAAGAGATCGAGGACCGTCTTCCCGATCTTGACGATGCCCTCGAAGAAGAACGCATTCGAGAAGAACACCGTCGACAGACAGCTCCAAGCTCAACACTGAGCACCGTCTCGGGATCTGCGGTTGGCTCTGGTGTTCAGTCTCGAGCACAATCTAGTAGTGGTGACGGCATCTATCTGGGCGACGACCGTGAGTCTGCCTGGGGTGGTATGGACACCCATTCGCAATCTCCCACCAACACCGAGGTCTCTGCTCCGCGCAGCACCTCCAGCTACTCCGGACGTGGCTCCAAGAACAGCTTTGCGAAGCAAGGCGCCTACAATCCACCAATTCAAGCACGTGTGCAAAACCAGCTCGAGCGCGAGGAAAGACAAAGACAAGAAGCGCAAATGGCCAGCAAGCAAGACAGCTCTGACGACGACGATGACTGGGAACTGTGATGTGCTAGGCTGAACGGACATCACCTCTACATCATTACTGGGTGAGATCACATACCAGGCTCGGTTGTCACTTGCACCTCGCCAGCTTCTGGGAACGCAGTGAAGGGAATCACTACCTCTTCTGATGAAGACCGGTTCCGACTGTGGCTACGAGCTGCTGAGTGGAAATCTTGCATATCTTGCGATCCACCAACACACAAAGAACCCAAAACCTCATGATTATTTGTTTGCACAGTTATCAGGTTAGAGGCCGCAAGTATGCAAGGGGCAAATTTGCCGGCGCAGCCTACTTTACACATCAAGCTCTGCTCAGTATCGTAGAAGTCGCTACAGGACGGCAGGGCGGGTGCAGAGCTTTCCATTTCTTTCAATTACATGGATTAGATCGGTTTGAAAGCACTCACTTTGCACATGCTGTCGCCTTCGATTCATAGGGTTTCTCGTCAGGGTCCTTAGTGCTGCGTCTGCCGACATTAAAGAAGCCACAGACTTGTCTTTTCCTGGTCTGCATCCAGGAGCAACAGCTCAGCCTGCGTCCAATTCACCGTGCCCAAGTGTATCTGGCGCAAGGGTATCAGGTTGTTAAGATCGATAGGCGGGACTTCAGGCCAAAGATCTTGGGCGGGGTCGTCCATCCCACTACCCGGGATGAGTCCCTTGTCTTCCCCTTTGAACTTCTCAGGTCGATTGCCAGAGATTTCTTCATAATGTGCACCTATTCAATGCCACCCTTCCGCCTCCCCTCTCTCTCAACCCTCCGGGCGGCCCCCCGCAAACCACGGTCCGCCAGCACCCTATCTCTACATAGACCATTCTGTGAACGACATCGGACTCTTCTACTTCACCGAGGAAAGGATGAGGTCTTCGGCCATGGCTTGTACGTGTGTTCGGCACCCTTTCGGTACCTCGTCTGGTCACCGACGCTTTAGTGCCAGGTGTAGGCGACCAATGAAGACAAGAAAGCGGAGATTTGAATGACCGTTGGCATTACCGGGGATCTAAGACTGCATTAAGCCGCCCTCCTGGTGGACCGTCCCTTTGCAGCATATCTGAGATTTGATAGTATGCAAAGCCCTTCGAAGATACAGGTAATGTTATCCTCCAAGCCATCAGTGCCAAGTCCCCTAACGGACAGCTACGGTAACTCGCCAGGGGTTGTCCTGTCTTGAGGGTAACAATACACCTACACGTTTCCCTCGCGGCCGAGAACGTAACTCGTACTCCTCGGTAAGCATGGTGAGGTCTCCCACCAGTCGGGTGCGCGTACGAGGGAGCCTCATTGACAAATGCGGGGAAGTGTGGGAATTTCCCGTCCTGGTGTTTGAAGAGATGACACGATTGTGGCGTTCCTCAAGGCTGGAATGTTGATGGCCAAAGTGGGGTGTCGCCGCCCGTATTGCATTTTATCGAGGGCATCGTGACTGTCGCGGACGAGGTACTGTAGAAAGTAGCACTGGTATCCCGCTGATCAGGACACCTTACTTGTAACACGATTATGAAGCTTGCTGAAGTGCGCTGGTCTTACAGCTCATTAGGACAATTGAACTCTTTTCACGGAAAATAATGAAAGGTGAAGAAATAGACATAGTGTATGTAGCACTTCACACTCGACTACCGAGTAATCACTCCGTACCTTGTGCAATCTAGCTATGAATTTCACATTACTTGCACGGTTAACTATGAATTCAGCAAACTACATCTACCGGCTGGCGCCGGCACCGATGCAGCAGGGCGAAGCAGTTGATACAACAATAGTTTCTCCGACGGTATGCGGACCGGTGAAGCCTGCAGACATCGTATCGGCAAGTGTTAAACGAAGTTGCCGCATGACTACGCACATGCTGCCTGTGACAGGGCGCAACGTACTGATTTCGAGCGGCTTCTACCGCTCGGGCTCACAGTAGTCGGGCGCAACAAGAGGATGCTGCCCTGTGTAACACGGAGTCTTCAACCTGACCCGAATAAGCGGACCGGTAGTTGTTGACTTTCCAGGTTGATGGTGGTTGACAAGCGGTGGTGTGGTAGGACCATTGGACAGGCAAGGCGAGCATTCGCCAGGGTGCTTCAATGACGTTGCCATCTTTGTTCCTCCCTCGCTAGGTACCTCTATCTTGCAAGTTTTGACGTGACTCTTGTGTGAGTTTGGAATTTGGAACCGTCTGCTCGGCTGATTCGACCGCAAGATCTCACTGTGGCTCGGTCTCCAAGGGTCAGCTTCTATTTTCAGCGGGTCAAAACCAGATTGCCGCAAAAGCATGCACCTTGGCGAGCCGAACCTCGGAAGATAGGGAGCGGGAAGAGAACAAGCTTGCAGGCGACAGTGGTGACAGTGAAAGTATGATGGCGTACACGGTACACAGTGGAAGTGCGAGGTGGGTAGGAGCAAGATTTGGGAAATTCTCCAGCCTACCATCAGCCCAGAGCCCCGGCAGAAGGGTCCTGGTACCGGGGCCCCCAGGAGCCCAGGCATGTCTCCCTGCGCCTGTCATGGCCTGTGTAGATCGAGCATTCCACCAATCCTTTCACCGGTGAGACGGTTTAGCACCATTAGTGGGCTGAGGGAGCCCCAGCGAAGCAGCCCATGATGCAACTTACCTTCCTTTCCGCAGCCACAATTTGACCAGCTTGTTGCTCGTGTCTACCGCAGATACCTCGTATGCCGCTGATACTTGCCCAGAACTGCTCGCTTGTGAGGCGTTCGTCCCTCGCTTCCTCTCGATTGTTTCATGGTGCGCGGGTTCATCGATATCTCATATTTGCGATATTGCACCCCCTTCCAGTTTTGACAGGCTCGACAGGTCTCCGAACCCTTAAGCCATCCCAGCCGCAAACAATAAGGGCAGCTTTTCGCGCCGTCGCCGACGAAGGAACGGCACAGAAATCCAACCCCACAGCCTCCTAACACCGACTCGTTCGCCGACCCAAAAGCTGCGTGTTGTCGGCAGTTCCACTTCCTACCCTGTATCGCGCCTGACCGCTGTACAAGATTGAATCATCTCATCATTGACACTCTGCTACGTATCACGCCAGGACGCCCGGCGCATTCGATATCCAGGATCTGGGTTGGCTGTCCGAAAAAACCCCGCCAGGAATAACAAGTTGGATAAGGCTGGTCGCGACGCGAATCCCTTGCTGCACCGTGGGCGGTCGTGCGAACCCGCATCAAGGATATCTTACTTGTGATCAAAGTCTATTTGGAAACCAAGCGTTTCACGAACTTGCCTGGAAAGGTCATCTGAATGCGTTGAGGACAAGTTTCGTCCTGCAACAGGACCGTGCTTTCTTCACACAATGGCCTCGAACGAGCGCCGCCCGCCTCAGCCCAGCGTTTCCAGTTTTCATGGCAGTGATGACGGAGACCCACGGCAACTTCATCAAACTTGGAGCAGTGTCGGGTCTGAAAATGGTCGGTATCCTCCGAGGTCGACCGAAGGCTCTACCGTCTCGCAGCAGAGCACCCACAGTGTCGAGCCATCAAGATATCATCAAGCCCACCAGCCGATAAATGAAGCAGTCACTTCAGCCTTCAACACCACAGAAGCCACCTCCACTGCTTCATTACCCCCGGACCTGCTACAACAACTCACTTCACAGATCACGGCGAACGTTCTGCAACAATTAAAAGTATCAAGTTTGCCCCTACCAACGCAGCAGCCTTCGATGTCAGGCTCTCATATGGACACCTCTTCATCTGCTGCAGGTTCTCCACCCTTGGATCGGGCTACAGTATACACTCCTCCCAGCCCTCATCGGAATTCCGAAGACGTCGGTGCTAGTCAGCCCTCGCCTCAATTTCCGCCGCCATCAAGCCAGCCATCATATCGGGTCTCGTCACCTAACAATGACAGGAGGCCGGTATCGCCTCTGAGCCAGCCAGGCCATGCGTCTGAATCCGAAATGAACCAGAGCCGACCCAAGGGCCCCAAAAGAATGTCTACAACAGGAGATGCCACCATACTGGAACGAGTGTGGGGCCAGCTGTTCACAGAACAAGGCCGAGCCACGCCTCGGTTGGGCCAATTCCTTCGCGGCATTGCTGTTCACCTTATCGAAGATTATGAGCCAAAGTACAGCCTAGTTATTACTCCTGCCAAAATGCAGAAGTACTACGAAGACACAAAGCTACCGAACGAGATCTATCCTTGGAAAGTCATCTTCGACGACCGCACGTCTTCGGTGTCTCGAATGTTCAGAGAACTGGAGTGCCAACATCATCTTGTACAAGAGAAGCTGAGTGAGCGACCGGATCTTCCCGGTCTCACACCTCAGGGTTTCGAGACTTGGGTAACGCTGTTATTGAGAGCACATCCCGACCAGGAGTACGAACGTCTCGCGAAGACAGCGTTGGATATGCCCATCAGCAATCCCGATGAGAAAAAGGAAAGATTTCCCAAGGAGCTCTCGAGGCGACTTTTTCCCGCCCATGGTGACACCGACATAGCATCCAAGTTGCAGCGGGTCATGTCGACTCACTGCAATATCAACTTGAGTTCCCGGCATAGCAGTGTTGCAGACTCACAGCCTCAATCGGGTGCTGCAAGTGTGGCAGGAGATGACGCCTCCCCCAAGACGACTCTGCGATCTGTTCCAGAAAGGCAAGAGTCGGTGACCGATGCTCCTCAGATGAGTCTGTCCTCCTCACAAGCTAGCCTTGAGCGCGAACGCCAGCCATATAGCGGGACGCAATCTGAAAGTTTCAACGCTGGAGATGTGGAGAACACGGAAGATGTCCCTACACCACAGCCAATAGAGAGAGAGCGAAAGCCGTATGTTGCTGCTCCCGGAGGTGGGAAGACTTACAGTAACCTCGACAAACCGACCGCTCCGCCAGAAGCCAAGCCAGCTCCACCTCCAGGGCCTAAGCTGGGACGCTCGGGTTCTGTCCATGCTACCAGCAGACCAGCAGCAGAAGCTGCCAGGTCTGGGGCCCCACCAGTCGCCATCCACCAACGACCACCACCAGCACCAATGGAGATGCCCACCGAATCTCGCCATCACCGAGCCAACAGTACTTACCACCGTGATCCTCCTCGACCCGGCCGTAACAGGTCGCCATCGATGAGTAAAGAGAACGGCATCCCGTCGTATATGAGACGAACCGAGCCCGATGGACCATACATGTCTTCTTCATATCAGGCCGACCACCACGACGATGCAAGACGGTACAGAGACTATGAAGCCGGCCGGGAGCGGCTAGCCAATGACCGCTACGACCCTGCGCGAATGGCTGCATACGATCCTGTCGAGCGGATGCGCGACCGAGATCGGGATGTTCGCCCACGCATGCAATCCGTCGCTAATGCCGGCCTAGGCTTTGTTGACGGCCCGCTAAGTCCAACCATGCGCAGTACTGCCGGGCCACCGATGTACTCCTCTTCAGCCCCCAATGGCGGAGAGGAAGAATACTACCTGAACCGCGTGCCTACTGGAGGGAGTAACACTCACTACAATGGCCACAATACATCAGCACCGATTAGCACGGGCTTCCAAGCCCCGATGCCACCAGGATTGGCGCGAGAGTCGTCGAGCACAGGCAGGGACACGTATGCTTCGTATCCCTCCAGTGCGGGATACCCACCTAGCAGCTACAGGGACATGCGGTAAGGGTCTCAGCCCAGTCTGAAGAGGAGAGTCGGATTTCCGGACGGGCGACACAAGCAGATTTTCACTAATCCATCTACTATGTTATCTATGTTTCTATTGTGTATTATATTATGATTGATGACATTCTCGGTATAATTTTGAAAGGTATAATTTTGAAATTGAAGCGAGTCATCACAGCGTTGATTCACAATTTGAGCCCCTTTGTATGGGCACTTGCCACAAGGAAGAACTTGTATGTACAGTAGTCTGTACCGGTGATAATGTGAATAAACTTCGTACGGTGGATGAGCTGCACCTTGAGGTTGTTGGCCCGACTGGCAGCGTCTGGACCTCTGAGTATGACCATGTCGGCTTTGCGCACGGCAGGACGGAATGGTTTCACTACAGAAGCTTCTCTTATCACGCACTTAGATTCACCTTATCTTGAAGCTTGGTGATCCGCCAATCCACTGGTGAGATTCAATCGGCATGTGAGACGAGGTGAGGGAAGAAGCGAGGATCCTGATCGAGTAAAAGGGTGACCCGGCTCACAGTCAGCACCAAGCACCGCCTATCGTAGTTAGTGACTTCCCGGCGTGCATTCGCTTGTTACTGTAATCACTACGGAGTACACAGTAAAGCTTTGGCGTGGCTTGCGCAGGCTCCACAAACCAACCAACCAAAGCCGTGGAATGACGAGAATGCTCTGGAGAACATAGGCAGTCCATTCCATTCCTCGCCGTCCGCATCAACCACCCACACATCACCGTAGTCGACAGCTTTGTTCCGGCTGAAAGAATGTCACGCCCAGGCGGATCGGCGGATTCCAGCTTCATCATGCTCTCTGACCTTCAATTCATCTTCGGCTCTCACGCTGTACGCAGCCAGCCATCTCCCAACTGCAGCTTACTCACCACTCCCTCATCCTCCCGTTTTCCGGTTTGAGCATCGAGCACTCAACTCCGGCTATTCGCGGTAGCGCCACCGCGCCCATCTGCCACGATGCATATCAAGCCCTTATGACATTCAACAGCCCGAAAGGACAATGGGCTATGATCATGCTGAACAGAAAGAGCTAGACCCGGCTCCCTCGAGTTCCAACTCGGGTGCTGGCGGCAGTATCGTTGAGGAGGCGGACAAACAGAAAGAATGGGACGACGACGACGTCGGGACGTTACCGGATGTCGAGGGCAAGCCCAGTCGCAACAAGCTGGAACACGAACATGCGCATCACCATCACAAAGGACGGCTGAAGCTGCGATCCGCCGACGATGATCTTCCCACAAGCTGGTGGTTTGCCTCCACCGCCATTCCCCTCATCGCCGCCACGTTCGCACCCATGGCCAATCTGATTTCTATTGCTGCTCTGGTGGTGGCCTGGAGGAACAGACTCACTCAAAGCCCGGCGGAGTTCCCTGGCACCTATCAATCCACTTCCGTTGGCTATGAGGACCCGACCTGGTGCGTCAATCTGAACATTGCCTCGCTGGTTTGTGGCTTTGTAGGGAACCTCTTCCTCCTCTTCAACTTCACCAAGCGCGTCCGCTATATCGTCGCTCTGCCCGCGACCATCGTGCTCTTCTACATGGCGTCGGGCATTTTGATCGGAATAACCGCATCGATGAACCTTCATGTACCACCTGGTATAGGTGAGGTATATTCTCAGGGCTATTGGAATGCTGTCATCGCCGCGTGCCTATACATGTTCAATTCTATAATCCTGATGGTCAACATGTGTGGTTATTTCCTCGGCCATTATCCTCAGCACTTCACCTTGACCGATGAGCAACGCAACCTGATCCTGCAGACCATGATGTTCTTCATATGGCTGGGCGGAGGTGCTGGCATCTTCACCCGGATTGAAGGCTGGACATATCCCGATGCTCTTTACTTCTGCGACGTGACCATCTTGACTATTGGCTTTGGAGACTACTATCCCACAGACGATGTCGGGCGCGGCCTCGTCTTTCCATACTCGGTGGGTGGAACCATTATTCTAGGTTTGATGGTCAGCTCCATCCACAAATTCGCCGGAGAGCTCAGCACGGTCAATGTCCTACGCAAACACGTCGAGCAAAGACGGGTCAACACCCTCTCGCGGGTCATTACAGTTGACGATACCGAAGAGAAACGGAGAGACGAGCTGGAGAAGGAAGTGGAGATTGAGGAAAGACATGGTCGGCGTCCATCCATCTCGTCTCCGCTTCCGGACCCTCGGATCCAGCACGACCTGGACGAAGTGGCACGTCACTCACATGATCCTCCCAACGCAGCTCCGACTCAGGACCGCAATATCGACTTTGGAAACACCGATGCTGAACAATTAAAGAAGGCGGAACGGAATGAGGAGGTTCCGCAGCCTAATCAGTTCTTGCGCTCGGCATTCCGTCGAGGCCCGATACATACCACGTTGCGATCGATTACACCGTTGATGAAAAGAACGATTTCAAGGTCACAAAAGAAAGCCATTCTCATGAAGGAGGAAAAGGACCGGTTCAACGCCATGCGTGACATCCAGCAAAACGCGAAGAAGTTCAAGAAGTGGTACGCCCTGTGTATGTCGGTCACTGCATTCGGCATCTTATGGTGTATAGGCGCTGTGGTGTTCTGGCAGGCTGAGCGGACGACCCAACGTCTGACTTACTTCCAGGCTCTATACTTCTGCTACGTCAGCTTGCTGACCATCGGCTATGGTGATCTGAGTCCCAAAAGTAATGCTGGCAAGCCATTCTTCGTGGTGTGGTCATTGATTGCCGTCCCGACCATGACGATTCTTGTCTCGGACATGGGAGACACCGTTATATCTAGTTTCAAGCGAGGGACCTTCAGATTAGGCGACTTGACTGTCCTTCCCAAGGCAGGACTATGGCACGATCTCGTCATGAAACATTCCTGGCTTTACAACTGGATGAAGAAACGCACTGAGAAAAAGCGTCGCAAGGCCGGCCTCCCTCTTGGACCGTCCGGTGACGAAGCTCCACCCATATCGAGCATCGAACAGTTGGCATCTGAGGACCTGACCGAGGCGGAGTTGACTTCTCGACTGGCATGGGCTATTCGCAAAACGGCCGACGATCTCCATCATTCTCCCGGCAAACGATACAGCTACGAGGAGTGGTGCGAGTTCACCCGCCTCATCCGCTTCACCAAAGTCGGCCTCGAGCAGCTCGAGTATGACGAGGAAGTAGACGGTGTGGTCGAGTGGGATTGGCTCGACGAGAACAGCCCTATGCTCAGCCAGCAGTCAGAGTCGGAGTGGATTCTAGACCGGCTGTGTGAGAGCTTACTTCGACTCCTCAAGAAGAACATGCTGGGTGGCCAGGGCAGTGCACCGCAGTCTGCAATTACGCAGTCCAGCAGCGGGGCGGATCTGAACATCTTTGGTTTCAACCGACGCGGGACGATCTACGATGACCCTTATATCGATCAGAAAGCGTCGTCCAGATTCGGTACCGGCACCGGCATCGGGAAAGGCAAGGGCGTGGCAGCCGATCCGCCATCAAAGGCAGAGGAACGACAACGCAGAGCATCCGGTGTCGATGCCGTGCTTACATTTTTCACCGGCGATAGGAAGGGCACTCACGCGTACGCGAACGAAGAACCGCAATGGAGTAAAAAAGGATTGGACCGGCTCAGGGACAGTGGGCGAAGAAAGAGCAGTGGTGGTGGTCGCAAGCGAGTAGGGCCGTTCAGCAGGCTGGTCCACCACGGCAAGACCGGGACCGTCGGCGGCGGGAGAGGCGGTGCCGGGATCCGAACCCTCAAGCTAAGGCAGTTTGCCGGAGACGGCGATGGGTGAGATAGGGGTCCCTCCGACCACGTCGTCCTCGGTTGAGTCTCTCCTTCGCTGACGCATCTAATGATTACGCGTGTACAGTTCCGAGATCCTTCTGTAGGTTGGTTATGCACGCATCGCGGGACCGTGCTGTGTTCGATGGAGTTCCACTGAGCAATAAATAGGGATCAACAGGACAGACGTGGTGGTTACATAGATAGAGCAGCTGGCAAAGTGGCCGGCTTCATACAACCATCACAGCCAGAGTACAACTGTAGTACGAGTCATAACAAATCAAGTGAACTCAGGCGGTTATCCTGCTCACGTACTGTAAGCTGTGACTGTCGGCATTCTGGAAACAACTAACTACTGTATACGGAGTACTGTAATTATACCTCAATTACCGTCCAGATGCCCCCGACTTACAGTAATTGTCGTGGATAAATACTGGAAATGAATTAGGTACCTACCCAAGGTAGGCGACGGTTTCATGCCCACCATCGCTAGTCCCTTACCTAGGTACTGTAGTCAGACTGTACGGAGTACGGGGTACAGTACTTGTACCTACCTACCTACCTACCTAGTACTGTATATCACGACTCCTACGGGATGCCCTGGAGTGCTCTCGTAATTAGTACAGTCCCACGAGTCCCTCCGACAAGACACTTCCACTTCCACTTTCACTTTCACTGATACAGTATTCGACGTCTGAGTCTTTGCCTTTTGCCCTCGTTAAGAGTAGCCTAGCATGTATATGTATATGTAGCTTGGCTGGTCCTTGCCGCCTGCCTTGTGGTATCTTGATGATTGATGGCTCAGTACCCAAGGTAATTGGAGATGGGGGCGTCGTATTGGGTACAGTACTCACACAGTACTTCAGGATATCGCCACCGACGAGCTTCAAGAAGGGGGAACGGTGGACTCTAAACAGTAAGTACTTTGGACTGGAACATCAAACATGGGACGTGAAACGTGGAACATGGGACGTCCATGACAAGGCGGCACTCGAACTCATTACATAGCACTGTGGAAAATGACGCGTATCATTGTATCTCGTTCTCGTTCTCGTTCTCGTTTCTCGGTTTGGCCAGTTGTTCTATGGACCGTCCACAGCAGTACCCGGTACGAGGTAACCCATACTTCTTTCTACCTTTCTGGCCGCCACTCAATACGGCGGAGAATAACATTTGTGTCTGACGCATTGGCACACCCGGTCGCTCGCTACCTAGATACTTTTCTCGACCCCTTCGCCCAACCTACAGTACCACACCTCCACACGTGTACTCGTGAATCACCTGAAGGCGTTCGTTCACGGCGTCGCTCGACACATCCCGACCAACCTCTTGACTCCGACCATCCAGTTCCCGCACTCTTCAACCTTGTTGGTATGCACGTCCATCTGGATCTCGGCCGCGCGCGGGAAATCCCGCCGTTCAAGAGCCTGGCTCAATTCCACCAGCTGAGCGACGGTGTCTGGCTTCAACAGGTCCTCGTTGTTGAGGTGGTCAAAGAGGATGTCAAGACGCTTTTTGGTGTCGACTACTTGGGGCTTGAAGCTGGTCGGCGCACGCGCTTCTACGCGGGACATTTCTGACGATAGAATCGTGTAGATGGGTTGCGCGGCGGACGGGATATGTGTCCGGTCACCTTTGGCTATAAGACGCGTTAGAAGCTGATAAAACTAGGCAGGTGGCGATGACTCCAGCAAGGGCTTTGTGTCATGTGGCATTCATCACTTACGATATTTCCGTGCTGGTGGAGCAGTAGCAGCCTTGTTTGATCCTGCAGTGTCAGGTCGCGAAGGAGGTGCTTGTTGACCGGACCCTGCAGGAGGCGGACCGGAGATAAACTGCTGTTGTGGCGTGGGCAACGGTGGCGCTGTAGCCGACTGTGGTGTGTTTTGTGTGGGCTGTGGTGGGCCGTAGCTCGTGGATCGAGTCGACGGGGCTTGTTGAGTTGGCGCATACGGGTTTGTGGGTGGCCCACTTGCGTGGAAAGATGAGCCTTGGGGAGGTGGGGCGATGGAGGGACGACCAGTAGGTGCAGAGGCAGGTTGACTTCCTGGCGCAGGTGCATACCGGTTGGGCGCTGTAGGAGGTTGCGAGGGCGGTGCGGTAAACGGAGAGGGACCACGTGGAATCGGTGGAGATACCATGTTGTGTCCAACAGGTGGAGATGTCACATTCGGAGGCGCATAGGCGTTGCCGGCTGACGAGGAGGGTCGTTCGATTGATGGCTGACCACCCGCCAGAGGCGACATCACTCTGGGAGGCGGCGCCATGCCTTTAGGAGGTGGAGGCACTGGTGATGCTCTCGATCTTGCCCCTATGGGAGGACCGGTCGGTGGAGGAGAGGCCATCGGAGCTGGTGATGGAGCGAAAGGATTATGAACAGGCTGCGGAGGGACGCTGGGAGTGCCTCGTCTTGAAGTAGGGGGCTTTACGAAGCCTTCCGGAATATCATTCCAGCTAGTCATGTTCTTGTCTTGAGAAGGAGGAGGAATGGCCGGAGATGCCGTGAACCTCGGAGGCGGCGGAATGGGGTTCGCTTGTGGAATGCCGTAGGGCGCTGAAGGCGGCGGGCCTGGAGTCATCCTCATCTGCTGCGGGGGCTGATATCCCGGAGGTTGATATCCAGCGGTGGGTGGAGCATATGGATTGGCTGGTGTATTACTGGCTGCTGGTGGTGCGTAGGGGTTGCTTGACTGTACTGGAGTGGCATTATAAGGTGTAGGCACCTGAGGAGCTGAGTGAGCAAATGCGGTCGTGGGAGGCTGAAACTGTGACATGGCCGGTAGAGGCTTGTTCCTCGTGGCTGTGGCAGTGGACTGCGCAGCGACAGCTGGAGCGGCTATTTTCTTTCTTGATTGCTGGATGCGACTTCTGGCAACGTCGGCTCCGGGATAGCTCGTGGGTAGCAGATCAAGGTATCTCTGGGCTACATCAAGCTGACCAGACCCAGCCACAATATCGGCATATTCCAGGTACTTGCTGTAAAGAGCCTCTAGCTTCCACTCTCCAGTCTTGGACAGTTCGTCATCCTTGAAGTTGACCACTCGTCTAAAGATTGTGACCTTTTCGATGAAGTCTTGGAGACCGCGAGCGTGCAGTGAAAATGCCGAGGATGCATCTGCTTCGGAAGCACCGGTCTCTTCATGTTCCCTGAGCTCTTCAATCCAGATCGTGACCACTTTCTCCAGCTTGGAACCAGCCAAGAAGCAGAACGAGGCGTCTTTTCGAGTAACCGAACCAAGGTCATCGGCTTGTTCCTCGATCCTGTCTCCAAGCGCCTCACAAAGGTCCGGAAACTCTTGTTCGTCGGCGAATGTGCACAGCGTAGCCATGACTTCCTTCCAGTTGGCGAGGTCAGCATTGTGGACCGTATCCCAGAGGTTCTTGCCAACGACTGAAGCAAGCAGACGCAGATAGCTGGATCCGCCGGACTGCTTGGCGAGGTATGCCTCCTGCGCTTTCTTGATGCAGCCTTCACCGCCGCAGATGGCAATCATGAAGGCATCCGACATCCTGTTCTCGGCCAAACATACGTCCAAAGCCTTCTCGAAGTGTCCCAAAATCAAGGCTCTTGTAATCTTGCGGTCTGCTGGTGATTCCGACCCAGTATAGATCTGGAAAGGATTGTTCGTGCGAGTACCCTTAGTAGCCGCCAATTCTGCGAGGAAGTCTCCGTCGGCCGAGCTGGCAAAGATGGACTGGAATCGTTTGTGTGATTTGGAGGCACCGTTCACCGAGGGCTTTTGCTCATCGTGTTCTAACTCCTGCTGCTCGCTACCATTGGCGGCGTCTTCAGGACTGTCATCGAACCCTAGATATTTGACTAACTCTGCTCTTGGATTTTCTGATACCAGTGTCTTGATGACGTTCCAGTCGGCCTGTTCATCCTCTGTCTTTGCGGCCGCAATTCTTTGTTCAGTCAAACTGGTGAGGTCTCCTGACTGGATGGCTTTCTCGAACGTCTCAGTGGCGCTGCCAACCTCGGAATCGACCTCGAACCTGCTGATGCTGATCTTCGATGCTCGCGACTTTCCAGGATCGGCCTGTCTAACACTGATGATCCTCCCACCGAAGCCAAAAGATGCGGAGACGGGTCGCTCAAACCATTTCGGCGCCCTGGGAAGAGAGAATGATGACGACTGTGGCTGGGTTTGAGCCTTGGAAAAGAAGTCCTCTTCGTTAGCAGCCTGGCTTTCGTCGGTCTGTGTGCTACTCGGGTTGGTGTTCTGCAGCGTCTGGATTTGCAGCTTGCCATCGAAGGAGGCTGTTGCGAACAGGTTCGGGTTGTGAGGGTTCCACCTCGTTTGAAACGTCCAGTTGGTGACGACAGGGTAGTCACCATAGGCTTGTCCGGTCTGAGGATTCCAGAGTATCGTCCTGTTATCCTTTCCACACGATAGCAGAAGTTCGTTGTCCTGCGGACACCAAGAGACCGAAAGCACGCCCGAGTCGTGCCCGCGCAACACCTTTTCCGGGGCATTCGAGTTTCTAAGGTCCCAGACCAGAATGACAGGATCTTGTTCTAGCGGAACCGCTGTGATCAGGCGGGTAGGTTTATCAGGGTCCCAGGCAATAGCACTGGCCGGTTTCCGTTGGAAGTTGTTGAGCGTCAGGCTCTCTTTTCTGGTCTTCATGTCCCATACTGTCACAAACCCACCGCTGCTCCCTGTAACCAATATGTTCGAGACTCTCTTGTTCCAATCGAGACAATCGATGTCGTCTGCTCGGGCTGCGGTACTTCCGAGTCGTATGGGTGCGTCAACATGGTTCAAGTCTGAGATGAACAGTTCTCCCTTGGCACCACCAGTAGCGAGAAAGTTTGGGATTTTCGGGTTGAACTGTAGAGCCTTGATGGCGCCGCTGTGCACCTTGTTATTGAAGATCGGGGCCTCCGCTGGCTCGGATATTGCCTTGTCTGCATCCCAGAGGCCCAAGGAGCCATTGTCGAATGCACCTGCGATTATGCCTCTCTTGCGACCATCCTGTCCTGCAGTCCAGGCAAGGTCGTGAAAGCCTGATTCCGTAGGCAGCGAAACTGCCGGGGCCAACTCATGGCCTTGTTCCGGTTTGTCTAGGGCGAGATCCCACAGCTCAAGGCAGGTCTCATTGCTGAAGTCGACGTCCACAGCACCTGATTTGGTGCCCGTTGCGATCCAGGAGGACGTCGCATCCGGTGACCATGCAAACGTCGCTGTGCGCGGTATTTCTCGCAGGCGCACCATGACCACGGCGTGTCGTGCTCGGCAGCGAGGTCAATTGAATGTCTCGTTTCTACCTTCGAGACACCAGACGTAGGACGCTCCCAGGGCGTTGTGGGGGCTGATTCTGGACGGCCAGCAGGACGGAAAAAGGGGGAAACACAGGTTAAAGGAAGGACTGAGAAGTCATGCGAGCGCAGACAAGACAGGAAATGCTCCGGGCAGTTGAATGGCGACAGCTGTTCTCACCATGAATTATTTCGCACTTCTGGATCTGGACACTGTTGAAGTTGGCAGGCCCGCAGCCAGCCTGTCATCCCTGGCCGTCCTCACTCCGCACTTTCAGCCCGCCCTGAGCCTGATCGAAAAGGCCCTTGCCACGTGATATTGAAGTCTCTGTGCCAGAGAGAACTTGCTTTCTCGTTCAGGGCGCTGATCCAGTGCGAAATACTGATACGTCAATCATGGCCGAGGCGTCAACTCGTCCAAACAGTACCATCTACGTTGGCGGGCTCGACACCACTCTTGTCACCGCCGCAACCCTATCCGAAGCATTTATTCCTTTCGGCGACATCACAGACATTACGCTACCCAAGCCCGAAGCACCGTCCTCAACGGAACTGCACCGTGGCTTCGGATACGTTGAGTTTGAGGATGCCGCCGATGCGGCAGAAGCGATCAATAACATGGACCAAAGTGAACTCTATGGACGGGTGATCAAGGTTGCCATGGCAAAGCCTGATCGCAAGGAGACGGGCCAGCCTGGCTTGGGAAGTACGACTGCTATCTGGGAACAGGCGAGTGGCTCCTTTTCTGGCACTGGTGAGGCTGCACTAACCGCGTCGTTCAGGAAGGTTATCTGGCGAAGTATGGTGCTGCAAGCGAGGACAAAGCTGCTGTCGAACAATTGAAGAATGAGCGGCCTGCAGATCCTATGGATGGCTTAGAGGGTCTTGATGTCGCAGGGCCAAAGCCAGAGTGAGCCAGGTCCGTGGATTCACACCAAAGCCACAACAACCTTTGTGCGTGGTCAACAGCTACAACACACAGTAACCCAACTACAAGTCCACCCGCCGGAAGCGGCTGAGTCCCATGTTGAACGGTGATAGTACACGTTTCAGCAGCGACCTCGGAGGGGAACTTAGACGGTCAAAGTGTCTAGGAACGTCAACCGAAGGGAAGACAGCACTGGTGGGCCGACTGAGCAAGCTCTCCGTGGACACGGAAGGGTTTCCACGGATTTGTGGATGGGAAAGCGACAACGCTGGCTTCGGCGAGGATGGAGCTGAATGGGAAGTGGCCGAAGAATACGGATGCTGTTGCGGCAGACAAGACGATAACTCCAGTCCGACTTGATTGCCTGGTTATATACACGTCCTCGCATTGCGTTGATGTAACTTCATGCTCGGCAATTTGCATGTTCAAGACCCGCCTTGATCCTGAGTTCCCCCGCAGGCTCGATAGACCATAGCTCGCGCTGAACCGATGGCGGCTTAATCATGTTTCTGAGAGGATCTCTGCAAACGAAGAGTCTTGTCGGTCCACAGCTTCCTACCCATGGCGAAGAAGGCAGCGAACAGGGCAAATCTAGCAGGTCAAGTATATGAGCGTGTGCTTCTTCCATAGTTGTGCACAAGGTTTACATACGCAATGACCACGCCGAGAGGGAGCAGTTCTGGGGGGACTTTCTTGAGCTGCCGGATTCTCTGGGTGATGGTGTGGGCTGTACTCAGGGACCTTGGTCAACTGCGAGCTCGAAGGAACGAATCCGGGCGACAGTTCTTACCACTCTGGTCATCTTCCTATAGCGACTGTTAGCTTCTCACACAGCAGCTTTGGAACCGTTTGTGCTCGCCTTTGATCGGAACAGTGTCCGGCTGTTGTGGAATGGTCTGGCATTTTGTTTCTGGGCGGATTGGCGGAAGGCGGCTTGCCTGAAAGCAGCCGACCGAAGAGGCTGGAGCCTCAAAAGCCTTGCTGTGTTCATCGTGCTCGTCGCGCAGTGGACGGAGTGGAGAGACAGGGAGGAATCAGATATAACTGCAACGGATGATGTGACATGAAGCTAGAGTTCCGCAGTTGCTTTGGTGCCAGTGGGTTGCGAGCTCTCCCTCTCCGTGGCACACCGGCCAATCAGAGTGCTGCTAACTGCTTCGCGGCTTAGCCTGCAACCTCCGACTTTCAACCTCACGGCAGGAATCCTCAGGTGACAACGTTGACTTGTGCAGCTTGAGCTCTGTTTCCAAACCCACCTCCCTCTATATCCGCCACTCCCACCGCCGTCGCGAGTAGTGTCAAAGCACCTTCACCATGCCTGAAATCGAGGTTCCTGACGCCGATGAGCTCGGCGGAAACGTCACCAAGCCCTTCAAGTTCGTTACGGGTACGAGAGAAATCTAGGCTGAGATATGGGTAAAGAGTGTGTTCTGATGTTGCTGCAGCTGGATACGATGCTCGCTTTCCCAACATGAACCAGTACGTGCCCTTCCAGAGACGCCGAAGCCTGTTTGAGTCTAACAAGGTGGCTGCAGAACAAAGCATTGCTGGCAAAACTACGTCGACTACCACAAATGCATCCTGGCAAAGGGAGAGGACTTCAAGCCTTGCAGACAGGTACAGGATATTTCTCAGGGAAGTTGGAGGAGACTACAAGCGGTGCTAACATGGCTCAGTTTTACCTGGCATACCGATCACTGTGCCCTAGTTCCTGGGTGGCCCGATGGGATGATCAACGTGACGCGGGAAATTTCCCAGTCGATCTGGAACACTAGACGAATACAAGAGACACATGCCGTCAGATAGGACCAAAGGAGACAGGGCGTAGTGAGGTGGAAGCAAACGGAATGTCACAAGAAGGCGGAGCATTGTACATAGATCCGGAAGACTCCATGCAGCTACCTCACAACTCCATCACGACCAGCAGTGCTAATGCTATCGGTTCTCCTGATTTCATGGTATCCCTTGGTTTCTGCTGCTTGTTTGGCCATTCACAAGAGCAGCCACTGAGACAGAGATTGGTTACTCGCGAATAACCAGACAATTAGTATCGTGCTCCTGGCTGAAATTGCAATTGGCTCACGGTCTCGGATGGCCCGCTATCGTAGTTGACAATGGGAGTGGGCTCAGGAGGGCAAAATCTGATATTCTCTATTCAACTAGACAGCGCATCAGGGTGGGCATCGCTCCGGCGACACTTGCCTCACAGCATGCATGCAGATGGTCATGCGAGCGTTGATTTGTTCTATTGATGCTTGAACCATGGCTCCCAGGCTAGTCTTTACGCTCTGACGTTAGGCAGCACGTCCCGTCTTCCTAAGAGTATCAGCCTTTGAGGAAACGCAGGTGGCCGCCAGCACACGGCGTCCGGATCGACGCAGTTGGGTCCAGATGCGTCAAGACTCAGATGATCTCACAGCAGGTGTCGTCTAAGAGTCAGAAGTCGCCTATGATTCTTGGGCGTCGCGGCGGCGATGACATGCTTTAGCTCCTCATTGTCCACATGTCTCATTTCTTGAGGGAGCTTCTCTTCAATGCCTCCAGCAGCTCGGGTCGTCCGTTCAAAAGCTGAATCGCTTGTGCATGGCTGTACCACTGCCGGGATCTCTTGCTTTTCTCTGGCCAATTGTCCTTCTCCTCGGTCACTGTCGCCTCGAAGAAATGGTAGCTGGCTTTAGGGGCATTCTTGGTGACGGCACTAGTAGGCCGTGTGTCGGCGATGTGGCCGAGGTCCTTGTCGACCTTGCAGATGATTCCAGCTTCTTCCCAGGCTTCTCGAACAGCGGCCACTGCTGCGGATGCCTCGTCTAGTTCCCAGCCGCCTTTCGGGAGAACCCAGCCGTTGCGGCGGGAGGACTGGATCAGAAGAACTCGAGTTTTGTCGCTCGACAAGGGCACCATGCCGGCGACCAGGCGCTCGCCTTTTGACCCATAGCCTGCACCACCGTTAGCTTCAGTCAGACGTTGTAGGCAATAGAAGTTGTCTTACGCTGATTGCCGTTGCCTGTGCGAGAAGTCATCGACATCTCTTGTTTGGCCATTGAGGCAGGCTACGCCCAGTGAACACACAGGATTGGGAAGCAAGGGCGGACTGTTGCAACTGCTCGGAGATTCCGGCTAGGGAGAAGACAGAGAGCGAACGACGAAAGAGACGGTGAAGAGCACGTGGAAGCACTGTCGAGCTGCTCCGGTGCGAGCAGACGAGGTCCGGCGGTCTCAGGACAGAGAAGACGGGGGATCAAAGCTGGCCCATGGTGACGAGTGGAATGGTTTTGCGAAAGAGCGCAAATGAAAGTATGCCTTCAGTCCCGTGTGGCACGGGGCTGAGGGAAGGGAGTTGACGTGCAGAGCAGTGTGAGGTCGGGAACAGCCATGGTTATGTAGCGGGATTAGTTTTTTTGGCAGTCCCTCGTTCGGAAGTGCATATGGAAAGTGGACACGATGGGGGAGTACGAGCGGCGAAGCGAAATGCACGGCGTTTCCACCATTCAGTAAACGGCCGCCCGATAAGTTACATGGCGTGCGAAGGGACGAGGGATGTTCATGCTCAAATCAAACCCCATACAGCCATGAGACGACGGGTTTTCTGCTTTGGGAGTGGGATGTTTTGGCTGACTTTGCTGTTATTTGAGCATCACCGCTGCTCGTCCGTGACCGACGCCATTGACAGGCTCCAGCACATGTGGTTCGCTGCGGGCTCCTGCAGTGGTGCCTCGACTTGTTCCTATCGTCTGCGGTCCCTTCTGCCCGCCAGAGCACACGAACAAGGCGCACGTGCCCATCTTCACGTTTATACTGGTCTAAACTTTCCTCCAGGACCCCAGTCTCCTGCTCCTCGAACCACACTTTTTGCTTGCCTTCACCTCCAGATACGCTTCCTCGGGCCTGCTCACCCTTAACCACCGCTCGTACCGGGCACGTCGAGTCGCTTCGAGCTAAGAGCGCCCCTCCCTCAGACTGCTCACGCGAGCGCCCGAGAACAAGCTGTAAGTGGGGGTTTTCCTGGAACAACCTTGAGACTCTACCAAGATCGATGTTCTTGACGTTTGAAACCACCATAGCTGCCGCATATTGGCTGCCTTGAAGCCGTCGATCTGCATATCCCGCGGGCGAGCCCGCTGACACTGTGGCCTCGAACCTCACCGCGAATTCACCGACTGCGCTCGCGGTCAAAACTGGTTGTATCTCTGTGGCATACGGTCAAGCAGAGCTTCCTGTTGTTTGCCTGAGGTACCTGCGGTCGAGATTGGGTGACATCACCTCTCGCACGCAGTGTCACCATTTTCATACCTCCGAAGGTCCGAGTATCCAGGACGATGCTCGTATGACACGGCCTTGAGGTACTTCCTTCTCTGATCCGGCAGGGAACTAGCCTCGTTTCTGAAGGCTCCCCACGGGTTAATCATGACAAACGAAATCTCACTTCTGAAGCCTCTCGGTAGGTTGCATCTGACGTACCCTAGTGTGCCTATCGACCATCAAGGCATGGCCTGGCCCGGCCCGCTCGATGTTCACCGTGTGGCCCATATCCAACTAGCAGCGAGGCTGGCATCATACCGCGGCGCAGTCATTGACTTTGCGTTGCAACAGGCTACCAGAGGAAGAACTCATGCGGATACTGCAAGAATGAGACGGGCAGTAAGTTGTTCTGGTTATCCCGAAGCTCTCCTCGTCTTCGCCACAGCATCCCTGTGTGTTTTCTTCTGCGGGAGACTTATCCTCATTTCAGGCTCGTCGTATTACATGTCGTGTGACAACATGCGGGTCGACCACTACCAATATCTAGTGGACAGGGGGTGGAGACGATCAGGCTCACTGTATTATAAACCTGATCTACTGCGTTCATGTTGTCCCCACTACACAATCCGGTATGGTAATTCCATCAGAAACAATATAGTGGATCTAGGCTGACGATGGCAGGCTCAAGGCATCGGAGTTCAAGCCCAAAAAAGACCAACGACAGGCGATCAACCGATGGAATGACTTTGTGCTCGGGCCAGAGTACAAGCGAAAAGCTGCTACCCTATGTCCGCAGACTCGAGAGCAAGTTGAGACTGCTTTCCACCTTTTGGCTTTTGCTAAATTCTGCAGAGAAAAGCGCCGTCTGCGCGGTCGCTTTGATCTTTCCCTCGCCGTCCACAAATCAGAGTACGATAAGATCAGTCGTCCCAAGGACGAGAGGACAGACAAACCAGTCGAACCTGCTCATAAATTCGAGGTCAACCTCGAAGGCGACAGTTTCACCAAGGAAAAGTGAGCTGCAGCGTTTGGATGCTTTGCCATTACTTACGCATATTAGATACGAGGTGTTCCTCAAATACCAGTTGGAAGTACACAAGGATCCCGCCTCACGCTGGAAGGAAGCTGCCTTCAAGCGATTTCTCTGCACCGGCATTGACCGAAAGATACTCAAGATAGGTGGCAAAACCCTCAAGCTGGGGTCTTATCACCAATGCTACCGCGTCGATGGCAAGCTCGTAGCAGTCGCAGTCCTGGATCTTCTACCCCACGCTGTCAGTTCAGTCTACCTATTGTAAGTTATTGCAACATCTACGCAGCAGCGTCTGTTGATATTCTCTAGCTACGATCCCGAGTATCAGCACTGGGACCTTGGCAAGGTGAGTGTGCTTCGTGAGACAGCACTAGCTTTGGAGGCTGGCTATGAGTATTACTACATGGGTACGTGGTTGAGATCCACGCTGACAAGGCTCTGCTTACTGTGGGAAGGGTTCTACATCCACTCATGCATCAAAATGAGATACAAGGCCAGATTTACTCCGACGTACATGCTAGGTATGTTTTCTCAAGCCGGCGCAGGCAGATACTCACAGATTCCAGACCCGGAGAGCTATGAATGGAATCTTTTCGACGACGACTACCGCCAAAAGCTCGACAAGCGAAAGTATGTCTCCCCTGCTCACGATTCAAAGGATGGATCGGAAGTGGCGCCGAGTCAGGAGCATAGCGAATCCGACAAAGCTAAAAGCAGTGCTGGCGATGCTCGCAACACCACAAAAGAGATAGGACAAAAGTTCGACGACGAACAAGATCTGGAATTTGATGAAGCAGCCAGCGACGAGGAAGATGCGGAAATACCCGAGGGATCCTTGTTTGATTACGCCATACCTGGCGTGTTGACCAAGAATGAGGTTGAGCGTCTCGATCTGAACCATTGGCGTCTGGTCGTAAGGAATGCTTTGATAGAGCTAGAGGTACAAAACCCACTCGCCGCATGCGTTTGTACGCTACGCAAGTTGCTGACCCCTTTGCAGGACCTCCGAGGCTGGGAGGAGTGGAAAATCGACGACCCAGGCTCAATCAAAGGCATTGCTGCAGAGCTTATCGCAGCCACGGGGCCAAAGTTGCTCCAAAACAGTGCTTTGGTACTTTTCTGACTCAATCGCAATGTGGCACCGGTGACATAACTGGACAAATCGTGGCGCCGAGACGCTCGAGGAACCAGGGCGCGATACAAGACGACAGAACTCTATCCAGAGAGGGCACATCTTTACCCATGCTGGTCCACGCTCCTTCAGCTCTAGCGACAGAACAGAACTATCCATCCTTAGTGCGCGTCATGTTCGCTGTCAATAATACATGGGTACCTGGGATAGTGTAGGTTCAGCTCTACCCTGACATGATGAGATGCATATGCTTCTGCCAGGTGATATCAAATCACTAGCTCGCCGTGTATCACAACCTGCTCACCTTTGCTGACTGCGCTACAGACTGATGCCCGTTTTCACTTGCTCATGGTTGCCTCCCAAACAACCATGGTGGACGACAAACACCGACAACACCACCTGACGAAGGGCCGCCTCCTTCCCAGTGAAGCAAACGAGAGTGGACGGTTGTGGCGTACTCTCCCCAGATACAAATTGCTTTTCCTCGCCGGTCTCTTTGGTTTCTCTCGTCATCCTTGTCTTCAAGAGTCAACTTCATACACCCAACTCTTACCACGATCAGACGTTCACGATGAAATCTGTTTATCCTCTCGTCGCTTGGGGGATTTCAGCCTGTAGTTGCGGCGCCGAGCATGCCGACGTCAGTTACACGCCTCCTATTAATCGTATAACGATCACCTCTCCCATGCCGTCGTACGATCCTGCTATGATTCCTTCGAGAAAGCCAGTGCCTCCCCTTCCTGCGAACATGACAGTGACCGCCCTGGAGAGTTTTCAGTCTCCCATACCGACTCTAAACAAGCGAGACGGTCAATGCCAGGGACGCATGACTTTTTGTGACGCACGGTGGAACTGTTGCCCGGGCGCCACTTATTGTACTGTCGACTCACAAGGGGCTGGTGCATGCTGCGCAAACGGAGCAGTCTGTACTGGCTTGTCCACTCCTATCCCAGCACTGGCATGGTCCAATGCCGGCATCGAGCGTACCCCCGGACCGACGCGGATTTTCGGTTTCCTAACCCGGCTGGCGCGGTTCAGCTCCAGGTATACTGCAGACAACAGCACAATGACCAACCTTGCGGCAAGCTATGGGCCCGACACTTTTAAATCGGAGGGCAATAACGAGGGTGGTAGGGGCGGCGAAGGACATGGGGGAGGCCTTGTTCGCGCTGGACGGAACGGCGCGACTGTCTCTCGACCCGTGAAGATCTCTAGCGGTCCCATTGCCGCGGCAAACAAAATCAGAGCAGCCGTGCTACCGCAGAACAATCATGTCGCAGACTCAGCGCCAAAGCTGAATTCTGCTGGTGCAAATGCCAGCCCCAGTGCAAAAACCACCTTGCAGCAGGATGCCGTGAGCTGGGGAGCACCGCTGCCTCAACCTTCGAGACGGTCCAATGTGCTTGAAGCCCCGGTCGCTTTTGCCCGGCAGATCCGGGCCTCAAACAACTCATCCAAGATCTCGACTTCCCGATCCGCTCCCAAACTCAAATTTATAGGAGCAAATCCCGCAACCATCAAATCACAGCAGAACGAAAAGACCAGCGGTGCCGGGATGCCTCGACCTCTTTCAGTCTTTCGATTTCCTGTCAATTTCCGCCAACAACGTCGAAGCGGCCATCCTGCCAAGTTCCGAGGCGGCTGAGACCGGGAAAAAATCTGCCTGCGCTGCCAGTGCTGATGACTCTGCTGGTCCCATACCCATGGGCAATGAGACGCACGGTCATAAGTTCCGCTTTTGGGGAAGCAGCGAGGCGAGCGCCGTACAATCCTCCCGCCTCTTTAGTCTGCTTCGGGTTCTATTCAGATAATGCACGCAAGGACAACAAGGATAACATGGAGAGCTTGGAGAAGTCTTGCGCCTGAAATTAGGAGACTGCTAGGGGCGCTGAAGCACTTATTCGTCAACGATGGGCCGCGGGAAGTACACTGGCGACTGAGATGTTCCCTTGTTGTGCATTTCACCTGCTGGCTGTCTGTCTCTGCACTGTGAGCACTTCATACTGGTTGTTTGAATAGCAATTTTTCAGTGGTGCCGTGGAGTCTCGTTGTCATAGACACGCCATGTCCTGTCGCTGTTCGTTTCACATCTCACATGGCATGGTGTCACAGACAGAGCTGGCGAGACTGTATCGCATAACAATACACCCCTCAGTTCTGAGCTTGTAGCTCAAATTGTGTTTACTGATCAACAGGCCCTGTCCTTTCCCTCGTTCTCAACCGTAAGAAACATTTGCTCAATGTGCGACCGTAGCATACTACGGAAGAGCAGCTGCCCCCCTGGAACATCGCGCGGCGGAAAAATATCATGGGACGGAATTGCATCGGAGCTTCCAGTCGTGTGCTCCAATACATCACCAACGACTTTTCTGTATAAGTTCAAGACCTCGCGATTGCCCCCTTCTGCCCTCCTCGGACTGTGCATTGGTTTCAGACTCAAGTTCACATCTCTCACCCCGCCTCGTGCCATACATACAAAATGTTCCGGAGACAACTTCTGCGCCAATCGCGCTCGCTCTCCAAATCCCTCACTGAGCTGCCACAAGCACATCTGCGGCGGTCGCCATTCTCGTCCGCGACCTTCATTTCTCCTCGAGCCTCCACATACGCATCTACATCACTGCCGTCACGGCTCCAGCAGCGAAGATGGCAGTCCTCCGAATCGGACAAAACGACGGCCTCTTCCGAATCGACGGCCCCGTCAACGGAAGAATCGAAGCCTACAGATCCCAAACCTGAGGACGCATCAAAGGAGGAGCTCGAGAAGACTAAACGAGAAGTAATAGATCTAAAGGTATGCATACTTCTTTTGCCACGTCTCCCCTTTTACCTCATAAACTCTCTCTCGAAACACGCCACTTCGTCATGGCAAACACCGCGATACTCATTACCGTCCAGGACAAATACCTCCGCAGCGTAGCCGACTACCGCAACCTCCAAGACCGGACCCGCCGAGACATGGATGCGGCCCGCCAATTCGCCATCCAGCGCTTCGCGACCGACCTACTCGACTCGATAGATAACCTTGACCGCGCACTATCCTCGGTCCCGCCCACCGCGCTCGGAAAAGGACAATCGGGCACAGACTCAAGCGAGGGTTCAGGCCCGGCAGAACCAAACAAAGATCTCCAGAATCTGTTTGATGGATTGAAAATGACCGAGGAGATCCTCATGAACACGCTCCAAAAACACGGCATCGAGCGCTTCGACCCCATGGAGAACGGCGGGCGGAAATTCGACCCCAACACGGACGAGGCTACTTTCTTCACCAAGGTCGAGGGCAAAGAGGACGGAGATATCTTCTACACCCAGAGTAAAGGGTATAAGCTGAATGGGCGGGTCGTTCGGGCCGCAAAGGTCGGGATCGTGAAGAACTCGTGAGGCTTGTCCCAAAATGTGCGATTCGCGAGCGCAAGCGCAGTCGATCGATCGGTCAGTCGGTCGCTGTGTACTGTACTGTACAAAATGTTGTAATACACCACTACCATCACATCACCATCACATCACCATTACTGGCGAGCAAGTTGGATGGTGTGCATATGGCCCTGTTCAACGAGCACACATGCCATGCCATGGCTGGCTGGCTGGGTGGAGAGATGGTAGAAAGCGTGCCCTTCCGAGGTGTAAATTATCTATGCTCTACTCGAGGGGTAGGCAAGGCGATGCATCGGCATCAGGGGATTTTGAAGATATGACGGCTAACATGTCCCGTCTACGGTTGGGGACTCACAAGCTGAGATACTGTAAGAGCATCTCAGGGACAAAATCCAAAATCAGTTTTTTACCGTCGTTGTAGTGGATAGGAGACGAGATGTCCACTGCCTATAATGCACCCTCCATGTCCATATCCTTTGTCCATCGTACAAGAACTGACTCTGACTCTGACTCTTCCTTGCCGTCCGATCTGGCGCCTATACTTTTTTTGTATACAGTACACAGTATACAGTCAAATCCTCTTCTCTGAAGCTGAAACTGAATTAATACAACACGAGTAATACGAGGTGATGTACAAGCATGTCTCGCAGTCGGAAAGAAGTTCTCGGAAAGTTGGGCGGTTGTCGCTGCTCCTACGCGCAGCGACCCAAATTGCGTGCAGTGAGTGGTATCTGTTCTGAAGTATCGAGTCAGCGGCCGGTCGCCTTTCTGGAGCCCAAGAGCAGGTGCACTTGTGTGTAAGGAATCTGGATGATGACGTTCGGGGAATGCAAACACATAGCGAGGGCAAGTTTGTAGGCAACTCCCCAGTCTGATTCCCTGGCATACCTTGCTTGTACAATGTATCATCGCAACTCCACCCCGAACAAGCCCTCCATCCGTTTGCCGACTTCGTCGTGCAAGCCGTTGACCTCGTCGTTCGTCAAGGTCCTCTCCAGACTGCGGTAGTTGATTCGATAGCAGAGACTTTTCCTACCACTCGTGGGGTGCACGAATTCATCAACGAGTTTGACATCCTCGACCAGACTGCCCGCCACGTCGCGCACGACTTCCATGATGTCGTTTTCGTGGAACGCTGCAGGTTGGGTCTCGGTAGGGGAGGCCTTGGTGGCGTCGCCGCCAGCAGCGGCCGCCACGCCAGAGGTAGATGAGGCACCGACCAGCGACGACCCGGACGGTGTGGCGTTGATCCAGAACGCGATGTCCTTGTAGCAGGCGGGATACTTGCTGAAGGGTTCAAACTTGGTAATCTTGCCTCGGGTAAACTGTTTCAGGAACCGCGGGTCGGTCGACCAGAAAAGACGGATATCCGGGATCCCAAACAACAGCATGGCGAATCGTTCAATGCCCACGCCCCAGGCCCAGCCGATGTGGTTTGTCAGGCCTGCCTTCTCGAGAATGGACTGTTTGGTCACGCCACAGCCGAGGAGTTCGAGCCACTCGCCGTTCCAGTCGACCTCGAGTTCGAAGGATGGGGAGGTGAAGGGGAAGTAGGCTTCAATCCAGCGGGCTTGCATCGGGGCGTCCGAACGGGCGGTGGAGGGTAAGGAAGCTTGTGAGGCTTGGAAAATGCGCTGGATGACTTGTTCGAGGCTGAGTTTGAGGTGGCGGGCGACGAGGTGGACTTCTTCGGGATTATGTTCAGGTTGGAGGGGGTTCGCGTCGGTGGAGAAATCGGTGGCTTGGTCCTCGACAAGAAGGTTCGTTTGGGGCATGTCGTTGCAGTCGCGTTGGATGACGGCGGCGCGATTCTCCTGTGGTGGCCAGACTCGCGCACCCTCCATCTGGTGGAAGACAGGGAAGTGGCTTCGGTCAATGCTGTCCCGGCGGTAGACGTCGGCGCAGATAGTGTAGCCTTTGCTCGAGGTGTTTTGTGCCAGCCATGAAAACGCGTTGTGTTCGTGGGCGGAGGTATGTGTACGCAAGAGGTGCGTTGAGTTAACGTAGTATGTATCGGTTCTCGAACGGCCGGGATGGTCCTTGGGAAACCCCAGAGTATCGAAGTTGTCCGTGACGGTGACCACGGGGTTGTTCATGGCGAAGTGCTTGAAGGTGGGTTCTTCGAAGCATGATTCGATCAGTTTTCGCGTGATGGAGATGGGATGGTCAGGTTGCTCGTAGAGGTTGCGGCCGACGAGGCCCAGGATGGAGCTGGAGAGGTTGGACGTTTCGTCGAAGATGAACGGAGCACCCAGGATCTTCGCTCCAGACCGACCACTGTCATGAATGATTGTGTTTTCCTGGCTCGACTCCTTCAGCCGCCGCTCAAACTCGGAATTTCTTGCATGGCTGCTGGACTCCGCAGCCGTCTTCGCTGGATCGACCTCCTTGGAGACCGCAACGGACTGTTCAGGAAACGGCTGTTCGTCGGCCGCAGATCGGGCATGGGCTTGTGCCTGGGACGATTTCCATCTCGAAGCTGTAGCGCGGCCGGCAACAGCGACCTTTGCAGCTCTCGCAGCTCGCACGAAGGCGCCCGTGGTGACAAGCTGCATCAGAGCGTCAACAAGAGCCCTCAGTGGTGCAACGCGAAGGACTGCGACGACACTCAAGCTTCACTCAGGTACCTGTGAGGATAAAGCTTGAAGGATCTAGCTGCGCGTCGGTGCCGATGTCGCACGTGGACTGCGTCTCGGAAACGAACTACTGTGGTGGACGAAATCTCGGAGTCTGGCGTCTGCCGTCATCGCAAGCCACAGCTCGTCAATTCCATGCAGTCTCTGTCATACGTCGAGTCCTTCCCGCATCATAGCTGCCGCTGCCGTTGTCGCTCTTTGGGTTCTTCGGTCGTTCTTTGGCACTGTTATAGTCTCCGCTTTCCCACCCTTTCTCTTGGATATACAACCTCTGGCCTTGGGAATGGAGCGATGGGCGAACCTGCCTCTACCGTCGCGAGTCCACAGCGCAATGTCGGCCCTGCGAGTACTATCAAGGAGCAGAAGTCTCCAGCTTCAATACGCTACCCCTTCTGGTTTGGAGGCAGTGCAGCCTCCATGGCAGCGGTAGTAACTCATCCTCTGGACTTGGGTATACCACCCTCAAGATCTTGTCTCCCACTTCTAACAGCCCTGTTCAGTCAAAGTCCGGCTCCAGACTCGCCCTCCCAATGCTCCAAAGACGACCCTAACCACATTTACATATATCTTCCGCACTCAAGGCATTACCGGCCTGTACGCGGGTCTCTCGGCCGCCCTGCTCCGCCAAATGACCTACTCGACCGTCCGATTCGGCGTCTACGAAGACCTCAAGTCCCGCTTCGCCTTGCAGCCGACACCGTCGAACCCGAAACCCAAGCAATCCATGACCACGTTGATAGCCACATCCTCCTTTGCCGGCCTATTGGGCGGCATCGCCGGGAACCCGGGCGACGTGCTCAACGTGCGCATGCAGTCCGACGCCTCCAAGGCCATTGAACACCAGAAAAACTACAAACACGCACTAGACGGCCTCGTGCGCATGATTCGCGAAGAAGGCGTGTCGAGCCTGTTTCGCGGCGTGGGCGCAAACTCCTCGCGCGCGCTCCTGATGAACGCCTCGCAGCTGGCCTCCTACGATATCTTCAAGTCGTTCTGCCTCTCGTCGCTGCACATGTCCGATACCTTGACCACGCATTTCTGCGCCTCCTTGGCGGCAGGTTTCGTGGCCACCACCATATGCTCCCCAGTCGATGTGGTCAAGTCGAGGATCATGAGCCACGCGGGCAGCAAGCTGTCCATGCTGGGGATCGTGCGGGAGGCGGGCAGGAATGAAGGATGGCTTTGGATGTTCCGCGGCTGGGTCCCTAGTTTCATTCGCCTGGGCCCGCAGACGATCTTCACGATGGTGTTCTTTGAGCAGCACAAGAAGTGGTACCGGCATTTGATGGGGTTGCCGGAGTGAGACGGGTGTCAGGCTCGACTGCTTGTGGCCAACACATCTGAATCTCTGGGGCGGGCATCATCTGCATTGATTCGTCGTCATCGTCTGTACAGCATCGAGCATCAGTCTGGGCGTTGAGAAAAGCGGTATCAGTCATCATTTTCAGTATTAAACTCAAGGCACGTCAAAACCATTCAGTGCCATTCCAATCCGGCATTGGTGGTTCGGTCAGTCAACTTGGAGACGGATCGGCAGAAGACAAAAGAAGACGTGCCGCGTCAGGCGGGGTGGTAGTGTTCTATGCACATTATGATATGGCCATTCGTGAATGCCAATATGTATATATGCCCGTTGGTTTTATCCATACCGACCATCTGGCCCCGAGCCGTCTTGTCTCAAACTGACGACCTTCATCCCAATGCGTGCATGCATAATAATGTAGCCTTTTTGCGCGCTCTGTTCATTCCGCCCGTCATTTCCCAAAGAACGCCGCAGACCCTTGAAAATACGTAGAAATGGTCACCTCAATGCTCCATCAGCTCCACAGGCGGCCGTGCCGTATGCTCATATATCTTCTTGCCGTCCTCCTCCAGCTCCACCTCGGAGTCGTCCTCCGTCTCCAGCATCACTGCCGGCAACGCCGGACTATCCCCATGGGCCACGGGATCATAGATCAGCGTCGAACTCCTACTGCGATGTTTCTTGGGACTCGCGGCCTCGGCAGCGACTGGCGAATTCTCGGCCGACACGCCACTCAACGCCCGCCGATGACTCTGATTCGATTTCAGCTTCTGCGCAAGATCCGAGGCCGTGTACTGCTGCGTCCGGGCCTCATCCTCACTACTGGACTCGTTCTCGCCGGCGCCCGTGTTCGTCGGTGACGCCGTGATCTTGCTGCTCAGCTTGGCGAGCTTGCTGGCCAGATCCTCGGCGTGGACTTCCTTGTTCGGCGGGTCCTCGGTCCGCATCTCCCACCCCACGGGCGGTGACGGGGGCGGGGAGATGAAGAACAGCCGCCCCGCGTCCGGGCGGTCGAGGTATTTCTTCTCCGGGTCGAGCGGCGTGGGCTCGCCGAAGTAGCATTTCGCGACCGCGTCGCCTAGCACGGCCCGGCCGTCGAATTCCTGCCGGACCGCGATGGCGGCGTCGGTGGAGTAAAACGAGCAGATGATCCGGTGCATGGATTTGAGCGGGGAGAAGGAGTTGAGGGCCGCCAGCGAGGCGATGTGTTGGCGGATCGTGGCCAGGCTGGCAGGGTGGAAGATCTTGGGGTCGTCGAGCCGTGTGATGAGGAGGGTGTTGCTGGGGGGTGCCGGTTGGGAGAGTGGCGGTAGGGACGAGAGATCGAGGGAGAGGGGCGAGCGAGACCGTTTGGCCCAGAGGCCGGGGGTCGATCGCGGGGACGAGGTCGTCGACGTGGGAGGCGAGGCGGCAGATAGGTTGTCTGTTTGAATCGGCGAGGGGGTTTGTCGTCGTAGTGTCTCCGCCATGAGATGTGTGTGTGTGTGTGTGTGTGTGTGTGTGTGTATGAGGGTGCAGAGAGTTCAGACCGGGACTCGAGTGTCAGTTCGCCGAGGCTGCGGACGGATGAGGATGGAGTGAGGAAGTGGATGTAGGAACGAGGAGAGGGTTTGCTTTGTAGTTTCCTCGTATCAAGGCGGCCAGCGAGATGCGGAGAGGCCAGGCGAGAGAAATTTGTGGATAGAACGAGGCGCAGTCGGAATGCGTAGCAATGGTTGGCTTTGTCGTCGAGGATTCGAGAACCGGAGCCGGTCGATCTGAGCAGCGGAAGCGGAGAGCGGCGGTACTGCGCGGGTCTTCTACATTGTACTGTGTAAGATCAGTCGCCTTCCCCGGGCCAGCTCCTGCGTATTTGCGAGGTAATCCGTATTGCGCACGCAATGCCACCTGTACTGTATACCCGCTGTCAATTCGCCTTTTATCACTGACACTTCCACTATCGCCGGCGCCGGAGAAAGAATGTTCCGTGGCCGCAGGACGCTTGGCTACGAGCTGAGCCTCTTTACTACTTGCACTTGCCACTTTGGCGTCGGAGCTTCTTCCATTCCAATCTTCGCTACTCCGTACCTTGCTGTGCCATCTTAATCACGTAGTGCTGTCTGGTGTGTCACCTGCGCCTTGGCTTACACGCCCTTTATCGCCTGGGTTTGTTCTCCATGAGACTGTGCCTGTGAATGAGGCTCAGGTCCGACGCAAGTCCATGCGCCAGCTCTGATCTAATCATCTGACTAGCCCCCGGTTGTCAAGCGATGCAGGCAGCGCCGGTTAATGGCTGTGCTCTTAGGAGTCTGTTACAGATGATCAATGATTAGGTCTGATAACGCGGAGATCTAGCGAGGCGCAGAGGCGCTCATATAGATGTTTCCTCGGGGTTGTCTAGCTTTCACGATTTCTAGGGTAAGTTATTAACAGCTCTTAGTAATATGAAGTGACGGGATTAATATCCTTGACCTACCTAGGTAGGTATTTCTAGCATGAGCGTGGCTGGGAAAGACAGAAGCATGGCCTCCAGCGACAAAAACTCTACAACAACCTCCTCGGGAGAAGATTGTATTTTGTAAGAGTTTAATTCATAAACAGCTGCCACTTTCTGACTGGGCTATACCTGGCGTGCCTAAACCAGTACCAGGCTACTCCCAATTCGCAGACATCCTGAGATGGCCGCCGATTTGACTTTTGTTTTGTCAAGTAGGCCAAGGGGGCTTGTGCTTGTCGGAATCAGACTGGTTATCGCATCGGTCGAGATTGTTGGTGGTGGGGATTGAACTCGAATTCGAACTCGAAGTCGGGGTGTTGACGGCAAATTCGTCTCGGACACGCCTTCTCGCCCGGTGCTAGTTTGATCCAAGCCCGAGAGGAATTTGCGGGAGAATCTTGAGACCTATAAAACATGTTGGAATAAGGAAAAAGGAAAGTGAATTGTGACTTGGTAGGAATGGGTCTGGATTGGTCAGTGAAGAGGATTGAGACAAGGCTGCGCGGGTTGCGAGGGATATCAGGGCTGAAAACAAGGCTGAGGTTGGCAATCCTCTCACTGCAGGGTACATCATGACCGCTGGCAATGGTCTTGTCAGGCAATGGAGGCTCACGGCAATAGAGAGGAAGCAGGACGAGCTGGACGTAAGGTAACATTTACCTGCATGCCGACTGCATGAAGATCAGCAGAGATATGAGCACCTACGAGTAGACAATCATCTATTTGCGAGCGCAGTCCAAGCTGCAGTACTAGATGATGTGCTGCTGACTATCGTCCTCGGGTAGAAAACGTCGCATGGTCAAGGGAAGCGCTTTGGAATGCTTTGCATAGGTACGGGTCCGTTGTCACAGAATCCAAGTCTTGTCATCACTTCTCGTTGACCCTTTTATTTGAAGAAAGCCGAGCTAGAGACGCCAGGCTGAATACTCCAGCACGAAGATCGGTACGTCACAGCGAGGAGGCTGCTCCCGCCAAGGACTATTACTTCCATGATCTCTCCCGAACCAAGTCCTAGTGGTGTAATTTATGCGCGTTCGCTTTGCAAGACACCATACTGGCCGGCCTCGCCAGCTTGGCTCTCCTCACCCTTCTGTCTCGACCGGCCACCCTCAGTACCAGCCTGGCCGAGCTCGCCCACCGGATCGTCGTTTCGTCCCTGGAATTCTCTTTCCGCAAGTCTGCCTGGATCGTTCACCGTGCCAATAGCACCGGTGAAGGTTTTTGTCTGTGGTATGCTCTCTGATTGGTCGGCGTCGTCAAGGTTGGCACCCTTTGGCTTGAAGGTGCTGTCGGACATAGCCTGGCCGGTGACATTGCCGACGTAGCCGGGTGCAGCGTCCACCTGAGGACGGACTCCCTGGCCTGCTATCGGACCTGAACTACCTGAACCGCCCTCGGTGCCAGCGCTGGTACCAGTCGCAGAAGAAGCACCTTTGGTCGCTGCGTCGCCAGATCGGATTTGAGACGCATCGGGACCACCGGCAGAAGACGACGTCGTAGATGCGCCGAAATCACTTGATCCTGCCGGTCCACCAGTCGAGCCAGCTCCTGTCTGGTTGAATGCACTTGAACCGCCGCCGGCATACGCACCCTGACCGCTATGGTGGCCGTCGAATTCTGCCTTACCCGCACCTTCTGGATACTTCAGTCCTGTGACACCTTTTACATCCGCTCCTTGGCCTAGAGCGTCTTTCTTTTCACGAACGGAGCCGTCAGTAGCGGGAGGAAGGGCAGTGGCTCCTGAGGTATCGGCATTGTTGAGGGTGGACTGATTGCCCTTCACACCCAGGCTTGCTGCGTTCGTGTTCTCGGAGAATGCACCCTTGTTCTGCAGAGACTCTGCTGCCAGGGAGTCGGCGGCCACTGCACCTGTTGGTTCTTGGGCGATCCCGACGTCTTCAGGCTTTGGTGCTCGAGGATTTGCTGTAAAAGACATGTTGGAGAGGTTCAGATTGCGTTTCTTTGAATGTGACTTGAGACTAGGATTTTAATGTGCAGATTCGTGAAGATGTGAGTTGTTTCCTGGAATAAAGGAAGGAGAAAAAGTGCACGAGACCATGGTGCAACTGTAGAAATACTGTGCAATTGATCACCGCGAAGGCCGTCGATTGATTTCGTATGACATCATTGAGAGGTCCACTGTGAAGTCATGTTGGAATTGCGCTCCCAAAACTTTCATTGGCGGGGTTGAATGGCCATGAAGAGCATGCCCCTCAAATTTTGATTTTGATCAGAGAGCAGTGTCCATCGTTACAAGGTCGTACGCGTACGATCGTAGCCTCGTCTCAAATACCTATCTCCCTGGTATGCGTGTTTACTCTTTGCACGCACTTATGAGTACCTCAACGCCATCCGAAAACGGTGTAGCAAAACGCAAGTTAACCTGGTATCATGGTGGCCTCACCGTCCTGAATACTCGACACATCCCCTCCTAGGTGTTTGTTTCTACTTCAGCATTTTGCGTGCGAAGGTAGGCAGGATGAAGCTCGCTCTGTGGATTTCCTTGTTGTAATACTTGCAATACTTCTCCTCCTCCTCAGTACTCCATGATCGCAGGGGTTCCTTGACATTTCGGTGCGGGTCCTTGCAGCAGACCATGAAACCGATTTGGCCGGAAGGATATGTGGGGATCGTTGTATAGGCGTATTCGACGACCGGGAAGACTTCCTTGCAGTCTTTCTTGAGTTTGGTGATGAGTGGCAGATGAAGCCATTGGTTCTCGGCTACGAAGCACAATGTTAGCAGCGTCATCACGTAATTATCGTAGAACAGAGCCCTGCGAGCCCAAAGAGATGTGTAGGGAGAAGGGTGCGCACAACCTTGGGTAGTTATAACACCACCATCTTTCAAGGCTCCATAGAGGAGTTCAAAGTAGGGTTTCTGGAAAAGCGTTTCTGCAGGCCCTTCGGGATCGCTGCTGTCCGTGATAATGACATCGAACTCGTTCTTGCGATCCGCGAGAAACTTGAAGCCATCCCCGATGAATGTCTCGACCGCAGGATGTTGGTATCCAATGGACATGCCAGGAAGGTACTTCTTGCTGACCCGGATGACAGCCTCGTCGATATCGCACAGGATGGCCTTCTCGACGGTTTCGTGCTTGATGACCTCTCGAAGCACGCCTCCATCCCCGCCGCCAATGACAAGGACTTTCTGCGGCTTTGGATGGGAGTTCATCGCCAGGTGTGTGATCATCTCTTGGTATGAAAATTCGTCCCGCTCAGTGCACTGGATGACGTTGTCGAGGACAAGGACGGTACCGTGGTCACTGCTCTCGAAGACCAGGACGTCTTGGTATTTCGACTTTTCGTGGTGCAGGACTTGATTGACCTTGAGGGTCATGGCCTGGCCCGGCCACATGTCCGAGATCTCCCTGAACCAGCCATCTGAGAGGGTGTGCGTTAGGGATTGTCTTTCACTTATGGTGGCAGAAGATAGTGGATCATACCTTTGATGGTCGGATGGGTGATCTCTGCCATTCTCAAGGGTGAGCTGTTGTGGAAGGTACGAAGAGCGAAACGAGCGATAGGACGCGGGGTACAAATCAATGGCCGCCGAAGAGTTCGAAGGGGAATGAGCGCGAGAATCGTAGCAGTCAATCAAGGAAAAAAGAGGAAAGAGGAGCAATTCGGACTGAGAAAGAATCGGGCAGCAACAACTACCTAGGAATCCGTCCGATAATTGAAGTCTTCCAGTTCGTCTTGTGACTGCTTCGAGTGAACCGCGTTTGTTCTCTTCTTGCACTAAAATTTTTGTTTTCAAAGCGGGGTGCGAGTTTTGCTGTCCTTCATCTATTCGTCACGTACGACTGGTCCCTGGCGGGAAGACCGGGGTCCCGTCAGGAATGCCTTTACCAAATCATCTTCACGGCTAGGCCTTACCAGGTTCTGTCCTCGATGGCCGGTGTTTCCGAGTTCTGCAGCTTCCCGTCCCTAGCATTCGCAGGTGCGCCACATGTAACCCTCAGAAAGGTTCCCAGGACCGTGGAGAGGCGGCTAATTACTACCTAGGTAACTAATCACTTACGGAACACAGTGGGCAGGATCCAGAGTTTCTCGGCGATGGCCCAAGCATTCACACTATCGGCGCCAACAAATTATCGTGGAGCTCAAGATGTCACGCGTCTGAACAATGGTTATTGTCGGCGAATGCTCTTCTGAAAAATACATGGTCCTGGTGTTGCCGCAGCCTTAAAGCCTGTGTACGGTCGACACCAGCAGTACTACTGTTCAACCTCCTTCGTATGCTTTGCCTTCGGCCCGCCGATTTCCTTCTCGAGATGAATCTCAACATGGTTAGTGAAGTATTTCGAAGGATCTCGGACTGCCACAGCACAAGCCATAGCAATGACACCGAAGGGAATCGAAGCCAACCATGTAATGCGGAAACCATAGGCATAACCAAGACGAGCTGCCTCGACGGCATTGGCAAACACTGATGCTGAGACGCTGGGCACTGTGGCAGCCTGGCCTGGCACGCCGACAAGAGTCAACGATACCGCCTCGATCAGGTCCGGAATAGTGTCACCAGAGACACCTCCTGCCACAGCTGTGTTGGCTATGCGTTTAGCGACCTGTTTCGCTGCGATTTGGTTGAAAATGGAGGAGAAGACGACCGAACCGACAGCTCCTCCCAGAGAGCGGAATGTGCCGATCAATCCGATTGCCACACCCAGATCGCGCTGGGGCACATGCAGCGAAGCCGTCGTGTAACAGTTGAGCGTGATCCAGCCGAACGGAAGCATGGCCAGGAACTGCACTGCCATGAGCCAATTGATGTTATGAGGCGTGATGAGCGCGGCAAGGCCGAAAAAGAGTGTTTGCATGAAGACCGAGAAGGTGAGTTGGATATGGACATGCTTGATGTAATGTACCAGTCCGGGGATGATGACGCCGCCGACGAGCTGACCAGCACTATTGTTGTTGTTAGCCAGAACTCTCATCATCTACCAGTCAGGGGAACCTTACCCAGATGGAATTGAATAGACACCGATCTTGATCGGATCTGCCGTATAAAGGTAGAGGATGGTTTGAGCGTTGAGCGCGGACGCGGCGAAGAACACCATGCCCGCGACGAAGACGAGCATGAGCAGTGACGAGAAATGCCGGAAGCTCTTGAACAAGTACCACGGGAAGAGAGGGTCCTTCGCCATGGTGAAGTCATACGCGAAAGCTGCCAAGAAGATGAAGAGGCCGAGTATCAGTGGTGCAAGAGTGCCCGCCGCTTTCCAGGGCTGCAAATGACCGTTAGCTAACGTTATCACTAATTGAGCAACAGTGACGCCTCTCCCAGGGAAGAACGCTGTCACTCAAAGACTCCGGGTCACTCACATAGGTGTTGCCACCGGAATTTAGGCCGTAAAGGAACACGGCCAGACCAGACACGAAGAGAAAAGTGCCGATAAAATCCAGTTCCTTGAACTCCTGCCATTTGGTCTTGCCATCGGGACGCGGGTGACTGGGCGGGAAATACACGAAGAATGTCCCGACGAGCGAGAATGCGCCGTATCCCATTCTACAGATGTCCATTAGCTCATACGGATCTCGACAGAAAGATCGCGCCCACCACGTCAAAAAGAGATGGGTTCTGTCAAGCAGTGGGAGGACTTACGCGATGTAGTACATGACTCGCCAGCTGGCATGAGACAGGAGAGCATTGGCAAGGAGCGTTCCTGCAATGGCCCAGGTGGCAAGGTTGAACTCGGTCCAGGCGAGACCAGCACCGCGCCACTTGTTGGGCAAGATTTCTGAAATACCTGTTCAAGACTTAGGACCACGCTATCAATCGAGGCGAAGAGCATGCTCACCAGCATAGGCGACTGATACTGTGCCAATAGAACCTCCCAGAATGACCTCGCCAGCGATAAGCTGGTTCATGCTCTGCGCGCTGCATGCAACAGCACCACCGATCTGGTCCACTGTTAGCGAGCAGTCCGACCTGAGCAAGAACAGGGAGAACTTACAATTGTTAGAAGTTGCCCGACGAGTATCACATATCGTCGACCGAAGACGTCGGACAGCCTTCCTGCAATCGAAAACCCAACGGCGGCGGCGGCACCCCAGCCAGATGGGATCCAGAAGTCGATGTTCTCGCCGCCCAATTTCTGGCTCAATTGCACTAAAATGGGCGTTGCCAGGATAAAGCCGAAAATGATAGGACCGGTGAAAGATGTCCCAAGGAAGAGGGCGGAGAGAACGACCGAGAGACTAAGCTTCTCAGCATGCTCCGGATTGTCCTCGAGCGCAGCTCTGTGCGGGTCTTCGTATCCGGCCGGGACTTCTTTGCCCTCGTTGTGGGCGACTTCGATCTCGTGGTCCATGGCCGCCTTGTGCTCTGCTGTGTCGTTCATGGTGGGCACCGGTGCTGACAGGTATGGGCGACAATGCGGGAGGCGGAGGAGGGAAAAGAAGAAGAGCGGATGTAAAGTCTGGGGAAGCAGAGTGAGACGAGTTACCACTTTTTGTATCGACTTCGATTTCTCCAACGTGGCTGATCAACCCCGTCCCCTTTGTCGGATATCTGCCATGTGGAGGCCGCGATCGCATGGGCTTTCCCTGCCTCAGCTCTAGACAAATTTGGCTTGCGAAGCTTGATCTTGGGGTCTTGTTGGTCTAGCTTCCAGCCGTCTGGTCTCTCCGGGAACCCAAGCGCATGGGCATCTGGCAGAGGTGGAACTGCCAGGCAAACAGCCTATCGTCCAATGAACGGCGCCTTTTTCTGAAGCAACGGGGTTAAAAGCTTAGGCGTGCTTGAGTAGGCCAGCACCCCGGAGCCAGAACTAGGGGTCGAACCTCGTCCGGAAGTTTAAGACCCCACAAAGCCCGGTCATTCCCCGGCTGGCTCCGCTGGAGGCTGTCTCGCCAGATTCGTGGGGCTGGAGGTCTGCTTGCGGGGAAATCCCACCTGTATCTCCCTCTGGCTCTTCTTGACACTGCCGAAACCGTTGCTGACAAGACGGAGATTATGTTGGGGAAGAGCAATATCTTTACTTTGCTCCAGACACCTCCCTTTGTCCTGCGTACATGATCAACTAACCTGAAACCACGGGCTGTAATTTGCGGGATACAAATTCGACTGAGGCATATCGCCCTGATGGCCGACACATCCATCACTCGTTCTATCCTACTATGGACGCCGGCCATTCTGCTGGTGGCGTACTATCCGCTGCTTCTGATCTACCGGTTATTCTTCTCGCCTATGAGCAAAATTCCTGGGCCATGGATCACAAGGATATCCGATGTCCCGGAAGCGAATGCTTTGAAAGATAAAAGACGAGCGGAATGGGCTAATGAACTGTTTGCTCAATATCCGGACTCCGTGGCGGTAAGAACCCGGCCAAATGCCGTGTCGTTCAATCACCCGGATGCCGTGAAGGCCATCTACGGTATGTCGGATCCGTCCAGCGGATGTCTATGTCCATACTGACAAGCGTCAGGCCATGGCAAGGGAGCCGAGGAGTTTGGCAAGTCAGGCTGGTATGACGCCTTCTCGACTACTGGTGAATCCTTATTCTCGACGCGGTCGAAAAAGAACCATGCACGGAAGCGCCGCATGGTCTCGCATGGCTTCAGCATGCAGTCACTCTATTCTTTCGAGCCGTACGTCGACGCCGTGATGCAAATCTTCATCCAAAAGATGGACGAGTTTGCCAGCACCGGCCAGCCGTTCGACATTTACTTCTGGTTCGAGCTGTTCACCATGGACCTGATGGGCGAACTGGCTTTTGGTCGCAACTTCGGCGCTCTTCAGGGCGGCCAACCGGTCAAGTACTCGAAGCTCGTAGAGCTGTCACAGCGCTTTGCCAATTTGAGTGGTCTGTTGCCATTCGGCAAGTACAATGTGAAAGTCCTCAGCTGGGTGCCTGTACCGTATATTCAACAGCTGTATCAGGCACGACTTGAGTATCTCGATTATGCAAGGCAAGCCTTGGAAGGTCGATTCCAAGACAACCGGAATCAAGCACCCCTTGGTGGCAAGCCACGACAGGATATTATGCAACGATTTATCGAGGCCCAGGACCCGGAAACCGGCGAGCGAATGGAATTCCCCGAGCTCAGAGCGGAGGCATCTTCACTGATGGTTGCCGGCGCAAGCACAGGCTCAGTGACCATGAATTGGATGACTTATTATCTCCAGAAGAACCCATCCGTCAGACAACGAATCATCAGCCAACTCGAGGAGATGTTTCCCAACAACCTCGACGCTGCTACACCTCTTCCATTCTCGTCATTGAACAAACTCAGCCTCCTCGAGGCCACGGAGATCGAGTGCTTGCGGATGCACCCGCCAATCGGTTACTCCATGCCACGCATGACTCCTGCTCAAGGCGCCATCATCTGCGGCGTCTATGTCCCTGGGAACGTTGACGTCGGCGTTCCCGCACTCACAATCGGCCGCAACCCCACTGTCTACCGCGACCCCAATACCTGGAATCCCGACCGCTGGTTTGATGAGAAAGCTGACTTGGCCACCATGAAGACATGTTTCCTAGGCTTCGGATTTGGAAGCAGACAGTGCATTGGTCGGAATGTGGCGAATCAATTCGTCATCAAAATGATTGCAACGTTGCTGTTAAGATACGATATCCAGCTCGAGGATCCCAATCTGGTGTTGGGCACCAAGGAGTTCACGATTCTGAAACCGGACAGGAGTTATAATGTCATTCTGAGGCCCAGAAAGCATGCGGGCTGAAAGTTCCTCTAGCAGACATTTGTCAAGGAGTGCCTAGTACTCAAGCTCCCAGATCGGGAGCTCGACAATGTCTGAGCCTTACCCAGGATATTGCGGAAAGCAATAAAAGCCGGTCCTGGGGGCGTGTGTGGCTGAAGAGTTGCCAGGGAGAGCCGGACTCTGTGTCCCTTTCTCTAATACTATGGCAGGTGGTAAGACCTCCATGCTAGCCTCTCCAGCAGCTATCACTACTTCGACGAGAACCTGAAACTGTGAAAGACCAAGAGTATGGAAAGGAATGCAACGCGCAATTGATCCACTTCATCCCCAGCAAGGGGCAAATAGCTGGGGGTGCGAGTCCCAGTAGGACCATGAGCGACGAGCACATGACCAAGTAGTTATGCAATGGAAGATTGATAATCTACTCTATCTAACGCTCATCAGCATGGCTTCTGTATGAAAAGATATCGCAGTGGGGCTCAATATGCTTGAAACGACTGCTAGACACACTATGCATGTTACAGGGCTACGCTATCCTTGATGCCATAGCCCGCTCCATGGGACTTCCGCTTGGGATGACGAACTTACTGTAATGCACCCTCTCCACGGCACCACCAATGTCCCCAAGGAACCATGCACACATCCCGTGTCCGTTCTCCAGGGCCTCTCTAAAGTTCGCTGCTGACCCTCCCTGGCTCCCCAATACTGGGACCATGTCCTCGGCGCATTAAATATGGCCGACCCAGCCGCCGACGCGGAGATCGACCGGTTCCAGTAACTACTGTACATAGGAATCAGGCTTCGATCTTCGTGACCCTCCACAGCGCCGGTCATGGGTTCGACAGGGATGAACCGAGTGTCGACACGAGGCTCCCACTCGATCCTTACCATGACTACGAGGTACGCTACGGGTACGTAGTGGCGACGACTCGTGTCGGCTGTTCTGGGTGGGTAGCGATCCTTCGTTGCCGGGCCAGGCATGCAATGCGAATGACTTACTTGACTTGACTTCGGAGCTTCGCTTGTCTCACGATCTCGGGTCCTCCGTCCATTGTTGTGTTCAGCTGCGTGCGTGTCTTTCTTGCGAGTGGTGTACATACTGAATCCCATATCAGAGGGCTGGGGCGCAGGACCGGGGGTCCATCTGGGGACATACGTGTCGGACAGTCTCCTTCGTCACCTTCGCTTCAGTACTCCGTATGGGCTAGCCATGACCGTGGACATGACGACTCGTGCTATCTGAGGGGTGCCACAGTACCTGCCACAAACAGTGTGTGATCAGTCCATGTGCAGTTGCCTACGGAAATACTGTAAGCGAAGTGATAGGCTCATGCGATAAATACTAGATGGTCGCGAGTCGACTTCGAGATGGAGCTCCGAGGCAATGGGGTCTTGCTGCGCATATGCTCTCCCGTACTTGTACTGTACTGCATTCTCGAACGAGTCGACGACACCGCCATGTATGGTCTGTCCACGGTACTTGAGCAGCCAGCCCTAAAATGCTGCTCTCAAGGACTTCCATGAGCTCCTAGGCATGACAGTATCATGGCCGTCACGGATAGCAAGGCCGTAGCTGAAAAAGCCAGCGGCATTTCTCATGTCCTCTACGGAGCTCAGCCGCACTCGCACATTCTCGGCGGACAAGCGCGTTTTCAAGAGTTATTTGGAGACTTCTCGTTCGGTGAGGAGCATTCGGTCCATCGACTGACCGTCCAGAGAGGCGTTCCTTGTTAGTCCAACTCCTCTTGCCCGCGCTACGACCAGCAGGCATGGAGTCACGGCGTGGTGCGCAGCCAGAAGTCTGACACAGGCAGGCAGACCGTGAGGATGTCGAATGCGCGAAGCTTGTCGATAGAAGTCACATATCTGCCGACGAAGCCGGGTTGACAGTCTTGTAAGCCGGGACTTTGACAGTCACAGACTTGTGCTGATAGTCACCGAAGCTTCACCAGATGCCTCCCACGCAGACAAATTGCGTTGACAGCAATAGCGTTCGCGCAGCTGCTTGAAAGCTGCCATGTCCCGCCTTCGTACCTCGAGGTGCTGTCGAACAATAACGGGATATACTCGTCGCATGTCCTGAGAGGGCGCACCAGCCTCGCCACCCATTATTGTGTGCACAGTGTTACATACAGCACATGCACGACATCGAAACTGACGCTGAAGCAGACTTGATGGTCAAGTTCCCCTTTGGACCCTTTTCGAACGGCTCGCTCTTCATGTGCCACTCCCTAACTACAGGGCACACGACATGCATTATTTCCGCCACGCGGGCGCAGATCCTAGCCAACCGATTCCTTGACGTGTTCACCCACTCTCGCTCATCTAGCCCTTACGCCTTCATTCCCGCGGCCCTCCTGCTCGAACATTTGCGGACTGCAAATGACAACGACCGCAACGACATCGACCAATGCGTCTGCCGAATCGAGAACCGGTCCGGCGTCTCCCTGCACAATTTTGGGTCGAGGACCAGAGCCAAGATAGGCGAGTACGCGCTCTTGCAGAGAGAGCTGCACATGCAGGACGCCCTGATCGTCATGGCGGAGCATTGCTTTTCGTTCCACGCGAAGTGCGCGGCCTTTGTAGTCGCCGAGGAGCTGTCTTTTGCAGATTTGTTACCCGCGAGGCAAGTCAACAACGACAGAGGCCCAACCGGGCAACAACAGGCAGACTACGTCCGCGCGAGTCTCGCACTCAACGCAAGCATGTCGTCGTGGACGCTGGAGCAGCTGCGCGCCTTGGAGAAGAGGCTGAAAGTGCAGCTTCGGGTCGTACGTGCTTTTCTCCCTCCCCAATGGCACGTCTGGTTTGATGTGGCATGACCTAACTCACGCGTGCACCACACATGTAGATCGATTCCACAATCTCGACGACCGACGCACTCACGATGATCCGACTCGCCCGCGCGTCCCGCTCCGACAGCAACACCATGAAAGCCATCACCGTCCTCACCATGGTGTTCCTCCCCGCGACGTTCGTCTGTTCGCTGTTCAGCATGGGATTTTTCGACTTCGCCGGCGCCACGGACGCAGGCCTCGAGGGCACGCACCGCCGCACGATGCGCGTCGCGGGGACATTTTGGATCTACTTCGCCGTGGCTGTCCCCTTGACGATCCTCGTGCTCGGCATCTGCGCGGCATGGCTGCAGTGGAGCGCACGGCAGGAGGATGATAGTGGGGACAAGCCGGGGAGCGTGGAGGCGAAAGGGGGTCGATAAAAAAATGAGGAGGGGGGAGGGAGGACCGTTGTGGAGTGCTGAGTTCGAAAGGAACCAAGAGAGTACATATGTAAGCATGCTTGCGTTGCGAGCGGGCAGGCGAGGAGGAGCACTGGATGAATGGGTCAACACCACATGCCAGTCCTGAGCCAATCGTGCAGAGAGAGGGCCGATCTGAGCCTCGACTCTTGGTACTGCTACACACCGCGTACATACACAAGAAGTACTCTTCTGTATGGGTCTGTACTGTACTGTGCGATATTACGCAGGTTGCTATTTGAGCAATTCTGACTCCAAAGACAACACGCGTGGACGATATAGTTCTTTGGGAAGTGCTGTGCGATAGACCGGCTGGCCGATGGCTCTTCAATTCGGATGCCTCGAGCACGCCATTACAGGATTCTGTTTCAGCAGCCTGCTCTTGGACCCAGACACCTCGAGCAGCTCAGTACGGTGTCCCGTGCAAGAATACCGCCCTCTTTTCGACGAGTGGGTCCCTCGCCCCTAGCACTCAAGCACGTCTCTGGTCACCTTCCTCCATGGCGGGCCGGGGGTCAGCAAGCAAGTCACTAACTAAGATAACGGTCCTCGGTAAGTACCTGAGTGAATGAATCGTCGTTGTTATATACTACGGGGGATCGAGTACTCGTACTCGTACTGCTATCACCCGTGCGGCCTCAGGCAGTATTAGTCGTCTCCAGATGAGGATACCTTCGAAAGCAAGAGGAAAACTATGGTACCGGTATCGTTATGATGACGGCCGCTTGTTCGGCACATTGGAAAGAGCATGACGGAAAAGCAGGAAAATGTTCAAGTGTTCGGCTGGAATTATTGATCTGCCGTGTCGAGACATCAGCGTTTACATGTCATATAGGGTATTCAGATGACGAGCGAACTCGTCGGCCCTGAGATTAACACCTTACTCAGTTCCACGAATGCCGTACAATACAGCACAGTATACCCCAGTCCAGGCCGCATCATATGCTCACATCTACCGATCTCACCGTGAAGGCAGCATGAACGGCTGGGCCGGCCGTGCTGTGGGAAAGTTCCTCGAACTCAGAAACGCGCCCTTGAGCGCTCGAATCTCGTTCTTGAACTTCGTGGCCTCCGAGGCGTCCTTTTTGGCGGACTTGTCACTACTGCTCTTGTCGGCGCTGTAACTTGAAAAGCCGGTGGAGGTGTAGTCGATTTGGAAAGGGTCGTAGCTGGCTTCCAACTTGTGGAGCGTCGATTGGAGATCCGACATTGATTCCTGGAGTCGATCTTGAGAGAAGTGCGTCGTTTGCGAACTCACAAGCGAAGAGAGGGTCGAGTGCAGGCTGCGCAGGCGGGACGATTGTGATGTCGTGGGATCTTGTGCAGGCAGGGCATCGTCGTAGTCGTCGCCGGACCAGAGCGACGTTGTGTGTGTAGGGTGCGGTGATGTCTGGGTTGCGATGTCACGGTGGAACAGCTCGGTCGGGTCCGAGTCTGTGGATTCTAGGTCGTCGTCCTTGGGCTTTTGGTGTTGAGAATGGAGGGCAGAAACGCTGGGTATGTAGGGCACGTGGGAGACGGTGGATTCGAGCTTCGTGTTGAGGGTCTCGAGGTCCGCTTTGGCTGTCTCGGCCAGTGAATGTCGCGCTTCGGTGAGGGATTCGAGCGTGGGCTGGATGAGATATTTGCTTGCGCCCCATGTCAAGGCCGATACGCCGGCCAGTACGTAGGCTGCGTTCGCGAGGCGGTCGAATGTGACGAGCGGTGGTGGTTTCTGTGGTTTGAGGAGGAATTCTGGGTAGGTGATTATCGGAGGGACGTCCCGCTTCGGAGAGGGCGTCGGGGTCATTTCGTGCTGGGGTGCTGACGCTGAAGCGGGGAGCGCCAACGATGGTGAGGATACTGTCTGTTCTTGTTCTCTGATACCGGGGTTCGGGCTGGTGTCGTGAATTGTTTTCAGTTCCGGGGTCTCGTCGGCGGCGATTGAAGATGCGGCCGGCCCAGGACCCAGCAGCTTTTCTATTTCATCGGGTTGTAGACCCTTTTTCTGCAAGAACTCAACCTTGCTTTCCCGGGACGCATCTCGTATTGTTTCGTCTTCCAGCGACTTTTGCGCTTGCTCGAGTAGAGGTGGTTCTGAGGGTAACGAGGGTTGCGTCGTGCTTTGCTCCGTTGACGACTGATCGTCGGAAGCGGTCCTCTGTTCTTTGACGCTGGATTGCCAGTTCTGCTGCCATGCCGGAATGGCGAGCGCCTTTTTGGAGTCTTGGTCTGCCATACTGTATCTCGACCATAGGGGATGAACGGCGCGATCGGTCAGGAAGCAGAATGCACCAGATGCGACAAGAGAAATGACCGACCATCCCCAGCCTCGGCTCATCGAAATGGTAGGGCTGAGAGGGTCACCAGCCACAGCAGCCACAGCAGCCACAGGCCTGGTCGGAGAACAGCCACACCCAGATTCCATTTCCCACGCCACGGATCTTTCGAGGGCCTGGCATGTAAATCCATATTGTTGATATATCTCCTTGTTATAGACAGCTAAACCAATGCTGTACACGTCAGAGAATCTACCTGCAACTACGTGGTATCTAAGATATTGTCCGGCAAGTGTATGCCCTCCAACAAGAATACGCGAGGACACAAGAACTTCAGAGAATTCAGGGCCACTGGAGACGCGGAAGAGCGACACCGCAGCGGAGAAGCTTTGGCATTTAGCCGAGCCTGAAACTTTGGAACCATGACAGATAGACCGCGACGTGTGCGACGTCAGATTAGCGATGTTACCGATGACCCTTCAGATGACTCTAGCCAGTCCAGCGGTGAAGATTACGATCCAAGAAAGGTCGACTCAATGAGACGAGCGGGCAGACATGAGTGAGTTCGCTTCTTTCACTTTTCCACCGCCGAGTCCCTCATCTCACTTCGCTGCGTCGCCGTTCTGCATGGACACACCTGTTTTCTGGGAACTGTTGCGGTCGAGACCCTGTCAGCGTGGTGGCCTCAGTCGCGAGGGAACACACCATCCCGCTGGCACCACAACTATAACACCCGGAAGCAGGTGAAGACGGAGCGATTTCCAGCACCGTCGTGACTTCCGGACAGTCAGATCACTCACACCCCAGGCTCTGTTCAATTATCTCTTTGCAACCAATAGAACCTCTTGCGTCCTCGTTGCTCAGAGAAGAAACAGCAGACAACTTTCCTTTTAATCATGGCTTTTGTTACCTTGTACTACCGAACGAAGCACAAGACAAGAGCTAACCATGTTTCCAGGTCTTCGGCAGGCTCGACCCCGGCAGCGTCCAGACCACGGCGTTCTGGAGCGTCGGGATCTGCGAACAATGTCTCCTCGGCTACGGTTCAGCGAGGATCTGGCACATCGGAAGACCGACGACAAAGTCTCAAGCTGACCGTCAAGGCTCCTCCGAGCAAGTTGAGAGAAGTCATGCGGGCTAATGAGGTGGAGTCCCTCCATGACACACTGGGCGGAGGAAAGGTCCTGGACGGGCCACGAAGCAGTCGACGTTCAACCTTAGCTGCAAGAACCCCAACCCAGCCGCGATCTAAATATGCCGAGTACGGTGAGAGCGACATCGAGGACGAAGATGAAGAGGAAGACGAAGAGGATGACGAGGACGACGCGGATGAGGAAGAGCCTTCTGGCACGCGAAATGACTTTGACGAACTCGGTGCCGAGCCCGAAGGCGACACTGACGGCGAGGATGTCGAGATGGAAGACGCACCTCCGGTACGCCCATCTAAGCGCACCCCTGTCGCCAAAGCGCCCAAGATCACCCTGAAGCCGCCCGCTCTTGTAGACAGCAAGCAATCCGCAAAACCGAAGCTGATCGTCACTCCCGCGAAAGTCGGCCCGGTCAAGTCCGTCGAGGACCAGGAAATGGAGGATGACCCAGATGATGACGAGGTCGACGAGTCATCCGACCTCTCCGACGAAGACGACGAAGAGCAGACAAATCTCAACGACGAAGATGCTGAAGGCGAGGAGGAAGAGGTTGCTCTCGACCAAGACGCGCCTGCCGAAGACGAAGAACTTGGAGCTGAGTTGGAGGACGGTGATGATGCAGACGACCTCGACGACAGCAGTGACGAGACTCCTGGGTCTGGTTCTGCCACTCCCGATCTAAGTAGAATGACGAAGAGGCAGCGAGGCAGACCCGAGGACCAAGGGACCCTGATGGCGTTGGATATGGCGCCACAGCAGCGAAAGGTACGAATGACCCTGCTAGGGTAGCCACTGACACTCGAACTCACCACTAACTGGATTTTAGTTCTTCACCGACGCCGAGAAAGCCATGAAGAAGGACGAACATGCCAGAAAGCGAAAGGAGTTGACGAAGCGAAAAGTGCAGGAGGAGAAGACCGCCGCCCTGAATCGACTGGTACGTGACTTCGCGTTCATTCTAATGTACGCCCCTGCTGACCGCACGCCAGCTCAAACCTCAAGTATCCAAGACCCGAGGTGCTGCACCGAAGCCTGAGACATTAGCGGCCGCGGCCGCTGCTGCGGCAGTCGGTTCGCCATACGAGGAGGAAGACATCTACCTGAGAGCCAATCCCCTCTATACCCGATGGGTCAGCACGAAAGACGGTGTCAAATTGGGTGTCCCTGAGGAATGGCTGGGCAAGAAAGTCGGACGCTACTTTGGACCGCCCTTGTCATCAAGCAATGGTTCCCTTGTCCAGGAAGTCGAGTAAGTAGTAGACGGGTCTGGTTTTATTTGGCATTTCAGAGGTTCCATAAACTACAGTAGGTAGTGGCTTCGCGAAAGTCTCCCAGGCAGAACGTTTTGAGGCGGCGCGTAGGGGTCAAAAGCAACACAACTAATGCCGGCACTATCAATCGAGAGCACTGGTATGAGCATGGTCAGTGATTGCGCCTTTGGGGAACTACAGTACAAGATAGCCTTCGCCTTCGGGAAGCGTAGCCATAAAATACTCTTACTGTGGCAGCCTTTATTGTACGATCATACGCTTCATTTACCATACAGCGGACGATTCTTCGTCTCATGCGAGCCCTTCGAGCAAAAGTAGAGCATGACTGCCCCTTCATGCTTCAGCGATATTGCGGGCCTAAAGGGTCTCATGCCCCCATACTGCTGAAAGCGTTTGACACTCTATGAGTTCCATGACGATGAAGAACGCGGACTTCGATTCCCGCCACATCACGGACAATCGGGGAACGACGATCTGTGGCAGGTGCCCCTCCATGAACAGAAGGTTTTCTCCCTCTTGAGGGTCCAATTCGCGAGCCGAATTTCACCAAGAAATGCTTTGCCACCGCAACGACTTCGCGAGCAGACCATCTCTCGAGGCCGCTGAAAACGACTTCGGACTTTCGAATCTCGTCAATCTCTGGACAGCTGCTGGTAAAAATCCTGGGTTCCGGACGTAAGGTAGTTGAACACTTTCCTCCATTGTGAACACAGATGTTGTTCAAGGATCAGGTAGGGTATGTGAGGATTTTCCATAGTATGGCCAGGGAGGATATATCACTCAGGGCGAGAAGCGTGGTTGCGCGGGTTTCGCATCTTGACTAAATGTTGTACTGTACGTAGTGCACTGCGTAGGAACGCATCTCATGTAGGTGCCTGGTACGCAGCAATGTACTACTGCCGGTCACCCACTCATAGTACGAGGTGGTAATTTTGTACTTTGGTCAAAGCGCTACTCCTAAGCAATGGTGGATGGACGTGTGGAATGATTCCGAGTGGCTAGCGAGATGTTGACGACATTTCCAAGTACATGTGGTACCATTTAAGTGCACCCACCTACTCCGTACATTAACATACAATCCACAAATCCCGCAGCGAGCGCGTGAACTCGGTATCTCCTCCATCGAAAGACGCAAGATGAGTCGTCGACTGTTCGGTTGGGCACTGGTTATCGGCTTCGGCGTGCTGAATGGTATGTACTTTACGCCACCCGGCTGTCTACAAATGCCTGGTGCGCTGATACTGTGGCAGGCTACACGACGTTCAAGCCCGCCTTTGAAGCCCGAGAGCTGGAGAAGCTGAAAGAAGAGTTCGTCTGCGCCCTTGTACTCTGCTCGACACGCGCATGCTAATATACAATTCGCCCAATGCAGGGAGCGCGCGGCCTCCGACCTGGGACCCAACATGATGGAGATCCCTGCGATGCGGAACCACACCACGACACTCCTGGATGGGAATGCGGAAAAATCAAAAGCCAGCTAAAAGAGGCTGTAGCAGCTGAGGCTCCGATTCAAAATCAGCGAGATCTGTGTCTGCGGGGTTCCGCTGCGCGAGAGCGCCTGCGGACGTTCTAAGCTCGCTCAGCTTCGAGAGACCCGGAGCAGCGCAGCACTGGCACATTATGACGATGAAGGGGGTTGGGTGTTCCCCCAAAACAGCGCCAGTGCGTCCGAGCACTCGAGATCACGTCTGTGTCGCAGGGTCCAAAAGAGGGGGCCGCAAAGACAAGAGGCAAAATACAGGCAGATCTCCTCGCATTGAAACCTATGCCAGGGTGGTGCAGAAATTGCGATGCTTTGGCTGGGGCGGCAGAAAAATTGTTGTTCGATCGATGGATGGACGGGCTGAGCACATGGCGATATGGGCTCCATATCAGATACAGTCACCGCCTAAGGCGGCGCAGTATGTCAAGCGCTTTGGAGGTCGTTCTCGCACGGAGATCCATCTGGTCAGCTGGTCAGATGACCACTACCAGAGCCGAAGAAGTACACGGAAGCTGGGGCGGATTCTGAATGATGTGGACAAGGGTCTTATCCTCGGGAAACTCCGGGTGGCATTCAATGCGATGCGGATCCTACCATCTCCTGGCTAATTGGGAAGCGTGACCAAAGGACCATTGCCTCACCCATTGTTTTGGTTCCGCGACTCAGCGATGATGACACCCGTCTCGGACCGGATCGAAGATGATACTGGCGCTGGCAGGGAAGTCCCGCATGAACCAAGAAAGTATGAACCGACACTTTTACCTCGCGGGACTACAGTATTATGAGAAAATGCTAGCACGTGCCCTTGATAACACATCTCCGATTTTCAGTCATTCCGATCTTCAGAGGAAAAACGGCATTGTGAAGAAGGTGAATACTCGGGACGGTTCTGCCGACCTCCAAGTGTCGCTTATGGGTTGGGAATATGTCGGTTGGTATCCAGCCTACTGGGACTTCGTCGCCGCCTTCCTTGCCCCTCGATGGGACGATGACTGGTCAACCACGATCATGAATGCCTGGACGTCTGGACGGCTGAAGCGTCGATGATGAGGTTAACCCCAGAACCTGTGGTTGTAGATTGGACGGGTAACAGGGGAGCAATCTGCTTCGCTACAGTGCTTGCGGTCTATTGACAGGTAGCGGTATGGCAAGTGCTTGAGGTTTGGAAGCAATGCAGAATCATAGCAGGCGCCTGCTTGAGGCTATCCAGACCCTGCTTATGCGTATGGTATGTTCTCTCGGGTGCTTGTAGATAGGTGAGCAGCTGGTATGGCCGTCGCAATGCATGCTTACATAGCCTAAACAACGCGACGAAGAAAAGGAATCGGAGCGATTGCTGAGAAATGTCCATGATGGCTGGGTGAAAGAAACGTGAAGGCGAAATGAGGCGTCGTGGCTCTCTCCGCACCCCGCGTCTCCTTGGCAACCTCGACGCGTCTTCCATTCTTTACGCGCGATGTACGTACGCTTCAAATGACCAATTTCTGCACCAAACCACGAATACCATGGAAAGAAGTAGCGATGCAAAACTGGAGGGAGCGTGGATATGTGCCAGACTCCGATGACGACGAAGAAGACCGCGACAGCGATGTCCAGCACGAAAACAGCCATGACAATATCACGGTTTCTCACACTGGAGAGGCTCATGATGTGCCAACTCGAGCAGAAGAAGTCACCGTGTCACACCGGGGACATTCTCGGGATAAAAATGCCAACGTGACTGTTGAAACCAGCGACTCTCTCGAAAACCGTGCTGTGGTCCAACGTCTTCGTCAGGCTGAGCGAACAGCCAAAGTGGCAGAGCACGAACTGCGAGGGCTGTCCGAATCTGACGATCCTCCAACCTCAACAGCCACGAGACTTGAAGCTGAGATCCAAAAGGGCCTAAGAACAGTCCGGGATGTCCTTGAATCTGCTTTTGACAGCGACAGCGACAGCCCGCTGTCTTCCGTTCCTCCTTCCGCGCAGAATACACCACGGGGTCATGGGAGGAAGACGGTTCAAGATGTGCTGGCTTCCCTGTCTCCTGCACTTCACGACCACACGGGCGGCCCTCCGTCGTTGACATCCTACTCCGCGGGCAATACAACAAGCGAAATTGTTTCCGTCGGCATGCGGCCAGCTGTCGTTAGTAATATTACTGTTCCTCCGCTCCAGGTTTCCCATAACATACCTCCCAATGCGGATGATGAGGCTCCTCGAAGACGTTCCTTCAGACCCCGTGCGCCAATCCAGCTCCATCCTTACGCACTCGAAGATGCCAAATATCGCCAGACTTGGTCAGCAAGTGGCCTCAAACCTGTTCGTGCACCAGAGATCACGTCAAGGGCCGAGAAAACTTCCAACGAAGAATCGCAGGATACCACTGCTTATGAAAGCAGCCAGATGGACTCTTTCGACCGCGCAGCTCGAGATTCGAGTCCCACGTTGGACGCTCCAGACAGCGACTCTCGCAGTGCTGACAATGAGGAATCCCAGAGCCCTATTCCGGGGACACGTGTCCGCCAGCCGTCGCCACTATCCGACTTGAGCGATGATCTCCCTGACGTGTCAGAGATGTTGAACAGCCCAAATACAACGCCGTCCGTGTTACAGCTGAAGAAATCGAAGAAACGGTACTGGCGCGAGCCGCGCACAGGCAGAGATGGATTTCATATCTACGATCTTCCCAACGACGATTCCGCTGTCCAACCAGCAGCCAGAATACATCACGCAGGCTCGGCAACACCTCTGTCACCACCCTGGTCACGTGCTGAACGGTCATCGCAAGACGTTGTACTGGCGCCAATTGCTGATGTAGCTGGGGAAAACAGTACACCCGCTGGGCTTCCGACTCCGCTCGTCTCTTCTGACAAGCATGCTTCGAAGCGTCCATTTGCCGAAATTCTTGGCATCTCTGACTCGGAAAGCGACATCATCAATGTCAGCGATGAACCAGGAGCATCTTCCTCGTCAGAACAGAACTCTGGGGATGAGTCGCTGGGTGTCCAACGGCTGCGCCGCAAGATCAAGGGAGTTCTGCCTGCTTCCTGGCTGAAGCTGGACATGAAGCAAAACCAAAAACCCCGTTCTTCCTCTCCACACCGCACGCAGTATTCTCCGATCAGGATTGCGCCAGAAAAAGGCGTTGCAAAGCATATTCCCTCTTCTGGTAGGCATGTTAGGAAGCCAGGTCCAATGCATATCATCCAAGACGAGCCCACTGATATGAACACTTCAGCGGAGAGCGACACAGAGCTTCAAACCTACACTGAGATGGATGACGTCCAGTACGATCTGTCGACGACCTATGACGACGACGTTATGGAAGACAACACAGTTGACGCTATGCTTGCTCCTCGTGTGAGGAATTCGGCTGTTTCCAAGAGGCAGCGACGTCTGAGCGGTGCTTGGTCAAGAAAAGGATCAGAAACGAGCAGAAAACATGCTGGTGGTGGCCGTCCTGCTTTCCACTCTGGTGGCAAGCCCAAGGTCGTTGCTCGCTCCAAGAAACTTGCGAGGCCGCGCAAGAAGATCAAAAGGAGTCACAGAAACACATTAATTACGATACTGGACGCCCCTGGATTCAAGCAGAAAGACATTCCACGTTTCTTAAGGATTGCTTCTAGACGGTGTGGGGATACCACTAAAGCGCGACATCAAGATCCCTCTAAGAAATTCTTCAGATTGGCAACAGAGAGAGATACTCAGGACGTAAATGAGAGCCTGAAACGCGGGAGGACTCGTCGACATGAGATGCATCCGGCTGTCCAAATCAATTCCAGCAACGGAGTCCCAAGCCGCACAACCGCTTTAGTGCCTCAGCCGCGCGCTGTCAACTCTGCCAATCATGAAGTTATCGAGGCTTTGACGCAGGATCGCTGGCCCCGTCACCAAGGCGCAGCCAACCTTGACCCTCAGCTCAATGCTTTGAAGCGAAGCACCAAAATCACTCTCCAACGTGTCCGACACAACCTACACCAAGCTCCACCACCGCTGTTGGAGGCCAATGGCCTGTCTGCTGGTTCACCCTCTGCCATCCTCGATTACTTCAAGCCTCGAACATCATACAGCAGTCATCTCATTTCGAGGCGACTTAATCGCGTTGAGCTTGGCCCAACAGCGCCTGAGGAAGCTTCCGGCTCCCAGCTTGATGAGTTTGCCATTCAGAAACGTATTCCGAGACTTCCAGGTGCGAGGAGACAACGATCGACTCACGGCTTAGCTCGGGAAACCCCTACAATGGCAGTACCTCAGACAGGGCTACCATTGACGAGTCCTCCGCCGTGGTTGGCCCCTCGTGAAAGGTCGGGACAAAACGATGTCAACATAACGGCAAGAAGCGGAGATCTCTCGCAACCTCCTAGAGAGCCTTTCCGCCCACGCCTTCCTAAGTGAGTTGTCATGTAGGAACAGAATGGGCCGCAAATGCTAATATAGCTCCAGGAAACAAAGACCTCTTGAACTGGGTACCCGAACTTATGAGCACGGGGCCATTCTATGCCTTCAGAGTCTTGTCCTCGATGAGGGGATGGATATCATCACTAACACAGTGCGGTACCCACCTGGTGGAGACTCATTGTTAAATACTGGCATTCCTCCGGGCGCTGAACCTGTTCGCTCTACCTTGATCCGTGCTACGTTGTCCTCGATGGCGAATAGTGCTGGTCTCTTCGAGCCTGGATGGATCATCAACACAAATACAACACCAAAATCTCAGCACACACTCGAAGCTGCCGGCTGGTCTTCAGGCATCGAAGCAATTCTCAGAGATATCTTCAAAGAAACGTTAGAGACTATATGTAAGGATGCCATTGCTCTCCATCTGTCAACTGGGGAGAGAATTGAGCTTCTGAAGAACGCTGCGGATTCGATTGAAGCCTTAGTCGTCTATGTCAACGAGAGCCTAACATTCCCGGGCGAGCACGATCTGGAAGCGTTCCTTCTGCTTACCTCCCGGTATATGGAGGAGATATGGCGAGCCATGGCTGAGTGCGAGGCGACCACAAGCGATCCCCTCGCCTCACACAGCTTGAAGGTCTTGAACGGATTGCTGCTTCTCGGCTATCAGACAGCTCAACGCGCCGTGGGCCTAACATCTCCAAACTCTGTTGGCGGTATCATCTCAGAGGTCCGGAAAAACATGGCTCGTTTTGCCTGGGAGCTTGCCTTTCGAGAAGAACATATCGCTCGCCTCTTCGCCTACATCTCTGCTCCAGCTGGTATTGATCCAGCCCCGGATACTCTGCGCTCTCGTTATACAGCCGAAATTGAGACCATTCTCCTCGTCCATACCCTCGGTCCTCACCAAGGGTGGGGGTTTTATATGGGAAACATCTTCTTAGCAGACGATGAGGCAAGAGGGACTCATCAGTTGCAATCCCGGGCTGAATCACTTTCATTTACAGTCCTCGTTCTCGGGTGCATCCTCTCTGTCTCTGGGTCAGAAGGAATCTTGTCAACCTACGGCATGCAATCTTCGATATCTCTGGGCTCATCCCTCAGTGACATGCTTGTTGGAAGAGTGTCTGAGTTCCTGAAGGCCTTCATCGAGTATAAGACGAACTACAGCAAGCGGCTTAAGAAACAATCCCCCCCTGTCAAAAAGCTGGCACAATTTGGTCTGACTATGGTTCGATGGTGTTTCCTCCTTGCACGGAACTATCTTCATGAGCTGGCAGATGATCTGCTCAAAGCCATGTTCAAGTACTATTCAGAGAATGGCATGACCGGGTTGTTTTCGCCATCTGCACCGGCTGGAATAAAGACGATGCCGCACTTCCTCAAGGATCAAGTCCCTGCGCAAGACCTCCTTCCAGCAGACAACGACACAGATTTTGACATCGTCCTGAAGCTGACGGCGATAGCACTGACGCCGCGGCTCGCAATGATTTACGACACTGCCGAACATATGAAGAAGTTTCAGCTCCGCAAAAGATCTCTTCTGTTCTTGATGCTCCCAAATAGAGGGCGGGATCTGACCACTGAAAACCTATCAGTGTTCGACGAAGACAAAGATTTGGCGCTGACAGACTTCGCTGGAATAGCGAATCGATACAGCCTATTCGCAACTCTGTATCACTACGCCCCAAACGAGTCAAAGCCGGTTCTCGCCCAAATCAGCAACTACGTCGACTTTTCTACCGCCCATAATAGCGTACGCGAAGTCATTCTGGAATGTTGGACAAGTCTTGTACGATCAGTGCTTGCTCAGCCAAGTAATAGTGGCAGACTGCAAGAGCTCGGCCACTGGATCCGGCAGATGTTCTTCTCAATGTGTACGAAACTGGACAATATACCCCAGAACAACAATATCAACGCTCCGGACGAGACCCTTCGGGCCGAATATCATGTGCATCGGATCAATAGGGTAACGACTATCGACTGTCTATGTCAAGTTGCAGCGAGATTCTGTGCGGCTGTTGGCCTCTGCGCGAATGCAGAGCAGGTCTCCTGCCTTCTCCCGCAGGAAGAACTGAGCAGCCTGATACTGCGATGCTACACCAACCAGGGTCTCGGCGATAACGTGGTATGCCAAGTCTTTTCTCTCCTCACATCATACATAAAAAGGGGCCTCAAGAAAGAGAGGGAAGCATTTCTGTTCTTCCGTCGAGACTTGCGCGGACTTCTTGTGGATCAACTCACCCGCAACAGGGAGCAGGATGAACCTGAGTTTGAACGCCTCTTGGTGTCCATGGCTGAGACGTGGTACGCCCTTGGAAGAGTCATGGTGACTGAAGGATCAGCCAATTGGGATCAGTTCCTAAATGACTGGTCACCAATGTCGTTTCCACAAATTGCCGACGTCGAGAACGGGAGACACTGTCAGGTCCTGCTGATGAGCAAGATCGCAGCAGAGAGAGACGTGGTCCTCGCAGAACCCTATCCTTTCATCCAAGCCTTGTTCCGGTCAGTCCTGGGGTCGGTCCTGGCCCGCTCGAAGATCTCCTTCATCCATCGACTTTTGAACCAGCTCATCGAGAGCATACCAGACGCTTTCGCATTGGATGGGCTGCGCCACAATTTGTCAGGTGGCGTCAGACCCTTCTTCCTGGACAAATTCGATGTCATCAACCACCGTTTTGCTATCGTGGATCACTTTATTCGCTATGCTTATGTCGTCCGGCCTGCCGCCGACGGACCTCTTCTCGGAGACCTCACAGACGGGCAATGGAACGATCTGATGACAATGATCCCCAAAATATTGAAACGAACAATGACACAAGACCATGGAGGCGCACGGGCAGATTGGATGACATTTTCGCAGAAAGTGCTGTTTCGGCTTACCTTGTACGGGGGTCCTAGCTTTGGCAGCGCTCCCTTGCTTGCTGGGCTCCATGATGGGGATATCGAGAGCACCACTTTCAGGTTGGAACGCCTTTTCGTCACATCACCTAGGCGATACGACTCAACTGACCCTGACAATGGACATGCGGCCAAGCTCTTCCTATCGGCTGTTGAGTCGGCATGTCTGAGGAAAAAGGAGGACGTACTGGTTTCGCACATGGCCGACATCTTTGCTGCATCGAACCCCGATTATATCGAAGACGACGGAAGCTTCTTGCTGGATATATCTGAGCAACTAGATTTCCTAAAGGGTGTGTTCCCGGTCTACATTGAGTCTGCACTCGACGATACTCACCCGACAATGCTGTTTGCTATCCCTGTGCTTGACATCGCAATAGATCTTCTGAAAAGGTTGGAGGCCCGCATCGATCTGGAGGATCAGGCTCGCATGGAATCGTTTGCAGAGCTGATTACAGTCTGGATGAGGGCTGCAGTCAAGGCCATGCAACACTCAATGCCAACACCATTGAAAGAAAATGGCTGGCAGATTGAGACAGTATGTCGTCTCGTGGACCTGGTTGCGGCGGGTGGCGGCCGCTGGGCGCATCTTCACAATCTTTTCCCAACGTCTATCGATATCGTTGGTTTCCAGGAATCCGTACAAGCATACGCGTGCTATACGTACGATTTCGTCTGCTCTACGGCCGGGTTCGACTTTGGCGTACCGCCTTCAGACCCTACATTCTGGGAGGAGCGGATAGGTGTCGAGTCCTGGACAGTCGACTTCGGCTTCGAAACCGAAGACGTCTCGGTGCCGGAACGCATCTCTACCCTCAAGAACGACGCTGCCAAAGAGCTTCGAGCCGTTGGCAGGGATTGGTGTAAGGTTGGCTTTACGACGTTCGGGCCTGTATGGGAGCTGCATCGGGGCGGGTCACCAGCAATGGCCCAAACAAATGGAGGGGCAGCAAGCGAAGGGACCACGTTTGTCGCGCTACAAGAGGTGGCGGAACGATTGCAGCGGGTGTTGGTTTTGCTGGGACTGGTGGACGAAGTCTTGTGAGCGGATTTTTTTGAGTAGACCCCTGTTAGTGCATGGTACTACCATCGTGACGGTGAGGCCTCCTTAAACCGCGCGGGTTCCATGCGCGCACGGTTGACAACACATCAACGACGCTGATGTGCGGGGAGTCGCATGTAATTCGTCCCCAGCCTCGTTCACCGCCCGCGTGGCTGCATAAGGCTGCACAAGGCTGATCGCGTTGCTCGGCAACTAGTGGCCAGTAAATAAACGGGTGGGCGAATTAGCATCAGCCTCGACCAACCTCTCCAGCTCGCTATGACCATTTCTTAACCCTTCGGACAGCACGAATTCCTCCAGCCCGTTGCCATATCCCGTCATCCCTCAGCAGAACCAACATTCCAGTCCAGAGGATGGGTGTCGAACCTCCATTCATTTACGACCGACCCTCGACATACACCTTTGGCGGACCAACCGATCGTGGTTTCAATCCCAAGGCGGCAACACACGCATCATGGGCACCCAAGGCTCAGAAACCAAAGCAGGATGGGCCGCTGGTCGATTTTAACAAGCACCCTGACTCGGTAGGTCGCTGACTCGCAAGCAGAACAAGTGCCGCGCCACTGACGCTTTCGCAGTACATCGTCGTTCCTTACGGCAACCTGAATGCCAAAGCAATGCCTCCGAGTACCGAGAAGATGATCATCCGCAGCCGGAAACTGCAGCTTCTCTCCCGCGTATGCGCACTGCTCGGAGCTCTGGGAATCCTGTTCTGCGTCATTGCTATCACAAAAACCTCAGCGACAGTTGGATGGATCATACGAGGCGCTCCAGCGATTGCCATACTGCATACCGTCTACGCCATCTTCAACCTCGCGCGCGCCCCCACAAGCCGTACAGCAGGCTCGACAGCAAGCTACATGATTTTTGCCGCTCTGGTTGATAGCGGCCTAATTCCCTTCTGGGCCTTCTCGGCTTGGATGGCGCATGAGGATTACACCAAGAACCAGTATGGTTGGAGCACACTTTTCAATGATTCGGACCTGTCATATAAGATTATCTTCGCCTTCTTCCTGCTTTCTTGCATTGAAGGCGGCTTGATGGTCGTGTCTCTCTTGCTGGATATCTACTTGGGCATGAAGTTCAGACAGATTTCCAGGCTGCCTCCCGACATGAACCCTCTGGAGCCGACCCTCACGTCGAGGCACAAGCACAAGAAGTCTGAGATCACCGAGAAGAACATGAGATTTTCGGGATTGGTTGCCGCGAAGCGAGAATCGCAAGCCTCTAGCTTCAAGAGAGTGCCCTTCATACATACTCGCACCGATTCGGCTGATAGCGTCACACTCTACGGCAGTGAAGGTGCTCGAAATTCCCGCCTCGAGCTCCGCAAGGATCTGGACGAATCGGGCAAGGATCCATGGCGCTGGTCAAGAAACTCGTCCCCCGAACGACCTCAGTCAGCGGTTGTTCCTTCGCCGACTTCTCGAGCTGCGGGTAGTGGCATGGATTTCCGGCCTGAGCGCTCGTCCATGCTTAGTGAGAAGCCGTCGAGGCCATCATCTTGGCTGTCATACCTTGATTACGAAGGTGTGCCCACCCCCATCAGCGACGACGCCAACGCAGAGTTTGACAACGACGTTCGGCCGGTTTCACCCGTTTCAGCAGTCTCCGACAAAGACGCCTCGTTCGTTAGAACGTCACGCGAACGTGCAAATTGGTACAGTGGTTCGACAGCTCGCGACAGCCGGATTCACCTGCCACCGTCTGCGAACCACAGTCCCGCTTTGTCGCACGCGCACACAGGAAGCAGAACCTCCCTCGCAATGCCACCTCCCCCGTCTCCTCCCAAGAAGAGAAGCCGAGAACCGCTGGGCATGAACCCTCCCACACCCACGCGTTCTCCCTTTGCCGACGAAAACGCCTATACAACCCCCATCAGAACTCCTAACTCCAACCGCGCAATTCTGCAAGACACCACCGCCAATAGTCAGGCCCGACCCGACGCGAATCCTACCAATTCCCGGCCCTCAAGCTTTGTCGGCTCCGGCGGCAAGCCCCGTTTCTATGGCAACCTCGGCACTCCTGTCAGCGGCTCTCCACTCAACTCGCCGTCTCGCGCCCACAGCTACGAAAAGGGAGAAATCATCTCGGTCGTCCGGGAAGTCGAAGACATGTACGAGCGGACGCGCACCATGCAGACCGAGTCGGACTATTCTGCGAATTTCGAAGTCCACGGCTCCGAAAGCGACGATGAGGATGACGGAAAGCTGAGTGCACATATCGGTGCCATGCACACCACTGCGAGTGCGACTCCGAGCCACTGGAATGGCGTCCGACAGGCGAGCAATTCCACCGGCTTTGACTTGAACAGTGGATATGCCGGGTTGGGCACCGAGTTTGGCAAAGGGATGGGCAGACGGAGAGACGTTAGTGGTAAGGTTGCCGAGGAGGGGAGAGCGAGTCCGACGAGGAACGGGGCCGCCGGGTGGGAGCGGTTCAAGGGGTTGTAGAAGTGATACGGAGTAATGACTTGGAACTGCGTAAAAATGCTTGACTTTGACGGAACGTTGGGAGTTTACCCGCTGAGCTACAGTGGGTGACTAGGTAAGGTATATTGTGGACTGGATATGGGATATGGGATATGGATATGGAGTTTATTGGTTATGGGACGACCGACACAGGCACAATGGGAACTTGAAACTTGGATTTTGGGAAGCGATCAACGCAACGGATGAGGATTTCAAGCAAATGCAATGCAATGCAATATGAGCTTGAGCTTGAGGTTCACGCGGCAGGGTTTGGAACATGGGACACGGCATGCGGGATACGGGATACGGGACCTGGTCTGCCGGGCACGTGCTGTAGATAGAGACTACCTAAGTAAGTAATCCAAAAGTTCACAAGCTTGAGGCTTTGAGATCTGCCCTGTGGTACGGAGTCCGGAGTACATATGGCGTACGGTAACTTAGGGAGCTTGCTTTTAGCATCTCGGATGCGGACCCGGGATCTTCTTTCCCTGAGGCTGCGGAGGACATATGTATATAGTTAATCACAGTACCGAATATCAGCAGCTGGCCGTGGTGGCCATGACCATGCACATTGTATACAGCGGCACGGTCCAGAGTACCGAGTACCGAGTACACGTACGGAGTAGATACCTAGCGACCAAGTAATCCAAAAATCTTACAAGCTTTTAGATCCATATATGTAGTTAGAGAGCTTGTTTTCTTTCTTCGCCAGCCAGCATCTCGGATGCAGACTCGGAACCCCCTCTACAGGAGGCCCGGGGAGGGCGACAGGATATCAGCTGGTTGCGTGGTGGTCATCGCCATGCATGCATGCATATGACAGTACAGTCCGTTGTCCTTCGAGTCCACAGCACATAACATACACGGAGTGTCGAGGAATTCGTACCAGTACATACATCAGCATCTAATGGCATCCCCGATGCCAGCGTCCAGTCTTATGGCTCAACACTCGGGGCTTTTGCTGGGGGCTTTGCCGGGGGCAGCCGACCCATAAGGTTTACCTTGACTTCGTCACGAGTGCCTCGTATTCGTAGTACAGTGTACAGTGTAATTAAGGCGCCGATCATCACGCGGCAGCGAGGGCGGGGAAGCGGAGAGGGTGAGGCATGGTGCAGGATGACGTGCAGGCGCTGGTGGCGCTCCTCTTTTGGGCGCGGAGGGGAGGAGGTTCCGAGATGGATACGGAAACGGTATCTCTACAGTATGTGAGTAAACAACTACCTACGTGGCTATGTGACTACCGTTGGAAATACCTGTGGTCTGGATGGGCGAAGTCCGTTTGAGGCGCGTGGAGATCGTTGAGGTGGGGATCCAGATGGGACCGGTGACTAGAGAGACACCTACAGATGCAGATGCATGTGAATCCGAATCCAGATGGGAAGGACATTACTAGGTGAGCATAATGCGCAAGTGCTGGAGGTGTCTCGTCGATGGACCTTACGTCTTGTCCTTGGTGCGCGCTCTCATCGCTCGTGTTCGTCTGCTCCGTGCGTTCTTGTAGGCAGCCTGCTGGAAGCTGAATGGGAGGTCAAATCTGAGTACTCGGACTGTGGTACAGTATTCTCGAACTCCCCTAGGTAGAACTTTCTCAGCCTCGCCCCGGGGTGGATTTTGGGTTTGCCGAGATTTCCCACCGTGGCCCTCCGGACGTTACTCCACATTCGTGGAGTCGGACAAGCTTCAAGTTCCATCCCTGGGCTTGCCGTTTTGGGCGCGGAGCGAGACACGCCGCACCTCCAGAGGCTAGTCTCCTAGCCTGGACTGATATTCTCGTGGCGTGAAATCCCACAATGGTCGTCAGTGGTGCTTACCTTGTTGATGGATTGGCTGGTGCAGGTGACTGTCGATCAACTAGAGGATGGGAGGGTCCATGTGTGCAGGAGAAACCTGGTCGGGAAATGGCCCTTCCTGGACCCTCGAGTTCGAGTATTTATATACCTGGTTAGGCGTGCCAATGTGTGGTTCGTGCTCTAGCTCCTCCTATCTCAACCAGCTCTCTGCCAGAGTGCTCAACGAGACAACCGACGTGTGGCGCTCGGACGACTTCCATTGCAAGCCAACCCTTGACCGAGAACCCCCGACATGGACGAGAAAGAGCTCGGCGACGCCGAACAGCATGAGGTGGGCGGTGGAATGTCCCCAGCTACAGTACACGCCTTGGCTAACTCCATGTCTGTCTAGGGTCCTCAAATCGACCAGGTCAAAGTTATCAAGGGATCTGAAGCGTTCCACGAGGCCCTCCTGAAGGAGGAGCCACGGTTTCTGCACCCGCGGCTCCTCTTGCTCCTGCTGTGTACACTGCTGGGCTTCTCCTGCCAGACGATGAACGGCTTTGATGGATCCTTGTTCGGCGGGTTGACGGCCAACAGCAAATTTTTGGATTACTTCAATGGCACAAACGATGGGGTAAGTTCGGTCCTCCATGCGTGGGACTTGCCGATAATAACATTGATATACAGATATGGGCTGGCCTGGTCAGTGCCATGTACCAGATCGGCGGCGTCGCGGCGCTGCCGTTCGTTGGTCCCGCCATCGACACCTGGGGCCGGCGTGTCGGAATGTTCATCGGTGCCGTGATAATTATCGTGGGGACAATCATCTCTGGCACGACAAAATACAATCCCTCGGTCGACCAATTCATGGCTGGGAGGTTCTTTCTTGGCTTTGGCGTCTCCATTGCCAGTGCTGCGGGCCCGATCTATGTCGTCGAGACCTCTCATCCTTACTACCGCGGCATTCTCACGGCCTACTGCAACACCTTCTGGTTCACGGGTTCCATCCTTGCTGCCGGCTCTGTTCTTGGAGCGTTGCACCTTCCCGGCACAAGGTCGTGGCAGATCCCGGTATGGCTGCAATTGGTGTTCTCGTGCTTGATCTGCCTGGGAGTCTTCTTCATCCCCGAGTCACCCCGTTGGCTTTATGTCCACAACAAGCGCGAGCGAGCCAAGAGTATTCTGACCAAATGGCACGGCCTGGGTGATCCCGAATCTCCTTGGGTGAAACTCCAGCTGTCCGAGTACGAGCAGTTCTTGAACACCGAAGGCTCAGACAAGCGATGGTGGGACTATCGCAAGCTGTTCAGCTCGCGGGCGTCTCGCTACCGCGTGGCGTGCAACTGCGTCTTTGTCATATTTGCCCAATGGGCCGGCAACGGCGCTCTCACTTACTTCCTGCCCGCGGTCCTTGACACTGTCGGATACAGCACCGACGAGGTCAAGGCAAAAATCAACCTTGGATACGCATGCTTCCAGTATGTGTTCGCGCTCATCGGAGCCGGCTTGGTTGACCGGGTGGGTCGCCGACCGCTGATGTTGTTCTCCATGGGGACATGCTGTGTCTGTTGGATCGGAGTGGTTGCCGCGTCCGGCATCTACAACACCACAGGCGAGACGAACCAGGACGCCGCTCGAGCTGTCATCGCCATGATCTTCCTGTTCGGCGCTGTATTTTCCGTCGGCATCACGCCGCTCCAGGCGCTCTACCCGGTCGAGGTCCTGTCATTCGAACTGCGCGCCAAGGGGATGGCGTTTTCCAGCTTGTCAGTGAACGCGGCCGGGTTGCTCAACCAGTTCGCATGGCCGGTCAGTCTGCAGCAGATTGGGTGGAAGACGTATTTCGTTTTTATGGGTTGGTGCGTGGTGCAGACTGTCGTGTTCTATTTCTTCCTGCCGGAGACGAGGCAGAGGACGCTCGAGGAGCTGGACGAGGTGTTTGCAGCTAGAAACCCGGTCAAGGCATCGCTCAAGCGACACGAGTTGACCCTGACGTCGGAAAAGGAGGTCATAGTGGTGAAGGACGCGTAAAGGGGCTTTGGACAGATAGGCAACTTGATCAGGCACGCGAGTTGGAATGGGAAAATGGTGCCGTGGTCACGTTCTGTAAGCTGTAACCTCATGGGCAGTCATGCATGTCCAGGAAGACAGCGGCTCGAATAACAGTATCCTTGCACACTTGTCGAGGCCAGTAATGGTGACAGGCAAGATTGCCGCACCTCTCACTTCCTGTCGATGGCGGCTCACAGATCATCCAAGAAGGCAGCCTTAGCAGGAAAGCCTGGACCCGAAACTGTGACTGGACATGGTTGGACGTGAAGGACCTTGGGACGAGGCTCCTGTGGTGGAGTCCTGGGGTATATCCCGCCGGCGAATCTGTGGAAGGAAGCAACTGAGTTGAACGCTGCTGACAATACGCCTCGTAAGCAAAGTCAAAGCGAAGAGTTTGACCACTGGTCACCCTCTCCCAGACCGAGATCTTAGGCGGCTTGCGGGGTCGAGGGACGGGAGCAGCACAGGCAAGGCTGACCAGGACAAAGATACCTCGTACTGTATGAATTACTACTCTCACCGACGAGGTACCCCCCGTTCGAGCTTTGCCACCCACGCAATGCATGGCAGGCTCCGGAACAGAAATCCCCAGAGCAGCCGCATGACGTCACGGAATCATAAATAGCATTGCTCTCATCCAATCACACTGTGCGTCATCCCGGGCCGTCGACTAAGGGGGGCAGTCATAATGTCATCAGTTGTCTGCTGGATGAACAGGCTCGACAGTCCCTTGTACGAGTCGGAGCGCATTGGGGGATTAACTGAGGCAGGGCGAACTCCTGCAGAGGTACTCGTACACAGTAGTGGGCACCTGCAGGATTGAAATCGTTCGGCTTACTGCTACTGGTAGTTTCGACAACATGCCATCGAACTGCTAAGCTACTGTGGTAGGCTCTACATCTAGTCTGCATCATCTCACTTTCAATCACGAGATCGAAGATCGTGTTCTTGCTTCCCATGTCGTTTCTGCAAAACTCCGTCAGATTTTCACCAAGGTGCTTGTCACGCTCACACTGTGTACACTATCAAGTCAAGCAGCTTCCTAGAGGCTTTCGTTCATTCACCCTCTTCAACACCAAAGCAAGGACCGCCTTATCTATTCCAGCGGCTCGGACAATCACCACCAACATCGCCAAGATGACGTTCCCGACCCCTTCGTCAGATCCGCCCAAGCATGAGATGGCATATTTTCCGGACATGACGACGTCGCTGCCGACCGAGTCGGGTGAATTCCGCCGTGTGTTATGGACGGGCCTGTACAGTCAATTGGTCCTGATGACCGTGCCTGTAGATGGGGAGATTGGAGACGAGGTACGGGCCTCTCCTTGCTTCTTGCTGCGTCGAAGGCCCTCCACTAACACGGCCTCCCCCGCCACAGAAACACACTGTCGACCAGATCCTCACTTTCACATCCGGCAAAGGCAAGGCCACCATCAACGGTGTGGACCAGGATGTCAAGGCCGGCGATCTTATCATCGTGCCCGCAGGCACGCAGCACCAGTTTATCAACACAGGTCCTACGCCTCTCATCTTATACACCGTGTACTCGCCTGCGGAGCACAAGCCGACCACCGTGCACAAGGACAAAGCGCAGGGAGATCGCGAAGAGGAGGAAGGCATCGACGAGGCTCCGGAGTGGAGTCAGCGCAGTAAGAAGGAAAACGAGGATTTGGGCCTTGTAGAACCGGAGGGGCACTAGATTTCGAGTCGATTTGAATCCGTGTCGTAGCGTCGTTTAGCCGTGCAAAATCCAAGACATCGTGGCTGTAGCCTCACGGGCTTTCATTTCTTCTTGTTCTTGCCCACCACTTTCGTGAACCCCTCCTCGTCGACCTCTGGCTCGGGTTTGTTCTTGGTCGTCTTTTTCGGCATCCAATCAATGTCAACGAGGGGAGGCGCCTCGTCCATATTGACGTCGGGTCTATCGACCTTCCAGTTGTTCTCGTCCTCGTCGTCCTCGTCGTCCTCATCGTCCCAATCTGTTTCCTCCCCCTCTTTATCCTCCGCCCTGACAATCTCAACTTTCGGCTCCCCGCCCTTCTTCTGCCTCTCCTGCCACTTCTCATAGAGCGCTTGCAACCCAGTTGTGTCGCCATCCACGAGCTTTGCGCACCCACTCCATATCCCCCTTGCGACTTCTTCGGCGCTGTCGTCGTCTACCACGACCTCAAACTCATCAGCCATGACCTGTAGAAGCACTTCCTCGAGATCGCCGACGTCAGCCAGCTGAGGTGGGGTTGAGGTGAGCAGTTCGGACACGGCACCCGCCAGCCAGTCGCGCTTGTCCTTGGACACCTGCGCCGAGCCACCCCAGTTGTTCTGAATGGCGAGGGTCAAGGCCGGCCACGACCAGAGGTGCAGCGCGACGAGGAGGTCGATCTGTGCGGAGAGGGTGGACGGTACGGCCTTGCCATTTGGGGACGGGGTGGACGGTTCGGCCTGCTGGGAGGTGGACTGGTTGGATTCGGCCATGGCGGATGGCGTGCGTCTGAGTCGGACCGAGTGCAGGCGGTTCCTGGCCGACTGAAATACCTGTCCTGGAGGAACTGTGGTACGAGGGGAGGCGCTCAATGATTTCTGGTCATAATAGTCTCAAATTTGCGGAACGAAGACGGAAGTGAAGGAAAGCATGACATGACTACTGCATGCAGTGGAGGCATAGATGATGCATAGGTGAGCCACAAGTGAGGCCGTTTGGAAAAAAATTGGACGGCGGTTCGGCCAATCTTTCGCCGAGGCGTCGGGCATCGAATGGTTGCTGTGGCACGGTTGCCGTCCCTCAGCTCAACTTTTGATCCTACGATGATGCAGGCCACTAGTCATGCAGCGATGATAATGCGTCGAATCATTCTCATATATTTGGGTAAGTGAAGTTAAATGAAGCGTCGAGTCACTCCCCGTGACTTGGACTGGAGAGGTGTGTCCAGAAAATTTCGAACTGGTCCTGACACCCTACTTTCGCTCACTTTTGGGAGCTGGCATTTAATTACAGCGCTGGAAGGACAATATACGTGAAAATGGGGGAGCCTACTTCTGTCACAGCAGCGCCATTAGCCACACAGGACGGACGAGCTGCCCTGACCTCCCGAGTCATTCCCACCATGAGTCTCTCTACGGATGAAAACCCTCTCACGGCACCGTTGCCGCCTGTACAGGCGACACCTGCTGCCGACAGGGCCGCGGCACGATTTGCCGTCGAAGGCAATGCCGTCCTCACTGGAGGCGCTGGTACCTTGGCTTTAGTGTCTGCCAGAGCACTCCTTGAACACGGTCTGTCAGCAGTCACTCTCATGGACTTGCAGTCGACCATCGATTCATCCACCGACGCCATTTCTGAGCTCAGACAGGAGTTTCCTCAACCCCGCATATCGACGGTCGCTGTCGACGTGACTGCAGAGCCAGACGTACACAAGGCTTTCAAGGACGCTCGGGACTTGATGGGCAGCATCGATATCCTGTGTTGTTTCGCCGGTATTGTGGGTTGTGTGCCCTCGATATCCGCCACTGCGAGTCAGTTCCGCAAAGTCGTGGACGTCAACTTGACGGGATCGTTCTTGTGCGCCCAAGCTGCCGCGAAATACATGATAGAGTCCAAGACTGGTGGATCGATATTGTTCACGGCCTCGATCTCCGCTCACGCGACAAACTACCCCCAGCCTCAAGCGGCGTACAATGTCAGCAAGGCGGGCGTGGCACACCTGACGCAGAACTTGGCGGCTGAGTGGGCTGTGCATGGCATCCGAGTCAACTGCATGTCGCCGGGATACATGGACACGGTGCTCAATGCTGGTGACAATTTGAAGCCCATCAGGGATATTTGGGCTGGTCGATGCCCAATGGGCAGGATGGGAGATGTGGAGGAAATCACAGGCCCTGTTGTTCTTTTGAGTAGCAGGAGAGCCGGAAGATATATAACGGGCGCAGATCTTCGCGTCGACGGCGGTGCGCTGTGCTTTTGACTTGGCAGATGTCAGGTTGGGCGCAGTTGGAGATTTCTACCGACAGTGCAGGTGCGCCTTTGATCTACTAACGTCTGGTTTCCCCTCTAACGGGTCTCGGTTTCCTTCGCAGACTAGACGCACCATTGTGTGAAGGAAAGAGCGAGGTAGCACGACGCTGAGGCTGAAATTGGCCTGATACATAATGGCTATGCTAGGCACTTGGGAAACGCCCCGCACGAATCCGCCTCGCATGCCATGTTTCTTCGAGACCGGAGCAAAGTTAGGCGCGTGGCTGTCCCTTTGACGAACACGGGACGGTCTTCCCGTTGTGTCAGTGGTCAGCCTGATCGAGGCTTGCATATATTGTAGCCCTCACACCTGGCCTTTGTAAAGGATGACTCTGATTCGTTTGGCAGGCGCTTCAGGCTTTCCCCGCCATAGCAAGGAACGGCAACCACACAGCCCATTCTAAGGTTCAACCGTGCAAGGCTCAGCCTCTCGTTTGCCCTCCAGGTCCCGTCGTCTGACCGTCAATCTGCACCAGATTCCCGGCTTCGTCAGTCTTCACAGACTTGCTCCCAAGAAGTGCTAAAACAGAAGTCGCCAGTTATTGTTGAGGACCTCGCGGCAGCCAGCTTGCCAGGTTCTTCTAGGCAGGCACTTTGGAGAGTGCCCGACCACGTGGCGGTCAGAGCCTTACTCTGTTTAAAGACACACCTCTGCGACGACGACCCGAATACGCTTTGTCTTGAACACAATTCGAGGTCAGTGTTCGCTGGAACGTCCGCCGACTGCTGGATGCATTCAAATGGCCAGCAATGGGAATCCAAGGCCAAAGATAGTGGACGAGCCCGCTACTCTGGGTTTATCACTGATCGCCAACCCTGAACACCCGAATCTTGAGTAAGTCTGCTCGTCAAAGCTGCCCAAGACCAATCAGCATGGTGCTTACCGAACGGGTAGTGTGGTATTTGTTCACGGCTTCAATGGCCACCCTGAAAGGACTTGGCTGCACAGGGGCGATGCGAACAGCCAGTCGAGCGACTCAAGTAGGGACTACTCCGATGAACGGCCGCGAAAAATTCAAAAGGCCTTCGATTCGTTCAAGGCGTCACGAAGTCGGACGTCACGCGATCGAAAAGGTGTTTACTGGCCGCGAGATCTCTTACCCGAGTCGCTACCATATGCACGAGTTCTAGCTTATGGCTACGATGCTCACTTGGGGCATCGGCTCGGGCCTTCACACAGTCAGAAATCAGTCTATGATTTCGCAAAGGATTTTCTGCTAGAGCTGGAGGCAGTACGGCGGTCTCACCCGAAGAGGCCGCTCGTGTTCATTGCTCACAGTCTTGGAGGAATCGTCGTCAAGGAGATGCTCCGCCAGTCATACGGACACTTGGACCACCAGACTGAGCTCCGGGCCATATCAGAATCAACTGCGGGCATCATCTTCTTTGGCACCCCTCACGGCGGTGCAGATCCACAGAGCCTACTGAAGACCATCGCCGAGAACGTTGCCTGGGCCGTTGGTGTCACATTCAACAAACAAGTTGTCGAGAGCCTGTTGCCCTCCTCAGAACGTCTGAGGCAACTCAGGGACGAAATTGGACCTATGGCTCGCACGCGGGGATGGATCATTCATTGCTTTCAAGAAGACCACGGCATCACTGCTCTCAACGGGCGGAAAGTAGGCGTCCCAGTGAGATACCGCTGCTTTGCCTAGCATGCTGACTTTTGCAGGTCGTTGAAGATATCTCGTCATGCTTGGGTGATGCCAGCCTAGAACTCACCCAGCACATCGCAGATGACCACATGGGCATGTGTCGGTTTAACTCATTCCATGATGCAGAATATCAAAAGGTTGTTGCCGCCATCAATCGAATCCTCCCAGAGCACAATGGCCTTTCCGTCCCAACTCGGACAGCGTTCAACAATGCAGAACGGCAAGCATACATCAACTCGTTGAGGTTTGATCAAATTGATGCCCGCCATGCCAGCATTAAGTCGGCCCACTCAAAGACAGGTAAATGGCTACTCAAGAAATCCGAATACCTGGATTGGCTTGCTCCTGAACGCCAAGATGAACATAACGGATTTCTCTGGATTAAAGGTAAAGCCGGCAGCGGCAAGTCGACGATGTTAAAATATATCTTATCACACATCAACAAGACAATACTAGGAACCCCAGTCATTTCATTCTTCTTCAATGCTAGAGGTCACATCATGGAGAGATCGACCATAGGCATGTATCGCTCCTTGCTCTTGCAGCTCTTCGAGCATGTCCCCGAGCTCCAAAGTGCTCTGGACGTGCTCCCTCGGCCACCCTTGTCTGCTACCGGTGAGTTCGAAGGCGAATGGCAACTCGAGACCTTGGTGGGAATCTTCCAAGACGCTGTCAGGGCGATTGGAGAGAGGGGTCTGATCTGCATCGTCGACGCCCTAGATGAATGCCACGAAGATGATGTTAGAAGAATGGTCGCTTGCTTTGAGAACCTAGGCAAGGAAGCTAGTGAATCAGGACTCCAAGTTCGTATCTGTTTCTCCAGTCGACATTATCCCTACATCACCGTCGACAGGTGCATCGAGCTTGTTTTGGAAGGTCAAGAGGGCCATCAACAAGACTTGGCCAATTACCTACAGAGTGAGCTGAAAATTGGGAAGAGCCAACGCTGTGAAAAGATCAAAGAACAACTGCTCCGGCGAACCAATGGAATATTTCTCTGGCTTGTCTTGGTCGTCCAAATCTTGCAGAAGGAATTTGACCGAGGCCGGGTGCACGCGCTTGAGAATCGACTAGAAGAGATCCCACCGGGTCTTGATGAGCTGTTCAGAGACATCCTGACCAGGGACACCCGAAACGCTGACGATCTTCTCCTCTGTTTGCAATGGATCTTATTCGCCAAGAGGCCCCTGAGACGGGAGGAGCTCTACTTTGCAATACTGGCTGGCACGGAACCCCAGCATCTTGGACCATGGGATGCAGCCGAAGTGACACCAACGGTTATGGACAGATTCATCCTTGACTGCTCTAAAGGACTCACAGCTTTGACCAGGACCAAGAACCAGACAGTCCAGTTCATCCACGAGTCGGTGCGGGACTATCTACTGAAGGGGAACGGGTTAGCTCATATCAGACAAGATCTCCTTGCCAACTTTTCAGGTTTGAGCCACGAGAGGTTGAAGCTGTGCTGTCAGAATTATTTGGCCATTGGGATTCCGGAGCTCGAGCCCATTCACGCCACAATCGAGGCGGGCGTAGGAGGACCTGAACAGCAGCCTGGTAACGAAAGTGACGACGTTGGAGAGATCATCTCCTGCGACAATGGAGATCACGAGATGTCGGCCGTGACTCGTAATCAAGACTCCAAACAGCTCCGGGAGATACTTTGTTCGCGATACCCATTTCTCGACTACGCTGTCAATCATGTGTTCAACCATGCGGAAGCCGCGCTCGTGACGGGCATATTACAAGAGGTGTTCATCTATCAATTCAATCTGGCAGCTTGGACGTCACGAAACAATGTCCTCCAGAAATTCAAGACACGCCGATATTCACCTTCGGTGACCTTGCTGTATATTTTCGCCGAGAAGAACTTGCCTGCTCTGATCCGCGATGAGCTTAGCCGAGTGCCTCACATGGATCTACGAGGGGAGCGCTTCGTTTGCCCTTTGAGAGCAGCTATAGCACACAAGAACGAAGCAGCTATACAGGCATTCTTGGAGCCAGCTGATCGAGACCGGGACGCCCGGTATCCAAGTATCCCAACTGCTAGCCAAGACGGCCGGCGTCCTGATTCAGTGTCCGTTCTTCTTCAGTGCAAAGCAGAGCTGTTATCATCCGCAAAAGAATGGTCTGTTTTCCTCTGGGCTGTATTGCGTGGCGAGGTCGGCCTCATGAACGACCTCCTGGCCACAGGAAAGGTTGTGATACACTGTCAAGTGACAACACCGCATTATGGTATTATTGCAGAGATTTCCCAGAAATCTACTGACGCTCATCTGATGCCCTCAGGGATATCACTGGAAATACTCAGCCGTTCTGATGACAGTCGAGCATATTTTCATGAGCTGCTTCCCTGGGCTATGCGACACGGATACCAGCTTCTCTTTAGGCATCTCATTTGGCACTATGTTGCTATACTTAGGGATTTTTCTGTCCCCTCACGCAGCAGGATCCTCTCGGATGTGAGACTACTGCTGACTGACCGTGAGTTGACGACGCTGCTCTGTCAACGTACTGATCTGGAGGGTAACTTGAAAGTTAAAGCTTGGGGCGTTCTTTTGTCGGTGGGATTTCAGTATCAGGTCCCGTGCCTGGTGAAACACATCGTTCAGCATAATCCCCTTTCGCTGGACCACGTGCCTGTTGAGGCAATTTACGACTTCCTCGTGCAATATGTCGCACAGCGGGACTTTGACACACTTCGGCTTGTCATTGCAGAAGCGAATGGCAACACCACCTTTCAGACCCGTCTCCTGCGCCTTCTCATATGTCGCACGTACCCGGCGCCAAGCATTGGAGCTATCTCCCGGATTTTAATGGCCAATGGATTCGAATTCAACGGTGCGGCAATCCAAGGCGTTCCCCTGCTATCATGGGCGTCCAAGGCAGAGCAGGATGAATTAGTGCAGCTAATCCTCGAACGATGCAGCGTTGACGTCAATGCCCGAGATAGCGAGGGACAGACAGCGCTTTCTTTGGCTGCGTTTTCCGGAAGTCTCACCACTATGAAAATGCTCCTTGATGCGGGCGCAGACGCGAACTGTCAGGACAAGCAGGGTGCAGCCCCGCTTTCATACGCTGCAAGTACAGGCCATGAAGAAAAGGTAGAATTGCTCTTGAAGACCACACACATCAATGTTAACGTGCAGGACAACGGTGGGGATACTCCGTTGCTAAGGGCAGTCAGGGGAATGGCTGTTGCAAAGGTTGCACTGCTCTTGGAGCATCAAGACGTGGATGTCAATATCAGAGACAAAGACGGCGATACAGCTTTACTCGGAGCCGTGGCGCTGCGTGACGAATCTGTGGCGAGTCTGCTCTTGAAACGTGATGGCGTTGATGCCAATGCTCAAGACAAAGATGGGGTTACCCCTCTGCTAAGGGCAGTAAAGGGGAAGCGTCATCCCATGGTAAAATTACTGCTCGAGCGACGTTTCGTGGATGTCAATGCGAGAGATCCAAGTGGTAGGTCATCGTTGTGGTGGGCGGTATGCCAGTGTCTCGATAAAATCATTCAGCTCCTCCTCGAGCGACCCGACATCGATCTCGAGGCTGGAGCGCCCGAGCTGTGCGATTCCTTGCAGAAGAGGTCGCCACTTGAAATCGCCAGGAGAAGAGGTTATTCCAGCATAGCGACGATTTTGGAGCAAAGAATGCGTCAGAAGCAAGGACAATAGAACCGTCAGTCCCGGCCATACTCAAGCGACGCAGCAAGAAGCCCCAAGAGGAGAGTTGTCGCGCCCGCCGCTTGAAAGGTCAGGGGGTGACTCGAAAGAAAGGACATGTTCTCCTCTCACGGTCAGACCGCAACGAGGTACTTCCCGCCGCATGTTCGAAACGCGACCGCGCATCTACCTTCGATGCTCTGCTCAGACGCATCCCGAGACCTGTACACGGCAGGATTGGCTCTCTTTTGTATCGGCTCCTTCTCGGTGATATTTTCTCGCACGACACATCCGCTGCATCGAGCTTGAGGAGAATCCTTCATGGGAGAGGGTCAAAGACAGGGACGTTGATATTTTCTCGAGGAAACAGAAACCGAAAGAAAAAACCGTGGAACCGTTCAACCATACGGATTGGTGATGCGATTGCGGTCCCGGCTCTCCGAGGGCTAGGCATCAGCCAAGTTGAGGTTTAGCCGAGCAAGTCATGCTGCAAGTCAAGCTACTTGGAATGGTGCTCCCGCAGCGGGTGAGGCGTGTACGAGGAAATGTTAGGTGGGCGGGCACTCATGCTAATGGAGACACACACACCCAGGCAAGCCAGACGGTCCAAGTGAACCACCTACACAGGCAATACAGAGTACGTACGAGCAGTACAGAGTAACTTGGGAGTTACCTGGAACACCTGATATGGGATGGAGGACTATGTACGCCCTCGCACCACCACCATTCCGGATCCATGAACTAGTACAAGATAAAATTCTTCCCGCAACTAGGAATCTATATTATTTTGTCCCGCCCGACCCCCAGCGAAGGTCGTCTGTGACAGCAGTTCAGGCTCAAGTTCAAGTTCAGGCCCAGGGTCAGGATCAGGCTCAGGCCCCGCCTCGGGATCAGACTCAGGATCAGGCTCACGCTCAGGCTCTTGTTCAGGCTCAGGTTCAAGTCTAGGCTCAGGTGGAGGTTTAGGTAGAGGTTGACGTTCAGATCTTTACTAAGGAACAGGTCGACAAAAACGCGCCCGCTATCCTTATATCCCAGGGTCCTATAATCTTAGGATCGTGGCTGAGCTGAATACACGGTAAACGCTACAAGGAAAAGGAAAGGCAAAGGCAAAGGCAAAGGCAAAGGCAAAGGCAAAGGCAAAGGCAAAGGCAAAGGCAAAGGGAAAAGGGAAAAGGGAAAAGGGCGTGCGCAACGACATCTACCTCTCCTTCAGACCGGGTATCTCGTCGTCCATGTATATATAAGAGGATATTAAACAGCGTTCTCGGGGCTTTTGCTCTACCCAAATCCCCCAACTTAGGCAGTCACATTCTTAAGTCGCGATGGACACGCTCCTCAGAAACCTGGCTCGAAAGAAAACGTCCACGTGTGATTACATATCCGTATCCCGCTCCGTAGCTTCATCCATATTCTTTCACAACCATGACTTTTCCACCAGCCCCTATCTTCTTGGAAAGCGCAGGCTCTTTTTCACAGCTCAAGCATGTTTCGCAGCTCAAGCCGCGGGATCGTGCTTGTGCTTCTCCTTGTCCTCGGCCGCGATGGCATGGCGATCACCCTGAGCGGGGAGATGCTGCTTGGAACGACTCGGGCTCGGGAGGGTATCCCCGTTGGTGTTGCTGGCCTTCTTGATCATGTCGGTGTGCTCGCCGATGCCGAAGCGGTGTTCGTGCGGCATGTCCGGGTCCACGCCGTTCTGGTCGGGATTGTTGGGCGTCCATGCGAGGTAGTCGCGACGGACCTGTTACGGCAGACGCGGATTGTCAGCAAAACGCTCAATAGGTTCTGGGGGAACTGGTCGCCGTCGGGGGGCAACTTACCTCGACGTAGTCGTACGCGAACTCGCCCAGTTGATCGTCATCCATGCCGAGCAGTTCGGCTTCTTCCGAAGCACGCAAGTGGAGGCCGGGAATGTAGTTCACAATGTAGGCGAGGATGGCGCTCATGACAAAGGCGTAGCCCGTACATGCGACGACGTAGGCGAGTTGGATGTAGAATTGTCGATAGTTGCCAATGGGCCATCCTCCGATGCCGGTACCGGTTTCGGGGTTGGAGACGCCGGTGTTGACGCCGTCCAGGCCCACGACGTAGTCGACGCCGAGCAGGGCGTTGAACATCAGGCCGATAATGCCCGCAACACCGTGCTCGGCGAACACGTCCATGGAGTCGTCGATTTTGATCCAGTATTTGACTGGAAACACTGTTAGGATGGTCGCTCGCTATCGGCAACGAGGGCAAGACTCACTCTTGGTGGCAAAGTTACAGACGATGCCCGTGACGATGCCCAAAGCAACACTCCCCCAAGTCTCGAGATAGCCAGATGCAGGGGTGGCGGCCACCAGTCCGGAAATGGTGCCGGAACACCAGCCGACCATGGACCATTTCCGGGCCAGTCGGAAATCTAGCAGGACCCACGATGCCGCAGCGAAGGTGGCCGTCAGGTTGGAGTTCCAGCATGCCATGACCGCTCGCAGGTTGGCTCCGAACGAAGAGCCGCCGTTGAAGCCGAGCCAACCGAACCACAGAAAGACCGTTCCCAGCAGGATGAAGGATACGTTGTGGGGTCGGAAGTTGAGCATCATCTTCTCTTGTCGCTTTCCAAGAACCATCGAATAAGCCAAAGCAGACAGGCCGGAGCCGATCTCGACGGGACCGCCACCAGCATAGTCCATCACTCCGTATTTGAATGCCCATCCGTTGGCGTTCCAGGCCCAGCAAGCAATCGGGTTGTAAACGAGGGTAGCCCAGAGAAAGATCCACACCAGGAAGGGCATCAGCCGCCCACGTTCGGCGACCGCACCGGCAATGATAGCGGCCGTTACGCAACAGAATTGCATCTGTCAAATGTCAGTCCAGTAGGTTCATTGCACAGTGAGACGAGCGCAGTCTACCTGGTAGAACGAGTACAGCAGACTGGGTATCAGGGGAGAGCCGGGACTCGGGTTGCCGAGCGTCCTCTTCAGGCCAAAGTGAACCAGATCCCCAATGAAACCGCTCTGGCCCGAAGGTGAGAAGGTGAGAGAATAGCCCCAGAAATACCACTGGAAATTAATGACACTGCCCGCGGCCATACAAGCCCACATCATCGAAAGTGCCGACTTTCTCCGGGCGAGACCAGAGTATAAAAAGCCCAGACCGGGCACCATGACCAACACGAGACATGATGAAAGGATGATATATGCTTGGTCGCCTGACTGATACCACTTGTTCAAGTTTTCCGTTCCTGTGGGAAGGTCAGAAGACAGCTCGCATGTTCGTAATGCCGTGGTACGTACTTGAATCTCCTCCTGTTCTGACATTTGTGGCCAGGGTGTAGTCCGCTGGAGCACCGGTCCAGTTGTAGGACGCATAGGAGGGAAGATAACTGTTTTGGCCTTGCGAAGACATGGCGAAGGCTTGGGATGAGACGAGTTGTGTCTTGTGCGTCAAGCCCCGGATAGGCGTCCTTTTAAGTGTGCGACCGACTCAGGCCACAAAGTCGGACATGTACTGCACCTCACGGTTGTTGCCGTTTTGTATGCGGGCTGTATTTCCGGGGGGTCGGGGCGGGAGGGTGTCACGGAAACTGCCAAATGGCCAACGCACTGTCGGTGAGGGTCTACGAGAAGTAATATAGGAAATGACCCAGGCAAGCACAGGAGAAAAGGGATATGCCTAGACGGTGGCTGTATACCAAGACGATGAGCGCGTAGATACAGAGGATAAGGAAAACAACACGGAGATCAAGAAAGCAACAGGATGTGGACCAGGTGAAGAGTCTGGGCGAATTTCGGAGGCGCGTCATGGTCAGCAGCGTCCAGCAAAGGTGTGTCGACGAATCTCGAGTCTCGATCGAGCAAGGGACTGGTGATCAGTGGAACCATGGCACAGAATTGGATGCGTGGGTTGATGAGCTTGTTGACTTTGCGATTCATGCCGGGCGAGATATTGTGGGGTTGAAGCTGAAGCGTGCGACTAGCCGGTAGTGGTCGAGCACTGCTTCCAGCAATGACGATGTTTGGCTGGGACCAGCAGCCAACCGAAACGCCGAGACATTGATGCCGTTGCTGTGAGTGGTTAGAGACTCTGTTATCAAAGGGATGCCGTTGTCCTTTCTGTCTCTCTCCAGATCCCAGGCCACCACATCGATATCATGGTAGAAGCCCAGGCATGCTGGCGGGCTTGGCTCTGGCACCCGTATCAATCAGCAGAAGCAAGATTGTCCCAGCTGACCCGTGCTCGAGCATCCACCCTTGCGACGCAAAGAACGGCTTGACCTGCTGAAGCACTCGGCAACCCCCATTAGGCATATGCTTGCCCGATTTCGGCGGCAGGATATGGAGGAAACAGGTCTCAACACGCAGCAGCAAACACAGTCGTCCTCGCCACAACAATTCTCACTCGTTTTGCGGAGCAACGCCCCCAACACGCGGGTGTTCTCGTAGAAAAAGTAATTTGCGTGTCGTAATGCCAAGGGCTGCTCTTAAGAACCATCCGGCTTGCTTCTGGCTCTGTGGGAGACACATTTCGCTTGTCTGCTCCCATTTACTCATTTCCTCGACGTAGACGAAGATACAGAGGTTGCCTAGTCCAATGAAAGACCGTAGCCTTATCGCGCAGCACGCCAATGCATGCATGATGGTGGAACCGACTGCCGGAGGCCTGCCCCTGTCGCCTGCAAGCGCTCCCCAGGCATGCAAGGGCCCAAAGTCGCCCGAGATAAGGCTAGCGGAGCCGTGTTCTTGATCCGCCGTCCCCTTTATCCGAGCGAAGCTTGACGTCAACGGCACGTGAGCTTATTGAAGCTGTTTCCGCCTCTCGATAAATGGTGAACAGCTTCAAGAGTCCGCGTTTCACATGAAATCGCATGTTAGAGCAGCAGATCTGAGCCAGCAATCAAGCCTGTGGCTCTTTACGGGTACCGGGTACGGTGTAAGTTCCTCCATGCCCTTCTGGTCTCCCTGGACAGTTACCATCCGCTCCTGTCTCGTGTAAAAGTCCCGGTACATTGAGAGGTTTTGCCGTACTAGCCAGGTTTCAGAAGTGTCTATCCTCAGACGTAAACAGATGAGGCTGGGCACACGAGACGTGCCATAGTATCTTTGACAGGATGAGCGAGATAAGCCAAGCGACGCCTTGCCGAAACTGCTCTCGAAAGCACTTTTGGTGTCGTTATCTGTAACGTCCGAGCCGTTTGGCAATGAACACCCCGCTATCGATCAGCCCAAGCCTTGTGCACGGCAAAGCTACTTCAGGTATCAGGACCATGGTGCGCAAATCAGTCCGCTCTCCGGGTATCCACAACCATTCCTTCGACGGCCTGATTGTCGCTCAAAATGCTGCGACTTGGGTCGATTTATAGATAACGTCTGGTGAGCGACCAGAGCGATATTATTCCCACAGATATGTCAAGTCAGGTGGACAGCAGCTGCTGAATGGCATGAGCATGATTTCCCTTGGGACCTTGGCGTGTCGATTCCCTAGAACATGTTTGATCCTGACTTGCGACAGTACGCCACTAAAGGACGGAACAACGATGGCGGAGTCTAAGAATCAGACGGGAGCTTCCACCAGCCATCGAGGAGCAGCCAGGATTGGTAGGAAGACGAGTCCACCCACCGGAGTCCGGTGTCCAACCACGGTCAGGAGTACTGTAGGAGTATGGTCCATGGCATAGCCTTGTCTGGCGGTCGAGCAGCTTGCGAAGCTCTCCCCTGTTCATGCACAACGCAGCCTGATGACCGACCGGTGCCATCCCACCCCCCACCATCAGACCTATGGCATCAGCCGCGACCATCTCCGCGTTTTGCCTACCCCTGGTTCTCACCCAAGCTCTTCACGTTTGCCTCTGCTGACCTAAGTAGGATTTGACAGGCCGCTGGTTGGTTCTCGTCGCGAGCTCGAGTGGCTCCGAGCTGGCTCCCCCACTCTAAACGCTCAGCGATGACGAATATACAAGCTTCTTTCCAGCCCTGGCGATATACACAAGTAGGGACATTGTGGTTGTATCGCGCGGCACGGACAGCATAGTGGAATTGCTCGGATTAGCACATGGGTGGCGTGGACATGTCGCTATATCTCTTCTCGGTCCGCTGTCGTTGTTTGAATGGCCACGGGTCTGGTGTTGTCGCTTGTGGCTGATTTTACATTGAGCACGGCCGTTGACCGAGGGCGCGGAAAAATCGATTATCAGCTGCTGCAGGTAAAGGGACCAACAGCAACAATCATTCAGTGCAGGATAGCAAAGTACATGCAGAGATGAAAGTGAACCAAGATTGAATGAAAGTTCCTGCAGAGACGGCTCCAAGACCCGAAGGCGCTGGTTGGCTCCTCCCAGACTTCTGACAGCAGAGCGTCGCGAAGAATGATTGCGTCGCTGCAGCTTGGTCTGCAGGGCATCGTTACTATCTTCATATTTTTATCATTGTAGTTCTTATGTTCTAAGCAAGTCGTGCTGTCGCTTACCGAAACTGGCGTGGACAATACGTATGACTTAAAGGACACGCTGCAATATCTGCTTGATCTCCAGTCCGTCTGGCCCCATCTCACCTTGAGTCTATCGTCCTTGGGCATCTCAGAGCTCCTATTTCACCGGGTCGAGAAACCTGGCCGTAACGACAACACTCGCGGGCGCTGCTAGCTTCTAGTTGAACTTCTCCTCCGGAAGCGAACCGAAAAGGGTCTCAACGATCATGCCAGTCACCTCTGCAACAGGGGTCAGCAAAAGTGTGAAAGCTCGTATACGGACAAGACTTACGGTATGGGTCAGCGTTGGAAGCCGGTCGTCGATCTTCGAAGTAACCTTTGCCTTCTTTGGCGCAGGCCCGGGGAACGCGAACAGATGAACCTCGGTCAGCAATACCCCAGGTGAATTTCTCAAGACTGGAAGTTTCGTGGGCACCAGTCATCCGGAGTTCGTTGCCTTCACCATAAACTTTGATATGTTCGTGGTGTCGCTTCTCAAGCTTCTTCATAGCCTCCTCAATGGCTTTCATGCCACCTTCTTCACGCATCTCCTTGGTTGAGACATTGGTGTGGAGACCAGCCCCGTTCCAATCGCCGGGGATAGGCTTCGGTTGGAATGTGACTTTGGCGCCAAACTCTTCCGAGATACGGTGGAGGAGCCATCGAGAAACCCAGAGGTGATCACCCACTGTCGACTTGGTCAGCGGACAATTGTCAAGAAGGACGCAACCCTTTACTTACAGTCAATGCCTTCGCAAGGGCCAACCTGGTATTCCCACTGGGCGGGCATGACCTCAGCGTTTGTGCCAGAGATCTCGATACCTGCATACATGCAGGCCTTGTGGTGAGCCTCAACGATGTCACGGCAGTAGACACGACCAGTGCCAACACCGCAGTAATAAGGGCCCTGAGGACCGGGGAAGCCACCCTTGGGCCAGCCATATGGCCATCCGTCCGGTCCCAAGAGAGTGTATTCTTGCTCCAACCCAAACCACACCTTGTGCTGGGCATTGGCCTCCATCAAACGTGCAGCGTCATGACGGTAGTTGAATTTGTTAGGTGTCCCGTCGGGGTCCCAGGTCTCGCACATCACCAAGACATTGTCGCCCAGACGGATGGGGTCCGGGTACATGGCTACCGGTCGGATGTAGACATCAGAGTTGTCACCCGGGGCCTGGCCGGTGGAGGAGCCGTCAAAATTCCATTCGGGGAGGTCGTCAACGCTCTTGGGAGCCTTGTTCAGGGTCTAAGGGACTCAAAATTAGCTGACGAATGCCATGCGAGTCATAGTGATTTCGATGTGTCAAGTCGCCGGTGGAACCGCGTCAGTGCGTCGCATGGGGCGCGGCTAAAAGGATGGTTGCGGTCGACCCTGACCACGCCGAGATCGGCTAGATCGCGATTGGCGATGGTTGGCTGGAGTGGGCGGCGCAGCCTCGGTGCTTCGCGAAGCCTGGTGGATGAGCCGCGCCTTTGGCATGACGCCGCTGCGCCGGATTTCCTCATGGTGGGGTCGTCCGCTAGGCGGCACATCCCACTCAGAGCAGGCGGCGGAAAGTTGTTGTTGAGCATCGCTGACTGTTTTCGGCGGAGATCATTCACCGCCCAGAGTGGCGGTGGCAGGGTCTCGTGTTCGAATACCGGATGGAGAATCAAGGGAAGGGTGAGACTCGGATTGAAAGAATGTGTTTACCTTCGTCTTGTTTCGCAGGCCGTTTGACCCATCAATCCAGATGTATTCTGCTAGAACCTTGCCTTTCTGGTCCAAGGCCATGTACTTGGCCAACTGCAACGCATGGGTCAGTGTATTGGCCCAGTGCGACAAGGGCGCAAGCTGGAGCCGCGCTCTTGGAAGACTCACATTTGAGGCATTTGAGACAACAGTCGACTCGCCGACGCCAGCAGCCTGAGAGACAGTCAGTATCCGGCTATGCAATTGGTCGTGGTGGGGGAGTTGGAGTAAGGGCAGGAGCACTCACCATGATGGGCAGACGAGTGTGTGAGTGATGGAATGAAGAAAGTGGAAAGGACAGATGAGAAGTGAGTAAGGAGGAACAAAGCGGTCTTGTTCTTTCCTTTTGAGGTGGTTAAGATGTGGGATTGGGAGGAGCGATAACGGGAAGGAAAGAAAGAATCATAAATAAATCTCCAAGCAGCCTGAGCACAGCTTCACTCGCCGCTCACGACGGATTGAGGAACTACGTATGCCCCTGCACCCGAACCCTGGCCCTCCCGCACCTGCACCTGCGGCATGCACTGGCACTGCGCTTGCGCCTGTCCCACCAACAGCGCCAGTCCGAATTTGCCTCTTGTTGAGTGCAGCGATATGCCCACACGCTCGTCAGTCCAGTCCGTTGGCCTGGTCTCGGCCCGTGACCCAAACCGTCAGCTCGAACTTGCTCAGCATGTCACTCTCCAGTCGTGACGCTGGGGTAAGACGGGTGCTGGCTGTGCGACGGCTCCGTGTTGCCATAGCCTACTGTTCGGGTTTTGTAAGAGGCTCGTGAGTGCGTCTGACTGTTCACTCCCACGAGGCGCTCGATAGTGTGGCTGAGAACAAGTCACACTCTCCTGACACTCGAGTGAATTAGGATTCCAGCCTTGACTGAAGAGCGCAACTCCCCTCCGAGGGGTCGCGCCATCGTTCGTTCTTCCCCACTGCTCACCCACACCCACACTATCTTGCGTCCCTTTCCCACCATTGAGCATCCGTCGAATGAGCCCTGGATATCTGCAATCTGCGAACCACGACACTTGAGATAAGAGAATTAGATCGGTTTTTCTCCATGAAATCGCGCATTTCCTTTCTGAGACCACCTCGCTGCGCGCCGACTAGCTATGTCATGATCGTCTCATGCGTCGACTAACGAGAGCACAATGACGATTCGAAGCACGGACGACCAGATGTTCTGGGATGGGAAACACAAAGCCCCAGCCGTCAGCAACCCGAATATTGTGGGTGTCACTCAGACGCCAACTGCCACCGTTCCACTCTGTGCCCGGAGCACGAGACATTCCAGACCGTGCCCACGGCCCATTATTTACATAGCCGTGTACTCCGTAGAGGGGCTGTCTTATCCCTCGTGCTCTCCGTTCCCCGCTCTTCGCCTTGACTCTCAGTGCCGCATCATCATTAACCCGGGAAGCGCCGCGTGGTCGCGGAACTTCGGAATCGTAAGGACAATGCACGGAAACAAAGGCATCGGGTTTCTGGCGTAAGCAAGTCCCCAGCATGGACTCATCACCGGTCGGCGGACGCAGCGAGGTCAAACTCAATGGTGACATGGTGGTCAACCAGAGATGGGAGACAATCCTGCCCGAGTGAGCAGCAGTCACCAGTCAATATTGGTCGCATAATAACAATACAGTCGCTCGAAAGTAGTACTTGCATTGCTGTACCTAGGTAATTTCTTTAATTATCCTTTGTCTCGTTGGCTGTGGGGCATCGGTACTTTCTGGTACCTTGCATTCCCAGCTGCCGATTCCGAGAACACCATTACCCGAGTCTGATCGCGCCCAGATGCTTTTGCTTGCGAGCCAGACGACGCAATATACGTACAATAAGCAGTGCCTGGGGCTCGCGTGTCTGAGAACCATTTCGTGTACCGTGCAGAAAAACTACTCCTTCCTTTCCCTGGGGGTATCTCTGAAGTGTTGCGAATCCAAACATCCAAAATCGTCCAGGTGTTGCCATGCATGCGTGCTGTCCCCGTTGTTGCCGACACCCCGCCCTATCCCCCCCTGTTACATCTTATCGTTGATTGCTGATTGGCTCAATCCACCATTGACCACCACTCGATTGACATAATTGAGATTGGCGTCTCAAAAGCTCTGGTCGATAAGGCCGAGTTCTGTAATCACGTGTTGCTGTTGTCCATGATCCAACTCTCGAGGCTTGCGTGATACTTTACTCGGGCTGCGCTCGCCTGGCCCTCTTCTTCAGCAACATTAGTCGCTTCTCCTTTTCTTGCTCCTCCAAGATTTTGCTCTCCTCGACCGTCCCCCACAGTCGCAAAGCTTGATTGTGTACCTCGGTGAGTGGCGGCATGGGACATGAGTGTTGATCATCCAGCTTCGACTTGTCCCGTTCTTGCAGCATTCGGACGGCTCGTTGGCCTTGAGCGATTCTCGCCCGCCGAATCCAACGCTCTGTCTTCTCAGTGTCTCGCAAGCGACGTCGGAAGCTGATTTGAGCTCCCTTCACCGCATAAGCGCCCAAACCAAGCACTCCAGAAATTGGTTTCAGTACCAGGCCTCCGAAACCGCGAGCTACTCCTTTTGGAAGGGCAGACATGCCAGCGTCATGAACCTCGAGGTAAGGGATCCGCACAACGCCAGTCACTCCATCGTATAGTCCGAACCAGAATTCTTTCCCAGCGACCTTCACCCCGGTACGGAAACCGTCTATTCCCTGTGGGGAAGTGCGCACAGTCTTGTCGCCATCTGGAAATAAACGTCAGCATATCATGGAATTGGTGGCACACTATGGGGTCGACATCGACAACGGCGCTCAAATCAGGGGATCAGCATGACTTACACAACCGTGGTGCATTGTGGAACCCCAGAGCAAGAGCATTCCACATATGTAAAGGCATTGCCACGATCGCCTTACTGGAATGTCCGATGCCTTTGCCGATGTCTTTGAGAATCAGGACGACTGGAGAAGTATGTTCCGAGGTCGTCGTTCCAGTCGTCGCAGATCGAGTCAACTTTAGAGGCTCTGCTTCGCCTTTCAAATTGGCTTGGCGCACCAGTCTCGCGTGCTCTTTCCTTTGCTCGTCAACGGATGTACCTCGTGTAGCCATGGCAACACGGCCAGGTAGGACGAGTCCTTCAACTGCTGACCTTCCCTTCTGCTTGTGCTTGTGTCTCTCATACCGTCTGATATCGCGCTTGGTTGTGTCGTGCATTGTGGCCAGCTCGTGGCAGGCTTCCCGGAATGCCTGAATGATGACTCCGCCAGCACCAGTGATAGGCTCGCCAGGACCTTGAAAATCAGTCCACTCGTGATTCCTGACTAGTTCGAGGTCTGACCACTGAAGCTGTCTATTTTCAACCAGCAGCTCAGCGGCCAGGGCTGACAGCCGAGTGTTTGTATGTCTGGTCCTCCAGACAGCAACATGGTCGGGGAATATGCTACAGCGCAGAGAATTGGGCCCCTCTAGATTCAATGCGCGATGGAAAGAATCTACCGCATTCTCTGCGCCGTCTCCCTCCTCTCGAATGCTTTTGGCAATTTCCTGTGCTTTGGTTTTGGCGTCAGGTTCCAGACACTCTCGAATGCCTTTGGCGAATTTGTCGCTGTCGAGTTTCTTGAGGGGAAGGGCCTCTTTGGCGCCTGCCCCGGCCCGTGCAACCATCTTGCTCCAAAATGGTTGATCCCCAAAAAATGGAACAATCATCGTCGGCTTCCCGAATCGCAAGCCCACAGCTGTCGTTCCAGCACCACCATGGTGAACGACAGCGGCGACTTGGGGAAACAACCAGTCATGAGGCACATTGTCGACAAGGAAAATGCCATCGGGCTTGTCCATTCCATCGCCCATTCCACCCCATCCTCGGCTGATCACAGCACGGACGCCCGCTTTCTCGACCGCATCGAAAATCATCCTGGTGAATGCTTGTGGGTCGTCTATACCCGCGATGGAACCGAACCCGATGTACACAACTGGCCGCTCATCAGGGGTTTTCAGAAAATCAACGAGATCGGGGGGAGGCTTATAGGATTTTGCCAGATCCAGAAAGACGTAGCCTGCGATATCGATTTCTGGGCCCCAGTCTTGCGGCTTAGGGACCAAGCTGGGTGACCAGAGGTAGGTCATTGGCACTTTGAGGCGCGACAGCTGACCAGGGGCCCACAATGTTGAGACTGGCTCCAGTCCCAGAGTTTGCACTCGAAATCTATTGACTAGATCCCCCAATCCCTGCCATACCATTAAATCGACCAGTGGATAGCTCATGAAATTTGTGTAAGTTTGATCGACGTTGGATGATTTGATGTTTGCCATCGGGTGTGGAAAGGCTTGGGTCGGCGAATAGGGAAAAGTAAAGACCAAATGCAAAGGAATGCTCAGTCTTTCAGCACAATGGAAATGAGCGAATGAAGGCGGGTTGGCAATGATCGCATCGGCCACAAAAGGCGTCTTTGAGCCCATCATCTTGAGGTTCGCGATGTCCTTTTCGTCGTCTGTCGCATTGATGCAGGCTCTCCAGAAACCCTGGAACATCTGGAACATGGATTCACGTCTTTTGCCGATTTCGCCAGATTTGACAGACTCAATTGAAGGAATCAGCCCCGGGTTCTTGACCATAAAGGCCATGAGCTCGGAAGGATCCTGCGGAGATCGATTAGCCTAGGCCCATATTTCACAAAAGGATATAGGAAGAAGCTGGAGAATGGTACTCATGGAGAGGGGAGACCTACACCGCCAATACTGAAAAACTCAAGACCCATCTCTTCCTCGACGAACTGTTTGAAAGTAGGGTGGGATGCAATCCTCACCCGATGATTGTAAGTCGTCAAAATCTTTCCAATCTTCAGAAAAGGTTGTATGTCACCCCGTGAACCGATCTAGCAGTCACTTCCATCAGCATGTGTCCAAGCAAATGCGGTGGAAGGTAAAGTGGGATCAAGAGAGGCCTCCTCCAGGAAGACAGGACTGTGTCGCTACGCGAAGAAACAGCTCCTTTCGAAACCAACAACGGAAACGACACGTCTGTATTAGCATTTGCATTCCAGCAAAGTGACATCATCCCTGAACAGACTGTATAACTTACAACCATGATGACGATGTTGAGTCTGGGAACGACTAGCTGGTCCTTGTCCCTGCGGAAATCGGCCTTGGATTTCTCTGCTGCTAGAGCGTCCTGTTCGTGATTTGGTCCAAGGTGATGCTCGATTGTAGCCCCAAGCGCTTTCGCAAGATAACCCGTTTGAGCGGTCTCGTTGACAGATATATTTAATCTTCCGTCTCTCGCCACTCGGCCCTGAGACTTGAAGAACTCGTTCCCAACCTTGAGATGGTCCGGTCTAGAGTGATATGTCCGCACTCTATTGAGTTGTGATTTGGACAGGTGTCCGGATGGTTGTGTATGCGCCCGCCGCAGACGAGGTGGATTGTCATCGTCCGATGAATTCAATATATCCGAATCGCTTGATGTTTCTTCCGAGGCAGGGTGTTCTAGGGCAGACTGATTCGGGTCCGGGAAATGTTGCCGCCTAGGCTGAGGCAGGCATGGAGCAACTGGACGAGCAATCTCGGTCTCGAACTTCCTCGAAGCAAGCTGGGGTCTCTCGATCTGGTCATTGCGGATGTCTGCGACACTGGGGTCGTCTTTTGCATGCACACTATGAAGCGTTGCATCAGAAGTACCACGAGACGTCGGTTGTCCCGGTGCTTGTCGCTCGGGATATGGGAATGATGTTGGAGGAGGTTCAGGCGTAGGACTCTTCTCGTAGTCAATGGCGGAAGACACCAGAGGCGTCAAGAGTTGCGCCATGTGCAGCTGCTCGGGGCTGTTCTCGACGAGCGTCAGGGCTCTTTAGACATGGTGCTGGCGAAATAAGACCACCGCTCGACGTTCGGTATTCAGGACATCTTCAGTACCTGACACAAAACGCCGACGCGTCGCAAGCGTTGCTCTATGGTATCTGTGCTTTCGTTCTTGCAATGGTGATATGGCAATGGAGCGAGGGATGACAGTGAAGCAGACGATCCGAAAGAGAGTAATGGACACTCGCACGAATTCTGATGCAGCAACAGTCACGCAGTCACGCAGTCTCTCGGATGTGTGACCCTTGTGTGCAATAGTGGACAGCGACCTCAAAGCCTGCGCGGTGGCCGACTTGCGTCATACCTAATCACGGTGGCTCCAATGGGCGGCACTGTTGTTGGTTCCACGACAGGTTTAGGGGTGCCTCTGCCGTCCGCACAGGTCTGGAGGGCTGGGAGGCCAACCAGCTTCCACCGTCTGGGCCTCCACTTGGGCTCACACGAGCCGAAGCGCCCCTGCCTTCATTGACTAGAAGGGCAGCGTGCACAGTACACAGTACGCGTGGGTGACAAGCCCCAGCAAGTGCTCTTCCCAGTACGAGGCACAAAGTATATTGTGCCGCTTGTCCAGCACAGACCTTTGACTGAACTCAAGACTACTTATTGCGTGTTACAGTACTACCTTGTTGAGGACGGCAACTCTTCGAGTGCGAACACACGAATCCACGGGACGAGGTCGCCCAAGCCACCTGGAGCACGACGGCGAACTGCAGCTGTCACCGCTGTCAACCCCAGATTTGCTCGGCTCTAACTAACGAAGCAGAGAGCCCTGGCTAAGGATCTGTTGCTGCCAATGAGTGCCTCGTACATCCAGGCACGGCAGGACTTCCGACCAACCGACCAACCGACCAACCGTCTCCGAAGTCTTCGTCTCGCCTATCACGACCTACCGCACAGTTGCACTATGCTCTCCAATCCGGCTGAAAGATCGTGTCGACAGAGCACGCACGCTGCCCTCATGCACGATCGTAACAACAATCATGCATGCTCCAAAGCCACCCTCCATCGTTCACAGCTGCTAGCGTTGATCAAGCACTGTATGACTTCTCAGTCAGACGAATCACCCTCCACTTCACAGAAGATCAACTATTTAGCTATCCTTCAGATCTCGTCGATGGTGAGCGCATCGCCCAGAACACAAAAACTCCAAAAATCATTACAATCGAGTCTGAAAAGCAGGGCAAGGGCGGGGTGTCCCAGCACATGACAGTGCATGCCGTGCGTCATGAACAGAAACGGCAATAACTATCTTGCGATGGACGACAATACGTATTGGTGATGGCTCGAATTGTGATTCTGCAAGCCATGAATCTTATGGCATTACGAAGCAAGGTAGCAAGCAACAGGTTCGCATCACACAAGACGAAGTCATGATAGCCGCGACCAAGTTTCTTGGGAGCAATGGGAGCTCCCTGTGTTGCTGAAGCGGCCTATTACGCAGTACCAATTACACTTCTACGGCAATCGTTGATCTCCTGCCTGGCTCACGGCCAAAGGCCGAGAAGTCGTCAGAGAGTACGGAGTATAAGCACAGGTTGACACGGATCTGTTGCGACAGAGCTCGCTACCGCTAGCCGATTCTCACCCAGTGTGAAAGCCAAAAACACGAGTCCACCTTCGCCCGAGCTGTCAGTCCTTGTCCAACCAGGTCTGACCCGGCTAAGGTTGCTGGCCAAACCATCCTCTCCTGCCATTAAGAAGGCCGCTTTCCAGTTGTCCTGCATCAAGCCCAGTCGCAGTACACTCTAGTGCGCCAACCCACGCACCCCTGATTGCCCAGATCTACAAGACAGTGTCACAGATCATCGCAGGGCTGAAGGCTCGGTATTTAATCATCCTCCCTCTGGCCATGTCGTATTTTCCCATGCCGCGGCTCGCAGGCTTCTCGGTTTGGCAGTGCATTGTCACCCGCTCTGTGGTCTCCGGTGTGGTGGGTGTCTTGGTACTCACAAGCTGCTGGGATGGAAGGCCTAAGCTGATGTCGGATCCCTCTAGTGATCAAGCGGCGCAATCGGAACCTGTAAGTCCTCAGGTCTGTGCGGGCGTATACCGTCCAGCCTCTGCATTAGTGTCATCATGCTCAAGGCCCCACTAATCATCGCCTCCTGCTGACGGTTTTGTCCTTGTTCTTGATGTCTGCTGCCAAGTACGCCGCACTTGGTGCAGCCTCTGCTCGATGCCTGCTTCAATCACGGCCCGGTCGGTGGTAGGAGGAAATAGGTTGGACTCGGTGCACAGGTTGTACATCAACCGGATCACGTCGAGCTTCTCTCGTTCCGGGACGGCAGTCCAGACGACGTTGACATCGGCCCACTTGGAGTTGGGACGGGCAGCGCAATACTCGCCGTGGACTCGCCGGGCAAAGTTCTTGAAGTTGTCGAATTGTCGAGTGCTGAGCCCAAGCTTTTCCTGGACCTGAGCGGGAGAGTCTCGCAGTCTAATTGGCGGTGTGGTCATGGTCATGGCGACCCGAGCCGGACGGACGACCCAACGGTACGGCAGATGGGGTAGTGGTCAACAACGAACAACACAGGAGAGTTCTGCGTATGATAATGGAAGACCTGGCTGGACATCCGTTGGGTTTTGCAGCCTGACTCTAAGATGGACCCCGGAGAAAAGGACATTGCCGTCACTTGTCACCTTTGCGACCCAGTGCTGCACTCGCACTCCATGCCCTGCTGCCCTATTCTCCCACTACGCCTTTACGAGCTTTCTTTGCCCAAACCTACCCCTCCAATTGGGCTCTGCCCCACTACCGACATGCCAAGGAACAAGGTGTATTGTCAGAACAGGCCATAAGCGGTTCCCTAGCCGTTGCTAGTCCAACCTATAAAAGAAATGGCCACCGGATGAGGCGCCGGATGACCAGGATCTGCGCTAAAGGAAGCTAGGAGGTCGAGCAGCCGGCAATTGGGCGCGGCCCAGGTTAGGGTTGGCCTGGATGGGGAAGCGATGGGTCCTTCCCTGTGCGGCCCCGGCAGAGCCGTTGGAGGGGGCCTGGGAAAAGTGCCGACGGTCAGCGGCCAATCGCTGGGGAGCTGGTCGCCCCTCTAGGCTTACTGCGAAACACTAGCCTAGGGTAACGTTTCGTGCCCCCCTGGGCGAGCCCATGTTTCATCTTCGCCAGGCCGGCTTGGGCTCAGGCGTCTGATTCGAGGCTTGTAACCACCCAATACCAACTTCCTTCATCAAGTGTCGCAAGTCGTCGGGACTCTTCGATACGACACCCTCTGCAACAACATGGATCACCGACGCGACGTCTTCATCCTGCTCTTCAACATGTCCGCTTTCTTTCCTGTTCACATTTCTCCCAGCTGCTGTGCACTTTACATTCTCCAGGCTCTCGCGGGCGAGGCCACCTTCTCTCGCTTCATTTACGTATCTCCCACGACCTGACGCTGGCCTATTGAGACTAACCTTGCGAGATACAACGCGTGGCAGCACATTAGACTGACATCCGCAGCGACGATGACTGGGTCCAAAACTCTGATCTTGACATCGACCTACCCCTCGGGGTTCTCCCCACGGCCGACAGCTCATGAACGACTACGCCGCCGGTTCATCACAATATTGCATGGTGCGAGCTGGCTGGCTAGCTTGATCGCCATCTCGCTCTTTGCGGCGGCCATTCCTGCGTGGAACAAGAATTTCTTCCACAGTACTGGCCCGAACCGCGGCGACTGGACCGACGGCATGTCACTGGGACCGCTGACTTTCGCCATGCTCTACCACGCTGTTGTCTTAATTCGAGGTCGAATGCGGAAAGCCCAGCGGTCCGACGTCAGCACAAGTTATTGCCCCTCACTGAGCCAGCCATCCCTGATTATCCACATTACTGTCCCATGTTTGGTTCTGCTCAGCCTGTTGCCGGCATTGTTCCTGGCGGCTTATGGTTCACTATTTCGCTTCTGGCAGCCAGCGAAACGCACGCAGTCCGGCATTCTCGTTTGCAACATGCTCAACATCTTTGCGCGGGAGTGCGAGCCAACCTTGTACGACATTGGCAGCCTGCAAATCGCCGGAATTACGTTCGGGATACTAGTGTGGATCTTTCATTTTGCCCTGCTGCTGGTGGGTCTCCGACAATTGAGACGCGCCCGGCTCGCCAAACAGCTGCAGAGGGAGAAGATGGCTCAGTATGCCCGGGGCGAAGAGAGATCGTCGCGTAGGAGCCGACGAGGCTACGGCAGGGCGAAGGGATCCACCGACCGCGATGGTGCAGGAGACCATGGCGCTTGGCACCAGCATCCGCGTCCCGACCGGTACCAGCGAAGTGGTTCGAGTTCTAGCTCGAACTCTAAGTCTCGGTCGGGGTCTCAATCAGGATCAAGAAGCAATTCGCTTGTGGGAGGAGTCGGTGAAGCACAGCGTGGTAGGACAGAGGCCAGCCCCCAAGGCGAACGACAGCTTCAGAACCACCAGGAGGTGCCTATTTTCTTCATTCAGGCCCCCGACGCATCGCACGCGCCCACGTCGAGGCGACCTGGATGACGGAAGTGCTGACGTTCTTCACCTCCAGCCCATCGTCTGAGCGGGTCGGCGGGCGAATTTGCGCAACATGACCACCTTTCTTGGGCCTTGCAGGCTAGCTGACGGAGAAGCTTCGAGGCTATGGATGTGAGCGAAGCACGGTCTCATATTTATGATGATATATAAATATAAGCTTCGATATTTATGACCATGGCCATCATGTTTCAACTCTAATTGGTGCGAGGCGTGATGCATATTGGCCAGCCGTGACCAGTGACCACAGTACCAGATTTCCCAGCCCTGGCAGCCCTCCCCATGCACACGGCTCCTCGCACACCGACATGCCTTGACAGGGTCCAAATCCTACAGCCCACATCCCTGCACGTCAGCTGCCGGAACCTGATCGTCTCTCGTCCCGCAAGGTTCGGCCCGGTGTGCTTGGAAACGCTGGCGGCCTGCAGCAAACGTGCCGGGTAAGGCGCAAGTGCTGCAGCCCGTCAGCACCAGTCTGGTCAGTGAGGCCAGGCAGGTCAGCACCATCGTATCACCATACAATCCGAGTAAGGACTTACACTCTAACGCAGTAGCAGGACTGCGTGACCGCTTAGCGCCGCGACATTCAGGCACTTTTGTGCAGTGAGTTAATTGGAGAAACTCCACGCACCGAGGCGGGTCAAAGCGAGCAGCGTGCCTTGTGCTGCGAGTCAGCGGGCAATCTCCAATTTCCCATCGTTCTCGTTCCTGTTTCCCTCTCGCTCTCGAGTTCAAGAACAACGCTCTCCAAAACTATTACTTGGCAACCATCACCATCACCACCGCAGCTAACGTCCGTTCTGGGCAGTGCACAGGAAAATTGAAATTAGTGTTCATCGTCTCTTGTAACCTCTCGCCACAATGCACACCACCTGCATTCAGTAGGTGCCCTAGACAATACCCACTGTGAACATGCGAGCACATGTTCCGGACACAGTACGAGGTACCTACAAGGCAGAAGGCACAGTAGCTCACACCACTCAGGTCGAGCTTAAAAACCTAACAGTACCTATCGCCACCGCGCCGCTCACCACCTGCATGAACGAGGCTGACGAAACTGGCCAACCTGTTTTGGTACCTCGGCAGCTAATATGCCGACAAACGCACAGCGATGCTTGGACTGGATGCTCTCGCAAACACTGTGTCCGAACTTTGCGGTCAGCTAGCTCGTGCAAGGTGCGTCCGAGGTATGTATGTACACAGTAGTCTGTACGAGTAGGTGGCGAGGATTCGGGACCGACGCCACATCATGTCCTTGTTCCACTGAGCGCTTGATCTACTGTAGCTACAGCATCTAGCTCTATCCACGAGATAGACGTGTCTGTTATTGTTCGGCCGCATGATTGCTTACGGAGCACGAGTTCATGTTCATCGATCACCTTTTCATTCATACTTCGTACTTGCCTTGGGCATCAATGGGGGCAATCATTTGTGCCAAACCGAGCTGTGAACCAATCAATGCAGGACAGTACGTGGTCGGGAACTTTTGCCTCGGCTGCGTAGCAAGCTTTGACTTTGACTGCACTTTCACTTCACCTTGACTTTAATTTTCACTTTTCACTTTCAGTTTCACCTTCAGTTTCACCTCACACCCACATACACATCCACATCCATCCTGGCTTTTGCCTTTAAGTTGATGCCAGCGGGACTGTAATAATGCGCAGTTGTGCAAAGTATGCTCTAGAGTCCGTGTGTGCTCGAAGCCACAAGGATATCTGTACACACTAGTCTGATATTTCGCCATTTGCTTTTCAACCCTGAGCATACCTGATGCTGCATCCTGTATTCTCCATACGCAACGTATGTACTCTACCTCTCCACTTCCACTCCCGGACCTCGTACTCGTTCCGGAAGGGAAAACAGTCCCGTGCCACAGGCCGTTCGCTTGGCGAAGCGACTAGGGCGACGTGCAGAGGACCCGTAATATGGAGCACCACAACGCAAGGAAGAAGGATGGTGGGCAGGACTGCATGCCATGGCTATACAAATTCCCAGCCAGTTGGTCCACGTCACGAACCCTTTTATCCTAACTTCGTTAGGACGAACACTTGATCCTAAGTTTTCAAACTCGTAGGGTTCACGCTTCGACAGCTCGGCCCGGTCTCCCCTCCACAAGCTCACTGTGTGCATACTGCAGTACTCTGCATACTGGAAACAAGACCTCTGACTCCCACCGCAATGCGTCGCCTGTCAACACCACTACCGGGAACGACTCTCGTTCTCTGACGAACCATTCTGCGTCCCACACTCTATCATGCACTCTATTCACAGCACCATTTGCCCAGGAGAATAGTTCGGAGTAGTGCTCAGGTCCCCGCCGAGGCTCCCTGTAGACAGTACATTAGAACTTGGAATCCCCACCCTGGTGGTCTGTACGCTTTTGGTATTTGGTGTTGGGACTTAGAGAACCTTCACACGACCCCATACACAGCACTACAGCACGCCCATTATGTCTTGTCTGCGGCCAGGACCCAGTCCACCGCGGCAAGACGGCAACGCTCTATCCGTTTCCTTCCGGTCCCGGACACGAGCACAAGGACCGGTTATGCACTGGGTGAATTTATTCGGAGGATTTAGGTATTTATGTCCCGTCCATGTCTGCCGTGCCTGTCCCGAGCCCAGCAAACCCTGCATACAGTTGCCCATGTCTGCCAGGCACAAGAGTGAGGGATCCCCTGTTTTGAAACTGATGTAAGGTGAAGAGAGACATGATGCAGCAGGACAAGGGCAAGCCACCTCAAATACCATGCATGAACGGACTACACAGTGCCAAGATTGGCTCGAAAGTTGAACCTCGGACTCCACCAACACCTACATCCACACTCGCTCCCACGTTGAAAACCACGTTCACACGCAGCTGCTTCCAGGTGGAATACTGTGTGTACTGTGTACAGTATGTATGCGTGCCCGACAAACCGCACAAGGTTCAGTCAGGGTCCACGTTCGAAGCAACGTACGCAGGCACCACGGTGCGTGATAAAGTTCACTGACTCAGCCGATGCCTTATACGCCAAACGGAAGGTGGAACGGTGGAAGGTGGAAGGTGAAAGTTACGGTAAGAGAATTATTCCCTTCCGAAGGTCTCGAACGCTCAAGGCACCACCGCCCACCCACCACACCAGCATACCATCGGTGGACGTATTGGAACTGGATTGGGGCGCCCTAGGAGTCGGAACTGCAGTGGAAACCAGGGCGAACCGGACAATCAGAACATCCGGGTTTTGAACGCTCGAGCAGCATCTCTGCTGGATCCGCGTTTCTAGATAATTCCCGATGCCCAATTCCATGCAGTTCCCACCGCCAACATGGTGAAATGGAAACCCAATATCAATAGTGCTCCACAGTCTCGTGTCCGAAGGGCCGGGCTAACCGGTAATAATAACGCAAAACTTGAGCGGCAGTTCGGAGCCCTTATACTTGTATAGTCCGCAGCAGATGAAATAACCAACCTTTCAAGTTTACACTCTAACCAACTGTATTGCATGATGGGGTGACATTTTGTGGACGCCTGGAAGGCTGGCTTTGGTCGGCAGGTTTGACCGCGCAGGGTACCGTACGAGTTATGTACTGTGCCCGAGACATGAACATGACATGTGCGTCCGGGGCGCTGGTGTGCCGGAAAATCTTTTCCTCCCTCCACAGACGTGCGGTGTGCGGTGTGCGGTGTGCGTTATGTACCTCGTACCTCGTACTCGGTACTCGGTATGACTCCCAGCGAACCGAGGATGCGAGTCCGAGTGGACAGCCACGCAGCCCATTCGAGTCAGGCTCGGGCCCGCAGATGCCAAGCAGGGCGGCAGCGTGGGGTGGGTGGAGGCTCGGTTTGTGGTGAATTGGCAAAGGCCGCGCGCTCGACCGATTGACCGCCCTGTTGCACGACAAAGGTCCTGCAACTCTACCAGTACGCAGTATAGCGAGATTGCGGCAGTGTCCAAGTGGTATCAGAGCCTATGTACCTATTGTTCTGGACGCTAATTGGACGCCAATCGATCGCGGTCACCTGTAAAAGAACCAAAAAAAACCCCCCACAAATATTGGGGCATCGCTTGTCCGAGTGCGTGCACCACCACGTATACGGGGTATATGCAGTGTGTACCTATGTAGTATGAGATGTAGCGGTATGACCTACCTCGCCCTCGCGTCCACTACAGGAAAGACCACAGCGCGCAAAAATCATACTGGGGGACAAGCTCGCTATCAGCCAGTCCAGTCCGACTTTTGGAATATTGCAGTGTGGTGGTGCGCGCACTCGGCAACGTTGCCCCCAATTTTTGGCTTTTTACGGGTGACTGCTCCGTACGGAGTACTATTGCAAAGTATGGTCTATCACGCGTGAAGCTGTCGGCATACAAGTTCGACACTTCTCCTGAGCCATCTGTAATGAACTACATCTGTTTACGGTCATAGGTCTCATAGTCATTGGAAGCTAAGCTGTGTGTTGATTTCTCTACTTTCTGCGCGAATGAATCCATATTCCATGCTGCTTGGCCCCTTTGTTTTGACCATTTCCCAGTTGACGGTCTCGGCATCATCAACAAGCAGGCACCCATGGGCGGATTTCCTTCCAGCCAAACCCGACTCCTTCGTAGTCACGAAGCAACTTGGCGCCTGATGACCCTCTGGGTCGATTCAAATTGTGGCAATGAAAGGAGCGGTGCTCAGCTATGCCCCCGGGCCAAGCAGGCCCGTTTTCAATCGTTCGTGAAAAGCGTAGTGTTTCAGTTCGTGAAGTGAGAATGACATGCCCATGACCCACCCCGTCGCGCAGCTCGTGCGTCCATTCCTTTTGCAAGTTTGAGCTCACTATCCATCGAGCCATGACTATGGCGACCCGATGTTCACCTCTTCGTACCGACTTTCCCGGAGATGTCTTGTGCGGCCGTGGCTGTTCCTTGGGACCCCGGAATTGCAACGACATCAAGACAGGTGGAAAGCACCCTGCCCTTCCCGGATGGCCACAAACAATCTTTTCTTGAGCACATCTTGCG